TCAGCAAATTCCCTTATTTGCACGGGTATCCGTGCAGCCTTATTTGCACGGGTACCCGTGCGGGTATGGATGGCCGCGAAACATTGTGCGCTGAGTCAGCGAGACGGCGACGTTTTTGGCTAAGATCCTATTATTACACGGATTGATGCGCCTGTGAGAAGACGATTTAATAATTTGTTCATCTGTCTAATCGTCTTGCAACTTCTATCTCAGTGAAATGACATGTCAATCCTCTCGCAGGCAAGGGTGGGTGTGCAAGATAAATTACTGGTAACAGAAGAAGCTTGAGTTCATGGTGGAGTGATGACTTGGCAGCATCCTTCAAAGCTCCGACAAACTCGGAGCCCGATATTTTTGGCCCATCCATCATATCTTCGATCATATGAAGGTTATATGCTAACTGTATAGAATCAATGGCGAAAATTCCTTGTTAATTACAATCGTGATTGACCTATTTGTACCGGCATCTTTGAAAGCAGCTCCATTGGGAGCCTATTTCTCTACTTATACATATGCTTCTGAGTTTTATTCTAAGACCAAGAGCTTAGAGGAATTGAACCATTGGACTGAACTTGTCTCAATGTAAAGGTGTTCCTATTCCTTTTATTGAGGTCTGAGCTCAAGGTACATTCGAAGGCGGCCAGTACGTGCATGCATCCAATTATTCCGAGGAGAAACTCATTGGCACTTGAACACAATTAAACTCAAGCCCTGGCGCGAAGCGTTGGAGACGTTTTGGCATTGTCTGCAGCATGATGTATGTGCCAGAGAGCTACAGCCACTACGATAAGAAGCAGAGGTAGCTTCACAAGAGTATTGACAATTGATCAACAATATACATTAGAAGGGTACCATTTTGCAAAGTACAATTATCCTCCCTCTGATGTTGCAACCCGGCTCATTGGCTGTGGGGTATCTCCAAATGCGACTCGGACCCATTGCCCCGGCAACGTGTTTACATAAACAAGTAAACGCTTCGAATCGCCAATCTCCAACCGAGCTATCCCGCATCAGGCTCTTCACGAAACCAACCATAATATCACATAGCTCCCATGAGCTAGAGACCAAGCGTGTACTGATACCATTTTGCTTTCTACGCTACTCTTTTTATCCTTCGCATATTCGCAACGCCTCCTGCTACCGCCGTTCATACGGGTGCTTCACTGCTCCTTGCTTTCCATATCCTGGTCCCTGTATTTAGGCGCATTGTTTTCACCATGGAGGAGAATCCGGTAGGTTGTTTACCTGGTGCCCTCATGTTTCAGAAGCTGATGATTCTTGGGTGTAGACATTTAGGAGCTCCAAGATTAGTCGACTGCCGGCGCCGTCGATGTCGATGTCAATAGGGGCTGGAGGGGCTGGACTCACAGAATGGAGCGAATCGCAACATAATGCCCGCATTGCGTCGACGGCAAGTTCGTTGTCGGCTCTGAAGAATCTGAAGCGAGAGATTCCTCAGCCAGGTATGCAAAAGGAGCGCCTATGGTGGTTCCCTCTGACATGAAGCAGCATCGCAATCTGACCCCAAGCGCAAACCTCTCTCTGATCGCGCCCTCGAATATCCTTCAAAGCCAACATCGCATGTTCCCGCCGCGGCTGGTGTTCGATCAAATATGAGGCCTCAGAGTTTGGCCGGAATGTCCTCCGGGGTAAGTTGAGATCCTTGGTACCCTCGTTATTAGAGGGCTTGCTTCTGCTGGATCATTATGATCGCATGACAGCTGCTAATTCTCCCCAGCTCAAGCAACCCTCGGCCACCCAGTCACGATACGGCGCATCTTCAAATGTCTTTAGCAGGAACCAGGCCGCTCGAAACGGTGCTCCGACAGCCACATCGCGAATCAATGGAGTGAACGGAGTCAATGGAGTCAACGGACGTCCTGGCCATGCCCGATCGAAGAGTCAAGCACCTCGTCCGCGTACGGCCCATGCTCTCCGCGAAGAAGACCGATACGAAGCTCCAACGAACAATGGTACGACGACACTTTCGCAAGATACATCTCAATCTATCACCACACTTTCATGCGATAAAATCAGAACCTCACAGTCTTTCGCAACATTGCCAACGATCAGAGATAGTTCTCTGACTTCAAGATTCCTTGAAATGAGTCTTGATGACAACATTCCTCACGGAAGTCAAGCGATTTCCCGACCCTTAACACGACAGTCTTCACAATCTTCAACCACCTCACATGTTTCTAATATTCCATGCAAGCGCCATGGTAGAGATGATCAAAGTAACATGTCAGCTTCAACCTCTCGACAGATCTTGTCAGAGCGGCCTTAGGCAGTCCCTCTGAAGCCACCGACCAACGAGAGGGTCAAGAGGAAGCTCCATGAGTTTGAAGCGTCTCTATCTTTGTCACCAGTCAAACAATTCACAAGCCCCGTCAAGAACTCCTCCCCTAGCAAGTCGTTTTTGAACAAAGATTCTAATCTGACATCATATGTAGCCTGGGACGTCGATGGCCGAGTAGTTGATATGGAGTCTCAATTCAAAGAACTCAAGGAGATGGTAAATACCACCTTGAGCGAACGCAAGGGACAAGACGATGCTCTTGAACTTGCCAAGAAGCGAGGTAGGTAGTATCATTGGATGGGATACTCAGCTACTAATCAAGTCTACAGTGCAAGAGTTGGAGGGTGACAGAGAGAAACTTGACCTAAGGAACGACGCACTCAAGTCCGATCTTGATGCAGCAAGAGAGGAAGGACGCCAAATTCGACATGAGATGGAGAAACAGAAATGGGAATATCAACGACAAGTGGATGACCTGGAACGAAAGCACCGAGAAAAGATCGACGATATGACGAGGCAACACAGAACAGCAGTCGACGAGCTTCGAAGAGAACTGGATCGATTGAAAGAGCAAGAGACGAAAGATCACGAGCAAAAGATCGAGAGTTTGACTAGAATGTACCATCAGGAGCTGGCTGAAGAGCGACAGAAGAAGGACCGCGAAATCCAGGAACTACGACTTCGAATGGGCAATGAGCATCAAGACATGGGAATGGCCATTCAGAGGAAGGATCGAGAACTTCAAGAAGTCAACTCTCAAGTGGAAGGCCTTCGAGGAGACCTCGAGCGAGAACGTATCTTGAAGAACAGCCTGCAGACGAACATCGCCGAGCTCTCAGCAGCCAACACAACACTCGAGGCCAAGATTAACTCACTACGATCACACGTCGAATTTCTGGAATCTGACAGCAAGGCGCAATCCGACTCATTCGCCAGCATGGAAGCACGGCTCCAAGAAGCTCTGCGCATTGCAGAGGAGGCCCAGCACAAACTCATCAAGGAGGAGACGGAACGCCGAGTACTTTTCAATAAGTACCAGGAGCTCAAGGGCAACATCCGAGTCATGTGTCGAGTGAGACCTGCACTTGGCAATGGTGAGGGCGAGGAGGCCAAGATGTCGTTCCCCGATGACAAGACATCTGCTGAAATTGTTTTGGCTGGTCCTGAGGAGAAGAGTAGTCTGGGACAGATCACACGAAAGAACTATCCCTTCGAGTTTGATCGCGTTTTCGTTCCTGGCACTCAGAACCAGGAGATCTTTGGTGAGATCTCTCAGCTTGTCCAGAGTGCCCTTGACGGGTACAATGTTTGCATCTTCTGTTATGGTCAAACTGGATCTGGAAAGACGCATACCATGTCGTCTAACGATGGTATGATTCCTCGTGCCACCCATATGATCTACGACACTATCACCAAGCTCAAGGAGAAGTCTTGGGAGTACACAATGGAGGGTTCATTCGTTGAGGTGTACAATGAGGAGCTCAACGACCTGTTGACGCCAAATGAGCGATCGGCGAAAAGGCTCGAGATTCGGCATGACGAAGCTCGCAAGCAGACAACCATCACAAACTGCAAGTCAGTCCGTCTCGACAGCCCATCAAGTGTGGAGACTATGCTTGAAGAAGCACAGAACAACCGATCAGTGGCTGCAACCAAGGCCAACGAGCGGTCGTCTCGTTCTCACAGTATCTTCATCCTGAAGTTGATCGGAGAAAACTCAGCTACAGGGGAGCGTTGCGAGGGTACGCTCAACCTGGTCGATTTGGCTGGTTCCGAGCGTCTCAAGCACTCACAGGCTGAAGGCGATCGAATGAAGGAGACACAAAACATCAACAAGAGTCTCAGCTGTCTCGGTGATGTTATTGAGGCCCTTGGTCGAGGTTCAGGTCACATTCCATACCGCAACTCCAAGTTGACACACTTGCTGCAGTACAGTTTGGGCGGTAACAGCAAGACTCTGATGTTTGTCATGGTGTCACCTCTTGAGCAGCATCTGAAGGAAACATTGACGAGTCTTCGATTTGCAACAAAGGTATGTATAGTCTTTCCAGGTTTCGCAAACGCAACGCTAACAAGAATAGGTGCACAACACTCATATTGGTACAGCCAAGGCTACCAAGAAGGTTCGCGATTCTACATAGGCAGGACCGTTGTATAAACTGTCGATCACGAACAAGGAGATCGGACGTCAATAATGGAGTTGCGTTATTTTGCTGCTTTTGAGTTGGGTCATCAGGATAGCGTCTGGAACAGAGCATCCAGAGCAGGGAGTTGGGGTGCATATATGATTGAGAGCTGTCGCCTTACCTACCTTGGTGCATACATGGCCAGCTTATGATGTGTTTGTTAGGCGAGCAGGCTATTAATTGATTTCTGGACATGGGATTGGTAGTGGAAGCTGGTTGAGCTGGCTGTGTCGATACGTGGAGATTGTATATATCAATACAGATATGGTTACGACATGGATTTATGATGATTACTAACGAGAAGTATAAGTTGTGTTGGTGACGGTGTTGGTGATGATTTCTTGGTGTTGTTTCAGGGCGTTTGTTTGCGCAGCCAACCGTTAACCGCCGATAGATTAGCCAATCAGACGCTACGAATTCTGTACCGTAAACCATCATTTGAGTTGAGCGCTGTTCTCTTTGATGTTGCACTTTCACATTCGTTCATGATCTCATTTCTTTATTCACCACAGCATATTATTTATAGAGCTAACCAATAGCTTGTCATTCTACCTCGTACCTGAAACGCATGCATTGAATTGGTTGTGAGATCCATGGGCTAGTGCCCTGCTTCATTGTGACATTCGGTTTCACGGAACGAGTGAGAGAGCAGCCCTCCACGGCGAGGTAGATAAAGGGACTCAGTGGAAGCTGCTTGGCCATTTGGAAGCTCCAATTGTGCGCTTCTGCGTCCATCTATGCTTTACGTTCGCTCACGTGGCATCTCAAACTCATCTACGACAACGCTTATGACTATTCCACTCGCTCACAAATCAGCGTAACCTCTTCAGCAACGATATCCGATATGTCCAAAACACCAACAGGTCTAAACGACTCAATCTGGGCCATAAACGGCCGCTCTCGTCTCGCAAACTCAGCTCCTTCAACGCGCTCGTCGTCACAGCCTTTAGCACGCGCATCCTCGCAACCTTCACAACCCCCACCATCCTCAGCCCCTCCAAGAAACCCAGTTTCAATATCAACATCGACAACGCGCTTGAACCCAACACAGGCCTTTCACCGCTTTGAACAAGCCTGTCAGCGTCTACGGTGGAAGTACCTCGATTTACAGACTTCGTACCACCGCGCGCTGAATCCAGAGGAATTTGGGTTTTTGGTCACGGATGCTGAGCGGAATTTTAAAGTTGACTTCCATGAGTTTTACGCATGGATTGAACAAGCGCTTGTTCTTCTCCTGATGGTTTTCGGCATATCAGTATCGCGCGGCAATTCGTTCAAGACGGGAAATCACACGTATCACGAGAATGTGCTCATGGAGTTAGAAATGCCAGATTGTCCGGTCCACGAGGCGCTAGGCAGAGGGGAAGTGAACCAAGCTCTTCGTAAGGCGAAAGAGCTTCGGAATCGTTGGAAGGATGTTGCTGATGGCAAGGAAACGCCGCCGTTAAAGATGTATGATCTGACGTGGCTTGTAGGACAGATCTTGGGAGGGTTGGAGATCGGGTATGGCATTGCCGCGGGGAGAGTGCAGGAGGCGATGCAGAGGCAGTGGGATGATGGGGATGAACATATGGGCATGGGAGAGGTTCAGGGTGATGATGAGTGGGAGTGGATGGTTGAACCAATGGATTGGGAGGTTGCGTAGGGGTAATAACAGTGCTTGGATGATGAATTGGATGGATTGGAGTGAAAATACATGGCGTAAGATAGATATTCATCGTCTGTAGACATATCGAATAGTCGTAATGGATCATAGAGGAGTCTATCACTCATGAATCATCACGTCAAGGGCTCCATACAAGGACAGGCATCTGTCATGGAAAGGAACACTTGTAAAACCACCCCGTTGTATTTTCTTTCAATTATCTAACCCCCATCAAATGCCAATACCAAAATAAGTATCACATACAAATAAAGACCCAATCAAATAAGTAGAAAGACATCAAGTCATTCAGAAAGAAAGAAAGAAAGAAAAAGAAAGCATAATATGCCATTATATCTCCTCACCATTAGAAACCCCATCGCTTGCGAACATAAGCTGGCTCACGGTACGAAGGAGGCTCGTAAGCAGGTGGTTCATATTTAGGTTCCTTGACACCAGTGGTGGTAGAAGACTCCTCGGTGAATTCGCTTGTGGTAAGAATAGTGGTGAATCCAGTTGCTGCGTCGGCCGTTGAGGCGAAAGAGGCGGTTGGCCAGCCGTCGTTGGAGCTGGGTCCGAAGTCGTAGCCTTGAGGGCCGGTTGACTCTGCAGAAGGTACTGGTGTTTCAGTTGGTTGAGAGGAAGTGGCGATCTCGGAGTCTGTTTGAGTAGCGGTGGACTCAATTGGAATGAACTCAGTAGGAAGAGTGGTCTGGACTCCAACAACAGTCTCAGTCGTGCCCTCGAGATATTCGGAAGTGGACACTCCAGCTTGACCCTCTGATGTCTCAGCACCGATAGCTGTAGTCTGCTCGATCACCTCGGACGTGGCAGAGGTATACTCAGATGCGAGGGAAGAAGCCGAGGTGAAGGATCCAGCCAAAGCGGAAGAGTCATTACTTTGATCGGCTGTGCTGTGGACGATAGTGGTATTGTCGTAGATGTGAGTGTGCCTGGTCGACGTGCATGGTGTAGTGGTGGATATTTCAGCTTCTGTCGTGAGTGTAGACGCTCCAGCGGCTGTGGACTCAGCAGTAGGAATAGTAGCAGCCTCAGAGCTGGCATCCGCAGCGGAAGCAGGACCCTGCCCAGTCTCGGTGCTAGCACCTTCAGCTGAGGAGGTTTCGACGACTTCAGTATTCTCCTCAGATGTGGAGGCCTCAGCGGAAGCAGTGTAAATAGTCGAGATTCTCTCCGTGAGTATGACCTGACTGGTGATAACTGACTTAAGAGTGGTTGTAGAGACCCTTTCAGGGACAGTAGAAGCGCCAGTGTCTTCTGAGAGGGTAGAGCTGCCTTGCTGCGAGACATAAGTCTCAGTACTCAAGCCTTTGGTTGGAACTGACTCTGTGCCCAGGGAAAGAGACTCGGAAGGTTGCTCAGTTGAGCCCTCAGAGAGTGTCGTGGTCTCCTCACCCTGCGGGAACTGAGTAGGGCCAGGTGCAAGAGCAGAAGAGTCAACACTCGGGGCAAAAGTAGGCATCGTCTCCAGGTTGGTAACGATCTCGGAAGTCACCTTCAGGGTGGCAGTGCTGGTTGAGTATCCATATACGGTAGACTCCAGCTCAGACGAAGTCTCTCCAGCAAGAGCACTTGAACCAATGGAGACATCAGGCTGGGAGACGACACTGGAAGTCTCAGAGACAGAAGTGTAGGATAAAGAAGTGTTGGCAAAGATGCTGGTAGAAGGGATAGAAACAGTAGGCAGAGAGATGACGTTGGTGAAAGTCTCAGACTCAGACAGGATAACCGAAGAACCAGTCGGAAGCTCGATACCAGAAGAAGTGCCAATGTACTGAGTAGAAGTACACTGAGAGACGGTAGTGTAGCAAGAGAGGGCACACTCAGTCACTGTAGCTTCAGCGCGAGGATAGAACCTCAAGCCAGCGGAAGGACAGTTAGTGATGGTGTCAGTTACTGTCACAGTGACGGTATGCTGTGCACAAACAGCCAATGCCCTGTACTAATCAGTATCTATCCCAGCCGAGAGACAATAAGAAACAGCTACCAGAGCACAACGAGGGTGAGGCGAGCGAAGAAAAACATGTTCGGAAAAGCGAAGATTCCAGAAGCGACCGTATTGAGAATATGGCAAATGAGTTAAACAGAAAAACGAATGACAAAGAGCGCCAAATATTTCTAGTGGTCTCACTCCGAAGATTTTCTCTCAAGTCTTGCTTCATCTCGACTCTTTATACCTCTCACTGAGGCCTCGCACGAGTTAGCAACCCCAACCCCTGATGCCGCATCCATGCCGTGGTACCGGAAAGACCGCGATGCTATTATTAAGGAGATGTGTCTATCCGCGCTGTGTGTTTCGTCTAGCCGTCTAGGAGATCATTTTACCCATTGGTTGACTGATTTCGGGTTCCGGCAATGCCATGGCGTTGGATGTTTGTTTGTTTGCTAAAGGGACCGTACCGTTGCGACGGGAGCCGTTCCGTTTTTGATGCTTCAGCCCGTTTTTGGTTCCCGTGAGATCAAAAGTGGCGGGATGTCTAAATAGATCTGGGATTATGTGAGTTGGCAATGGTGAAAGTGGGTGAGTCAATATAATGTCTCACCGTCACATCCAGCGACAACGCATAATACAGGACTTTATCATCTTCTGCAAAAGTTCCTGATGCAAATCGATCTCAACTTCCGATCGTGCGGGATCGTGAAGCTCACCCATGCATGGACGTCGTAGCACAGACACGACACAAGCTTCATATTTACAGCTGAACAAAACAGATCCGGAAATACACAAGAAAGCTTGTACCGAGATACAGCGGAATTGTAACTTACATTCATGGTATCACAGAATTTCACAACAGGCTGCCTCAGACCGCTTTTCGTTTGGTGTGTGTGTGTGTGTGCACATTTAGACGTGTGGCTTACATAGACATACATACGGCAGGCTGCATATTCCTTGATGAAATTGCACAGAACGCAACGGGCTCAAGAAAACGGGCTTTGGCGGTCAGGATAAAAAGAAATAGACAGGACACGGCGTCCTGCTGCACGAGTCAAACGCATGGGTAGCCATCCGAGACTGAGTGTCACGAGTAGAGCACGTTGCCATGGTGTTTGGAGGTTTCACTGCATATTGAGGAAAAGCTTGAGATTGAGTGTTTTTTATTGTTTGTGCTAATATGGCGGGATGAATATGTTGATCACAATAGCTTTGTGCCCTTTGTGATATCATCGTTTATTAGATGGAGGCGCGGAGGACTTTGAAGGCGTCCTCACGAGTACCGGTGAATCGAGCCTCGGCAGTCTTCCAGTTGATGACGTTCCAGACGTTGTCAACGTAGGCAGCCTTTCCGTTAAGATACTATCACAGTATTAGTCGTTTTCCTGAATTGTTTGGGGTAGACTTACCTGAAGGTAGTAAGCATGCTCCCACATATCAACACCAAAAATAGGAACCTCTCCTCCAACAACAGGATCCTGATCCTTCGTCGTAACAATACGAAGACCATGCGTATCCTTAACAAGCCATCCCCAACCACTACCCTGCAGTCCCAGAAGTGTCTTCTTGAACGCCTCCTGGAACGCCTGAATGCTGCCCCACGTCTTTGAGATCTCAGCACTAAGCGTAGGAGCACTCTCGGGCTTTGCGTCAGCAGAGCTTGAGGGGCTGAGATTCTCCCAGAAGAGAGAGTGGTTGATGTGCCCGCCGCCATTGAACTTGATGGCTGATTGCAGGGCGATCTGGCCGGCGATGTCGTTGGTCGAAGTAGCGGTTGCGTAGTTCTTTAGCGCGGCGTTGAGGTTTGTTACGTAGGCTTGATGGTGCTTGCTATGGTGAAGTTCCATGATTTGAGCAGAGATGCTAGGCTCAAGGGCCTTTTGCTATGGTCAACTTCTCATACTTTCATGCCAGATATCACGGCGGGGAACTCACATCATAGGCGTACGGCAGCGCCGGAAGAGAGTAAGTACCAACAGACATGGCAGAAAAAGACTGAATATTATCAGGAAGAGCAGTATAAGCTTGATTATGATCAGAAGCAAGATCAGGTTCAGACGAGGAGGAGGAGGAGACAAAGAAGAAGAGGGGTAGAAGCGGGATCCTAGAGAAGAACATGATGGAGAGCGATTGCGTCAGAGCTAACAATTAATAATATCTTATTCTTGCGTGCTTCCACGGTGGTTGGTACGTATTTCGGGACTCGAGTTCATCAAGGTGTTGATGTGTTGTTGATGGAGAAGAGAGTCGCACTAATTGCGCAAACTTGCTCATACTCGCTAACTCGCTCGAGCGCCTCAGAACCTTGTCACCTATAGAGGTTGCCCAATTAGGAACAACGCTAGGTCTTGCGACGCAGTGATTGGTTCTTGTCTATGGCTTGGACTTCAGTGAGAGACTTCGAGAGAGATACGGCAAGTTTCAGAATAGCTAGCAGTGACTATATCTTGTAGTAATTGGATTTGTTCTTGAAATAAATGTTCTCTTCATGTTTTATATATCTCTCTGTTTACTTTATATCTTTTCCTCACCAACTTTCACCAGTGCATTTACACTCACCCAAACCATCAACATCACCATGTGCGGCCCAGAATACACAAACAGACCTCGAGGAGGCGCTCTCGCCGCTCTCAATCCTCCCATCAACTCCATCTCATCCAATATTTGCGGTGATCTCGCTTTTCACACTCCCGGTAGTCCTTCAAGCTCAAGAGCAACACACGCAAGACTCACTCCAAGTGAAGAGTGCAGTATGAAGGGCTTCGCCGACTTATACGTTGTCATTCAGTGAGTCTCATCCTTCTGCTTCTGAACAGTTCAAAGTTAACGTCGAGAAGTTCTAGTGGTGACCTGACAAGAAACGCCAGTGAATGTGGACTCTTCCGCCAGTTTTCCCTCCAAACGCCTCCGACATCTCGCGAGTACGTCGAGTTACCCTTACAAGAGCCATTATCGCTCGAGGTTGGCGGTGATGGAATCATTGGAAGACGTGTTTCAGTATACTCTCGTCTCGCCTCTGGACAGGACAAGATTGTTGCTGAAGGCATCGTGGGCTTCAATTTCATGAACCAAGCATCACCTGAGGAAACGTCTTGCCCATCATCGCCGTCGCCATCGCTGTAGTGAGGAACCTCTATGGCTTGTGGCTGCAGGTCCAGGGCCATCAAGGTGGATGAGTTGCGCCCTGGTCGGAAATAAGAAATGGGATGGAATAGCTCAATTGGTTGGCCACCATCATCATACTGGCGTCGTTGTTATCAGGGTTCTCTTTTTTACTTGGAGTTGGCATCAGGCTGTTATATCTGCGAATGAGGAACTTGTCCAGTCTCGGGCAATTTAGCTTTAAGCATGAAATCAAGGAGGCGTTGGCGACATGGCGTTGCGATCTTTCGAGTCAGAATATATAAGAGCGTTTATTCTCATCAAGCCCCCTGGATATTCTTGGAACGGTGAAACTCCATTTTCGCTTCTCGCACATTTGCAGCTTGTCGTTTTGTTGGATGTGATTCTGTCTGTCAACACTCCTTCATGTCAGCAGCGAGATACCTATCCAGCGTCATATGAGTGTGTTCAAGACTTCTGAGATTGGCAAGGCCTCAAATTTCGTCGAATAACTCGATTCGTTTACTGGCAGATGGTTATTTGTCTACTGAAGCATGGGTTCAACAACGGATATAAGGGCGTCGCTTCACCCAACTTGCACAGGCATTGATTGACATGGTTGCACTACCAACACAACACTGCATCATCGACAACACCAGATCGCTGCTACCAAGACAAATCTACGAGCAAATACCAAATACTCACTGCAATGATTCGTACCATAATATTTGGCCACGAAAGGCTGCTTCATTTATTCAGCCTACGCTTCCAACACAGCCACGCACAGCCACATCAACCTCACCCACTCCCTTCTCCATCACCGTCATGTCAGCCTCGCTCACCAACCACTAACAGTCTAATATCAACCACTTCAGCCAAGCCAAGATGTCCAAAAACAAGAAACCCCAGTTCATTTTCCAACTCCTAATCAGGGTCTCTCCTTCCCTGTTTCACAGACCAATTCCCTCCCTCGTTTAAATAAACCGCCCATAACCAACAGACTCTCTTTGTTCCTCTCGTCATTCCTTTTATCTCTAACCCACCGCCTTTTCAACAAAACAATGCCCTTTGTCGCAAACACCCCCGAGTCCTACCTCAACCGCTCTGACTCAAAAGCCACAAACGGAACATGTCGTGGACTGACCTCCAACGGCCGCCCATGCCGCCGCGCCGTTCAACAGACGGCGCCCAAGACTGATAAGCGCGGAAGACCTGTTACTCCCGACCCTCGTGATGAGAGTCTCTACTGCTGGCAGCATCGAGAGCAGGCGAATATGTCGGCGCATTCGAGTCCGGGGCCTAGAGCTACTTCGACGCCGATTTTGGAAGGCCGCACGAGTTTGGATACACTTGCGGATAGGTTGGGGTTGGTGGATTTGCAGGAGAAGAAGAAGTATAGAAGGGATACAGATGGGCGAAAGCAGACCGCGCCGAGACCGAAACCGCAGCCGAAGCAGTCTCTTATGTGTTGCTGTTTCTCAGTACCTCTCCAAGATGTCCAGGAGTCTCGGCCTTCACGACCGCAACCTCGTCCAGTCCAGAAAACATCGGCCTCGGTACCGCCAAAGCGCACTTCAAAACAACATCTCACCGCATCGCAAAACACATCTTCCGCCAAAAACTCTCGACGCTCGCGAAAGTCCACAGCCTCGCAGACAGCGCAGATAAAAGACTTCATTCCCGACTCTGTAGACGCCCAGACCGCCTCGGCGCTTATGTCCGAACTAGCACGTCCCTTAGGCGCTTCAGAAGAACCTGGTTTCATATACATGTTCTGGCTCACACCTACATCTCAGTCGTCTTCTGCGCCCGTTGACGCAGCGCGTTCGCTTCTTTCACCACCTTCACCGAATCGGCCACCGCGATCTCGAAGTGCTAGTAACGCTGTTTCAAGCTTCGCGGCCGCTGATCCATCAACATCAAAGAACACCATGCTTCTCAAGATCGGCCGCGCAGCAAATGTTCAGCGTCGTTTGAATCAATGGCAGCGTCAGTGTGGTCATGAAGTTGAGATTCTGCGATACTACCCATATCTCCCTGGGTCACAGGAGTCATCTGGTGTAGTTCCCCATATGACGCAGCATGTGCACCGAGTAGAGCGCTTAGTTCACATCGAACTAGCGGGCATGGGTCTCAAGAAAGATGCAGAGAAATGTGATGCTTGTGGGAGAGAGCATCGCGAGTGGTTTGAGGTGGAGGCCACGAGAGAAGGAATCAAGGCCGTCGATGGAGTCATAAGACGATGGATAGAATGGGATGAAACGATGACATGAAATTAATTATTACATTGCATAGATATATACATATAGCCGGCGTTGGGTTCACATGAATACACGAAGTTACGATCCACAACCCCCCAAATGTCACGTTTAACCAGACACAAAGCTGCGATCATGGTATCTATAATATAAGAATAATCCCTCTCCCATCTATAAGTAAAGTACCCATGCCATCTCTCATGAATCGTGAGAAAGTTCTTTCAATCGAATGCATCTCCCGTCCAAATTCCACGCTATACGAACCGCACCTCATCAAATAGACCTGCTCTGACTTGAATAAGGGCAGCCAGCTCGAAGAGAAACGATTGTAGGATGATAACGTTGGTTACAACGTGCGACACTGAAACAGTTGTTGTGTTCTCCCTTGCTTCTCTGGGTTGAGGAGTTTCGGGTTCTGGTGTATCCAGATTTCGAGTCTCTCGTTGGGGTGTCGCAATCTTGTGTTCCTCTGGTTCGTCTTCCTTGGTCTCGGTGTCGTGATACTCAGACTCACTAGGCTCAGGTTCATCAACCTTCAGGTCCTTGGCCTCGATTTCGTTGACTTCCACTTCCTTAGCAGGTTCACCTTCTTCGGCATCAACATTTGCCGAATCCTCCGCCTCTGACTCAACCGGTTCCATCGGTTCGGCAATTTCAGGCGCAGTTTCGGCGTCAGAGAGATCAGTCTCCGTATCTTCCGTCTTCGCATCATCCTCATCCTTCACCTCCACAGGTAATTGCTCAGTAAGATCAGTCACGGTATCCTCAAACTGGTCCTCATCAGCTTCAGAGGGGGCCTGCTCAGCATGTTCCTCCTCCGTAACTTCGGTCTCCATAGGTTCGGGCATTGGCCTCTTGTCAAACTTGAGGGGAATAGGCTCAACCTTGACATCTGGCAATCCCACCTTCTTAGAGAGGATAGTTTGGTCCATAGCCGCAAATTCCGCCATCTGTCGAGCAAGCGCTTCTTCCCTGGCCTTCTGCGCTGAATCGATGGTATCGAGCGTCCTTGGAGGAGAGTGGCTACGTCCAGGAGTGCCTCGCCCCCTGCTATGAGACGCTTCCTTGGAACTAAGCACAGACCTTCCAGGTGTCGCGTTGCCGCTTCCAGAGCTACGGCCCAGCTCTTTGCGTCCTCGCGGGCTGCTGGCACGGCTCGGCGTTCCCAACTCGGACAAGAGACGATGCGCTAATCCTTCCAGTGCCGACGGTCGGGAAGGCGATGCGTTGCGCGATACCTCTTCAAAGCTTGGTCGATCGGGAGGATCTTCGCTGATGGGGGTCGGCCTGGGTGTAGGACCCGCGTGGTGTAACATTGCATCCGCAGTCCTGAAGGCGTCGCGCCGTTGTTGCACCAACTCGTCAAATCGGGGAATACTCCTTCTGTAGGCAGCCACCTGCTCTTCCAGTCTTCTGAGAACGTTGAAAACACGCGGTAAAGACGCCTGAGACCATTGCGGCCGTTGGCGGCATTGTTCCATGGCTTGTAGCTGTTTCTGTTCTGGGGTTGGGGATGGCAGATCCTCAAAATCATCGTCGTCTTCACTCTCTACATCTTCGTCCTCCGTAGACTTACGTCTTTGTTTCTCAACTTCATTGTATATATAAGAGCTTGGACTTCGCGTCAACCATCCTTCGATCTTCATAAAACCGCAGACCGCCAAGTCAACAAGTGTCTCAGTGACGGACAAATTCGTCTCGACTTGATTGACGAAGAATGTCTCCAGGAGATCCAGTAGTGAGTTGAGAAGAGGGTCATCAGGTCGCAGAGTGTGATCTGCAACCTCTTTGGGTGCTCCGGGAAGGCTGTCGGGCAGCCTTTGGTTACTCGTAGATGCCCTGGGCGCGACGAGCTTGAGAGAGCAAGGGTGTGCTTCAAGCCTCGACATGGTATCTCGAAGGACAAGCTGATAGACCTCATCAAAGTCATCTTCACCTCCTATTGCTCCCGCCAATGACATGATGAATTCGACCTCTTGCTCTTGAGCGCCTACTGTTCTAGTGGCATTCTGAATAGGAACATTATCAGTTCTTAGGAGAGTGACGATAGCATATCGGTGGTGTCTCTTAAGTATAGCTGACACCAGTTGTAAGGTAACATGAATTGTTTGTTGATTCCGCGATCTCAAGCATGCGAGAACGAGATCAACCAGGTTGAAGAGTAGGGGCGTAGCAGCAGGTTCTGCTCTTTCTGCCAACATCGTGGCCAGGTCCATCGACTTTCTCTTGCGAGCCTTGCTGGCAGACGAGCTTGAGCCAGGTCGGGCAGAAGCGATGTTATCGGGGAGTGCGAGGAGGTAGTGAAGGATGAGGTTGATCATGTCAGGGTGATCGAGTGATTCCAGGATACGGCGAAGATAAGTCAAAACAGCCACAGACGAGCCTCCGTCGATATCAGAGGACTCTAGCAGTGAGGGGTATCTAACCTGTTAGCATAGTTCGGGGTGAGAGTCGCTGGAGACTCACAATAACTGTTGAAGGAAAATAACTTGGAAATGCTCCAGCAGAGTCGACTTGACCTCTACAGACCGACAGTGGTTCAAGACGTCTTGCCAGAATAATAGATGTGATAAGAAGGTTTCAAGGTGAGATTGGAACTCAGGTGAGCACGAGCTGATAACTTCGTAGTTAGATGTAGGATGTTCGTAATCGGAGAAGGCGAGAATAGGGGGTAGGTTATGAGGGAGATGGTCGACGACGAGTTTGCGGCTCAGTTGGCTGTACAAAGCACCAAGACCTGTTGCCATCAAAGTTGATAGGTCACTTTCGACAATCCATTGTTCCAGCGGTCCTGAACTCGACGCAGCTTCGATGATGTACAGCAGACCTGTTCGCGCAAAGTCGCCCACCTTACCCTCGTGGTGAATATAGTCCATGAGGATATAAAACAGGGGGAAGTCGGCCTTTTGTGTCCGTCCAACGAACGTATCGCGTGGGTTCTCATCCTTCTCCCTGTTCTGAAGCGCTACGCCGCGGTGTGTCTTGAACCATGCTGGTAGAATACTCGGGTCCAGCCGAATCTTGGTTGTGATGTTAAATGCTAGCTCGACGACACGCGACTCGGTATCCAGGCCCAGGCGCACGCTGTTGATGCCAGTGATTCGCACGAGAAGATTCGTCAGGCTGGCGGAAAAGGTTTGGTTCTCAACAAACGCTTCCTCCTCGCTCTCGATAAGGGTCGCAAAGAAGAGGACGGCCTCCTTAATGATCCACTCGTTGTACGAAGTCGTAGCGATCTTTCCAATGGGCACGTAGATTTGCTTGAGCGAGCAGTATTGGATACATGGATGCGGTAACGGCCTTCGGCTCTCGTCGCTTAGGATGTTGGTGAGTTCCTGAAGGCGGATTTCAAGGGTCTCGGCGGCGTCGCTGTCTCGAGATAGGTTGGATGATGCTCTCCAAGCAGACTACTCTGGTTAGTGCTTGTCGCAGGCATGGGCTAACTTCGCTGGTCCTCACGAGTAAGAGGCTATATTGCTTTTCGAACCGGTGAAGTCGTTTCGCAGGATCATGTCCCAGGTCCTTGCGGGTGCCCCCAGACGAGAGAGGGCTCAATAAGCGCGACCACTGTACGGAGAGCAATTAGTTGGGTGTCATGGTTGTAGTGACAGATGGTGATGAGATACTCACGAAATCCATGACGATATTGGAGTCATTTCCCGGCGACTATAACTAGGGAATAGAGGTCACCTTGACCACATAACGGCACCGCTCAAGTCCTTGTAAGTTGAAGTGTTGAGAGCTGTTGTTTCCTGGGTCCAGGGACATCCGAGTGGACATGTGGCGCTTAGTGTGGCTAAGGAGAATGTGGCTGCAGGTTCAGGGTAGTTACCCCTATTTTGAAAAGACTCGATCTACTCTACTCTGCAGATAGTTCATCTTAGCACAAGTTCACAAGTGGATATTGTTGTTGACCTTTCACTTGCTGTGTCGATGGTCTGTTCTCTTTTTATGTTGAATAAGCCTTTGAACGAATGTCATGGACATGTGCTTGTGTCGGCAAGCACGTCGTTCGACTAGCCATTCACAGGATAGATCAACCAACAACTCCAGTTCGAAAGATGAACCATCAGCTTGAATAAGACAATAGCTGGCAGCATGTTGAGGCCAGCAGCCTTTCCAATTATCCTGAATTAGGCCCTTCTTTGTAATCGGAGGGGAATAAGGGGAAGGACGAACCTCACGACATTTAGTACAACCAAGGAAGACGATTACATCACATGGAAAGGCTACTACGAGATGAAAGATGAAGTCAATGGAAAGTATCAGAGACATCTCAGCCATCTCAGCCATCTCTCGGCTTGTGTTGGTTATCATACATTGTGAACTGCCATAACCTGCTCTGCTCTCCCATGTCTACAAGCTCGCACCAACACTCATTCTAGCAATCACAACCAATGCTTCTTGCACCGTTTCGGGATCAAAAAGGAAGGCATTCCATGTGTCCTCACTCGGCACGCTCTGCTTGCTGGTCATGCGAAGGACCATCGTATCGCTCGTACATCATGCGGCGACGTTCACGCGCGATCTCATCCCGGAGAGTCTTGTTTTCCTCTTGTATCTCGTCCACTTTCCGTTCGAGGCGGTTGATTTCTTTTTTCGTGTCTCTAATATCCACCTGGTACTCGCGCCGAATCTGCTCTGCTTCGCTCTTAACCTTGGTTAACAGCTCTTTGTGTTGACGGCGCAGTTTCTTGGTGTCTGCGTCTATGGCAGCGCGCCACTTTACGATGTTGGCATCAATACGTTCCTTGATACACCGATCAAGGGCCACAAAGCGACGTTCAAACTTCTCCTGGCGATAGTAGTAGTGACGATCCTAAGAATATGTGAGCTTAACGAATATGTGAAAAGAGAAAGGTAGGAGACAAACAGGAAGATGACGATGTTGACAAGGACGTGCCTTCGTTTCATCAGTTGTGTCTTTGGAATCCGGAGCTGAAGCACTGGCGGCCGCTTCGGCGGTAGATTCGATGGTCGAGGCCCGAACTGGATCGGCGGCAGCTTGGGCGGGCTCCTTTTCTTGCTTCGGCACCCATTCTCCCAGCTCCTCTCTTTCCCTCCGCATCTTGCGTCGGCACCGCGAGCCCGGCCGTGGACGGGACATGTTGGCGATGGAAGTTTTTTAGTGTCGATGTTAGGGGTACAGAGTAATGGATGAACACTTGGAAGTTGAGCAAGGATCTCGAGGTGTAAAGAGACAGAATAAGGAAATCAAGAGAACCTGTTATTACGCTAGATAGAGTGAGGTGATGAATGACACTGGCAATGCACTGCTAGATGCAAGTTACTGCGAGTTGCTGCCAGCTGTCATCGCCAAACGGCATTCACTTTTCTCGCAACCTACCACCCAATCAGCACTGCAGTTCGAATGCAGAATAGAGAACAATAGAATGCGGCCACTGTGATTCAACGTGCGCTTTTCGTAACCAGCCCCTCCCTCTGCTGCCTATAAATTCTCTCCTCTCTCCCCTCCCTCCCTCTCTTCTCTTCTTCCTTCATCATCATCCTTTCACTTCTACAGAGGTCAACCACAACCGCAACTTCTGCTCTTACTTCATCCTTGCGACGACCATTTATCATCATCCGAGATGGCAAAAACTACCTTACGCCAGCGCAAAATGCTTGACGCACAGGCTGTGCAAGCTGGGCAAGCCTCCACTCCCCCGTCGGTAAGCTATTGATCAAAGACCGCATTAGCTACCAGGTCTCACTAACCTCCACACAGACCGAGATCGATATGGTCATCGAGGAGACTCCTCTCGATCAGGTATGACTGCTTCTTTCCTCATCCACCCTTGAATGCACTCCTCTTGTTGCCCCTTCTTCCCCGCATGCGAGCCAGGAGCATCAAAGTTCCCCGACACAATGTCCAGGTCTTCGTGTCTGTCTTCAGATGATGGCCTTGGGTGTCGGGTCCCGAGCTGTGGATCTAGGTGTTCATGTGAGCATCTCCAAGCTTAGCTTGGACTGCAGCTTGGGTCGCTTCCAGGTCTTCAAAGTCAAGCGCCAAGGTATCCAGTTCGGCTTGGGAGCATAATTCAGGGCCCCGAAGCGCTTGTTTTTTCCGTCGAAACTTTGGGTTGGTATCTCCAGGCTTAGCCTGGGCACACCTTTGACTTTGGGGATCGCGGTCTCGTACCAGTATACCTCGGGAGTACAGTCCACACTGCCTTTAAGTTGCGTCTTGGGCATATTGTGTGGGGTCTGTCCAGATGGTCATATGTTGATCTGGGACTGGAAAGCAGGGTTCAGTGGTCGTGGCGCCAGAGGTTTCAAAGTGCATATCGAGGCGCAGACATACTCAGCTTCGGAACCCTTGGCTGACGGATGTGATTAGCAGGAAACGATTGAAGAATGTAACGTCCCGCTTGAGATCGCCGCTATCAAGACGCTCCTCGGCCAGCAACAGGACTCAATTGAAGAAAACGGCGAACTGATCACCACAGCCGGTGCCAAGATTTTCGAGCTGGAGCCTGTTTCCGATTGTCAAGAACAAACTCCGCGCCTACTGCAAGCAAACGCTCGATAGTTTCTCCGACGAGCTTGACGATATGGCTAGGGCCGACAGAGACAAGTGGGAATGTGTTCACGAAAGCGTAAGTATATCACTTCAAACTTTGGTAAAGCCATGGACGCTAACAATATTTTCCCCTTGCAGTTAATGGACTTGGGCAGCAAGTAGGGTAAAATGTCCGAGTTGATCGACAAGGTGTCAGAGGAGAACGCGACGCTCAAGAAGAAGATTAAAACGCAGAAATCTGCCCTCATTAAGCAGAAGATCGCCCTCAAAGAGGAGAAGGATGGCAACAAGCAGCTCAAGTCCGACGTGGCCAGCATGATGCGACGACTTGTCGCAGTCGAGGAAGTCGTTCACCCGGCCATGTGCGAGGCGGCTGAGCAGAAGCTTGGAGAGCTGGGTGTCTGAAATACTCAGTAATGATCTCGGAAGATGGATATGTACGCGGCAATGATGTGATCAGATTCCAGCCGATGACTGTAACCTCAGTCTGATCACCACTTGGCTTATTTTATTGTATACACGAAGAGTAATTGAATGAACATAAGCGCACTGCGACTTTGAACAAACACTTGAATGCCCGAGCAACGTGATATGATGTGATGTGATTGCAACGATTTGTTCTTGAACAGCCTTGCGCCCGACAACTTTGTCTGTCCTAAAGCTTGGTGATGGAGTAGTGGGACGAGAAGCTGGATGAGCATAGCAAACTGCCAGAAGGGCACTGGGGAGCAAGAAAACCCCGAACCTTCAACCAAGGCGCCAAAACAAATAGTCTAAAGGCCCACTAAGCTGTACTAAACTCACCTAAACCTTTTCATGGCTTAGGATATAGATCATAAGTTTTGCCTCCTCTGGAAGGAGTCGGTCGAATGCATGGAGTGACGCATCCCCCATTGTTCACACACAAAGGAATTCGCAGAGTGTTTGGTGGTGACGATGAAGAGCAGAACAGAGGAATATGAAGAGACCAGAGAGGTGAACCACAGTAGAAAAGATGACATGAATAGATCCTTAGGGAAAAGGGCAGACTCATCTGGGCGCACTTGCCTCAAAAGAAAACCCCGCTTGGGGATGTGAAAAGGACATGGCCAAGAGCTCAAGACATGAAGACATCACCATTCAATAGACAAACATTTAACAATGGCACTACTTTTATTCACTGCAAGCGCTATCCAACAGCCTAGCCTGTCGAAATCAAACCAAACAACCGCTGCCCTTCAATCACAGCCATACATCACCCAGCCAAACTCGACCACTCGCTCACCTGGGGCTCGTCGGATCACCATTGCTGCCGCTGCCGCTACTACCGCCACCGCTGGCCCTGGTGCGACTTGCCCAGATGTGCTTAACCCGGTGAGAGTCCATGGGCGGCGACGCGTACTCCTCACCACTCGACTGCGTGAAACCGCTGACGTTGCTGAGCATGCTAGAACTACGTCCACGAGAGCGAGTCATACGCGGCTCGAAGGGAGGCGCAGTGGGGGGAGGTTGCCAAGGGGACATGGACGGGAGAGTGGGAGCCGATGCCGAAGGGAGGACGTTGTCAGAGGCGGACCAGAGACCAGTTGGGTAGTGAGGAGGAGCCGTGGGATCGGGGTTCCAAGTACTCGAAGTCGTAGGCTGGAAAGGCGGACCAAGGTGGGAGTGTCCTGCGTCAAGAGGAGGCATCATATCGTAAGACATGCCATTCGAGTTGATGTACTCGTGGAAACTCTGCAGCTGCATTTGCAGGTGTCGAATCTCCTCACTCTTGTTGGCATTGTTCGCACGAACATGAGCCAGTCGCTCATTGTAATTGGCTTCGATACCAGCGACATGACCCTGCCAAATGGAACGCTCTTGGTTTCGTCGTTCTGCCTCATCAAGCCCGCGGTTGTTGGCGTCGGTGATGTTGGCAAGCTCGTTCTCAACCTTAGCAATTCGAGTCGCCACCTTGTTACGGCGGGTGTTGAGGTTCGACTTCTCGACTTCCTTGGCCTTGATCTCCTTCTCCAATCCGGACTTGTACTCCTTGAAAGCCTTCTGAGCTGCCTCAAAAACCTTCTTCTCGCTACTGTACTGCTTCTCCACCTTCTTTTTACGTTCGCCGAGTTCAGGTGCAGTGTCGAAGTTCTTGAGCTGATCAGCGAGTTGCTGGGTGTCACGCTCTGCCTGGGCTTTCTGGGTCTCTTGCTGACGAATCTTTTGTCGGTACTTTTCGTCATGATTTCCAGCCGAAGAGAGTTGATTATCCGTCAACTCGTTGTCCTTTTTGAGGGCGTTGGCGCGGTTCTTGTACTCCTTTCGTAGAGTCTTGAGGCGGGACCTCTCCTCGCTAAGCTTGGCCTCGACTGCAGCAATCGATGTCCTAAGAGTCAGGGCAGGCGAATCCGGGTGAAGGGAGCGCTGTCCGTTAGCAACAGGAGGTGGAACACCGTCCACTTCCCGCTGAGTGGCCTGGACAGTTCTGATGCTGGTTGAAAACAGAACCTCATCAGTCTGGCTATCCACAAACTCACAGACATACTTGGAAGCAGGTCTGAGTCCGTAGATGTCACCAGTCCATCGAACTCCTTCGTGAGATTCTCCTGGTGACTCCTCGATCGGAAACATGCGAGTGGGCTGCCAAACAGCGTTGTTAACTCTGACGTAAAATGGCTTCGAGGTGTCGATATTGGCTGGTCTAGAATCTTCGCCTGAAGATTCAACGGAACGCGGCTCGTCGTCGTCGATTTCGGGAAAATGGCTAGTGTTAAAACAAACTTCATCGCTACCAATGTAGGATATCCAAATTTGGTTGGGTTGGTTGTTGAACGGAGCATTACCAAGATTGTGAATGTCGGTAGCATTAGTTCCGGCAGACTCAGAAGCCGCATGGGATAACTCGTACTCTTTCACCACAACAATCTTGGTGCTCGCCAATGCCGCCCATAGTGGTTGTTGTAAACGAACTTGAGTGCTTTGCTTTCTTCTTTTTTTGCTTGTAGGTACTGTGGATGTCGAATTCAGACCTGCTTCAGTATCAGGCGTTGCGAAGCCTCCTTCATTAGCCGTATCGCTGATCACACTTGGTGGCTTTCCGGCCTCAGGATCGCTGGCACCAACAGAAGCGTTGGCTTTTTCGCGTCTGAGATACCATTCTCGGATATATCGCACAATTCCTTGGGTTAAAATATGAATGGCGAGAACACTTCGAATCCACCCATAGGCAGACATCTTATCGTATGCGCTAGAAGCAGAATCGACTGGGTTATTGAAAACTTGGGGCAACCGCCAGTGCTCTGGTATGTGTCGAGCCACACGACCCCAATGAGCTCTGGTTCCCCTGAGTAAGTGATGACCTATCACCCACATAAAACATGTGGTTAGGCCTCTCGATGTTCCATCCCTCGCACTCGTCCCCCCTCCCAAAGTAATGGCAATGACTGGCTTGGCAAAATCCAGAATAGCATCCTGGATTGGACCCCACAGAAAGAGCCATACCAGAAGGAAGAAGAAGTCAACACACAAGACAGTTACGAGAGAGGGCATGGTCGAATTGCCGTCGAAAATCTCGGCAAGGTTGATGCTCATTCCCGAACTGGTGGCGACGGGAGGAACAAAGGTAAGGAACGTGAAGATGGTGTATATAACGGTAAGCGAGAGCGAAGGGACGTGCATAAGGATGATGAGAATAGCGAGTGTGTCCTGCATAGGGAGAGACTTGAGAACCGTGGTTGCGAGGTCGAACGGGCCCGAGTCGCGGTGAACATCAGCGTTCTTCATGGCATTAACGTCGATCTGGCGGTGGCCAGCTTCGACACCATTGAGGCCATTGGCGTTGGACGAGTCGGACGACATCTCGGAGACGGCGTCAAGAGAGGAGCGGCGGAGGTCGTCGGTACGGGAGTCATTGGAGGCATCATAGACACACTGCTTGTACGGGCTGTTGGCGTGACCATTGACGGGCGTCGACTGTCCAGCAGCACCAGCAGTGCCTTGTTCAGATCGGCGAAGAGAGTTGTCGAGCAGGCCTGAGCCCTTCTTGTCAGAAGAACGCTTGGCAGAACCTACAAGCCCATTCTCATGGCGATTATCGCGATGACTGGCGGCGCCTTGCTGTCGCTTACTCGAACCTGGAGCGCGAGGCATGCGCAACGACTTGTCTTGCTGCCACAGTCTGACGAACCCAGGAACCACTTGGGAACAGGGCCGGCAGCCGGGACAAGCCTTTAAGGGACAAGGGCTTGGTACAGAGAGTTGGCGACTCGAGCGTTACGGCGTCTCGGTCGATTCTAACACGAAGGGACGGGTAAAGTATCGGGTCTCGGAATAATATGTAGTAGAGTTGGGAGGCGAGCCGTTGCGACAAGAAGGTTCGTGGTCGACATGTGCATTCGAATTGAAAACGGTCGGGAAAAGGAAACACGGGCGACAAGAGCTATGATCAAACTGATAAGGGCGACGACAAGAGGGGAACTATCGCCAAAATGCAACAAAGCAAAACCTGCCAAGATCGGCCGGAGGGCCGCAGAAAGCAAGTAATGAGCGTTGCAAGGAGGTAGTTTTGATCGGTTACGAGATGATTTACAGTGGGATGTTGTCAAGTGGATAGTTGGTAAGATAAGGTAAGGAAAAAAGACAAGGCAAGGTAGGGTTGACTGTTGGTTGAAGTCAGGTGGTGGAGGTGGGAGATTTTTTGGCTGTCAAAGCCCAGGCTTGGATCGGATTGGATTGGATTGAAAAGGAAACAGAAAGGAATAGAGAATAAGGAATGGAGTGGCAGAACGCAAAGACGATGGATAGATGGGAACGGGAATAGCGGGGAGAGGGGACTCGCACTGTGCCAACAACAAGCCAACGCGGCTGTTTCTGACGCTGTTGGATGCTAGAGTCCACTGTAGTCCTAGTGGCTCGCATGATCTCAGCAGGGCTCCAACCTCCAGCTGCCAATGGATGGTTTGCGAGCTGCACGAGAGATGGATCCCCGTTGGAGTGCGGAATTGGGGCAGTTGGGGGCAGCTTATTCTAGTGGAGTGCGCGCTAAAGGCGCGTTAAGCTGAAGTTTTGAGTTGGGGATGCAGGTTTTTGCTGAAAATAAATGAAGCCGTTGACGATGAAATCTGCGATAGATCTCAAGGCTTGAATCGCTAACGCTATGTACGATCATCTGGGTTCTTGCAAGTGGATCCCCCATAGTCAGATTCCGTTTCTGGTCGATATTGGGTTCTTGAATGCGAACGGATCAGGTACACAGGAACAAGGTTGAGATGGCCAATTTGAGGCGCTAGACTGCGCTCAATGGCTGAGTCTTGCCCACAGACGATGATGATCAGCAGCCGAGGATGAATGTCTAATGCCACTTTCCAGCACGATGCCTTCAAACTCCGAAAACAAAAGATCATGATAGAGAGAATCGAGATACTAGTTTCAGTAGATTCTCTAAATAGCGCCCTCTTCGCGCTGAAAGTGGTTTTTCTCAAGTAAAAACAACTGATCCATTGGGGAGTCACATGCTCCACCATGAAACACTCCGTGCCTCTCACTGTGTGAACCCTGTTTTTAGCATAGGCAGATGAGACGAGGCGAAAACACGGGAAATAATTGGCAGGGACCAAAGTCTTTGTCCACATTCGTCACAAGACCATTCTTCAGGTCGAATTGATTGACAACACAATGCCTGGCTGTGTTGCTGCGTTGACGTTTCTTTGCAGGGTCTCATCTTGTTTCTATCACGGTTCCTTAATACTGCGTTGTATAGCCTGATTCTCGTCACGCCTGGCTAGGTCCCATGTGCCCGATTTCTTCACTCATCTCGATATAACATCAACAATGTGACATTCGCGTGGGCACGCCATCGCTTACACGCTCTGCCAGGCATTGGCCAGGGCACACCCCGGCTCTGCCGATTCTAGGGCTTCTCCGCAATGCAAGAAAACATTTAACAATTCCAGCCTCATCAAGAGTATCCATCATCAGCAATTGCGCAAGACGCTGAAGACTCGGTAGACTCCGATGCGTAGGCACATGCCAGAAACAAGATGAGCGAATCATGCCCCAGATGTTAAGCTTTGTGATTGTCGCCCCTCATCTCACCTCGGCCGGATCAAGGTGTGTCTAGGGAGCGACGGCCGAATACTGTAGCCTACGGGTACAGTGGCCTTGGAAAAAAGAGAATTTACTGCCAATGGATGGCTTCTGACGTCGTGAGCGCCATGGCCTGCCCGTTGTGGGAAAGGCCCTGAGTTGGTTCAAGGGGGACAGAATTTAGGATGACATGGATTGTTCCTAGGGTCATCAACTGCACGGACACGGACAAGGACAAGGAAGCTGAAATATTTGGTCTTGAGTCGTGATGAAACAACCAGTCTTTTTCAGATGAAGTTTTTTTCGTTTATTCGTCTTGAGAGTCAACATCACGATTAACCTCACAACGATGAGACAGCACATTCCACTGGCTGCAAATCATGCAACATGGCCCAGGAACTCTATCTGGAATCCAGCGCCTAAAACAACAATTAATTCCCGACTCACCGTGGCTGATCGACTCCCCGGGACGGTACTTGAGTCATTAGACTCAGTCCATTTTTTCACTTTCGGCAGTTTTTCTTGGCCCGTCTTTGCTCTAATTTCATGTCCCGCTTTTTACAAAGAGCCTCGTCTCGATATGGACAATCACCGATGGAGTGCACCAAATTTCAACCTTGAAGCTCATGGTTACATCGTCAAGGCTGCTCAATTCTGCAAGCTATTCCCTGTAAGACGCTGCAGACTCAGAGACTTTGATAAGCTCCACACAAGCACACACAAAAATGAAGCTGTCGCATAAAAACAACAGAAAAACAACCCCTCCTTATTCTTTCGTCAGTTGACGACTAAAAGCGCCGATCGTCCCGCATAGGTTTTGTTTTCACGAATAGATCATCGCACAGTGATCGACTGCCACGACTCAAACGGCCACGCTCACGCATGCTTATGCGAGTCCGTTACTAAACACCATCAAGCCATAAGCCGTGAATTGCGTGATGAAAGCCTTGGAAGTGTCTCTTTCCTGGGATCCTTACGTCTGCTCAAGGAACCATTTTGCAAGGTGGAGGAGAACAGATAGGATCAAGGCGACTCATTGCTACCTCAACCACACAAACCATCGAAACTTTTCACAACAAGACTCCTGAGGAGTCTCCACGACGCAAGTGATGATCGCTACCCCGCTAGCAAATCGAAGCACCACCTTCAGGTCTTGGCTTTGATCCCTATCGATGAGGGGAATCCGTTTGGGTGCCGCCCCCGTCGGCACTTCTCGCACTTGTTTTCGGCTCGCCCTATCAAATTGCGTCTGCAACCCTGCATATCAGCTTTCTGTACACTCTGTTTCGTGTGCTAGACCATGGGGTGGTGTCAAATGACGGTGAGCGGATAAAGAACCGGCCTCTACGGATAAGGAATCTTTGTAGATGATCTGAGTGTCGGTTTCACTATGAGTCGTCACAGTGGTCTGATATCAAGTTCACGATGTCTCTGGTTTATACGTTTGAAGCTGAATCCTTAAAAACTAACTCACAAGCTATGATACTCTGGGCCCTGTTCTAGGCGGGGGAAGCTTTGGAGCTTCGTCTCTTTTTCATGCGGGATGCCCCGTGCTGCTGCATGACGGGCGCCACTCGAAGCCAGCCCTGTCTGGACGGAGAGAATCGCAGGTGTTGTAATGTTGCAGGGCATGATGTGCTGTGATATCTTCCGATATCACGCTTTCCGGTTGTGCTTCCGATGCGTCGTTTTCTTTCCGGGGGGGAATGATTGACGCGAAAACCACCATAAATGGCCTCGGAGAGCGATAACGAGGGACAGTCCTGCTTGGGGATGGTATGACTTGAGATGACTGCCTAAACAGGCAACCCGATCTGTTTGCACGTCTCGTGTCTATCAGGTACAAGCTTGATACCTGTTGATGTGGCTTGTGACAACTTGCCTGCTCTGGTTTGGTTTGCTGGTATCATGAGTTCCGGCTTTGACAGTCTCAGAAGCTTTCCGATGTTGCCGGGTGTACTCAACCCTTTTTATTCGTCTCGTCTGGCATCCATCATGCCAATCAAGACGGGTCACACTTAGCATGAGCCATGCAAGTAGCCTATGGCACAGAAATCGTCTTTCTAGTCATAACTTGCATACAATGAGGCCATTAGTTAATGCCTCGATACTTGTTGTAGTCCGCAACTTGCTCGTGTGAGCAAAGATATCTCGAGCTTTGCAGTTGCTATCCGGCTGGGTCCCAGCAAGGCTTCACTTGTTGTCATTTTCAATCAACATGCTTTCAGCCTTGCGATAGAATAGAGCTTTATCCGTCTTTCCTCCTTTAAGAATAGTCTTCTCTAACCAAGAATACGACATGGTACTTGTGGAAGCTGAGATCATTGATCAGTTGCCAGTCCTTCCTACAAGATGCTGTAGATATTGCGAAATATTGATTCGTCGCTGCAAAGAGTATTCCCTGGAGTGGGCGTTCATGATGTGATATCGTGCAAGCATCCCAGAACCTCGCCATGATCTTTATTCATGTCAACACATGAAACCCCCTTTTTACCTCACCCTCAATACCCATCCCACGTAACTCCCTCTCTTCCTCAACGATCTCCTCCAATGTCCCATGCTAAGCTTCTCTATCAACACCTGGATACTTTTCTTCTATATGAGCTATGGCCTTCGACAGCTTCTTCTGCCTCCTAGCAAAGCTTCTAGCCCTCACCTCAGCCTCGTTTTCCTTCTTCATAGCCCTCTTCCTCTGCTACCAGAGTCTCATCTCCAGCTTGTATAACTTGAACATCGCTGCTTTGAATATATCGCTGTTTCGGCGTGTATTACTTGGTACCAACTTTTCGTAAAACTCCCATGGACTTTCTATGCTTCTGGCATGGGGCGGTGGAGGCTGAAATGCTTGCTTTTCGGAATAAGGATCTGCTTCCCTGCTGGCCTTTATCTTCTCCTCGATAGTGGCGAACTTTTGGTCGAAATCGGTGTTTCCATCGACCCTTTGAGGGGGCTCCTCGGCCATGTATTTGGCGGGTGAGAGGTCGAAAGTCGGTCTGAGTCTGAGGTATGTGACGCCGACCAAGCGCCTTGTGCCGACGGTATGAAACTCGATGCACATGTAGATTGTGTTGCCCCGAATCCCGGTCGCAACGTAGACATGCAGTTGAGGTAGATACGACCCATTGATGGTATCCTATGAGGAAAGTATCAGCCTGAGATCAAATGAGCAACAAGGAGAGAGACTTACATTCGCTAGCCCTGGGCCGCCAGTGTGGTTCAGAATGTACATCTTCAGAGAACCAGGCAGAGTTTCAACAGGGACAGGTCCTCCTGTCCCATCCGCTTTCCATTTCTCAAGTGCAATATTGGTAAGGTCATACAGTCCATCGGGTGTTATGCTGCTTTTCCTTCTCTGCATGGAATTAGCATTATGTGTTTTACCACTTTGGAACATTTACATACACCGTTCTGAGAACTTGTCTCGACGTGTTTGCTTGGATCTAACTTTATACGATACACGTTCCACTTGGAATAATTCACCTCGTAGTAGGCTTCGCCCGTAGTCCAATCTCTATCCTGCAGTCTACATTCTTCACATTCGACGCTCCGAAGGATATTTGACATAATCTTAACCTGGACGCAGTGCGGGCCTTCAAAGATCATCACGCCAAGATCGTTATATAAGTAAGGAAGATACGATAGCTCCATATAGGCGTCGACTGTTGCACCGCCGCCAGGACCTGCGCCAGGACGTATAGTTCCACATGTTCGTGGTTGCAGCGCTGGTCTGAAGTTCTTGAGGGTCGGCCATCTTTCATACGCTGTGGAGGCATTCGGGATATTAACCATGGTAAACGTGGAACTTGGGTCTGCGGGAATCGGACGTGCTGATTCAGCTCCTAGCTCCTGTAGACCATTTGGCCATGGCCTTGTGGTTCGCCTTTCCTTCTGCTTCTGCTTCTGCTTCTGCTCCGGCTCCGGCCCTTCTTTTATCTCGACCGTGTAACGCACTAGGCTCGGCAGTCTGAAGAGTGCTCGGGAGCTTCTCAGAGCATTGTGGCCTCTCACTAACATGGTGGTTGGCTTCCGGGCCAGATCCGGGATGTGAGCAAGGGATCTCGACTCGAGGGATCGTGAGGGCGTGGATCGAAATCTTCAAAAAGCAGTTGGCGATGGCGCAATGCAGAAGTTGAATCTAAGGTTTCGTGGCTGGAGCTATAGCGAGGCTGAAGTGGGGGTTCGACGCCTCAGTCTGGGCATGGCCGCGGCAGCATCATACATCATCCGCATCGGTATTCCGCGGCTGTATGAGACCGTGATCCATACACAAACACAGTTAATATGAGCTTAAATCCGCAATTAAGACGGCAGGTCATCGCCATATATAAAGGTCTGCTCTGCTTTAGAGTTGTCACACGGGGCATATGCTGATCGTGCTATGACAGAGCTTTTGTATCTGGGAAGAGAGTATCCCCTCGGCTTTGACTATTTTCGACCTCGTCTTCATAAGGCCTTCATCTCGAAAGCTGGAGAACGTGATGAGGATAAGATCCGCCAGGGAATTGCTCAGGCTGAGTATGTTAAGAAGGGTGGGTTTTTGAATCGAGTGGGTTGGTGACATTGGCTAACCTATACGATAGAAATTGAAGCATTGTGAGTTCTTGTTCCTTAGGATTGCGTCGGTCACATCGTGAGACAACTTGCAAATCATATGCGAGTATGATTAATTGCTTACGTTGTATGCCACGAGTATCACCGTCTATCGTTAAGCATCGGATACCGACTCAAACCACCCCAGCACGTCACAATTCACCAGTCATAAACACTCTAGTCCATGCCAATAAGTTCATTTATCCCAAAAGCTACATTATCCTGATATCCCAACCATTATCCGTCAACCTGCTTTTTACTAATCATATGGGTATAGGTACTACTTGAAAAGGTATCGCACATTGAGAAAACGATATGACGCCAACGCGTAAAAGGGAGGGGGGTATGTTGTGTATGTAGAAGATGCTGATCGAGGTTCTTTGGGACGTTGAGGTCCAGGGTGTGTGTAGTTATTGTGTCAGGGAAAGCATTCCAGTCTTGCATCTATCATGAGACATAGATGTTGAGCCATTCGTCATAATCCACGTGGGAAGATCATCTTTACTTTTGCGGTACAATGACCACAGTGACTCCCAGAGCTTACTCCTTGCGTGGTCGCTTTCTTGACGACCACACTCCCAATTCCAAACATTCTCCCCAACTTGTCCCGCTCTCGCTCATCAGATCCGCCATCATCTTAGCTACCCACGCATCCCACTCATCCTGGCTTTTGCCGCTCGCTTCTCTGATGATAGGTTCCAGTGCCGACACTTGTTGTGCAACTGTCAAAAGCGCCGTCTTGCGAAGCGCAGATTGTCCTGGTGTCAAGGTCTTCTTTTCGACCTTCTGGTGCGGTGTTGACTTGGCCTTCATCTCCACGTACGACTTGCCGTCCTTGGTAACAACACCGCCGACACCTTCGCGCTCCCATCGGACTTCACTTAAGGGGATGGCTAGACGTTTTGTCTTGATATCCATGAGCACCTCTGCTTCAGCGTGGAGGAAGGCCCCAATGAGAGAACATGGCACAGGTGAAAGCTGTCGTCCTTCCAGAGTCCTTGACAGCCAAGTATTGTACTCAACCAAGAAAGAGTTCAGTGGTGCGGAAAGGGGTGTTTTAGAAGTCATGAGATAGGCACCTAGATCAAGGGCAGCCTCGTGTTCTTCTGCTTCTTCTGATCCGGGCATTGCGCTTGGAACATGAGGTCGCAGCATGCGGAAAGTTGGGTCACTATCCCAGATCTCCATCACTCCTCCAGGCTTGAGCATGCGAAGATACTCCTCCACAAAAAGTTGGTAAACATGACTAGGAACCATCAGGCACGTATCTTTGACCATGATCAGATCAAACTCTTCGTCGGCAAAGGGCCACGGTTGATGTCGAAGATCGTGCTGAACAAATCTCCATTTCATGTCCTTGTCTGGCTTGCACAGCTCGACAGGGGATCCAGGACTGCCAGGGGCCAGGGGCGCGATGTCAATGCCTGTGAACTGAATCCCATTGTGACCTCGCTCCTTGTAGTATCGGTGGCACATCATGCTCCAAAATCCTGTACCACATCCGACCTCCAACACCCGCTGCGGGGGATTGTTTCGGATGAATGGCGTGTAGACGGGTGCGCCATATACCTGGATCATCAAGAGCGTCCGCAGGCTCTGGCGATGGAGCTCAGCAAGGTCGGTGGGAAGAGGGTACGCCGACGTAGGGTCGTTGTAGTAGGTGCGGCCATTTTTAACGATGAAAGGCTTTGTCGCGGGGTCAGAGTTGGAGTGGTCTGTCGAGGTCATGGTTTGTGTCGAGACAGTTGTGTTGCCACTTGTAGAGGAGACCGATTCTGTTCGAGGAAAGTCGAGGTTTACCTGCTTCGTCGTCCCTGACATGAGTTTGTTGCCTGCATCCAACTGGGAGTACATGGTGACATTTTTCAGATCAACTGAGCTTGTTGTTGGGGTCGCTGCGGATGATTGACGACGAGGATCGCGCTGTCGAGTCTTGTCGACGTACACAGGCCGATTGAAGACAACAGGCGAGTGTAACGGCGATGCACCTCCGCTGGTGAGACTCTTGCTAGGGAGATGTTTATTGGAAATCGAGGCAGTCTTGGTTGTGGTCGTAGTCGTTACTGGCTTCGAAGATTGTTGGCGCGAGTCAGATGATAACAGTTTTGAGTGCGAGTAATGAGAGTCGTCCTCTGCCTGGGCGGGGCCGTTTTTGGTATTGGGGCTGGTTGTGGAATGCACAAGCGACGAGTCGTGCGAGGAACGACTACCCTGACTCCCACTAGACGTCCTCGTATGGCGAAAAGGACGTCTTGCGCGGCTGGAGTTTGGGGCAATGTCGTGTGAATCCGAATTGGATCGAGGAGGAGTTTCAGGGCGCTGCCGCTCCTTTTCAGCAGCCTTTGCACGGCGAGCAAAGGTGGGTAAGGGGTTGGCAGAAGCGTAGTAAAATCCGCTCCATTCCGACATTGCTGGCTATGCCGCTATACTATACTCTTTGGCGCAAGCTTTCCGGTGGATAACTTTGGTGAATGGGGAAGGGTAAGGGGTGGTGAGTGGTCTAACAGGGGTGCCACTAGGTAAAATAATTGTGTTCCAGTTCCACCGCCGCTAGCAAACACACTTGCTGCTCAACTGACGAACTGGACTGAACCACACACAAGTCCAACGACCCGCGATGGTAAGCCAAACGGTACCTACAGCAAATCTCCCGGCCCCCGGTCGGGAGCACTTTTGACCCTTCTAGAACCCTTCTCTGGCCCGCGGAACTGGGTTATCAAGTCCGGATGGTTGCCGGATTGGGTCCCGGACCATGCAGGGGCAGTAAAAGCAACAGTAGCAGAAGGCCCTTGGTTGCTTGGCCCTTTTGTTGACGCTTGTCTGATCAGAGGTGTCGCCTAAATCGAAGAGCAGGGTTTCTTCATCGGCCAGCGTTACGCTGAAGATACTATCCGTAATTCGCGCAAACGTGATGGGTGGGAAGCAAATGTGGATGTGGATGTGGATGCGAATATCGAGTGCCGAAACGGTTTGCAACCGTGATATCAAACGTTGTTGGTCGTGCGTGGACCCTTCATAAGCTGGTTTCGTGATTGTGCCTGACTGCCCAAGCAGAAGCCAACGTCATTATCTCTATGTCGTCGATGGCTTTTATGCTGAAGTCTGGTGGATAAGGCGTCTGTGCTGGCGCGACCTTGGATCCGCTGGTGCAACCAGCTTTTTTATGATGGCGTTCGCTGGCTGGCAACAAACAGTCCCTGCGATGTGATGTGATAGCCGTTTGTCCTTATCAAAAGGTGACAGGTAGCGCCGCAGGGACGCGTACAGTTCCCAGAGTCGGTATGGTTGATAAACTCTCACCAAACAGCAATATTCGGATAGTTGCGTCGAGATTGAGCAAGAGTGGATTGATCTGTTACGAGATCGAGGAAAGAGAGCAAACTGTATGTACTGTACTGTGCATGTGCAGCACAGCAGTTTCAGGTCAGACAAGCAATGAAGCAAACAAATAATAAACAGCAAACTTTGCCTGCAATGGCGGCAGCGGTGACTTTCTATATACGGCCATCCCCATCCTTCATGCTTCACGCTTTCATGCTTGGTCGGGCCAAAAGGCAGCATTTCCCCAGTTCCCAACTGTCTGGGGTGTGGAGCGGCGCGCTTCGGTTGGCCATCCCCCGCACATTAGAGCTTTTGCCTGATGTTTTATTGACGCTTATCGAATTAGTAGCTTCCTATCCAGCCTGACCTTGGCGGTCCGAGGTTTCTTGTGGTTGGTTAGACAGGGAACAGTGGCTCTAACTTGTGATTTCTGCAGGTCGCAGCTCACCTAAACTTTCTCGATTCTCATGCATTCCATTTGCTAGGCCCTGCAGTATCATCCATGTACCATGTCGGGAGGATTCAACTCCCAATTTCAACTTGCATCTGAATCTGACAGCGCAAACATAGTCTCCCATGTTCACGTTTCAGTGAGTGTAAACGTACCAATGGCATGGGTTGCTCGCATGAATGATTGCCGAGTTAGCCATGGAGTCAAGCTTGCCATCTTCTCCCGTCCCGGTACGGTACGGATAGGTGGTTCAAGGTTCAAACGAGACATTTCTGTTACAAGAGCGCTACCCGAAGATGAATATTGTCCAACGGTCCTATTCTCGGCCGAATGGCATAACATTGGATGCTAATACCGGTTTGAGCTCAAGTGTTTGCCTCTTCGACCCAAGTCTTGGTAACATGATATAAGAGCCAGAATTTAGTTGGTTGATTTGAGCCCATGATTGATCCCTCTCCCGATGTTGGTGCATAAGAAAACTTAAGGGATTTTAGAGGAGGATGCCAAAATAAACACAGTAAAGAGTCCCCTAAGCTTAGGCTAAATTACCTAAACATTTTCGTCGCTTATTAGGGTCAAGGTCCAAATGGAAACTTTCTTGCCTCCCCTAGCTTCCTATCCATCCAGCCCATTCTTGACTCTCTCCGAGGCTGCATGCGGTCCGTGTTAGTGGACGGAACCATTGAATCCGTGGGACGCCAAATAACAGGGCTGTCGGAGCGATGGCGTTTTGCGAGATGAGACCTGATCAATGGCGTCACTTTACTTGCTGGCTGTGTCCTCTTGGCTACAGTTGCGTTTACTAGTGTCCGCAGCGAGTTGATGCTGTTCCTGGAACATACAGATAACACATGTTGTCTCATGTGGTTCGAGCACCAGCTGTCCATAAATGTACAGGTGCATATGTATCTTCTGGTCTCTTGAAAACATGCACTGCGGCACTTCGAGCCAATTGACAGCCCTACGTTGAGGCTCAAAAACACGCTAGTAATTGTATCGTGATCATAGAGGTTGAACTCAATCTGTGGTAGGTCTCATTCCCCTTGAACTCCATATGTGCACATGATGCTGCAAACATACGATTGTTCAGAGGGGATTCTGCCAAAAAGGATGCAAACTTGCGTTGGACATGAGCAACGCAAGCATATTTCGCGAACGTATCTTGTCTCACAATGGCACAGGAACATGCAACTATCGTCGACCTGATGCGGCGCGGACCTTGCAAGGCTGAATCGTCGTTCAAGGTGCGTCGCGCAATTATAGAGAGGCTGCACGTGATTATCGATTCTGACTCTCCTCGCACGAGCCATCAGAATGCGGAGCAGGTGCACGTGATTAAACGCCCGCTTCTGGGCTGCAATCCGTTCATCGCAGCATCACAGCCAGCATCACAGTCATATCCATGCGCTCCCTTTGCCATCGGCCACTTTTCTTCTGTTCAAGTATCAGTTGATTTTTTTCAGTGAATATCTAAATTGTTGCGATCGCTCTTTACAGGTGCGTTGGCCCCGCAGAAGCTAGCAATGACAGCGCAACGTGTCGCTAAAGCTTGGATCCCCCTCCCATGATGCCCTTCTTTCAAAGCTTTAACTAACCATTACCTTTGCAGTATTTCTTGACTCACATACACTCTGCACTTCTGCTTCTACAAGAAACACGTTGTCGCTTCGATAACATCGATTGTGACTCAAAAAATTTAACCTTTCATCACTATCAAGCCACAGATCTCCTGGGACTGTCGCAACGACACCTCTCGATGAACTATTGACCTGCCGACGAACCGACGTTCTCCATCCGAGCCAAAAAGCAACGACAATTGTTTCGGTGACAGCTGTAGGCTGATGCGTAAACGCGAGCTATCTTTGCTTTCTCTCTTTTGGAACCTTGGGTGAAGTTTCGAGCTCCGTCGCCAATCAACCATTCCCCGCTGTTACGCGAGCCCTATCAAAGTCAGAAGTCAACGCTATATACGACGGCCGATGAGCTTCTCCAGCGATTTGCTATATTCACTTCCTTTTATCAAGACTGCCGATCAGCGATATCTACCGCCGTGCTGCTCGCCGGCGCAACTTCCTAGACCTCCACCCCTGAGACTATAACCATCATAATCACATCACAAATACCTACCGGAATGTATCCTCAACACTCCGGGCAGGGTCAACATGCTCGGCTCAACGGCGCCGGGCGAGGCATCCCGAACTTGCTATACAACTATCAGCATACCCAACACCAACACCCTTCTCAAACACAACACCACCAAGGACTTCAACACGACCATGGAATGCCCAACGCCAATGGCTTAGGCCATCACTCAACCTTTACCCCAGGCGTACTCTCTAACTCGAGTCCCTTCAACCCGAATGCGCTTCAGAATGGCCATTCTGCAGGAAACCGAGGACAGCCACCCCCGAACGAGATGTGGCAGGAGCAATTGCGAATGCAAAAAGACGCTGAACGAGCGCATTCTGCCATGACCGATCAACAACAACCGCACTACTATGCTAGGCTCAGAGCGTCGGAAAATAGAGGAATTGGTCCCCCACCATCAGCTAGCCTACGTGCCCACCCGGACGACGAAGACGATGGCGTTGATAGGAGACGACCCTTGGCTATTGAGAAGGAGGCAACACGGCAGGACTGGCACAATCTGGATATGAGTGGGCAGGGGTTGCGAAACTTGGCTCCGGAGCTTTTCAAGTACAAGTTCTTGAACGAGCTCTTCATTGCCTCAAACAAACTGACACGACTACCGAACGCGATTGGAGAACTACGAGCATTGCGCCACCTTGACGCCTCCTTCAACCAGATAATCGAAATCCCCCCCGAGATCGGAATGTGCACTTATCTCAAGAACCTGTTACTTTTCAATAATAACATCCAAACATTACCGAACGAACTTGGATCACTGCACCTTCTGGAGATGCTCGGCATCGAAGGCAACCCATTGGACGCGGATGTGAAACATAAAATCATGGAGGAGGGTACAAAGAGTCTGATACATACGCTGAAGGAAAATACTCCTAGTAAGTCGATGGCGCACCTCACGACGATATGTGCTAACAGTTACAGTGCCCATTCCTCCCACACCCCGGAGGCCCATCGTTATACAGGAGGACGTGTCACCCAGTCTGGAGAGGATCAAGGTTTTCTCGTGGAACATTCTTTGCGACAAGTATGCGACACCCCAGACTTACGGTTATACGCCCACCCGTGCCCTCGACTGGGAGTATCGTAAAGGATGTATCCTGGAAGAACTCCGAATCAGGGATGCGGATTTCCTTGCTCTCCAGGAGGTATCAACAGATGCTTTCAAGGAGGATCTCAGCCCGGAACTTGCTCAGATGGATTACAAGGGTGTCCATTGGCCCAAATCACGAGCCAAGACCATGTCAGAGAAGGATGCACAGTCTGTTGACGGTTGTGCCGTCTTTTACAAGCAGAGCAAGTTCATTCTTCTTGATAAGCAGCTTATCGAATTCGCCACGATTGCCATCAACCGACCCGACATGAAGAACCAGCACGACGTTTTCAACCGTGTGATGCCCAAGGACAATATTGCTGTTATTTGCTTCTTTGAGTCTCGTCTCACTGGAGCTCGAGTTATCCTGGTCAACGCCCATCTCACGTGGGACTCTGCCTTGGCCGATGTCAAGGTCATCCAAACTGGTATTCTCATGGAACATGTTACGAAGCTTGCAGAGAAGTACGCGAGGTGGCCAGCTGTTAAGGACAAAAAGATGATTGTGCTACCGATGGGAGACGACGAGGTACCTGTGCCCCAAGCCGAGCCAGGTCCCAGCCAAGAGTATCGCACCAATACCGAAATTCCTCTGCTGGTCTGCGGTGATTTCAACTCCACAGAAGACTCTTCAGTATATGAGCTGATGTCTATGGGACGCGTACCACCTGACCACTTAGAATTGAGCAGCTTCCAGTATGGTAGCTTCACGCGAGATGGTATTGAACACCCCTTCAGCCTCCGAGACGCCTACGCCCACATCAAAAACACTGCCGACGAAATGCCATTCACCAACTATACGCCTGGATTTGCCGATGTCATTGATTACATCTGGTACTCCACGAATACACTGGAGGTAGTAGACCTTCTTGGACCCCCTGACCCCGAATACCTGAAGCGAATTCCCGCCTTCCCTTACTGGCACTTCCCCGCAGACCACATCCAGATTATGTCTGAGTTCGTGATCAAGGGCCGGAAGGAGAAGAAGCACCTCCCCGATCGTGAACCGGACTTCGGCCCTGGATCACGTGGCTAATATCCGCAACGGGAGGGCTAGAACCCGAACCCCAAATCCTCGTATGAGGAAAATACGTCGATACGTACATCTGGATGTAGTTATTTTGGTTTTGCGTCATGGAGTTTTGAGGATCTTGCAACGGCTCTTGGGGGCAGGGGGACAGGTCGGTGGGGGGATGTTAGCGGTATGTACACATGTAGCGGAGATAGGGGAAGCATATTAGGTGGAATTGTAGGAATTGATTCACAATGTTCTTGTCTTTGCTCTCCTCGTGATATGATCTGTTGAAGACGTGAAATTGAGGATGCTTCTTACTTTCACTTTTTGTACCACATGGGAATATCATGAAGCTATTGGTCACCCTTTTATTTGTCTGCCTACCTGCATCATTTGTTTGTCTTTGAACGGCATGGCTAAGTCATATGATGTAAGTCAGAACCAACGATTGAGCTTGTATCTTGTGTAACTTACAAGCTACCGTTGTTGATAGCGGATGGCCGTAGACCGTAGCACCATTGCGCCCCTTTAATGCAGCGCAGATAAGAGCATGTCACTTGAGTACGGAAGCTTTACATGGCGTTTGAACCTAAGGTCCACCCAACCTAGATGATTTAATATCTCATTCACGTGGTTCTCTGTTCTCAAGATCATATATCTCTTACGAAATCTTCCATAAACTTAAACCTGTTCACTTGTCCTCTCAGCCACTTCAATGTGTTCCAACGAACACAAATATACTAAGTACCTGCCAGTATTGGTCCGAAACTAAACCCAATTTTTCGTGTTCTCGTCAGTCGACGTGATGGACCTACCTCTCACGCCCAACGTGGGCCCTTACAGGGCTGATAGAGCTCACAGCTGGTGCCCTCAAAGTATTCGACGACTCGCAGCTATGCAGGCAAACTTCAGCTCTACTCTATATACGCATTCATCATGGACAACACGATGTTGGAGATTGACCCGATTCCAGGAAAACGAATATACATATATTAAACCGGCAACTCTGCTCAACAATCAAGTCGGAGCTGTCTCAAAAGAGCACACCTGAGCTTATCAACCAGTATGGCTTGTCCTTGGGCAAGAATACCCATGAAACTAAGGTCGAGGTCGTCAGAGGTTCATGAACCATGGGGACAGACAGACCCTTCAGTGTACAGGACATGCCTTCATGTTCACGAGACTGACAAGCTCGACGAAGTCTGTCTGCAGTTCGCCGCGTCGGGACTTGGACACTCGTACTTCCTTACGCCTACCATTAGTTATATCTCGTCCCAAACTTGCGGAACTCTTGAACACTGTCATCAAACTCTCAGACTACTGAGATATATATACCTGCACAGCATACAGTCGACCATCAGCCAGCATCCTCACCATCTTCAGTCCATCTGACGTTCCCACAAGTACTTACAAACTGATATCGCTGTTTTTGGTACTGGTGCTGATTATCTTGGTCTAATTCTCCAACCTTTTTATTGATTATATATACGGAATCAGCGAACACATTAGTGACCACCGCTTTCGAGTCATCTTCTCAGCATACAAGATGTCTCAGTTCGTTGGATTCTCCTGGACAACTCCCTTTAGCTTCATCAAGAGCTTTCGGGAGGAAAGTCCACGCTCTAAATACATCAATGACCTTATGGAGCGTATCGAGTCCGAGACAGGGAGCGGAGCAACAGTTCTTTTACAAGAAACTCTCATGAATTATATCCACCCTCTGACAACATGAACCTGGCCCCGACTACCGTCAGCCTCTTCCGTTTCCATTCAACACGACATCGACACCTGGGAACGACTATAACAACCTACGATATAGACGCACCCTCACTGTGACCAACTCGTGGAACATCATGGGGTGCCTCACTGAAGTCCTGAGCAACTGGAAGAGACTCCACGAGTTTCTTGAGTTGGCGGACCATGTCAACCAACTTGCCTTTGTATTCAATTCAGTAAATCAAGCAGAACTCTACTTGGACAGAATGTTTCGCCTTTAAAACGCGGACAGCTCAGAAGATGTGGTTCCCTTTCTTGCTAACATGCTCCGCCGTCGAATGCTACAAGCGGTCATTCAGAACCCACCTGGTAAGAAACCTACAAACCTTGATGGCAATCCAGAATTCTTTGCTAAGTCCAGCGAGCATTCTGGCTCCACGAGTTTACATTGCGAAGGCGAATTCACGAAGTTGGATGGAGTACCGACCAGATTCAGATCCCAGGAGATGAGAATCCAGCGCATATTCTTCAAGGCTTCTTACAACGCCCAGGTGATGTCGACATTGGGCGATTCTTAGGCTTGGTTCAGCCGCAGCGGTTCGTGGGAACAATGCTTGACCACGGAATTGAGGATCGTAAGCGTTTGGGCTTTATGTACAACCGCTTACTTAGATGGGCAACGCTCGTTCATCTTGGGATTTGGGGAACAACTTTCTGTCTTCCTAGTAGTGACGAGAGGTACTCCCTGTAGCTGCTTTTCTAGATTGCCGCGGTCAACCACCAATCGAGGCTTTTCTGGAGAAGATACGACTTTGAATCCCCATTTCGGCATGATGGCTGGTTCAAGAAGTATCCTGTCTCTGGGTCGATTGAGCACTTCTCACTCGGCATCGACTATTCCCGCCTTGAGAAGGAGCAAGATCGTCAACGGGACTAAGGAGCTCTAAGTTCTGTGTGGTGATATAAGCTCTCAGCCACAGGTCTCAACTAAGAAGCTCAGGTTGCCGCACTGAGATCTTTTTCCTGGACTGAGTCTTGCCGTCGAGAGGCGGAGGAAGAAGAAGAAGAAGAAGGATACAGACAGCAACAAGAAGAATCACGATAGGACATTGAAGATTGTTAGTAGGAGGAAGAAGAAGAAGAAGAAGAAGAAGAAGAAGAAGAAGAAGAAGAAGAAGAAGAAGAAGAAGAAGAAGAAGAAGAAGAAGTTGAAAAGGGTATCCATAGATGTGTCAATAACTACTAATGTGTTATGTTTTGTTGAGGGTTAGATTTGGTTGGGATATGTTCACCTTGCCGTAGACTAAATAGAGCGTCTTACAGATGAACTAGATGTTGAACGATTATGACCCAAATAAGAAACTGGTGACATTATGAACAACGTAGAGAGGTATCTTTCATTTCTATACACTTCCTAATCTTTCTATACAGGCCCAAAACAATGAGGAGAATAGTCTATACACCAACGCCATCACACCAACCCACCCTCTAGTGAAGCAGAATGTCATACCCATCCTTTGTAATTCTCACTTCTTCTTGCCCAAGTCCATACTTGCGCCGTATCAACTCAAAGATGATCAATCCCGCACTCGTGCTGGGAACCTGCCGTATCGCGTTCCACCAGAATCCTCGATATAGCCATTTCGTTAAAGTCAGTCCTTCGGCTGCTGCCTCCCCTCGACATACGGCAAGTGATTCTTGGTATGCGTGGTAGTAGGCTCGTAGCATCCTCCATCGTCGACGCGGCTTTTCGGGGTTTGCAACTCGGGAAGCACGAAGCCTGGCGGCTTTTTCGTCGAGGTCCTCAAGGTGATCCCAATGCTTGACTTGGAAGTGCGTCAAAGGGTGTAGTAAGACCTGCTGAGTAAATGAAGCGCTGATACCACCGAGAAGAAGAAACATGGGCTCAAGGGCATAATGAGGTCGAATAAGCCTCATTCCTTCTTCTTGTCGATGCTCGTGTGTAGGACGCTTCATGGCGAGTACGTCGACGATATCCTCAGCCAAGCCTCCATAGTACCACGTAACGAAGCGATAGTAGCCTTGAGCCTTGACGTACTCGAATGTACTAAAGAATATAGCGCTTCCAAGACTATCCTTCGCGAGTGATAGGCCCCATCCTGCAAAAATACCCCTGAGTCCAATCTCGCGAAGCTTCTCTGCGCTAAAAGCCCACATACTCCGAGGTTTCCCGCTGCCATCGTTTGGCATTAAATCTCGGTGGTCGTACCGTGCTTGGATGGCATCTAGGGGCGCAGCCACAACACTCTGAAGTCCGCCTGCAAGCAATCCAGCTGTGAAGGTATGCATTGGATGAGGTGGTGGATACACTCTCTTCCGCGCTTGTCCGCTCTCTTCATGAAGTCGTCCTAGAATTTGGAGATAACTTGTGTACAGCACGGCTCCGACCCCAACATTCGCAATAAGAGGCGGTAAAATCTGATTCGGTATAATTCCCCATCCTTGGTGTCTAATAGCCGACGTCAAAACTCCAGGTGTCGTACTTCTCAGCAACAACCAACTCTGTCGCATAAACACATTGAGTCGAGAAGCAGAGGGATCATTCGCAGCAGCTTTCATCATAAGCTCCGTCTGCGCCTGATGAATAGTCCTCGCATAAGCCAGATAATCCACACGCGTTCTAAAGAAAGCCTTGGCAGGAGCACGAAAGTAGAAAGCGATGAGTTGAGTGCTCAAGGCACGAACACCAGCTGCTGAAGCGGCAGTTGCGGCATTGCTTCTAGGGTCACGGTCTGGAAGCACAACGTCGGGGGGTAACGCCGGGAGAATTCCGGTTCCATAGTCCGGGACGTCATTTCGACGATTGTTCATGGCGTTGAGGGAGTCATGTTGTGAGAAAGATGAGACGGAGGAGGGAGCCTGTGAGGGAAGCAGGTTGACGTCGGCTTTGGGAGTTGATGAGTTGGTGACTAAGCGACGTGGACCAATCGGGTGCTGCAGGTGACGATGATCTTGGGCCAACAGGTCCCGAGATCTGAGGCATCCTCATGGACAGCGCAGGTGACCTGAGATTGCAGGGCTTGTTACAGGCTGACTACAACTGGATGGAAGATATGAGAGAGGAGCTGTGAGGGGATATATATTTCACGTGGGAATAGAATACGCTGAATCTAAGTTTGATTGAGAACAGAAACATTTCATGAACAGGTCTACTTCACTTCACTCATTTTGTAGTGCAATCAAGAGGCAAGAAAAACACAATATGATAAAAAATGTCGTAACTTTTCATTCCCCACCCAAAGACGCCGTCTATAAATGCAATATCCCCTGCCGTGAGGTATTTCCAGTCTCATCCTTCATGCTATTCATTACCCTAGATCTCGTCTTTACTCAGGCTGCTCGCGACCATCCAGCCACTTGCTCATGTAAGGACCATCCAACCAGAACCCAAGCTTCTTGTAGTAGCTCCTCACTCCAACACCAGAGATAACACTGATCTTGTCGCTGCCGTGTTCCTCGATCGCAATCCTCTCTGCCTCCTCCATCAGTAGTGTACCGAAACCCTGATGCTGGAACTTGCGGGGATCGCGAGCGTGAACTGGCACAGCTGTGCCGTAAACGTGAAGCTCTCGTACCATACTGGTAGGCTGACCGGTAAGCTCCTCTCGGTAGGTGTACTTCTCTGTACACTTTCGCAATCGAAGCAGAGCAACGAGGATGTCCTGCTTGGGGTCCTCGTAGGCCAGGAAAGTCTCCCAACCGCCATTGGCGACATAATCTCGTCGGACCAGCTCAATCTGGTTAGGTCGGATCTTGTTCTTGATCTCGTTCACTCCAACCTCTCGTGTCCGCACATCTCGGCAGGTCGTTCCAAAGTCCTTCATTCGAGCCAATGCCAGTTCACGCAGGTTACCATTCTCAACTCCAGATGTGACCAAAGGCATGGGAATATCGCGCTGAACACGGTAGATACGGGTCCAAGGAGGAATAAGAGCCATAATTCTCGCGATAAGGTCGATCAAGCCGTTGGGAGTGTAGTTCTGGTATCGCCCTGTCCTCCACAGTTCATACAGACCTGTGCCTCGAATGACCAGGGTAGGATAAATCTTGAGACCGTCGGTTCGGAAAGCAGGATTCTCAAAATACTCCCTGAACTGGTCGATGTCGCGCTCCATGCCTACGTTTGGCAAATCAGGCATCATGTGGCTGACCACCTTGTAACCAGCGTCCTTTGCAAGGCAGAAAGTCTCGGCGACTGCGGCAACTGTGTGTCCTCGGTTGGAGTCTCGCGCAACGTCCTCGTATAGTGACTGCACTCCAACCTCAAGTCGTGTGCAGCCGTATCGCAACATGTCAGAAAGATGAGGCTGTAGACAATAATCGGGTCGTGTCTCAATTGTGATTCCGACGCATTTGATGTTGCTCATCTCACCAGCCTCCACGGCCTCATCAACATTGGTCGTTTGGTATCCACTGAGGGCGTTGTGAAGCTGTGCGATAAATTCTTCACGGTATGACTCAGAAAGAGACATGAAGGTTCCTCCCATAATGATGTACTCAACCTTGTCAACAGAGTGACCAAGAGACTTGAGCTGGTCGACACGTCCTCGGGCCTGCTCGAAAGGGTCGTATCGCGCACGAATGGCTCGCATAGATGTAGGTTCGTAGCCAGTATAAGACTGTGTGCTGTACTCGAAGTCGGAATCAGGACCTCCAGGGCAATAAACGCAGATATTGCCCGTATAAGCGATATGAGGGCATCGATGGGGCTTGCACATGACAGCAACAACAGCAATACCAGAGGATGTTCGAATGGGCTTCGCGATGAGCTTCGGTAGGATATATTTCTTGTAGTGTTCGGGAATGGAGGCGATGATAGCGGTCAGAGGCGGGATGTTCTGAAGCTTGTGCTTCTTGGCGAGCTTATTTCGCAGGGAGTTGAGGTTGATATCGCGTGTAGCTCGGCCGGCCTTGCTGGCTTCGTGGTCTTCGATGAGGGCATTCGCGACGTCGGCACAGCATCGTAGGAAGCGCTCGCTCTCGGGAGCCATATCGGGCTTCTTCTTGATCGGCGCGGCCGTCACGGTCATGGTGGCGGTGGCCATAATGATGATTATGGTCTTTCGAGAAGACTAGAATTTATTGACGATATCGGTTTGTGTGACGAGGGATTGTTGAAGTGGTTGTTGAAGGCTGAATTTGTGTGCCAGTCAAAATGACATGGATGGGAATGAGTTATCAATCTTTGCCCCTCCAAAAGAAGCTTCAGATGGAAAAATCGTGGTGGGGCTGAGAGTTTTCCCCACCCAATATGGAGATGGGCAATTGTCAATAACAAGGTCACGTGGACCCTTCATCTTCAACATCAAAGCATTTTGACTCTTGGAATTGGACGGTTCAGAAAGGTTGATTATTGTCGGACTTCGGGGTCTACAACGGGTCTTAATTGATTGATAGTTGAAGCCCGTGATATTTCCTGAAATATATAAAGTTAACACGTTAAAAGATTTCAATTAACCCAAGCTTTAGGCAGGCCATATACAAAGACTCAATATTAATAAACATGCTGATTTCCCATTCGATAAGCCCTTGAAACAATCGTACGGAAGTTCCATAAACACAGTATACTTAACCGTCAGCGAAACTTCTCACACTGGTGCAGCTCCTATGAAGTACCTGCGTATATAAAAGAGCTTCGTCTCCTCCCTTCAGCTCCTTCTACGCCAGCAGTCCGCTTTATTCAACAACTTCATATCTGATTTCTTCGGTACCACTCAGCATGGAAATGAGTTCCTTGTCGAATCCTGATCTCGATCTCGAGACAGCTTCGGTTTTCTTTGATGATTCCCAATCGCCACAAATCGAGTCTGAGTATCCCATGTAGGGAATGGGGGGTACCATCCTGTTCATCTCGACGATCTCTACGATGATGGTCGTTATCGAATAGTCCGCAAGATTGGTGCTGGAGATACTTCTACGATATGAATGGCGCGCGAATCTTCGAGTTAGAGTTGGGTGGCTCTCAGGATCCTGATGGCCGAACAACCGTCGAGTATTGAGGAGAACATAACCTGTTGCCACGACATTCTGGCCCATCACGATCAAGATGAAGGCGATCCCCGGTTCATTACATACAAACGCCACTTCCACATTGATGGTCCTAACGGCCGTCATCTCTGCTTGGTTCTTCCCTTCTGTGGTCCAAATCTGCACTCCTTGTCGAATTATATGAACAGCAGGATGAAGCCGCAATTTGTTCAAGCACTCGCCTATCAAGCAACAGAGATTATTAGGGACTTGCATGCCCGCGGCATCTGCCATGGAAATATCAGACCAGGAAACCTGCTTCTGCGAATTCGCAATCTGGACCATCTCGGCGACCAAGGAATTTATCGCCTGTTTGGGCAACCCAAAATCGAAGAATATAAGACTGAGTCTGGTAAGATCCTAGGACCGGAAGCTCCTCGTTACAATGTCGGCTTTCTCGATTTTATGTCAAGTGGCGAGGATAATCTTCTGAACGAATTAAGCCTTATTGGGTTTGATCACGCATTCCAAATCTCGTCATCGAAGACAATAGAACCCCTGACTGAATTCCTGGTGCCTGAGGTAGCTGTAAGGAAGCCAGCTAGTCCAGCAAGCGACGTTTGGGCATTGGGTGTCACGATTCTGAACATGCGTTCAGGCATTTCACTGTTCCCTTGGCATGTCGATTGCCCAGAATACTTTATTACAGAGTGTGTGAAGTACTTCGGAGAAATACCAACATCTTGGGAAGAGCCCTTTTATGATGAACAGGGGCGGCCGACTTCAGATAAAACTGCAGGCCGTACAAGGGACGTATGTGACAAGACTCACTCGCTGAAGCAATGGATCAGAGACATTTGGGACGAGCCAACCCGATCGAATGAGAATGAGTCAACGCCAGCAAAGCCCTTTTTTGTCCGAGATGAAGATAGATCGCATCCCAGAAGCCACGACTGGCTGAGCGACGATATTTCCTCCATCATCAATTATGATCCTAAGACATAGATCATCTAGCCGCGATACATGAAAATACCAAAAGGCCATACCCGAAACACTACGCCAATCGGGGTTGGAAACCATCTGCAGCCAAGATTATCGGCACCTACCTCTCAGAAGGTGGGGGAGTGGGATGGTTGGCCTACCTGCCAGGAAATAGTGATGTAGAGATAACCCTAAATCATTGCCGAGAATATCAACACAGGAAGCCGAGATGCTTTACAACCTTTTGAGAGAGATATTCGTGTATGAAGAACGAATAAATGCGGAGGATATTTTGGGTCACACCTGGTTCGGGATAGTTTAGTGGAAAACATAATACTGATAGATATTTGTTATCTCAAGCTTATACTTATGCAGCAAAACTATTTTGGTTATTTGAACAGATGACTAGTGCTTGATATGACTCTGGAGAGCAAGTAAGCTTCTGACCCTAAATTGGAGTACTAGAAATAACTGCCTAGTCTAACGTGCCTCTAAGTTTATACTGAACTTACCTTAGTCTTTTCATCGTTTAGGATGGGCGTCTTGCCTTTAGGGTGAGAACTCTCCTGAACTACAACAAAGGTAAGCCGCCATCCAGAGAAGGGCAATGTATTTTCGATCATATTCCTCTTCAAAATCATATCCCTACAAGAGCAGTGGGGTCCATCGAGTCAAGGCCACTCGATAAAAGCACGTGGGTCACGTTTATATCAGCCTTAGATCCTTCCAAGAATCTGAAACAAACCATCCGAGATTAATTCCATTAAAGACCTTTTTAGGAATTTATGATCAGTTAATCATGCTTTAGAGGATTGGGATCCTTCACAAACGAGTCTGTGATTCTTGAATAAATTGAGGTTCAAACCTTGAAAGAGGGATTAGGCTTGCTCTATTCGGTCACTGAAACAGGAGATAGTGATTACTTATCTTCTCATATGGGATAACTCTCCAGAAGGATCCGCATGTAAGCTGCTTGTTCTAATCTCGGGGCTGAGAAGAGCTACGCCAGGGAACCTGTGATATAAGGTTGCAACTAATCCTGATTCTTGTTATGCATAAACACTAAATATGCCAGAAGCTCAAGCTAAAAGTGATCTTAATTTAGCCATGTGGCCATCCAGTTTTCAAACATTGGACGGCGAAACCACCCACGGTTGATATTGAGCTGATTTGGAGCGTAGGCTTCCTGAGCTACTAGTGTTATGGGCCACAGCACAAAACCAAGAGATATTGCGCTTTTCTTCCCAAAGGGTTCAAACAAGATCACACTATCCATATTGAAGGATGCGCATGATGCCGTCGAAAGTGTAGTGTACGACTCAGGCCAGCACACAAGTACTTGAAAGTAGGATCTTCAAGACTGCCCTGCCCTCATTGCTCGGGCAGGGATTCCCATGCAAATGATCTCCCAAGTTCTATCTCAAATTCAAACGGAATTCCTTTTAAAGTAGGGACTAATAAACAAAGTCTGAACCCCTGCGCCAAGTCAAAACATACCCCTACCACTACGTGCCTCCATCCGCGCGTCTAACTGGTGAACTCGCCAAGAGACGGGCACTAGATTAGCGAGAAGGATTATTCAGGACCAAGATATTCTGAATGTCAACACCGAGTGAGACTGAAGAAGCTCAGAAGGATTCAACAGTAAATTCAACAGTTGTATGAAACTGATTTAGGGCTTACTTTTGAATTTGATATGCTGATCCTTTGACATTATGGGTTGAGAAACTGGTGATTTAAAGAGTATATAATACTTCAAGAATCTAACGATGAAGAAGATATTGAATAAAGATAAACAGCAAGCTACGAAAAGGCCAACTCCAAGATGGCACGCTGGACGCAACCTCTTCTTTTGACCGCTTCGGTACTTCTTTCTCTCTCTTCCACTGGCACAGCCCATCCCGCAAACAATCATGCATTTCACCCTAAGCACGCTGTGATCCCCCCAGTTCTTCCTCCCAATGCCTATAAGCGTCAAGATGCACCAGCTACTGAAATTACTCCTGTTCCAGAGGTGAAGCAAGCTGAGGATGTCTCACAGCCCACCGCTACAGTTCCCTTCGAGGCTCCCATCCCTGCTGAGGATACGAATGACTGGCGCTCCGTGAACTGTGAGGCTGATGGTGTTAAGGATCATACTCTGTATGGACCTGATCGCTGGAAGAATGTTGATGCTGGTGATGCCTGGAATGCTGTTATTGAGGGTTGGAAGATGAATATTACCGGTGGACGCGAAGAGAAGCACTTTTCCAACAATGTGAGTTTACATTGAAGTGGGAAGAAATATATGACTAAGATGTGCAGGTTTCAAATTTCTTCCACGGCCCTCAAGACATGTTCTGCGAGACTTTCAGTGACGAAGGCAGCGGATGTGAGGATCTTAACCTCCAGTGTCACTCTACCAGTGTTCCTGCTGGCTACTTCATTCTTCACTCGTTCGAAAACATCTTTGCTGTGAGTCCCTTTCAAGATCTTGGTAACTCAATTTGGCTAACAATGGCAAGATGCACTCCAACATTTGGAACGCTGTTGGTGATGCCGTTCGTGATAACGACATTGGCACCATTGCTTCAGAGTTTGGCAAGGTTCCTCCAAAGGAGGGAGGGCTTGCTACGTCCATCCTCATTGATATCGCTTTGATGGCTTGGGGCATGGTCATGGGTCCTGCTTGGAACAAGCGTAGGTTGATGTATTCCTTGGATATGATCAGATAGCATACTGATGTTTAACAGTGATCGGTCCCAAGTTCAGCGATAGCACTAATGCTGGTACGCTCAAGGATACTACCAATGATCTTGTCAAAAATTCTTTGACTCTCACTAAGGATATTCTCAACGGCAGAGCGTGTGTCTCACTACCCTGTTTCAATACTCAACTGACACATCATTGTAGTCAAGACCAACTCGGTGTCCAGAACGGCTTAACAGCCCAGATGCAAGGCCTCACCGAAGGCTGGAAGGACGGCGTCCTCGCAACCCAAAAGTGGCTCTTCGGCGGTTCCGAAGACGGCTACAATCAACTCGGCGCCATGATCTCCGACGCCTCCATGTTCGGTGATAACTGGCTCCTCGACCGTGGCGATCACGCTAAGCAAGTCAAACGCGCTATCAACGCATTCCTCATCCCCATGGCATGGCAGTACTCTCCCGATGTCATCATTCCTTTCATCGCAGAGTCTGATGTTGCTTGTGATCAAGACCCTGGTTGGAATAAGGAAGCTACTTTCACGACCATGTACCAGCACTGGATTGATGATGGTGCTCTGAAGGATGGTCGTTTCTGCTTCAATGGGAAGTCCTATTGGCTTCTTGGTGGCCGTGATCGTAACACCAACTGTGATAGCAAGTCTGGTGATTCTGATTGTGGTGGTTTTGCTCTTCCTCCTGGATGGCAGTCTCTGAAGGACAAGAAATTCACTGACATCTCGCTCGATAACTTCATTATTGGGTAAGCTTCCTTCATATACTCCTGAAAAAACTATTTCTTACTGATTTTATAGATCTCTCAACTCAAAGGCTGCTAATGGTGGAAAGAACGGCTTCAAGCTTGATCTTGGAGATGAGCCCAGCCGAGAGGTTCTCGATAGTCTTGCCGGCAGTGGTATCGAGGCTCCTGGTGTCTTCAACATCCCAATTTGCTCTATGGATGAAATCATTGAGAACTATTACCTATGGTATGGTAATAGTCGGGATGATATGACCAACTTTCCTTGCAACGTTTGATTTGGGTTATTGATATTGGCTTTCTTCTCCTTGTTCTGTATTCTCTTCTACACTACCCTCTTTGGATTTGTCTCTTACAAGACTTTCTGTGTCTCAGTTGCTCAGTTCGAATTTCTTGCCTTGTTCTATAGACTGTTTTATAAATTTAAACAAAGATCCCTGACAGCCAGAGCTTTACTCTCTTCGATTTGATAAGACGTAATGTGTACTACTCACTCTGAGATGAATCTGGGAACCGAAACTTGAACTGAACAGTGTATATAGGGCTACTTCTGTTAATTTAGGGCGATTTTGCGATGTATAAAAGTGCTGTATGCATTCATATTGCTGACCCTCCTCCATCGGTCAGATTGGCTATCTGGTGCATCACATGACCTTGGGACCCAGGCCAGTCAGACAACAAATAACTCTCAAACTCGTTTCAGGTCCAGTCTCTTCGTAGTCGGATCATATCACCAAAGCATTTGAAAATTGTCATTGTGACCAAATCTTGCTCTTCAATTATACGCGATTTACTGTACGAGGATCCTCACTGCGGGGTTAGCTTACTATGGCCTCACTCAACCTTAAGCGAACACCATACCCAACTGCGGACACTGAAGATGATATCCGAAAAGACCCGATACTATGCCGAACGTGCTGGAATCTCTACGGAGGTTCAACTGTCACTGCTGTTCCTCTGGCTGGTATAGCTATGCACGAAAATTCTGGTTCCATCAACGCAAACAGAGCGGCTACGGCTGGTAACCTAGATGAAGCTCCTGCTTGGGCAGGACGAGGTCGTATCGATTATGCTTCGTGGCAAATCAGTGTCTATCTCCCTGATGTTCCTGGGACAGTAGCTAGAGGCTGCCAGTCTTGTTTCCTTCTTCAAGAGATCTTGACGAAGTTGACGAAAGGAGCCCTGGACTGCAATGACCCTGAGCTATGGTTGGACATTGTCTTCTGTAAGGGAAATGTCCTAAGGATGAAGCTTATCCGTGGGAGTCCCCCCGATGACTTTGATATGTTCTCTTCTGGCGGCGGAAGCACTGATGGAGACCTTCTCGAGAGCTTCGAGATATACACCATGCCAGGTAAGACACGCAGTGCAACTTCCGAAACGACAGCTCATAGATATAGGTTCGCCCTGCCCATGGCCGACTATTGGCTCATCAATGAACGTTGAACGTCCTGACTGGAGTCTTCCCGCTGAGATTGGTGGACTTGCGAGCCATATTGAGCCAGATCCAACTTCCAAGTCTTCTTTCGACAGGGTCAAAAGTTGGATCAAAACCTGCAAAGATACCCACACAATTTGCACAGAAGGGGAGGCCTCATCAAACCCGCAGCTCCCAAAGCGAGTCATCGATATTGGACCTGATACCAACGATGGAATCCATATCTTTGTTCACGATGACGCCACACAGCAGATTACAGAACCATATATTGCGTTATCTCATTGTTGGGGTAAGACTCAGCACTTGATCTCGACGCGGGCAACCCTTGACCAGTGGAAGCAAAACATTCCGTTCAATAGATTTGCCAAAACATTTCAGGATGCTGTGGTTATTTCAAGAGAGTTGGGCATTCGATATGTTTGGATAGATTCACTCTGTATCGTTCAAGATGATAAGCAAGATTGGGAAATTGAAGCAGCCAAAATGGCGTCGATTTACAACGGCGCAGAACTGGTTTTAGCTGCCACTGGATCCGCTGATGGGTCTGGTGGCTGTCTATTTCAAAGAGAGCCTTTCGTCACAGTTTCTGGAACATTTCCAGAAGGAAAGCCATTTGAGATCTACGGACGAAAGGTGGCAAAACATGCAGTTTTTGGTTGGAACACAGATCCCAATGGGTCCAAAGGATCCTCGAACCCTATCGTTGGAACCACAGTATCTGAGGTGTATGATTACCCTCTGATGACAAGAGCTTGGTGTTTCCAGGAGAGGCTCTTGGCAACTCGGATTCTCCATTATACCAAGAGTGAGATGATCTTCGACTGTTTATCTTCAATGGAGTGCGAATGCGGTGCTCTGGAGAAACATGAAGATGACCCACTGGTACCTGCTCGTCGAATCATCAAGACAGGACACAAGTTCATCACTGGAACGAAGAGCTACCGAGGCTTATCTACGAATCCCGCAGCCCCTCTCAAGGGAGAAACCAAAGAGTTCATAGAGCATCATGAACTCTGGCGAGATTTGATTGTTCAGTATTCCCAAAAGAATATCACCAAACGAACCGACGGCCTCCCAGCTGTTGCAGGATTGGCTACAGAGTGGTTCAATAAACTTACAGGAAGATACCTCGCAGGTCTTTGGGAGAAGGATATTCTCAACGATTTACGCTGGATGCCAGATGAAAAAGACTCTGGTTCATCACCAGAGTACATCTCACCAAGCTGGAGCTGGCTCAGTGTTCACCGTGGTGTAACGTGGGGAGTGGAGAGCTTTGAATTTGACAAGTTCTTCGTGACCGTGGACTTTGATCGTACAGCATGCCCTCTTAGCGGGCATAACCAGTTTGGAGCCGTCGACTCTGGGTACATTTTTCTCACCGGCCGCATCATGCGCATGACCTTTTCCATCGATGGAAACATGGTTTGGCTGGAAAAGCCAGGGAACGATACGAGAAAGCCATTTGACAGGCCGGATAGTCTTTGGAGGTTGCGAAACTTGAAGAATAATGAGCTATTCTGCCTCCGACTTTCAACAAGAATGAGTACCAGGAATGCATGGGATGATGATGCGGCGTTGGTGTTGGTCAAGGCAGATGAGGAGATTTTAAAGAAGCAGCCCGAGGAAGTCCAGAAGTTTGAAAATGTTTATCAGAGGGTTGGATTTATCACGAATTATATGACGCAGGGTTGGAACCATGAAAGGGACTCGAAGGAGATGGGACTTTATATCATTTAGCTACTCAAGGTTTCGTTACGATGGGCAGAATCGAATAGATTTGGATAGTCTGAAAAGTTGGGTGGACAGGAAAGTGGAGGGGGGTTGATGCAGAGAGCAATGGAATGAGAGAATCGTGCCCTTCATGATCTGATCTGTTACGGTGCTAGTAAAATCAGAGCATCCACCTCTTGCTTTGCAGTCGCCGCGGCGGTGAAGATGAAGGGTTATCAACCGGCGGACCTACTTAGGATATATTACCTCGAATAATCCCATCAAGCTCAACAACGTGACAAATTCCATGGTCAAGGAATGAGTAATAATAGATAGATCAAGTTCACCGACACTCTAAGCGACACATTCCACCCTGAGCGGAATCTATCCCGCGAGGAGCTTTGATGTTCAATGCCCCGCTAGGTCCATTCGACATGATATTTACGGAACATCAAACATCACTTAAGCGTGGGATAACCGAGGGTTTGTGTTACAATTCCAGAGATAGCACGAGTTAAGGAGATCGGAGACGTGCGCCAATTGCATGTTTTATCTGGTGATAGAACAGTAACACGGTAAAAATCCTTTAGTCTACAGAAACACGAGATATCGCTTCTAGACATGAACTGATGTCATTGACTAGCGGCGGAGCCCTACCGCCGCGCTGGGTCCGGATCTGATATGATCGACCAAGTTTGGAATTACAGGACTTCTTTTGGAATTCGATCGCCCGGTGTAACAAGAAATCTCATGTTGCAGATGGTGTGACCGAAGAATATCTGGAGGTACCGATTACGTATAAAGCAAAGACCTCCAGCTCCAGGACCGAGGGCTACATGTTCTGTCAACATCTTATTATAATCTATTCAATCTATCACAATGCCAAAGTACGTTCTCACAGGCGCAGACGGTAATCTCGGCCGCATCGCAGCAAGCTTCGCCACAGAAATCGCCAAACCTGACGATGAACTCATCTTCACCACATACAAAGACGAAGCAATCCCCGCTGACCTCCGCAAATCATGGACCGACAAAGGCGCAAAAGTCGTAACAGCCACTTACGACGATATTGAAAGTCTCAAAGCGGCTTTTCAGGGGGCTGAAGCCGTGTCTCTCATCTCAACTTGGCTCTTCGGTGACGGTCGACGTCGTCAGGCCCTAACTGTCGTTGACGCTGCCAAGGCATGTGGTGTCAAGAGAGTCTGCTATACTTCGTTCTGTGGAGCTGGTATAGAGGCTGAGAATGAGGAGGATATTCCTTTCCTCCCCCGAGATCATCACTTCATTGAGAAGATTATCTACGCTTCTGGCTTAGAGTACAATATCCAGCGTAATTATCTTTACACTGATAATATTCCAACTCTCTTTGCACCGTCGTGGAAATTCTGCGGTGATCGCTGGCTCGTCAATACGCACGGCAAAGCAGGCGCATACGTTGCCCGCGAAGACTGCGGCAACGTCCTAGCCGCCCTGCTCCTAGGCCGCGGCGAACCTAACAAAGTGTACGAGATCACTGGCCCTAAAGCCGTCACCAACGAGGAGGTTTTCAAGTGGATGTGCGAGCAAACAGGGTACAGTGGAGAAATTGTCGACCTTCCTGATGAAGAGTTGAAGAGATGGTGGTTAGAACATGGATTGCCTACCGACTTCTTTGGTGACTTTTCAAAGTTGCCGATGAAGTTGTGTATTGGCGATCTTTTGTGCTGTGGAGAGATGGTTGCGAGGGAGTTCATGGCTGAGACGAATGATAATGTTGAGAAGTTGACGGGAAGGAAGCCAATTCCGTATCAGGAGGCTTTGTTGCAGTATAAGGACTTCTTCCCGAAGCCATAGATAGTCATTTAAAATGCTTTTTATTAGATGTAGAGTAATGTAATTTGTCAATTTATCTGGTCTTTTGCTCAGAGTGAATGGGCTGAATCCTATCTGACCAAAGCGCAACTTGGACATAAAAGTGCATCGCCTTGGTCTATCTCGTCGGGATATGATATTGAGGTTAGCATAAACTTGAACCTTAATTTGCATTGAATTTGGACTAACTTTCAATAAAAAAAATTGAGACTGGGCCTTGAAACATGTAGTTGAGAGCTGACCGTCGTTGGATGTCATCCAAACTTCAGAAATGAACTCCTGGTATCGCGCTAAAGCGAGTTCTGCTTGGCAATGTTCAGCAGCATTACCAATGCTCACATCAACAATCACACCATCCGGTATGGTGTAGTGGCTAACATTTCGCGCTCTCATAACCTGAGGGATCAGTACCGCGGAGCCCAGGGTTCGATTCCCTGTACCGGAGTCTATGTTTTCTTTTTGGGTTTTTGCTGAGTTTCTTGACATTCAGCTGAACTGTTTAGTTCTTGGCGTTGGTGAACAGCCCCGTCAGCGTAACAGCAAAATAGTACATCACTAGGTACCTTAGTTACATGCACAATTTGATTAGATCTAGAGCCAACACACAGTCAGGGGAAAGAGGTCAATAGATCGATGGGTAAATAACCCGACTTTCCCACCGACTGTTCTTAGTTGGCTCTTCGTTATTCCCATTCGTTCTTTTTCGTCGTCTTGACTGTCACTCGTTTATACTAGTCGTTATGCTGTCTTCCAACGTTCTACGTGCTCTGGCACTCCTTGTTGCTACTGTAAATGCAGGCCCCTGCCGCCCAACAACAACTTTAGCTGGAAACACCATCGAGGCCACTTCAACCGCGACTGTCATCGAAAGCACCGCCGACCTGACATCCACTATCGTCGAGAGTGCCACAGAGGCTGAGACAACCGATATTCCCACCACTACCACGGCGATCGTTGAAGAGTCTACCACTACCGACGCCGCAAGCACCACGACCAGCGCTGCAGTCGACAATACTTCATGCTCTACTAGTGACGACTGTGTTGCAAACACAGAATTGTGTCTGGTTAATGGGCTGAACTTGTGCGTTTGCCTGGACGCCGTGTGCGTAACCGTCGACTAAATTCTGAGCCGCCACCATGCCAATTCTATCAGCACATCAAAGAGCCCAGATAAACGCTTACTCAAGCTGATGAAAACTTGAAATACGGCCATCGACTTGGGTTGCATAAGTCATTGGGTATCGTGTACCGCACCGCAGAATTGGAAGGCTTGGTGTATCCTATGTTTAATTCTATCTGAGCGAGGTTGGACCAAGGAAAATGTTTTTGTCATTATTCCTTGAAATTGATACTTTAAACTGTAATTTTTCCTCTGGCTTATTATTGAGATAGGGATATCGAATAAAAAAGATAATCCGTGCTTCATTCAAGTTGTTAGCTGTCCCTGGGTAGGTGGATGTTACGGCATCAGCGCTAGAGAGAACTATCGATCCTTTATTTGACGTCGTTCCTAATCTAATTGTTTCTCTTTATCATTTTTAGAAATTTTGATACCCTCCCCTTTCTCCGATCACAGTCGTCAAGAACGCCACTAGCAAACCCCTCGATTCCTCATGAAGTGGGTGAAGAGAACACCAATAAGAAGTCAGTTCTACCACAAGTCTATGTCTCCTGGAAGTTTCCTGTCAGGCTTGTACAAAGTATCAACTGATAGAATCGCTCTTGAAACATAAAGTAGCAGTTTGTAGCGAAGATCACTTCCACTACTTATGGTCTCGGTCAAAACAAATAAGGCCTGTTCTACATTAAGACTATTTCAAGCATTAGATGTTAGAAACTATGTATTAAGTTGTCTATGTAAGTGACATTCTGCTTAGTGGCTCCCTTCTCAAAAATGATTCGTATTCCGAGATATTTCTATTCCAAATCGGCGCTCCCACCACGCGCAGGATATCAGCGGCTCTGCGCTTCTCTCTGTCTTCCATCTCTTGATCGATTCCAGCTGCAATAAGAAGATTCGCGATTTTGTAAAGTTGATACTCTTCTGCATCATCTGTAGCTTCGTAACTTTTCTTCGCTCTACCCAGAGCAATTTGGTTGGCGACATGATGCAATGCACTCCAACCTTTCAGATCTGTTTGGTTGATAGATGCTCCAAAGCCCAAGAGGAACTGAACAGCATCCACTGGTTCAGACAGTGAGCTGCTTATACCTAATGAAGAGACGAATACCATCAGAGGGGTCTCTCTATTGGGATATGGTCCCAAATTCTGCAGGGTGATGCCATGTCTGTGTAGATATTCCATAACAGCTCGTTTCCAGTATCTTAAGCCACGGTTTTCTCCATACAGGTTGAAGCCATCTGGAGATGCACCTCCGCAAAGTAAAACCTTTGCATACTGGATGAAGACCGTTCCATCGAGTGAGCTTGAATCGGCATCACTGGAAAGACACAGTAAAGCTTGTGTTGCTTCATCTAACTTGGAATTCGGTTGCGCCCAGATCTCGGCTTCAGAGCAACAAAGAAACTTGACCACATCAAGCCTTCGGTTGACCACAGCAGTGCAGATAGGTCCTTCTAGCTGTCGAGAGGCTCTGATCCTTGGGGCACCACCCTCTACCAGTAACCTGACCATATTCTCATCACAGCGACTAACAGCAGTAGCCAAAGCAAATGACGAATCTTGCCATATGCTCCGTCGAGGATAGCGGTCGAGCAATAGCGAAGCGACTTTGTGGTGACCGCCGAGGACCGCAAGTTCAATAGGTGTCATTGCCACGATCTCCGCTGTGCTTAGTTGTAATATTCCACCTCTTTGGATTTTTATCAATCGATCCTCACTCCTTGGTCTTGTTCGAGAATAACTGTGAAGCGGGCGAATATTGGCTTGCCGTATACAGGTGAACAAGCTTGTGCTAGCAAGAATCTTTCTAACTATGGCAGTAATACCAAGCAGACATGCCAATTGGAGGGCTTGGAGCTGAGTTGCCGAAGTTGTATCCTTTGGGTGTTCAAAGAATATAACATCACTGCCATTGATCTCTTCAAGTCCCCCAATCGTGTCGTGATGCTCGGATGCTGTTGAGGGAATATCTTCTCGCCCGTGTCTCAGGTTTGAGAGGTAAGAGAACCAGAGTCTACGATTTTCATGGTTTCGCGTTAGGAAATTTAACGCTCTTTTTTCCAAGGTCTCATTGCAAAGCTTTTCGGGACATTCTCGGAGATGTCTGAACCAAAACCTTGAGGCATAAGGTAACGCATGAGCATACTCAACGGGACTCTCCCTTTCAGCCTCTACTTCAAGTCCTTTCTCCATAATTTCCAAACAGCGAGAAGCAAGAATCTCATGGCCGTTATCCGGGATAATTTGAAAGAAGTCAAGGTCAGCATCGGTGTCGGTTGCGGTTCGTAGAACATGAGGTTGAAGCAGGTGATCTTTGACTGATCGGTGGGAGAACTGAATGGTTTCTATGGTTTCATATCCAGAGCCAAATCTTCTTATCTCGGTCTTGATCGTAAGAAGAGTCCTGCAGTAACCCAAACAAGCTTTCAGGTTTATAAAAGCAGTCTCTGGCGTTGAAAATTCATCGCTGGTAAGAATGCTTAATTCCCCAAGGCTCAGTGGATAATATGCTAGGGCCGCCCAAGTCAAGAGTGACCGTACTTTTTGGCGACAATCTAGTGGAATGGCCAGGAGAGATCTTTCGTAGATGGCGTTGTTGTCTCCAGCAAGATAGTTAAGATACTTTGCTGCAGAACCTTCATCTTGCCCTTTAAGTCCAGAAACAGCTAAGCTCGCCCAGAGGAACGAGCCACCAGCCCTTTTTGTGAGGTTCTTGTTCATCTGTTCTTGGAAGTCTCGAGACCAGCCATGCTCATGTGCGATATTCGAAACATGAGAATTGATCAATCGCTGTACATCTTGAACGTTGTGCTTGTGTGCATCTGAGTCTAGGCATATTACTGAGAACTCAGTAGAAAAGTTGTCTTGCTGGCATGGGTGGCGGCTAGTCAGAAGGATCCGGAAGTTTCGACGGCCTTGATTCGTTGAAGATAGCAGTTCCGAGAACCTCTCTGCCAGTGTTTTGATCGACGACTCATCACATATATCAAGCCCATCAATAGCACATGTGACGGTACCCGTGGTAGGATCCTGGATCATTGCGCTGAATATCTGCCAAAGAGTCTCAACCGAATTGGTTGCCAACGCGATTCTCCCTTCGTCGACCGGCACAGCTCTCTTTAGCCCGTGATGCAAAAGGTCTGGGCGTAACCTGCAAAGCTGCCAAATCAGTCCACGAAGAACAGTCGTGGCAGAATTGGCGTTGATGTTTCCATGATTGCAGAAGAAGTATAAGACTGTGTCGGTTGACATGCATGCAGCGAGCTGCTCCAGTTGCTTGGTTAGGTACATCGCGCACATAGTCTTGCCGTGACCTTCGCCTCCCTGGATCAAAAGACCCCTGCGGTCACCAGAGCCTGAGAGCCATGATCGGTATTCAGATGTTTCAGTAATCCAGGTACATGTTCTTTTGACAATGGCTCCTCTGCTTGACTCGAGTGATGCGTGGTCTTCTCTAGGGTCTGTGACGAACAACAAATTCAAGAAATCCAGCTCGCGAGCTTTAAAAGTGTGAGAATATAGTAAAGGATGACTGTCAGACTCTGAAGCCCAAGAGAGTGGTCTAAACCTTTGAAAAGTTAGATCAAGCCGCGATTGGGTATTTCATAGAGCGCCTACCTTGATTTTCGAAAAGCTAGGAGGCATAGCTGCTCCCTATGCAGATCTTCAAAAGGATCCTTAACTTCCCAATTGTTCAGCTCAGCGTAGACCCCAAGTAGTCCTTGCTGAGTAGAAGCGTGTCTGCCCCCATTATCAACCCATTCAAGCTGAGAGAGAATTCTGCTGATCAGTTTGTAGCAGTAAAGTAAGATCTGTTTGGTCAGACCGAGTTGTTCTTCGTCATCGTGATCATTAGCTGAAGGTTTCAGCTCAATCTCCTTGGCTAATCTTGAAAAGGACTCCAGCTGCTGTACCCGTTTTGCAACAGAGTTCGTAGTATAGTCAAGTTGTTGGAAGAATCGTACTGCTTCGTCTGTTATTCCAACAAGTCGGGCAGCGGCAGTGGTGATGCCAGTTGTGTCATTCATGATCATTTGAATAAATCAAGGGAAATACTGATACAATATGAAACATTCCCGCAGGTGTAATTATACTACAACTTTAACAATGACACATGCTTAGACTACCGTCCACGATTCATCTATATGGAGGCCTGTGTTGTTCAGTAAGACAGCTATTTTTAACATTGATCAAGCCAACCACGGTACTCGAGTGGCGGGCAGGGATATTGAGCACTATTGGTCAGATCACGGGAGTCTTCGTATTCGCTGCGCCACGCTCACTCGAAACATGGACCTGGCCTTTTTCTGGGAGCGATGACATAGTGTTAGCAGGGGAGCATTGTCTGCCTAATATCATATTCCTCTAGATAGTCGATCGAAAATAGTGAGCTTATGCATGGGCGTCGTCATGTAGGATCTTAGTGTAGGGCTGCCTATTTCAAGAGGCTGAAACATCATCTAAACCTACGCGAATGCATAGAGCTCGTATCGCTCACGATATACTATTGTTAGTAGTTATGCGGTCTTGATTTCTTTTCTACATGTGACTTCTTTGATTCGTGACTTGTGCACTCGAGAAGCTTTTGTCAGTGACGAATGATGTAGTTTGGGCTGAAGAATTGTGCCAAGAAATTCGAGAAATATCCCGTGAATGATCGTGGTCCTCTTCAGATTCTTTGAAGATATCTAATTTATAAGAATGTATCGATAGCACCTACTACTAGGGCTTGACTCTCTCGGATCTCTTGGTCGAAACTTGAATGATATCACGGATTGCCCATAAAGAGTTCTGCAAAGGTACGTCATTGTCGTGGTGTGAACAGTCTCGTGAGGTCCAGCGTAGTAGGTGATCTTATTTGCGACGGAGAATTCAGATTCGCGAGGCAAGATTATCTTGAAACGAGAATCGCTTCTGAAGCTCACGGCTTCACAAACTCAATCGAGTTCCTCCCCACCAGTATCTGTAATGACAAAGCCATTGTCCTCCGCATACCAACGGCAAAAGCACATGAGTAATCTATTTCCGAACCTCGGAGACTTGATCGAAAAAAACGTCGATTCAGTCACAGCCTCGCGTGACGTAAAAGCTCAAATCTCCTGATGTTGGTGGGGTTCTAGAATTCGGAGTCATAATTCCAGTACTTGAGTGCTATACAAACTGCCAGGCACGGGACACGTGGGAAAGGCTCCGCAGTGGATCAAAAGGAACTCAATTTCCAGGTCATGATCCTGCATTTATCTCGCTTTCACGTTCTGCTCGGTATAACTACGCGAGTACAACGCTGCAACTGTCGCTGTTGGGATATATTGCTTTTTGAATCCTTCAATTGTTACCCCCTCGACATGCACATATCACCAGCTCTGTATCTCTAGCATTGGTGCGCGTAGGATTGGAAATGCCTCTCGCTGTTTACAGAGCAAACGCGGATAATTCGGGATATTTACAGCCCTGTAATTGGGGATAAACAGCAGACATAGCACATCCTTTGGGGTCTTTGGGGGGTTGTGCCACCTTCTCCATAGGGCCCCCGGAGGTCAGATATGCTTACTCCCCCAAGACCCATTGGTGGATATCGGCGTCTGTTGGCGGCTCAGCAATGGAACTGGAACCCATCACTACAACGTCAAGAGAATCGGCTCACTCTTTTGCGGAATGGCAAGACGTTTCCACTGCGGGGATTGAGCAAAGCACACGGCACAGTAAAAATGAGACACGAGACTGGCCTGAACATTTTCTACAGTGGGCGTAGACCCCACGGGGTCACCTGGCTCTGCCGCATCTCCGCGGATAAAGGTATATCGTAGCGCGGCTCGCAGTAACTTACAGGCCCACGACTTTACACCATCTCCGGTAGTTTGGGTCCATTTTAGAGTTTGACTGAATATGATCTGATCAAAAGCAATATCCAGAGCCGGTTGATACTCCGTGGCACCACAGAATTATCATTATGGGCTGACAGACGCTTCTTTATAAGTTGAAGCATCTCGCTGCTATATATCCAAGCTTTGACTCACCCAATTGCAATACACCATATTATACCCAATTACAGTACATACAATTACTCTACAGCAAGACCATAATGCTATCATCAAGCAACGTGATGCGAACTGGCATCCTCCGAACAGGAAGAATAGCCACGCGAAACACAGCACTTCTCGCACGTTCAGCAACAGCCCAAATTCAAACAACCCGTCGAAACTTTTCTTCCAGTCAACGAACACTCTGCGCAAGCTGCGCAACTTCAGGAGGACAATCATGCGTCCGGCATAACCCTAACAGTCGCGCTAGCGCCGGAAACATCACCACAAGCTTCAGTGCTAACAGTAGCCTCGGCAAGACTGCCGCTTACGCTACAGCTGCTAGCCCCATCATTCCTAATGAACAGTGGGCACAAGTTTTGGAAGAACGAGGTGGAGGTAAGCTTCAATGAACTTTGAGGTTGGAAAGGGATTCTGACGAAAACAGCTGTCCAATATAAAAAGATCCCTGTTCCAACGCCAGGCTCCGATGAGGTTCTAATCAACGTCAAGTATAGTGGAGTCTGCCACACAGACCTTCACGCCGTCAATGGCGACTGGCCCCTTGAATCGAAGATGCCCCTTGTTGGCGGTCACGAAGGTGCCGGTATCGTAGTAGCACGAGGGGAGCTCGTCAAAGACGTTGAAATCGGTGACCACGTTGGCCTCAAGTGGCTTCACGGCTCCTGCATGAGCTGCGAACAGTGTCGACAGTCCAACGAATCGCTTTGCTCAGAAGCCTCCCTGTCAGGATATACTGTTGATGGTTCGTTCCAGCAATACGCTGTAGGAAAGGCTGCGCACGTCGCGCGAATTCCCAAGGACTGTGATCTCGCTGGCGTAGCACCTATTCTGTGTGCTGGACTTACAGTCTACAAGGCTCTCAAGTCTTCTGGCGTTCGACCAGGACAGAGTGTTGTCATTGCTGGCGCTGGAGGCGGTCTTGGTGTTTTCGCTATTCAATATGCCAAGGCCATGGGGCTTCGAGTAACAGCTCTCGATGGCGGAGACGAAAAGCGTAAGGTTTGCACTGAGCTTGGTGCTGATACCTTTGTTGATTTCAAGACATCGACGGATATTGTTGGAGAGATCAAGAACGCTACAGGTGGCCTTGGCCCCGATGCTGTTCTCCTTCTTGCAGCCAATGAGAAGCCATTCCAACAAGCTAGTCAGTATGTCAAGAGCAAGGGCACAATTGTCTGTGTTGGTTTACCAGCCAATGCTTTCGTCAAGGCTCCTGTTTTCGACACTGTCGTCCGGTAAGTGAAACAAACCGTATTCGCAGAACACGCATTAATGAGATACAATAGTGAAATCAACATCAAGGGCAGCTATGTCGGTAACCGACAGGATACTGCTGAGGCCATTGAATTTTACAGACAAGGTCTTATCAAGGCACCATACAAGTAAGTACATCCACTACGTGCAATCATTGGCAAGACTAACATGAAACCTAGGATTGTCGGATTGTCAGAACTCCAGAAGGTCTATGATATGATGATTGCAGGCAACGTTGCTGGCCGTTATGTGGTGGACACCAGCAGATAACGACCCTGAATGATTTTGATATTATTGGAGGTTTACTGAAAGCGTTCTTGATGTTGCTTGCGGAATAGGCATTATACCACGGAGGATTTATGTATAACATGAGAGGAAAAGGGTTTCCTGGTTGCTGATGTCTTGGTTATATTTAGCTTTGATGATTGATTACAGGCAGGGCTGTAACTTTATTACAATTTTCAAGTGTCTTTTTACTATACATAAACAGATTTTAGGGGCAGGCCATGCTTCCTGAAGGATATGCTCAACAGGAGGTAATATTTGCCACACTTGATATATATTCGAAATATAATGCACAAAAAGATCAAAAGTAAACTCCGGTACAGGGAATCGAACCCTGGGCTCCGCGGTACTGATCCCTCAGCTGAAGATGAGAGCGCGAAATGTTAGCCACTACACCATACCGGATGATATCGCTTGTTATGCTCCGAGCTCCTCAACATTGTCCCAACATCCCCACGGACAAAATCAACACGAACGGCGAGAACCAGGAGCTAAACTTCAGTTCGAACTCAGGCTATTGGAGCGCATGGCTAAAGTAAACAACTTGTCGATCCCGTCTTTAAGCATGACGATCAAGCTTAAATCGTATAACCGCCCCTCACATACCCCGCGGTTCATTCTCAGCGACGTAACCTCATAGTAGCCGAGCAAATAGCGAGTAGTATATGCAAGTTATTATAGGAAGGCCTGCATGGACATCAGATCATATGCTGCACAATATACGGGAGCTCCATAATGTGTTGGTTTATCCTGAGAACGGGCTCCTTTTTAGGAAATGATCGGTGATAGAACGAAGTATAAGAGGCAGTAAAAATCAACGATAGAATGCAGTTTCTTTCTTGTTTGGAACTCTGTGAACAAAGTTCGCTTTTACGATGCTTGTCTTGTCGGTAATCACTTTGGTTCTTGGTTTATGCTCAAGCTTTGTTCTTGGGTTCACCAATCCTATAAGAACAGGAAGTGACCCTCATATCGTCTATCAAGATGGGATGTAAGACTCCTCATCCAACCAGTACCTCACTGTTCCATACTGAACATACTCTTAGGTACTATCTTACCTCAACAACATGGACCAACGTCAGCATCACCAAAGCCCCTACCATCGAAGGCCTCAAGACTGCTGAGTCCCAGCTCATCTGGTCCGACAGATCCAATGCAACCAGAGCTTGCAACTTCTGGGCTCCTGAGATGCACAAAGTCGGTGATACTTGGTATGTATACTTCTCGGCGAGTGTTTGTGACGAGGGCAACTGGGATGTTATGCTGCCAACTCTGAGAGTATACGTTCTCAAAGGTGGTAAGGAGAATCCATTGTCAGCGGATTATGAGATGATGGATGCAATCATTCCTCCTAATTTCAATGCTGGAATGCTTGATGCTGTAGGTTGAGCAATGATTTATCCGAAAGGCGCATGGCTAATAGCAGTAGACAATCTTTAAAATCGAAGGCACAGAGTATTTCCTTGTAAGTATCCTACAGCCCTTTCCAAAGTCCTGCTCTAATATTCGCTCAGTTCTCTTCCGTTGAAGGACCAAAGAGTCCTGATGGTGCATCTCTATGGATCGCCAAACTCCTGTCACCAACAACATGTGGCAACGCCACAATGATTGCACACCCAGAGTTCGAGTGGGAAAGGTCTGATTCGCCCGTTCTCGAAGGACCTTATGGAATTATCTCCCCAGCTGGGACAACTTACGTGGTCTACGCTGCTGACTCCTGCAACACACCCGCCTACAAACTCGGTGCCATGATATTCACAAAAGGCTCTGATCCACTTAGCCCGGATTCTTGGACCAAGTTACCTGATCCCATTTTCGAAACGAAGAATGGACTCTATGGACCTGCACATAACGCGTTCTTCAAGAGTCCTGATGGTACAGAGGATTGGAATGTGTTTCATGCTAATCTCAACGCGGGTGATCGTTGCGGTCCCTCGAGGAAGACCTTTATTCAGCCGCTCAGTTGGAAGGATGATATGATCGATTTGGGTGAACCTCGTCCTGTTGGGACAGAAATCAAGCCGCCGTCTGGGGAATGAAGGGTGGGAAGTTTGGCAACGAGTTCACAAGGCTCTTACTGGAACAGCAATATAGTCATTCATAAGAAGGCCTCTTAATATCACATCTTCATTTAATGTGGCGTTTATTCTTGACTAACTACAAGAAGAAAAAAGCATAGCAGCAGAGCATTTTGACCCAGGAAACCTCGCATTTCTCATATCTCCATATGTCAAGACTTTGATGGCAGATTTCGGTGGCGCACTATGAACTTGTCACTGTCAACTCAAATCCGGCATGCTTTGAGAGCCTTCTCAAGATGAAACTTACAGAACGTGCCACGTAAATGTTGGTCCTCGCTCCTGGTCTGAGCGCCGATCACTCTCCGCCCTCGCCCTCACGCCACAGTCGACTTTGCCGGTGTTGGCCAAGAGCTCTGCGATAGGGCCATGTCCGTTGCGAACGGCGTAATAGAAGGGACTGTTTCCATCTTGATCCTTAGAGTCCGGGTCCCTGCTGACTTCAAGAAGAACCTGAACGATGCCTCTCTTTCCATGTTGAGCAGCCAATGATAGAGGAGTCTGCCCTTTGGTATCCTCAGAGTCCACCTGTATGGCTTCCTGTTCCAGAAGGAATCGGGCTATCTTGACAGCGCCCTCGTCGTCGATAGGATGGAACGGCGTCTGGCCAATGGGTACGTCGCTGACATGGTGCAGCTGGGTCTTGCCAAGGGAGTCTCCTTCGAAAATGTCCACATTCCCTGTGTCGGCCATGATCTTGAAGATGTCAAAGCGGCCGAGTGTAGCAGCGGAGGCTAGGTAGCTGATGGCCCCATGAGCTGCCATGGGATGACCTAGAAAGATTCAGAACTTCGATTTTAAAAGTTACACATATAGACAACTCACGGGTCCAATCAAACTCAGAAAGAGGTAGGGTAACCAGAGCTTCGGCAATCTCCTTGTTGCCGTTAAAAATCGCAGTTTGTAGACAGTCATGTCCGCTACCAGGGTCGCCGTCGGTATCGGCGCGGAGTTCAGGCTTTTGCAACAGACGCCTGAAAAGAGTAGCATCACCTTTTGTAGCTGCGTAATGCAATGGATGTTCCTCGGCGTACTTTTGCTCTCCTAGCGCGAGAAGATCCATGTCAGCGGCTAGGCGAAGTGTTGTTGAGAATGTGAGGATTTATGTGAGGATTGAGTTCCTTTGAGGATGGTGAAGAGAGAATCTCGGTCTTCACCCAGACACTGGAGACTATTTATATGTTAAGTGAATCAGTTTGTCATGGATACCTGCTTTACAGAGCAACGCAGCGCACGCCAGTTTGTGCAACACAGCAAACGGCAAAAGCCAATCACTTTATTATTTGTATGAGGCAAACTTTAACATTTAGGACAGTCTGCCAGATGCGTTTGAGTGCTATTAAGCAAGCAACTGAACGTTGCTAAATTTGTAGTCGCCTAGATACAAACGCAGCTTTTGAGAAGCAACCCAGCAAAGCACAGCCACCCAATAAACATATCGACTATTATCCTGCTACAGTCAAGCCATAAACATATGAAGCCAAGCTCGCGAAAACCAATACGTAGTTTGCAACAATTTCTGCTTGTTGAGAGTCGAAGGTTTGAGGTGTTGCTGTAGACTATCAAACTGTTACACCACTGTTTGTACAAGCCTGACGTTTCCTATCCGACATATGTACTATTCTTTATCCTACCGTTCCCTATGTAATCGTGAGTGAAGACCGAGGCTTTATCCGTCAAAGATCCGCCATTGTTAGCTCAGCAACGAGACAAGAACTTAAATTTTCATACAAATGCCACTCTAGCCTTACATTATTTTATCTATGCCACAAACTCTGTCATATATCTAATTCTCCCAAAGTGCCAATAGGAACCGTCTTCAAGAATAGGTCACTGTCGTAGTCCGTGTCTGCAGAATCGCCTTTTCAGAATCCTAATCTCCCTGACTATCCCCTGACATTGGTCGTGTTACCGAACGTGATCCTCCATTCTTGTTCTCGTGACTTTTTGATGCCTCTGACTTGGTAACGGTTTGCAATGGATACATTGGCCCATCGTCAAATCGTTCATAGTGGTCATGTCTGGGCATACCGCCAGTGGATATGGCCCCAATGGTTGGTGGTGCACTTGGGTTTGACATGCCGGCCTTTGATGCTCCGTATGATGAGCCAAGGATTCTTGGGGAGATGTGTTTGATGAATGGTTTGACTGTTGTAAGGGTTGCGCAAATGATGGAGAGGTTGGCTTCGGCAAAGCTGGACTGGTTAGAGGAAACGTGAAATAGGAGGAGATGACTTACATCCAAAGAAGAACAGGGCCCCCACCCCAAGATTGGTCGACGTTACCCATGGACCGGATCAATGCAATTAGTCTCATGATTGATGTAAAGACAGTACTGGATTGTTGTTAGCTTGCCCTTCTTGCCAGCATAAACTTCGCTTACACTCCACCAACACCAAAGAAGCAAATCAACCCAATCTTCTGTCTTCTCGAAATCTGTAGTGGTATGACAACAGGTATAGGCACCGCAAGCACCATGGCATCTGTAATCGCACCCATTATAGCCGTAGCCTGATAAACAGCTGGCCGATCAATGCACTTCTTATCGGTGATTGTGATGTCCCAGCCCGCTCTTACAGGTTTGCACGGAAAGATTGTTGTAAACGTAATCGCAATCGAGGAGCCAATCACCACAAACGATGTAGCCCAGATTGTAAAATGAAACCATTTTTGTGGTGCAAGCCGACGGTAGACGAGAAGCAAAGCCATCTTTGCGCCGCATTGGACGGGGTTGTAGAGGATTGGTAGGAGGTAGAGGGCTCGTGCGAAGAGGGCGAACTTGGTTATTGGCATCTCCCAGCCGTGGGTGCCCATTATGCCGCGGATAAAGTCCCCTAGACGCTCGAGCACAGCACGTTAGTTGAGTAAAGGTGAGGGTATCTTGGGTACTGACTTAGTATCAGGGTCTGAAGTACTACAGAAAACACCTGGATCGGTCAGCTTTGTCGATACAAGTCATGATGTCTCGGATGATGTTGCTCACATATGCTACCCCTAAACATGCTTCAGAGACAATTAACTAACGCGCACGAAGTAAGGGGGTCAATGTGGCTTACCATCCTCTATTCGTATTGTCTTATGTATAAAACATCTTACATATACTCTCTGTGCAATGAACAATACTGTCAAGAAATTCCCAACGCCATAAAGCCAGTATGCTTCAGTAACACTGTTCCGTTGCGGGTTATCGAAATCGACCTTGTATCCTTCGGGTGGCGGTATAGCGACAGGAACGCCATTAACAACAGCAGCCATAGTAAGATAAACCAACCAACAAAGAAGTACGTAGCAAGAATGTCTCAATGCGAAATCACATGCAGGAACGAAGAACGAAAAATATTGGACTCGTAGAAATACACCGCCTCAGCGTTCATTCAATTAACTACGGATTACCTGCATGCATATTACTACATCCTATATCGGATATACGGCCCACTTCTGAGGAGAGTGAAAAGAAACGATTGTAAGGATTAAAAACCTTGGACATCGGTTAGAAGGGATCGGCTCCTTTCATACATGGCCCAAACTCTATTCCTGTGAATGTTACTCTGAGTCAGAAGACGTTGACATATATACCCCTGTTCGATGGCTATGGCGGCTGTTGAAACGGCATTCCAAGCTCCCAGTGCCCGCGGGTGCGCTAGGGATAGCCTGTTGTTACCGTTCATATATACGAAAATATGATCTAACACCTCAAGTTTGGTCGTACGGTTATATGATTGCTCGATAACAGATCGATGAGAAGCTTGAGGAACCCAGAAGAAGTATCCGTATATCAGCACTTTTCCTTCAAGTGTACAAGGATGTCTCTATCTGTCAGCCTGCAGAAACCTCTTGGCAGTTGCCGGGGAGCAGGGTTATCGAAGCCGAGTTCAACGAAGGATTCATGGTGCGGAGCCGAGACCTTAGCTTCGGAGTGTACCAAATTCCGACCAGAATATTCAGGCCCAACTTCAATAGCTTCACAATTTCAAGTCTTGGCAATTGGGCTTGAAGATGACTATTTCGTAAGATGAAACGGATTCTCTAGTTCCAGACGCTTAAAACCCCTCTTCCAATAGCATGGTAGCGAGATGCCTTACCGAGGTCTATGTTTTCGTACAGGAAGAGACCGTCACAGGACCCTTGCTTTTTTGGTTCTTCAGCCCCATTCAATAGGCCTGACAATCATGATGCAAGTGTCAGGGGAATGTAACGTCAAAGGGTTTCCCACACCAAAGGAGCAAATGATTTACGAAACAGGGCCAGGTACCAGGACCCTGGATATCTCTCTATTCCCCATGGAGAACAATAGGACTCCGACAGTCTATCAGCTTCAATCACATACATAGACAGCCTTGATTATGTGCCCCTCAGGAGCGTCAGAAGCTCAATTCCCTCTCGTTTCTTCTTTACCCACAAGCATCCAATTATGACTACCCTCACTCCTCAACCGTCGATCCCTCAGGCTGAAAGCCTCATTGCAGCTGGTCTCGAAGCTCGTATCCTCACACCTACGGATGCCGAGTTCTCAGCTCGCCAAGAATCATACTGGTCTAACAGCGCCAAGATCAAACCTGCTTGTATCGTCCAGCCTCGTACCCCTGAAGAAGTCGCTTCCGTCGTGAAGGCTCTTGTTTCTGCTGGTCAGAGGTTTGCTGTTCGCAGTGGTGGACATACAAACTGGGCTGGGTCGAACAACATTGAGGGTGGTGTTACTATTGATCTTGTTCATTTGAATCATGTGTCTTTTGATGCTGCTACTGAGACAGCTGATATTGGACCTGGTTGTAGATGGCGAGAGGTTTATGCTGAGCTGAGCAAGCATGGTCGTGCTGTTGCTGGAGGGCGTGAGGGCAATGTTGGCGTTGCAGGTCTTCTTCTTGGAGGTGGCAATGCTTTCTTCACAGCTAGACAGGGCTTTGGATGTGACAATGTTGTGTCGTACCAAGTTGTCCTTGCTAACGGTGATATTATCACCGCCGATGAGAAGAACAACACCGACTTGTACCGCGTACTCAAAGGTGGATCAAACAACTTTGGTATCGTCACAAAGTTCACTATGAAGGCTATCAAGTCTGACAAGGTCTGGGGTGGAATGACTTTCTTCCCTAAGCAAGTTATTCCTGGTGCCATTGAGGCTCTCTCTGCTTTTACGGACAACGTGCCCAATGATATTCACAGCAACCTTGTCACTATTTTCACCCATATGCCTGATTTCAAGGATATCGTTGTTGCTACTCTGTATGCCAACATGGAGGGTATCGAGAAGCCTCCGGCGTATGAGAAGTGGCTAGCTCTTCCCGAAATCATGAACACTGTCAAGAACACTACTCTGACTGAGATGGCTTTTGAGTACAATATTCCTGCGAATTTCTAGTAAGCCAACTTATCTTTGTCTCATCACTTTTCAAGCTAACCGTCCAGTGACACCTGGTTCACATGTTGCTTTAAGAACGACACCCGAATCATCACCAAAGCCTCAGAGCTTCACGATAAACTCGTCGAAGAGCTCAAGGCATTCATACCCGACGGTAACTTCATCACCCAATGTCTATTCCAGCCTCTGCCTACGCTCTTCGGCCAACGCGGCATCGAAGCAGGCGGCAACATCATGGGCATGGACCGTCATAAGACCAACGGCATTCTATTTCTCGCTGTCGTCATGGCACAGACTCCTGAGCAGGAGGCTTTTGCACGACCCAAGGTTCAGGCTTGGATCAAGGATGTGCAAGAGTTTGCTGCTACTATTGAGGGAGGAAATCTTGAGTGGACTTATTTGAATTATGCGGATAAGAGTCAGGATCCTCTTGGTAGTTATGGTGCTGAGAATATTAAGAAGATGAAGAATGCAGCGGCCAAGTATGATCCTGAGCAGGTGTTCCAGAAGCTGGTGCCTGGAGGGTTCAAGATTTCGGACGTCAAGGATGAATAGATGCAGCATAGCAAATGATTGATAGTTGATCATATGATATCAACGACATATATCACGCCAACGCACTGAATGAGATCATAATGCCTAAATCAAAACCGGATATATGTGATGATAAAGTATACCTCGACCTGTAATTCATCTCACCACTATAACGGCCAAGATCGATCCTCTCACCAGAATGTGCTTCAATAGGCTAGCAGCGAACGCTGCAGGTACAGGGTATTTTCCACCAGACATTGTAGGCTTGTATTTGAGAGGCACCAAACCAATGTGTGCCATGGCCGTATCCTAAAGGCAATTACATTCATAATTCAGTCTCGAGATGAGTGATGATGTTTATTTAAAAAAACGATTTGGGACATCGGTCTGAGAGTAACTTGTGACAGAATTTTGTTAATGTTATCATCTTGCGACTACTTGTAACGCTTCGATAATTTGCAAGAGCTACTCTTTTCGCATATAACTACTATCATGAATGCATTGGTGAAATTGGTTGTTAAAAGTCTTGCGAACGGTATGGTCCAATCGATTGTCGTGCAATAGGAGGTGCTAATAATACACCGGTAATGCCTCCGGTTCCTAAGACGTCGGGCGTCGGCGGCGCCGGCCTATTTCCGTTGATTGACCAGTAGAAGCTGAGTGCTGGAAAACAAGCTTATGGGCAGTAAGCTTAAAACCCAAATGCACTAGGGTTGCACACCACTTATGGTCTGTGCAATGAGAGTGGCAGGAACTTTTAATAATGACGACTGGTGCATTGCGTGATTTCTGGAATTAATACGATCTGCGGTGATTTTTTAGTCTCCGATGTTACCTACCGCCACTTCGTCATGCTGGAAGAAGGCCTGCCTGAGTTGAAGCTTGTTTGTCTAAAAGCTGAAGACGATGACGGATAGGCAGAAGGCATCTGCTTCAGCAGAGACGATGGAGTTCTATCAATCGCTATGCCACACCGGTTGAGCACATTGTTATCGAGCATGGCTGGGGACGCCGTGTCCGAGGTGAGGGCATCTCCGCAGCCCCAAGACCAATCAGCATAAATGCCGTTTGACTGGTGGTATCGTTGATCGCCAAGGACATTCCCTATTGCGATGTACCCGACGCCTCATCATGCACCGTCGGGGAGTTCGCTCACTGCAGATCGGCCTTACTTGTGTTAGCGTCCAAGGTCTGGTACTACCGTTGCTGCCTCTCTTCCATGGACGGGTACTTTACTCCAGCCGTTTCTTTACTTTGAGTGTTATTCTCGCCATGATCTTCTCTCTCATCCTGCTCCTCCACTGTATCATCATCCAATTTCCTGCTTGCATTGAGTATCACGGTTAGCGATAGCGTGCATCATCATGGACAAGACATCTACGCTAGAAGACTCAGAGCTTCAGACCTCCCGCACGCCAAGCAGACGGCCTTGGCTCGCATCAGCCTTTGGAGGCCCCAACGTCACAATTGGCCCGCGAATCGAACCCCTCGCCGAGCACTTGGCACATGTATCCGAAAGCGACAGCACCGCAGCTGAAGATCTCGTCGACAAGCAAGTCGCTTCCGAAGCGGGAAATGCTATTCAGTACAGGACATGTTCTTGGCAAAAGACTGCAGGGCTGCTCTTTAGCGAGTACATTGTGCTCTCTATTATGAGCTTCCCTTGGTCATATAGTCTTCTGGGTCTTGTGCCTGGATTGATCTTGACGGCTGTCATTGCTGGGCTTGTTCTGTATACGAGTCTTGTGCTGTGGGAGTTCTGTTTGCGACATCCTGAGGTTAGAGATGTGTGCGACATTGGGCAGATGATCTGGTGGAATAAGAGATGGGCGTGGTGGTGGACAGCAGTGATGTTTGTCCTGAACAATACCTTCATTCAAGCTCTGCATGTATTGGTCGGTGCAATCTACCTCAACACAATGACCGAGGCCGATTCCATCGCGGGATGCAGAACCGTTGCATTCGCTGCAGTAGTCACGGTGATCAGCTGGATCGGGTCCCTTCCTCGCACCTTTAGCATGCTGTCAAAGCTTGGCTTTGCCTCGACGTTTTTTACATTCATCTCGGTCATCTTGGCAACGGCTTTTGCAGGCGCCCAGGGTAAGCCCGCTGGTTATCCTGAGATGGGCGAACCGATAATCTCAATCTGGACACCAAAGACCACGACACTTGTTACTGGTATGTCGGCTTTCATGAACATGAGTTATACGTTCATCGGCCAGACTACAATTCCCAGCTTCATCGCTGAGATGCGTGATCCGAGGTAAATTGCTATGTCATTTGATGCAACCGTGATCATTCTGACAAATGAACAGAGATTTCCCCAAGGCATTGTGGGCTTGCACCATGGCTGAGATTGTCACATTCAGCGTTGTCGGGTCTGTCATTTACGTTTACACGGGCAACCAGTACATGGTCACACCAGCATTCGGTGTCCTCACTGATACCTACAAGAAGGTCTCATATTCTTTCATGGTTCCGACCATCATTTTCGTCGGGTGCCTTTATGCAAGTGTCACAGGTCGATTTGTCTTCTTCAGAATGTTTAAGGACTCCGAGCATCTTACCTCGCACACATTCAAGGGCTGGTTCTGGTGGGGATTGGTGCTGTTGATCAGCTGGGCCGCCTCATTCTTTATCGCTGAGATCATTCCATTTTTCTCTTCGTGTAAGTGTCCACCCTCAGACTTATCAACCAGTGCTAACACATTCTCAGTGCTATCAGTCATGTCGTCGCTGTTTAATTGCTGGTTCGGCTTCATCTTTTGGGCGCTGGCCTACTTCCGCATGCGCAATGCAGATCGTAAGGTCGGAAGAAAGCGAAATCCCATTCTGGATATTCTTTCAGTAGCATTAAACGTTGTAATCATGTTGACTGGTGCTCTTTACCTCACGCTGGGAACATACGTCAGTGTGCAGGGTATCATAGATCAATTCCGTGCAGGACAAGTGAGCAGTGTCTTTTCATGCAAGAGTAACGGGCTTTGAGGACAATGGGGGTATTAATCTGGCGCTTGGATTTAGTTTAGCACTTATAGATAATAGATGGGCATATGATGTTGACGACCGGTTATTGTTGACTGTAGAGGACTCATCCCGTGAGGCTGCTATGTCGCTTTTGCCGGCTCCCCAGCAGTCAATTCTCTTTATAAGAGACGACTTATCGAATGAGGCCTGAATGAAAGACGCGGGATTATCTAGTACATACATTCGATTTCAATCTGTTGGTGGCAGAAAGTTGTTTTGATCTGTTCTTCTGCCACTCTTCTACGTCATGCAAGCATTTCCTTCGCGACATTTATTATCGGCAAGGCTATAGAACGCTGGCATCGGATACTTAACATGGCCGTAGTATGAAATCTCGACACATCTTCACTGCCAATTTACCAGAGTCCTTTGCTGAGTTCGAGGGACACTGTTTCAACGTATGAAGCCCTCAGCATCATCAGAAAACCAGCATACCATCATCTCTCGGTTCGTTGAAGTGATTAACTGATACGTAATAGATTTCTTGACTTTTATCTGATGTTCACACGCTACCTTCATCCAAATTACTTCAATATCTCGGGAGTATGCCTTATAGATGCATGATCGCTGGTTATCACGAGCGATGACAACACATACGGGACAGAGGAGAGACATAGATTGAGAGAGAATATCGATTTGTCAATAAAACCTCCGTGAATAGTCCTCAATCTAATCCAGATTACTCCTTGAGTAGGTGTTAGTGTACTCGGAACGAGATGCCGACTTGGGGATACCAATGTCATTAGCCCACACTGACATCACTACGCAAAGGATGGACTCCCAAACTAAGCGAATCTGGATCTCACAGGTTTCACCACTGTTACTAAAGCAAGAATAGCAGTGCAGGAAAATAAGCTTAAGTGAAATCCCCAGTGTAAAAGAATGCGGAGCGGTTCCGGATGTGGATAACTGCTGATAGACGAGACCGAGTCCCACCGAGTGGGCGAATTAATTCACCGGAGGATTCTCAATTGATCACTGGAAACAATTCCATGCTCTGAGGCCCAATTGGATGGAACACTGGAATATAGGGAGCGAATCACTTGTCCGTCATAGAACATAACACTGGCAGCCGAGTCATAGAACTCACAAGTGATGCCAAGACCTGCATACCCGCGCCCTTGAACCGAACACTAACATGACATTTGTTAATAGCGCCCAACCCCAACTGTCAATTATTGAGCATGCAAATTATTAACCGATTCGGATCCTATTTCCGGGATTATAAATTCTTCCTCCTCCTCCCCACTCACCTTTCTCTCAACCCATCTCAACCCAACTCATACAGTTATCCCATGTCTACTACACTCTTCACACCCTGAGGCATTAGAAAACTGTACTCTTTTTTTGTGATCTACCGTGTTTTCACACATGACATATAACGAACACAATGCAGAGGACAGCTGCCTAAAAAACCAGCACGAAAAGCAGGCCCAACCCAAAACTAACCCCGAAGTCCCCCGTGGAGATGCCGCCCCGGCCCCGGACGATGCGGGCCTCGAGACCGGAGGTGTAGCGCACCCCAGCGAAGCCAGCACCGACGACAGTGAAGCGAACCTCGAATTTCCAGAAGGCGGACTCGAAGCTTGGCTTGTAGTCTTTGGATCCTTTTGCGGAATGTTTTCGATCTACGGCCTCATCAACACCTCTGCTGTTTTTGAGTCGTACTTTTCCGAGAACCAACTTCGTGATTACTCGTCTTCTCAGATCGGCTGGATCTTCAGCCTTTATCTCTTCCTCGTCTTTCTTGTCGGTATTCAAGTCGGACCTGTTTTTGACAAATACGGTCCTCGACTCATTGTTGCCTCTGGAGGTATACTCATCGCGGCAAGTTTATTCATCCTCAGCGTTTGCGAGGAATTTTACCAGATTCTTCTATCATACTCGGTTGTGGGTGGCCTTGGAGGCGCCCTTCTCAATTCGCCGTGTTATGCATCTATTGCCCATTGGTTCGACCAGAAACGAGGTCTTGCAACTGGAGTTGCAATGACTGCAGGATCAATTGGCGGTATCATCTTTCCCATCTTTCTGCAGAAACTTCTTCCCAGCGTTGGCTTTGCATGGACGACCCGTATTCTGGGCTTCATCATCCTCGGACTCACCGTTCCCGCCACGCTCTTCATGCGCTCGCGTCTCCCGCGATCAAATAAGGTGTCCTCGGTCTGGCCAGACCTGAGCATCTTCAAAGACCTGAAGTTTACGTTTTCTGCATGTGGAATCTTCTTTATGGAATGGGGACTCTTCGTGCCATTGACGTACATTGTGTCTTATGCCGGACGACACTCTGGCGATGCCAACAGCTCTTACACCCTGATTTCGATCCTCAATGCGGGTTCATTGCTCGGTCGTTTTCTCCCCGGTCTTTTAGCCGACAAGATCGGGCGGTTTAATGTCATTCTGCTGACGCTTGGGCTCTGCATCATATCGGCCTTTGCTCTGTGGTTGCCAGCTGGGGACTCTCAGGCTATGATCATCGCGTTCGCTGTTGTGTTTGGTTTTGCAAGTGGTAGTAACCTTGGACTCACACCAGTTTGCGTGGGTCAGCTCTGCGATCCTCGCGACTATGGACGATTCATCTCGACAGCTTTCATGGTAGCTAGTTTTGGAACCCTCAGCAGCTTGCCTATTGCTGGTGCCCTTCTCGAGGCTGGTGACAAGGGTGACTCTGGCTGGACTGCTCTCATTGTATTTGATGGGCTGTCGTATGTGCTGGCACTCGCCTGTTTCCTTGCTGCCAGGGTGATGGCTGTCGGCTGGGACGTCAAGAGCGTCTACTAAGACGACTCGATTGGAAATGTCGCTCTTCCTTGGAGATGCACGCGATGAACTGAAATGTCATGCGATGCGGTGTCTTCAATTGGATGAGTATAAGCGACAGGGAATGGATGGTCCGGTGATGTATTATACCAGCCGATAATCTTTACCGGGACCGAGGTATCAACTGATTTTGTTCAAGATGCCTCCTCGGAGTTGTATTGTTACCGCTCAGTGTCTCAGAAGTAACAATTGGGAATAGGAGAACGATATCCATTTGGATACTGGCCTTAGATAGATACTGACTGTAGTCACTCATTGAAACAAGTAGATAGAATTCACTCATTTTGAATAATTGTAAGTGCAGCATGTTGCATTCCCACGGGATCAGGTTGTCAATGTCCGCGATTTTAAACGCAAACTCAAGGAGGTGCAAACATTGGAGATACAAGTCCGAAGCAAAAGAGGGTCTCAGGTCCCCATCATGTCCAATGACGCATCTTCCCGTCGTCTCGCCCTCACCGAGAACCCGCGATTAGCCGTATCTCAAAACGCTCACCACGACAGATTCTCCACGGGCTCCTGTGAGTGGCTCTCCTTGACTTTTCCCACCGGATCATCTATCTCCCGCCCTCTCTCACTCGGCATACTGACTCCGAGACCACCCGTAGCGCAAGGTCAAGCACCAACTGACCTTGTGAGGAAAGTGCGTGTGTCGACCCGTTTTGGCTTAGGCCGTTGAATCCCGGCCACGGGATAATCTTGATACGAACCAAACCACGAACCTCCCGAAAGCTCCTGGTATCGACGGTTTTTCCCTTCCAATTCCAAAACCTCAAGTTAATCCTCTAGACGTTGCAACAGACAGCGACGTTTTTTTTTCTTCTTCACTCCCTCTCCCCTCCACCCCCCGACATCATGCAGTCCTTCACCAGAGCCACTCGCGCCTCGGCGCTGCAAAACGTTGGCCGCCGAGCCTATTCTTCGTCGCAGTATGCTAAGACCATCAACAACCTGCGCATCAACGCCGACACCAAGGTCATCTACCAGGGCTTCACCGGAAAGCAGGGAACGTGAGTTGTCGCAATTCTCAATTCTCAAATAAATCTTCAAAATTAACGAATGACGTAGTTTCCACGCTCAACAAGCTATCGAATACGGTACGGTCTTCGCTATATCGATGTCACGATGATACATGTGACAAAAACTGACACTCGACAAACAGGCACCAAGGTCGTCGGTGGAACAAACCCCAAGAAGGCTGGTCAGACTCACCTCGGCCTCCCTGTCTTCAAGAACGTTGGTGAAGCCGTCAAGGAGACTGGTGCCACTGCTACTGGTCTCTTCGTCCCGTACGTCTAAATCAACCACACACTCCAACGAAAACGCCCCCTAACAATTTTTCTCAGTCCTCCTCTGGCCGCCGCCGGTATCGAGGAGGCTCTCGAGGCCGAGATCCCCCTCGTTGTCTGCATCACTGAGGGTATCCCCCAGCACGGTACGTTTTTGCAACGTTGAAGGACAGTTTTGAAGGTTTCTAACGTGGACCCACTTAGACATGGTTCGCATCACCGACATGCTCAAGACCCAAAGCAAGACTCGTCTCGTCGGACCCAACTGCCCCGGTATCATCGCCCCCGAACAGTGCAAGATTGGTATCATGCCTGGCTTCATCCACAAGCGCGGCCGCATCGGTATCGTCTCTCGTTCCGGTACTCTCACTTACGAGGCCGTCAACCAGACCACCCAGGCCGGTCTTGGTCAGTCTCTCGTTGTCGGAATTGGCGGTGACCCCTTCTCCGGTACCAACTTCATCGACTGCCTCAAGGTCTTCACTGAGGACCCCGACACCGACGGTATCATCATGATTGGTGAGATTGGTGGTTCTGCCGAGGAGGACGCCGCCGAGTTCCTCAAGCAGGCCAACACTGTCAACGGCGGTAAGCCCGTTGTCAGCTTCATCGCTGGTATCTCTGCTCCTCCCGGTCGACGAATGGGTCACGCCGGTGCTATCGTCTCCGGTGGTAAGGGTGGTGCCGACACCAAGATCAAGGCTCTCGAGGACGCTGGTGTCATTGTCGAGCGCTCTCCCGCTGGTCTGGGCAAGGCTCTCTACAACGAGTTCGTCCGCCGCGATCTGCTATAATTTTATAACTAAGCTACATCTACTATTTGGTTCACCCTTGGGAGACAAGATGTGTGAGTCGGGGAGTGAGTTAGTAGAGTCCGGTTCATTGACCGAGGACTCGCTCATGGAGGGCTATTTGCATCATACTGCATGATTTCTTCGTACGTACCTGATAGAGCAAGGATGGTCTGGCTGGCGCGCAGGCTAGATTGTGGAAAGGCCTTTTGGTGTTCCTTTTCCGCAGGCGAGTGTGCCATAACCCTCAGCACGCAATACGCCAACAATGTCACATTACACCATGATCCATCTAATGTCGAAAAGTGTTTCAAGCCATATTTGATCATGCCGGAGTATGCACATGTGACGACGTGGTTGTCTCCTAAGTTGGGTAGGCATAGAACGTAAACAAGTGAAGAATTGCTTCACATATTACCGCTGAGTTCAATCGCTACCTATCTTGTGCCATTTATCATGACCTACGAACCATATGAAGTGCAGCTCATTCACCCCGTACCCAGTCTATGCTAAGTTGTTAAAACAAACCGACGTAAACTCCCCATACCATGCTTAAAGAAATTGTGTTTCAGATCGCTATTCCTTCTCTTGGTCCTCCCTAGTCCACATTAGTTTTCATGTAGCAGTCTGGCAACGACATCCCCCATGTAAGCCTCTTCCAGTTCGTAGTCTCGGCCTCCATTGCGATCTATACCGAAATGAATGAAGGCCTCGACAACATCTTCTAGTGGGAAGCCCATGTTCACAAAACGTTCGACAAGGTTTCTGTTGTATCCGGCAAGTCTACCTCGTGTCAGCTATATTCTCTCCGTCTCCATGTTTGACGTACCGAGCATTGTCGTCTTTGACCGGAGCTGCTGCGACGTCGTTTTGGTATTTGGTGAGGTCAACGTCTTGTCGTGGAGCGCCGGCGTATTTAACAGCCCATTCATGAGCCATGAGTGCGAAGCGCTTGGGGTCTTCTATCATCATCTTTGCAACCTCGGCATCTTGCGGGTCCTTGGGGTTTGGGCACTCGAGAAGCATTCGAAGGGAGAGAAGTGCGGTCTTGATGGTCTGGACGGGAGACCAGTTGGAGCTGAGGGTGTCAAGGCAGATAGCTCCCTAAGAAGTTGAGTTAGTATCTCGAATTCCTTTTCTTGTCGTAGTCCGCCTCTTGCTGACTGTCCCCGCCCCAACGAGTCGACGGTTTATGTGCTCCACGTCCGCCACTCGGAAGAAAGTTGACCTACCGTCTGACTGCTGATATTCGGATGCCAAATCTTGGTGTCGAATCTTATCGCTGGTGCCTTGAATGGATACTGATCCGGGATCTGTATGTCGACTGTAAAGGTACCTCCAGCGTAAGGGGTATCAGGCGGCGCAGGGAATGTTCCTTTGAGATGCTTCAAGTCGTTGTTAACAGGACTCGCGTTGACGCCTGAGTCGTCATGATCGGCTTCGATATCCTTGAGCTCCTTGGCTACACGCCGGTCCCGAGACATGATGGTGATACTCGTGGAAGAAGCGGTGATGGAAGAGTTGAGGATGTTGAATAACAAGTGATGATTGAAAAAGGAGAAGAGTTAGATCGAGTGAGGGGATAAGAGGTAACTTTGGGCCGTAAGACAGGCCTTCTGCAGGTCAGGTCGTGTCTTGTGCAGGTAAGGCAGGCTGGTTCGGTTGGTGATATTGGATGGAGAAGGAGGGGTCCTTGATTTTTGTCAGGCTGTGGCGTAGCTTAAGAGAAGAGGCCGACGTCACTCCACTGGGAGACCGCTAAGAGTTAGCGTCCTGCGGGGCGTTACTTTTGGGTTGCAGTGTCGGGTTCAAAAATAGAATATCATGGATCAAGTCCGCGAAAAATGGTTGGATCAAAAGTTCAATATGCTTTTGTGTGAGTGCATCAATAGGTAGAGTTGACAGTTTAATAATCAGACAGTGTTACCTTGTATGTAATTCAGTAAAGACTTTCCCAGATCAGCTGGTATTATTCCGCCTTATCTGACAGTAACTGGCTGACAGGAAAGTGTTCTCAGCCGCCTCACTTAGAGCTTATTCAATTTTGTAGAGCTCTGATTGCATTGAGTTGGTAGGAGTATAGACTGAAGCCAATCATATCATATGCGCTTTGCTATCTTCTCCTAGTTTCCTCAAATTAAATTCTGGTATTATCAACAGCTAGCGCTTTTAGGGACTTCAAGGCCAACTTTACGTATTGGCTTATATGGATGTTTCTTTCGGTTAATCCATCAAGGTCCATTGCTTTTCCCTTGTATTGTCACCTTTGAGACCATATATGTAGAATACTCTTTTGAAACGACTCTTGTGATCAACTTTTGGTTTCCTTCCTCCCTGCATCCATACTTGACAAAACAATTGAGACATACAGTAGTAGCCTTCCAATTGTTTTCGTCAACATCGATAGCGACATGTCTATGAGATGCTGGTATCGACCCCAAACAGACGAAGGGACATGGTAAGAAATTGTTTAAGTTCAAAATGGAGAGTTTCAGCTTCTTACAAGTTTGAATAATATTTTCCCCTCGACTGCGGCATCTGCATTCATTGTTACTGCTTGAAGTCAGTGTTGCTGTTAAAGCTTCACGTGACTCAGCTAGCTACGGCACGTGACTAGGCTGGAGCTGCTGTCGTGTTTCCCTGGCGCCTGGCGGTCGCTTTCATCATCACTAAGCTCGGGAGCCTCGACCTCTCTCCTCCACATCAAATCACATCCACCATCACGACTCACCTCATTGAAACCACTGCAACGCTAAACAAACGTCATCACATAATCTATAGCTCCCTGAGCTGATCCTGACAAAATGGTAAGCACTTCCGTCATACTGCAGCTCAACAGCTATTGACGTTATCTAGGGTCAAGGTCAATCCGGCATGGGAGAAGGGGGACGCGATGAGAAGGACAAGAAGGCAAGAAACCCGCTCGGAACCTCTATTTCCATTCTAACAACCCAATAGAAGGATAAGCCCAAGTACGAACCTCCGCCTCGACCTACCACACGAGTCGGCCGCAAGAAGAGAAAGGCCGGTGGCACCAGCGCCGCTCAAAAACTTCCCGCCGTTTACCCTACCAGCCGATGCAAGCTCCGACTTTTGCGAATGCAGCGAATCCACGATCATCTCCTGCTTGAGGAGGAGTACGTCGAGAACCAGGAACGTCTACGCAAGGCCAAGGCAGCCAAGGAGGGTCAATCTGTGGGCACCGATGCCGATGTCGATCGATTAGCAGACGAGCGTGGCCGTGTGGATGACATGCGAGGAAGCCCCATGGGTGTTGGAACTCTGGAGGAGTTGATCGACGATGATCATGCGATCGTCAGCAGTACTACTGGTCCTGAGTACTACGTCAGCATCATGAGCTTCGTCGACAAGGACTTGCTGGAGCCTGGCGCCAGTGTTCTTCTGCACCACAAGAGCGTCAGTATTGTTGGCGTCTTGACAGATGATGCCGATCCTATCGTCAGTGTCATGAAGCTCGACAAAGCTCCTACCGAGTCATACGCCGATATTGGTGGTCTGGAGCAGCAAATTCAGGAAGTCAGAGAATCAGTAGAGTTGCCACTGCTCCATCCGGAGCTGTACGAGGAGATGGGTATCAAGCCTCCCAAGGGTGTCATTCTCTACGGTGCTCCCGGCACTGGAAAGACATTGCTGGCCAAGGCCGTTGCCAACCAGACCTCTGCCACTTTCCTACGTATCGTAGGTAGTGAGCTTATTCAGAAGTACCTTGGTGACGGTCCTCGACTTGTGCGACAGCTTTTCCAGGTATGTGAATTCTTTGATGTGTTTGATTTGTTACTGACATTTTCAGGTTGCTGGTGAAAACGCTCCTTCAATCGTCTTCATTGACGAAATCGATGCCATTGGTACGAAGCGATACGATTCAACATCAGGTGGTGAGCGCGAAGTCCAGCGAACCATGCTGGAACTCCTCAACCAGCTGGATGGTTTCGATGATCGCGGAGACGTCAAGGTCATTATGGCCACCAACAAGATCGATACCCTGGATCCCGCTCTGATCCGACCTGGACGTATCGATCGAAAGATTCTCTTCGAGAACCCCGACCAGAACACCAAGCGCAAGATCTTCACACTTCACACCTCAAAGATGAACCTCAACGAGGATGTTGATCTCGAGGAATTCATCTCCCAAAAGGACGACCTTTCAGGTGCCGACATCAAGGCCATCTGCTCCGAAGCCGGTCTACTTGCTCTCCGAGAACGACGAATGCGGGTGCAAATGGCGGACTTCCGATCAGCGCGCGAGAGAGTACTCCGTACGAAGCAGGAGGGCGAACCAGAGGGTCTGTATCTGTAAAGTACCTGTACATGAGCGATTGGGACAGATAGATGGGTCTCGGTTATTAATGAGGAATAGAGATTTAACAGCCACTTTGAGCGGAATGTTTTGTACTAGGGATAAAATGCTTAGGTTGGCAATGCCCTAGGACTTGATGTTCAGTGTAATGTTACATGTTGACAGCGTAATGCTTCTGCAATTTTCGTGAACGGGCTGTATCCCGCCTCCATTACCATTAGGCCTTGTTCAGTAGACAAACAGACTCCATACTAAACCGATACTTTATTGTCCATCCCGACATCCTCCATAACCCATGCACGGATCCCAAAATGCAGACATATCATGAGGATCCCAGTTGTCGTTTCTAATACCAAGCTGGCAGACGGTGTAGGCGTAAAACTAATTGCCGTTCTCCTTCTTCACAGCCTCATTGTTCTGCACTCCCACAGGTGAATGGTTGTACAGCCATCGTGCGATGATGAAGCTGCCAATGGCCCAGCCCCAGACGAGGACGGCGATGGATGAAGTGACGAGTAGTGCTGGCACAAGAACAAGAAGGGCAACGCCAATCCAGAAAAGAGCAAAGACGATTGCTGCGCCAAGGGCGAATAGGATGGTTGACAGGGAGAATGTGAGGAAGATTAGAAGAGGGAGGAAAGAGAGAAGAAGTTGCGATACAATAAAGGACTGTTTTGTTAGCGATGTTAAATGGGCGGCGAGAGGGAACGTACAAAGAGAATAGGTCGCGATGAAGCAAAAGAAGCAGTATTGTCATAAGCTTTCTGTCGAGAATTAGGCGGAACGACACGATCCACGGAGCTCCGCGCGTAGGCAATGAAGCCTGATGCGTTGTCACGAGCAGTCTCGCTGTGAGAGTTTGTAGCGGCGGGAGCCATTGCTGCGATGGATGGTTGAATTTGGTTTATGGTGTTGGTGGTACAATTGTCATTATGGGAAGTGAAGTGGTGCTTGAGATGCTTCTTCAGGGAGGTTGAGGTCAGCTTCCCTTTGAGATGACGTGGGGGATGTGCTGGGTACGTACCCACTAGACACGGCAATTGGGATCTGGGGATGGTGAGGGGCCAATCAGATATTACACTTGCCTGGCTTGTTCAATATCATCGTTCTGCAAATACCATTAACTGTAAAGATGGATAAAGATTAAGGTAGTCGAGTTGATAATTGATTATGTTCTTTTTGACATTCAATAGATTACCGTAGTGACTAAACAATCTGAGTCCTGCCCAGTAAAATTTAGAGACTGCTCCTCCGATATCCAAACGCCATGATAACCATCCACAATGCCTTCTGGTTCTTCACAAATAGCTCATTTCAACATCGCCCACTGAAACTGTGCTCGTCTGAGCAACAAGTTGGTCAAGGCGTGACAAGACTTGATGAATCTCCAGCCTTGTTTCATGGTTCTTGTCCAACATTCCTGATACAAGCTCATACGCCAACTGGTTGCTCAAGGCCTCGCGTCTAGACAGGCTCTCGTCACACAAGACTTTGAGACTCTTCATGAAGTGCTCATGCTCTGAGGCAATCTGACATGACCGTCTATCCTTTGTCCGACAAAAGCTATCCCACAGTTCATCTCGTCCAGCTCTCCCTCCCTTCGCCACACCTAGCATCAGTGCAAAGCAGCATCCGAGTTGCCATATATCAGCACGGAGATTGCTCTCCAATCTCGCGACTTGCTCTGGAGCGAGGAAGATATATGAGCAGTCGTCGAAATTGGTTGACCCCCCACGGATGAATACCTTGCTCACGCCAACATCAGTCAAAAGAGGACGGATGTTTGGGGAATTGGGTTCGTGGAGCAAGATGTTGTCGGGCTTGATGTCCTTGTGCTTGATTGACCGTCCATGCATATAAGCCACGGCTTGTGCCAGCTTCTTCATGATACGATAGATGCAGAGGTCTGACTGTGGTGAGCCTGGGCTGAACCATCTGCATCGATCTTTACGTTTTCCGTCTGTTGACTTCAAAAAGTCTTCGAGGGTATAGGGGGCCCAGGGTCTCAGTATGAGATGAATGATGCCGTTGTCCTCTTCGTATCTCTCGTCGTTGGCTACAGTGAATGCTTCGACCAGTTTGACGATGTTGGGGTGGTTGCAAACTTCCAGAACCCCGATCTCCTGTAGAATCTTGCTCCGATCATTACAGAAGAAAGTTTTCATCGCAAGTTCCTCAGAGGTTTTCTTGTGTTCTACCCTAACGACTGCCCCGAAGCTCCCCTTGGCGATGGGTTCGAATGCCTTCTGCTCGTAAGGCACGTCCTCGGTCTTGTTGTAGGTATGTACGTATCGCGGCTCAAGCATCCTGGCGAATTGAAATAGACATCTCTCTAAATGCGGGCTTGTTATTGTTAGCTGTCTGTGTTCCCAACCAACAAGTGGTAACATACCGATGCTCCTCGAACGACCGCACCGCCTCCATTTGGGGAACCAGAGATGCTCCGTTTAGTGATGTTTTCCCTAGAGTCTCGGCAATACTGATGGCCATCTGCACCAGTCCTTGCTGATTCGGCAGAGATCGAGGGTAGCCGGTTCTCTCATCAATGTCCAGAATGAACTGAGAGGCAAACAGAGCGTCAAGGGCATCAGAGCGCCCCTGTTCTCTGTTTTGGCCGTAGAAGTCGACGAGTTCTGTAAGTTCGGCGACACATCTTTTTATTCTTTCCAAGAGTTCTCCAATATAGGTGGGAACGCCATTGACGATGCTGGAGCCCATCTCGTGTAGTTCATATCGTAGGGCATCGAGGTCTGTCTCCAGAGTCTGTGACCTTACATCGATAAGACCAGCCACTGCTGAGCCTTGTCTGAGGTGGCTTTCACTCCAATCTCTGATCCAGTGAGCAAACCGGAGGGAATCATCGAGCCTCTGGAAAGTCCCGTCAATGCCATCAGCAAAACGGTAGGGTCGTGGCTGAGGAGTGGTCAAAGACAATCGATTGCACAACATATCAACGGTTCGTCTCAAGGCGTTGGTGCGGGGGAAAAGCCTCAACAAGGCAAACAAGTGCAGGATGTCTTGCGGAGTGTTTGATTGTGGTTCGCCTGGGCTCCCGGATTGATATATCACCCAACCCCTGCTTGTGCGACGCAGCCTGATTTCTCAACCACTGTTGCTAGCCCTATCACATCCTGCTAGCTAGCACATTTCCTTTCCGTGGCGCTCTGTCATCGAACTTTTAACGCTTGACCGACATTCTGCAAGCACACGAGGGTTAGTTGATTATGCTGGAGCACAATGTCTCCGGGGTTCTGTGGCCCCGGATAGTGCTATCAGAAGGGGCCCTACAGACGATACGTTGAACATTCCAACGGACAAAAGAACCTTCACATAGAATGATCGTCTTTGTGTTGTATATGCTGATGTCCTTTTCGGATTATCCTTCTGGTAAGTTTCACTTACCTCGAGGTGGCCCATAAGGGGCCAAAGTGTGAGACCGAGCTTAAGCTCGCTACGCCCTGACATTTCTAGCAATTCTTATTCAGTATACAATGATACATTATTGTTCGCTGCGCTCCCAGTAAAAGCTCAAGATGTCATCAAGTGTCGTCAAACCTCAAGCATTGAAAGTCATATGAACTAATCTGACATATTGTCTCACTCTCTACGGCATATGCCGCAATAGCGCAGATTTGATCTCTAACAGACTCATCAATTGAATTGTAATGTAATAATATGACGAAAGTCTGCTCTAGTTCGGCAAGTTCTATCCTGGAGTCAATCCTGGCACAATCTCATACGCCATTTAGTTGCTCACACTCCCATGCCGAGACGGCTTGTTGTAGCATATGTGAGAACACAACCTTGGAATTCCTTAATCGGAGCATTAGACAAGGTCAATGGCCAATCGTCTTGCGAAAACTACCGGAGTTCATTGACGTGTGCCAGGCTTTTCTTAGCCAGTCCTAGGAGTCTCGGATCATAATACATATAATTGCCTCGTATCTATAGACTGAGATCGACTGACAGGAATATTCCATATATAGTAACCCTTAACATTCAAGCGATCATTGATAGATACAAATACTTCACGATCTATATTGCTTCTTACATAACACTGATGTCAAGCTGTGACGGTTGAATTGAAAATGAAGCATGTATTTGGCGGTTATGTATTCCTATCAAACTCTCCAAGAATTAAAGATGTGATCTATCATGAGTACTTTCATCTGCTCTCGATTGGCGGCAATAAAAGCTCACAATTTGACAACACCAACAAGATCGCAAACTTCAGAGGCACCGCTTGATCGTAAGAGCATCAAAGATTCGGTGAAGGCATATAGGGAAACCTTAGCTACACGTGCCTGTTTATATACAAAATGAACACTTTTGCTTCTTTTGTCCCTCGCAAAGACGCATGTTCATATTGTCGGTCGAATTGTACAATAAAAGGGAAGCCTATTGTTATGGGCGGCACAGTATCATAGCGTACTGGAACTGTGTAAGGCTGAGTTCCTGGCTTTTGATTGGTGCTCAAACAATGAGACCCGCTTTAAGCGCCACATCTGAGCGACTCGTACGGTAAAGCCTAAACAGTGGGTCTTGTCATGATCATTCCAACAACTTCACAACACCATCAGCAAAAAGGAATGCTCTCTGTGAGGTTCGAACTCACGACCTTTGGATAACCCTAGCTTGAAGCTAAGTCACTCTATGCAGATATGAGACCAACGCTCTAACCAACTGAGCCAAGAAAGCTTTTTAAGTATGATGTTTGTTGAAGAATCTGTGCTCTAATTGCAAATACCATCGTCTACTCATCTTAGTTCTCACTCCTCTCTGTTCGTAGATCGTCATTCGCTCTTGTCTCGCTTCTCGTGCGGCGATGCTGCGCCTCAGTCCACGCACTACACATCCATCTTAGCTAGGCGGCCGCGTTTACTGCGCCTAGAGGCAACAGCAATTCATGTTTTGGTTGGATGAGATTGCGTAGGCTTAAGAGAATGCGAGATGGACGGAATTGGGATAATACAGCGAGGAAGGACATATAAGCTTGGAAGGTGCCTGGTTGAGTATATCAGAACAATACAATCAACGAAACCTCCAATTCTCACAAACTTACTTTCACTCACATCACATTTGTATAACTCGTATCATCTTCACAATGACCCTTTACTCTACATCCAACAAGTCTATTGAGAACGTTGATCCTCTCAAGCAAGCTGGGCAGCCTCCGTCTTATTCCATCCAGCCGGATCGCACAGAGTACCAACAACCTCAACCTCAAGATCGAAATGCTTCTTCTACAGCCAGGCCAACAGCCGGCGAGCGTTTTCACAAGATCAGCTCCAAGGCTGGTTCGCCATTGAACAAGGTCGCCAACTTGTTTGGTGCCGAGGGATGGTGGCCTTCTACAATGGACAAGGAGTGCAGCAAGGCTGCTCGAATTCTTCACTCTTTCACCAGTGAGTATCATCTCAATCATAAACTATGAAGGGTAAGACTAACTTACACTCTCAGGCCTCAACTCGTCTACATCGCCCACAGAAAAAGGCCCCCTCCACCCTACCGGACTTACACGCAAGTCGATGGTCAAAATCCCCCCTTCTGTCCTCCAAAGCGCAGCCGGTCTAGCCATCTTCAACGTCATCCGTGCCGGCGCCTGCCATAACTCACTCTCCGGTGGCTCCGGTATAGTCATCGCGCGACGTTCAGATGGTACTTGGTCTCCTCCGTCTTCCTTCGTTGTAAGCAGTCTCGGTGCAGGATTTGTCCTTGGGCTTGATGTCTACGATTGCGTTTGTGTTCTCAACACTCAGGAGCAAGTCGCCGCATTCACAAAGCCTCGCCTTTCATTCGGTGCAGAGGGATCAGTTGCTCTAGGACCCATCGGGACAGGTGGTAGTGTTGAGGCTGCTCTTAGCAAGACCGCTCGACCTGTATGGAGCTACATGAAGAGCCGCGGTTTGTGGATGGGTGTTCAGATCGACGGCACTATCGTCGTGACTCGAGGCGACGCCAATGCTACTTTCTACAACGAACGTGGGATCACAGCGAAGAAGATCCTGTGTGGCGACGTTGCTTGGCCAATGGCTGCTAAGCCTCTTTTCGAGGTCCTCCAGGCTCTTGAGGGTCGGACTGATTACGACCGGACTGTTGTGCAAGCAGTTGGTCAGGTCCCTCCTCCTGGCGATAGTATCTTGTCTGAGAAGCAGGAGAGATACACTGATGAGCCCCAGGTGCAAGAGACTCGAGAGCAAACACCGCCTGAGGTTGCTTCTCGTGATGTCAAGGAGGAGCTTCCCGATTATGAGATTGTGAAAAAGGACGAGGAGGAAAAGATTGTGGACGATGAGAAGGCCAGGCTTGCTGCATCAGGATACTAGTTTTGGGGGTCTTGCGTGTTTGCTTACTGGGCATTGTTTTATGTCAATCTTAGCCTAGGTCTTAGTCTCCTTATCCCTAGGTCTTGTAATAGTTCTCCGAAGCATTTGATCATAATATTCTCATCTAACCCGATATGTATGAAGAGATTACGTAGTTGGGATTGTCTCTTCTTGGCATCGATATCAAGTGTAGAAAGGCCAAGTCTCCTCAAATTTTACGGAGTTTCCGGGAGAGAAGTCGAGCAGACAGAGCAACCAGATCGGACGTTGGTTGGTAACTCATCAAGAGCAGTTTTGCATCGATGGATCCTCAGCCGAGGTCGAAGAAGCATGTTCTTGTCAAAACTTGTCATTATCATTATAGTCAATATGCAAATCTATGCCAAGCTCCAACTCCAACTGTAAATATTCTTGTGTAAACTCAAGCCTCCTCATCAGACAGCCTCATCTCCAACCGGTCCCCTTCGCTTCCTTCTAGTATTCGCATCTAGGTTTTCTATCTCCTCAGCGCCACTTCGAAGCGTAGACTCAGAGCTGATAGCAGGGGCACTCGCGCTTTCAGGCAACCTAACCTTCTTGCCTCCCCAGCCAGCAGCCATAGATAAAGTCTGGGCAGCATAGTCCAGATCCCCGTCGAACCCATACCGGAAAGCCTCCGTCTCTTGAAGCGGGAGATGGTTGAAGCGCCAGTCCCAGACGCTAGCATAGGTAGAGCGATATGATGCGAATGCCATGATCGTGCCGATAAAACCGCCCCCTAGAATGTCGTACCAGTTGTGTGCAGCGTCGATGGTGAGTGAACCAGCGATTAGGACTGCTCCGAGGAGAGGTAGGAATGTGAGGAAGAGTTTCCAGAAGGCGGGCTTGTGGTCTGCCCAGACCTTGAGTTTGGCGTTGAGCCATAGGAAGAGGAATCCGAATCCGGCGAAAGCGGCAGTCGTGTGACCGCTTGGGAAAGATGTGATGGCATTTTGGATCCTCGATTTATCAGGCTGGGTGCAGATTTCGGTGGTGTACATGATTTGGTAGAAACCAACTCCATTCAAGCCAGTCTTGTTGTGCGTTTTGGCGAGAGAAATATCTGGCATACAAACATCGAGAAAGTAAGGTCTGAAACCACCGACAAGTTGTTTGAGGGTGACCTGGAAAAGAGACGCCAGAATGACAGACCAATTTGTTCCAATGATTGCGTTGCTCGCATCCCAGGCCGATTTGATCCGGAATTGGGCGACGATGTAGGTGATGATAGGTATAGCAATGGATATCAAACCGGACAGCCATGAGGGAAGAATCCAACCGCGATCAGGGTACGCCCATTGCGGGTAGACAATATCTCCCGAGGTCGCATCGAAGGTGACGGGAAACGTTCGTGTGATGATGACAGGAGAATGGTAGATCTAATAAATTAGCAAAGATTAAAAACACAGGAAAGAAACATACACCAAAGGCGACAGCTCCAACTACAGCCATGGCGAGTAAATCGCGCCAGTTGACAAGAAACCATTGTCGCATAAACGTCTTGAACTTTTGTTTCTTGGACTGGGACCTGTTGGCCACGGCCGAGTTGACTCTTGGGAGGAGAGGCATGACGACCTCGGAATAACGATTTTGTGTTTACAAAAAGAATATCGCAAGAGAATTAATTATTAGGTCAAAAAGAGGAATGGGGAGAAGAGGAGGAAGAACATACATAGGACAGAGCTCAGCTTGTGGTTGTCGCGTGCCAGTGCCTGCTTTGAGTTGTCTGACGTCATGGCATGCTGAATCGATCGGGATCGTAAACCTTCGTGACAATACAAGCTGCAGAGGCTCATCAAATTTGAGTAAGGCACAATATAACATAAAATAGTAGTAAATATTGGTATGACCATTACAATCTATAGGTAAAAGATAAACTCCATCGCATGCTAAATATAAACACCACCTATCTAAACGCCATGTTTACCATGAATGGATCATCACTTCTTCAACTCTCCAGGCCCCTTGATTCCACTCGCGCGACTGCGAACACGAGAATCATACTTGAGAGCCTTATCACCAATAGTACCATCACTATTCGTCGTTGAGCCCGACACGCAAGGCTCGTTATTCCACGCAACACCTCTAGCACGTCTCCACGACTCAATAGGCGAGGCCATCATGCGCTGCGTATAAAACAGACGACAGTTGGCAGCCTCATATCTAAAGTGCACAGGGTATCCCTCAAGATTATCCTCAGTATAGCCGTTCAGCGAGTTGACCTTGCCGACACCGCCGGCAGGGAGAGGAAGAAGAGGTGGGTTCTGCGAGCTGGGGAATGAGGACGATGCGTCGCTGAGGATAGAGGCCGTCTCCTTGTCGGTCTTTGCGTTGGCGCGGACATTGGCGATTGCGCTGGTGATGTCGGCGTTGAAGTTGAGTAGAGTTCCCTTGACGCCGCCCATGGCTTGCATGGCTTGGTTGAGAGGACGACCGCCAAGGGCAAGTGTGCGAATACCGTGGTTACGGGTGAGAAGACCGGTCAAGATACCACAAGCAGAGGCGCAAATACCATCAGTCACGATGATGATATTCTCAGGCTTCCAGGGAGCTTCCGCGACCAAAGGCTTCCTCTCGGGGTCGAAGCCATTGATATAAGCAGGAATGCTCTCATCCCAGGGAACAGTCTTGTCAGTCTGGAAGGCTGCGGTGACATTCTGACCCTTGACGGTATAAGGACCATAAAACTCCTTGCCTGTCTCGAGGTATTTGTTACCAGGGGCGACAGGGTAATACTCAGATCTTGTGATCAACGACTTGACGAGGTTATCATAGTCGACCTCAGCGGCAGCCTCAAGAGCAGGGTTGGCGCGATATCGATCCCAGCCAGTAAACTCTCCTTCAGGAAACAACAAACGATAGATAGAGTGGGCGAGAACAACTGAGCCACCGCCGTTGGCAGACATATCGATGATGAGCTTATCACGGCCAGTAGCCTTGGCCGCCTTGATGAGTTGAAGGATGACAGCTTGTCCCTCAAGGATGAACTTGGTCATGCTAAAGTCGGCAGGGGGGTTGCTGATGTCGATGCCAATAGGCAAGAAGCTCAAGATGGAGAGAACAGCGGTGTCTTTATAATCCTCGCCATTGAGCAAGTATGCAGAGACAGCGTTGCTAGATTGTTTGACGAGAGGCTTCGGGTAGCCAGGAAGATCGTCGTCAGTCTCTTGAGTTGAACGACGCTCATTGGCAGAGGGTTCTTCGGTGGTGGTGTTTGTGGGAGTGATTTCGACATAATAATGGAAATCTTCGCCAGACTCGATACCAGAAAGGTCAACAGTAGCAGGGATGACCAACTGGTTGACAATCTCCAACTTGCTACCGTTATGGAACTCGATGGTATACGTATCAGGGATCTCGAACTGGGTGAAGAGTGTGCTGCTAGACGATCCAACAGCGCCGCGAGGAATAGATGCAAAGAGACCGTTGTACTGAGCATCAGGGTCTTGGCTATTTGATGTTGCGAAAGAAGCATCCTCCTCGAGCCACTCAGCGATCGGGGTTCCATCGATAGACTTGACAGCTGAGGGGGTATAGTCGAGAAGACCTTGGTTACCACGGCTAGTGTCGATGACATGGAAGATGTATGGCAGTCGAATGCCGTTGGCAGACACGGACTCGAACTCGACACCTCGCCGGACGTAGTAGAATGCGTTGAGCAGAGCAGGAGGATAGTCAAAGTGACCATCATTTGCAGCAGCAAACTATTATCGTAAGTACACCATTGTACAACGAATTGGAAAAACTTACAAGGCTTCGCAGATCTGTCATGACTTCATATTGAGTCTTGTACTTGTTATTCTCCAACTTGCTCCGAATCGTATCAAACCCTCCAAGAACATCCACACCAGGAAACAGATACTCTTTCGGCGGATCAGCAAGAATCTCAAGCGTACTTTGAAACCCAATCAGAGGCTCAAGATAATCCAGCAGTTCGAGATCTCGCTTCTTATCCAGAGGAACAGACTTGAGACATGCAATACCCACAGAGGGAGGAATAGCAAGAACGACAGGCTTCCCAAGCTCAGGCTCAGCCTCCACATAAGCTTGACTTATGAACTTGCAAGGCTCGCTCTCAGCTTCAGAAAGATCCCGCGATGAAATGAAAGATGGTTGGTTTCGAGCCTGGTGCATAACCTGCCTGGGCTCGAGGGCTGCGAAACTAACCCCAGCAAGGGCTAATAGAATTGAAGGAATCATGGTGATTGTGTATATGAGTGATAGGGCTGGAAGATCTTTCTGGGTCTCTTCCAGCCCTTATATGCAGTCTATTCTTGAAGACCAACATGCCCGAGTCCTACATCGTGGCTGGGTGGAACTTGAGCTAGCGCTGAAGGTGTTGCTTATACCAGTAGTTTCACGGGCTGTGCTGACGGCGGGACCTGTCAGCATCAAACAATTATCTGCAGGCCTGTCGATTTTTCTTTTATTTATTTTTTTAATGTCATTGTCAAATAAGAATAAAGAGAGCAGTACTTTGGTGCAGATCCTTTCTCAATAATCCTCTTGAAGCGCCAACTCATACGTTTCAACTCCATCGTGAAAATCCTACCGTTGAACAACTGTTCGTGCCAATCTGCCTAACGGCTTTTTAGTCTATTTTTAACAGACCGCCACGGGGCTCTTTCTGTCTCTCTGGGTATTCAGCTGGGAAGCATGGCGCACCCTGCGCCACTCACTTATCGTCCCGGGTCCTAGTCCACGTTAAATATAAGCATCGTCTCCGTGTCCGAATGGGTCAGTCCTATACTGCGGAGTTTGGATGGGTTTTCGTTTAGCTTTCATAGCATTTCCATCACCATTTCTTCGAGAATAGAATGCCCTTTGGGCTTGGGCTTGGGCTTCTTGTCCCTTTTTCGCCGGGCTGACAACTTTTTCTGGACAGACGCCAGGACCGCCACAGCGCGTTCATCATAAGTTCGCGATTTCTAAGCAATGCAGGTCAGTAAGTTTCTCAATTAGTTCAGTTTGAAATGGGAATTATTCTGTCCTTATTTTTGAAGCGAAAAAAGAAGATAATTTCCCTCTGTCAGCCATAATTTTCCAGTGTCGGTATTCCAAACATGGTTGTTTCCCATCAATTGGTAGCTTTGCTGGAATTGCCTGGGCTTATCCGTAGAGCTTGAACTTTCAGCGTTGAAGGGCCATGTAAGAGGGCCTTAGCCACTAGGCTTTTGATGAACTGAGCAACTAAGTGTTAGAAGGGGCGGTGACTTCATTGATTGGTGCAAGTGAGGGGACTCGGAAGAAGTAAAGAAAGAGAGAGGTCTCGAGAAGTGGCTTACTGTGGTGGCAGGGGCAACAACAGCAGGGACAGCAGAAAGGACAGGCGCCAAAGGCGCCGACCATCTCCGGAAGAATAGTCTGGGCTTCTTCTCCTTCTTCTTTTTCTCTTCTCCTTCCTCTTCCTCCATCTCTCTCTTGCGTTTTACTGAGTCCAATGTCAGTTCAATGCGGCGGATCGGGCAGGATTGAAGCTTACAATCTTCCCGAAAGAGTTCAAGAAGATAATCTAAGGAAAGAGCTTAGTATTTGGCCATTGTAATTGATCTAAACTTGGACATCCAAGAACATACCAGAGCAGGCGCGCCATTCTTCTTCCTCGTCGACAACAAAATTCCAGTGGAATTTCCGCAGGGGGCTATCGATGATGAAGATGGTGAGGGTGATGATTAGTTTTTCGGGTAGGATTGATGTGCGCTTAGATGTTCTTCTTTGTATTTAGATGGTGCTTTGCAGCCGCGAGTTGTCTCAAAGCGTTCCAGGCTAGTTGCATCTAGCGCAGAGCTGAATCATTGTGAGGAACCCTGCCAAAAGTGCAGATTAGATAGCATAGAAATAAGACACATCAAATAAGCCACCAAGTTAGTAGCAGAAGTTTAATCAGTAGCATCTTTAAGAAAACCTGTTGCAAGAAGCAGGTAGTAGTTATATGTATCTTTTATTTTAAATTATAATTAGGTAATGTTGTCTTGGCAGCCTATTTACAGGGGATATGGGGCATGGATTCAGATAAGAAAGATTGTGCTAAAGATAAGAATTGGAGATTTAACAAGGTCGGCAAATGTTCGTCTCCGATTAAATGCGGCCCCTATAGTGGCAGTCCTTGTTCAGCATGACGCGACGAAAAAACGGTTGCCTGTCAGCTAAATCTCAAGTACCCTTATTTATTGAAAAGGAAGCAAAAAGAAGAAAAAAGAAGAAAAAATTGGTAGCTTCTCTTTGATTGAGCGTGTCTGATTAACCAGTTAGTATATGGTGGAATTGTATGCAATCACTACTACTTACCATCCTTAGTGCAGGGGCCATGCTAATCTTCTCTTGATGGAAGTTAGCAGGAGTCGAACTCAGGTGCTTTGGAATAATTACCTGTATCGTTTCAATAGACCAATGTGTCCCGAAGGACGAAAAAATTTGCAATCTACAGTTTATATATACTCCCCCACCAGACTACAACCCAACATCAATGTTGCACATTACCTACGTAGTAAACCATGCAAATAATGCAAGCAACTCGATAACCTCCGTTGTTATCGAGTTCCTCTCTTTGCAGATTCCACCTGGCTGCTGTATTTGCGGTAGAACAAGCTCTGGGACCCTCACACTCTACCTTGGGAAGTGGAAACCACTCAATACATTACCCAGTCTCGAGCCACAAACTTCCTCTACTCACAATTCAAGATTTGAGGGAGAATTCAACTCCTTTGTCATTGTCGGTCGTCTTGACGTTCACTTCAAGTCAGGTTTCGCGACAATGAGTGCGCAACGCAGGCCTGTTAAGAGCGCCAAACATGGCAAAGCAGCATTTCAATTGGAGGATGTCTAAGGGTAAAGAAATGTTGCAGCAAGAGGCAAAAGCCTGCAGCCAGTGGTTTCATCGTGTGTGCCCTAGCAAGGAAATGACTCTTTGCTGGAAGATGCCCGGGCGGGGCCGTCGAACACTATTAATCAACAGCCACAATGCCGGTTCAACCAAAAATGAAGCAGATATCGCAGGCAGGAAACACGACCACTTTGAGACAACCAGTCGTCTACCTCGGTGTCCTGCAGATAATCACTCTTGTTATGGTGATCGAGTCGTGCCTTCTAATACCGTCGCTTAGCTTGAAAATATGAACCGAGGCCACATGATTAACACCGAAGTCGACGGGGTAGTCATACCAGCATCATATTTAATGGTCACCCGCTTCTATGTAGCCCAGACACTTATCACGTGGTTTCCAGAGACTTGACTCCAGAAGTTCTTGGCGATCTAACTCGAACATTTTTAGACAATGTTTTTAGGCGAAATCAAGCTATCAGTAGCGTATTTATGATCTTCCACTATGATCATGCCTAAAGCGGAATTCTTGAATGTACAAGGTAAGAATCATATATTAAGACAAGCGTTATATATAGGCTGCTTCTTGAATACGTAGAATGTCGATTGTGAATAATTCAAGTGGCTGACAGCCTGACAGGTGAGGGGGAAACTGATGTCTGATGTGGCACATCTATATATCAGGCCCATATACGCATTAATCATCCCTGAGCAGATGGCCATGCAGCCTCGTGCGGCTGAACACCACGTCTGACTTGTTTTCAACTATCCAACCTCGCCAAAAGAGTGAGGCCCCCATTTCAGAAATCCAATGGATCTCACGCGTTCGTCGCAAGTGGTTGCAACTGTGCCGGGGAAAGGGGATCAAATCTTGCAAAATGCTATAGATTCGTTCCGCACAGTCCTCACTCCTGAGCAGCTCGCCGAGTTCAACAGTATTCAATCTGTACCGGATACAGATGCCGTTCTCATCTTCACAGCTGAACTGGATCTTCGGCGACGGAGTCAGAAGGGTAAAAGCATCGCCAGCCGCTTGTTTCCCGTCCTCCAAGCCGTACACAACTTCACAGCTGTCATCGACACGTTCATCTCATCAAACCCTACTATCGCAGCGCTGGTCTGGGGAAGTGTAAAGCTGACGATGCAGGTAGGCTGGCCAGAGTGAAACCTCACAGCATCAACTGTAATTAACCCCAACAGATCATGCTCAACGCTGCATCTTATTACGAAGCCTTTGCCGAACTCTTCATGAATCTTGGCACGATATGTCCAAGATTTGAACAATATCAGGCACTGTTCCCCAACTCTGAGCGACTACAAACAGCCTTATGCAATTTCAACGCATCTATTATCCGCTGCTGCCAGCATGTCATCGACATGCCGAAAAGTGGAAGTGGGTGGACTTCTCCACTGAACCCACTCAATGCATCGTTCTGGCAGTCATTTCAGCAAGCCTTTGAATCCAATTTGCAGGAGCTCCGTGACTACAGCAAGAATGTCAAAGAAGAGATTAGACTGGCTCAGGCTCAATCCGAGTATCGCAACAGGGAGCTCCAAAGGATCGAACAGGATCAAGCTGAGAAATCCAGGCTGTCATTGGGTCGTTTCATGTCTCGTACGCGTGATGATTTTGATACAATGCGCCAGTCGCAGGTTCTAAGAAACCAGCAGTTAGAAAGTAAGTATTCAGTTTGAAAAGGTGGTTTTAAGCTAACAAGGCAAAGGAGAGAAAAACCAAAAGCTTCTAGACTCCTTGTCTTCCCACGATTACCTTAAGCCCCTGAAGCAAGCTCGTCAGAAACGATACCCTCAATCAGCAGACTGGATCTTCGACACCGGTGAGTTCAAACGATGGGCCGAAGGAACGGCTGCACGTTTCCTTTGGTGTTCCGGGAAAAGTAGGTTGTATTTGATCCAGCGATCTAGCCACTCTAACATATCGTAGTGGGATCCGGAAAGACAATCTTAGCGTAGGTATTTATGTGTGAAATCTGCATTGCCACTGACGACTGTAGGGCGAGTGTAATCGACTATCTTTTGACCAAACCATCCCAGGCTGGGAGCCGTGTCACCTTCTTTTTCTCTAGATTTGACGAATTAGAGTCACTGACCGCAGAGACAACCCTTCGAGCCATTGCCAAGCAATTAATATACCCCCGGGATATTTCAGATTATATAAAGCAGGCTTTGGAGAAAGTCCAGAATGCCAATGGAGAAGTCTTGTCACAAGTTTCAGAGCTCTTTATCCACCTCCTATCCAAGGGAAGCCGCACTACATGGATAATACTTGATGGATTAGATGAGTTCCCCAGAGACGAGCGGCGCAAACTCATTGACGTATTGGGATCGATACTACTTGTTCCTGAAGTTAAGATGTTTGCCACCGGTCGAGATCAGGCTGATTCCATTCTTGCAAGAGCTAACCCGGGGCTCGAGCGACTCTCTATGAATTGCCCACTTGGCAAGAGTGGCATGGAAGAACTAGTTAATCAGGCTGTGCAGAACTGTCTTGATGCCGAAGAATTACTGGTGAGCGACAAGGAACTCATTGCCGAAATCAAAAACACTCTAACTCAGAATGCCAATGGGATGCATGTGTCCTCAGGTCTTTACTCTGCCCGACTATAGCTGACTTTCTTCTAGGGTTCTCTGGGTTGCTCTTGTCCTCAGAGATATATGTACTCAGCCCAACAATGAAATGGTCCGAAAAGCCATTGCAGTTGGAAATCTACCAAGAAGCCTTACAGATGTTTTCAACAGAGCCTTGGAACGAATTATTTCCACGGGAGGAGAAAGAGTCACTCAGGCACTTCTTCCGTGGATAGTGGCGGCAAAGCAACCCCTAACACTTCCCCAGCTCCAAGAGTGCTGCTTTATCAGTATCCTCCAAAAACACAGTATGAAAGATCGTTACATAAATGGAATACAGCGTCTTGATGCTTGGTTCCAAGGCCTTGTCGAGATTGACCATGAGACGAAGACAGTTCACCTTGTTCATGCCTCAGTCCAGCAATTCTTTCAGACAGTGCCAGATAAACCCAACCTTGCCAAGTTTCACGTTCAGGCCAAAGAGGCCGACCTTCACCTTGGGGAGATTTGCGTTACTTACCTGAACTTCAATGATTTCAAGACGACATTATCCCGGCGACGACCACCCCTACCACCAATGGCTCCCGACGAGATCTGTGCCCAGGCCCTCAGTTGTGAGTGGAGTTGGGCTAAGCTTCTAATACTTTCCCGGGGAATTCCCAGTGGTCGGCGAAGAGCTGCCGACATCGATGGAGTTGTTGCTTCATATGCAAGAGCGTCTGATGCAACAGTCCAAGAGACGATAATCAATGATCATCCGTTCATTTTGTATGTTTCGGCCTACTGGCTCTTACACACAGCCAATTTTAATGAGGAGCAATGCCGGACATGGAATCAGTGGAGAAATATGTTGATTCATGGTCATGAGTTGGCTGCCTCACCTGTTTCTGAAGAACGCCATCAAGGTATAGATCATGCTCTTCTTGTTTGGGCTTCTTCTACCGGGCATTCTTCGCTCTTTCATGTTGTTGCTACATCAAGGGAACTTGTTGACCAATTTTACTCATCGATGTTCGATCATGTATTAGAAAGAAACGACACTACTCTACTATCTAAAATGTTGAGCGCTGGAACATGGGTGTCGGTGCCCAACTCACTATGCTACAGGGCGGCCCGCGAAGGTCTTCTTGGAATTGTACAGATGCTGGTTAAAGGGGGGGTGGACATCAATGCTGGCATGCCAGACTCACACGGCGTGCCATTCAATCTACCTCTTATGGCGTCTATCGAGACAGGTCAGATCGGCATCATGGAATATCTTTTACAAAACGGCGCGAACCCCAATTCTCGAACTACTTCATACCGAAATGCGCTTGAGCCGGCAGCAGAGCTCGGTGGTTTTGAAGGTATCCAGGCTTGCCAAATGCTCATCAACGCTGGCGCCAAGCCAGAATCTGGTGAACAAGAACCTACGGCTCAGTCGACTTTAGGCTACAACGCCCTACAAAGGGCTTGCCGGAGAGGCGAATTCGAGATCACAAGACTCCTCCTCGACGCAGGTGCCGATGCTAACGGCACGCCCAAAGCAGCGAAAGCTGACTTTCCACTCCAGCTGAGCATAAGATCAGAAAATATCCCAATTATTGATATATTAATCTCTCACGGCGCTGATGTCAACGTGCAGACCTCTGACGGCGACGCTATCACACCCCTTCTAAAAGCTTGCTCGCTCGAGTCGCCAAGACTGGTCATTGTTCAGCTTCTGATAAGAGCTGGTGCAAAGGTGAGGGATTCAAAGGACAAAGGCGATAGGCTATTACAAGAAGCAATAAGAAGCGGTAACTGTAACTTGGTAAGGCTACTGATAAGAGAAGGAGCTAATGTTGACGGCGACGGGACTCTGGGCAGCGAGAGAGATGCCACTCCCTTGACGCTAGCTGCTCATAATGGTTTGTTGGAAATCATGCACATTCTACTGTTTGCTGGTGCCCGAGTTGTAGATGCTAACACGTTAGCGGCAAAGTTACCAGCAACTTGTAGAGATGGAAAGCACTATGAAGAAGTCCTACGCAAATTGAAGTCAGCGGAAGAAAAGAACAAAGAGAGGTTGTTATTGTCGGATCGTAGAGGTTGGTCAAGGAATTCTTGAATAGTGATACTTAGAGTGGTGTGGTATCAAGTAGATTGACAAGGCCGTTTGGCTTAGTGATTAGCATCGTAGACGAAGTTAACTTAGCATTCCAAATGGTATTAATTTAGTAAGTATAAACTTCTGGGTACACAAGGTGAGTCGCACCTGTGAGGCCATGCTCCTCACAAAATGACAAATCTTAAATCATCTCTTCATAAACTCCTCATAAGAGCCTTCTCAAATTATGATGAACTCATCATTAGTTTTACAAGTATTCTAAACCTAACCTGAGCCTTAGGTTCCTAACCCCTTGATGGCCTCTTGCCGTTGTTCCACGAGGTTCTTGTCCATTGCTTCGTATGTGTTGGCTTGAGAGCAAAATGCGGCAAAGGCGTTTAAGCCCCTTTGGCATGGTCCAAGGCTCGACGGTACAGATACAGGGTTGATATAATTCCAGTGTGCCTTGAGAAACTCGACGTCGAGAGATAGCATCTACTTACTCACAAAAGCTGGGAACCGCTCCATGTGCAAGTCATCTACTCACACCCGAGTCAAGATCAAGGTATTCTATTACATTACAAATGTATAATTTTCACCCAAGCACTTCACAGACTGGCATAGCAATCGCGCAAGATGGCATTAGACATCTATCTCGTTCTAATCACAAGCCATGCAACACCGGCGATGCTAGATACACAAAAAGGAAAAAACACAACTAGTAAAAGCGCACGTTCCTAAAAAGCCACCGCAAGAAACCTTAATCATACCAAGATCGGTCCATCCAAGAACCTCCCTTTTACAGAAGGACCATGCCGGCACCGACAACACCAGCGACGGCCATGTAGGCGCCAACGGCGAAGTCACCGAGGGAGAAGACGCGGGCGATGGAGGCAGCCTGGAGACCAAAGTTCTCGTCGTCCTCGCTGCTGCTGTTGGAACCACCGGTGGAGGAAGAAGCGACGGCGTGGGTGGCAGTGGCAACCTCCTCGTTGATCTTGCTGGCGGAGGCGAGAGCAGACTTGCAAGAGTCCTGGCTCTCGGCCTTCTGGGTGGTGGCCTTGCCCTTGAAGTCACAAGCATCGGCAGCGGACTTCTGGGAGGTGTAGTAGGCGTCGAGGATGTAAGCAAGCTTAGCCTCGTTGGAGCACATGCTGTAGGCACCATAGATACCGGCAGTGGCGTTGGCGTTGATAGCGGTGCAGATCTTCTTGTCCTGGCCGCAGATGTAGCCAAAGATGTCGTTAAAGTCCTTAGCCTTCAGGTTATCAGCGGGGACACAGCTTCGGCTCTTGACCATGCAGTCGCAGAGGTCGGAGTCGGGGACAGGGGGAAGGACGCTGTTGGCCCTCCAGTTCTTGGACTGCTCGGGGCAGGTGGCGGCCTTGCCAGTGGGCTTGTAGCTGTCCTCCTCAACACCGGAAGGCTTGGCGGCGTTGGCCTTCTTCTGGAGCTGGGCAAAGTCCTTCTGCTTGACAGCATCACCGTTCTTGCTGATCTTGACGAGACCGTAGTCGTTGGCCTCCTGGAAGTACATGTAGACGATACCACCGCTGAAGACATCGGTCATGACCTTCTCCTCGTACAGGGCGGTGGTCTCATCGAAGATACGGCCAGCAGCGCCATCGGGCTCGTTGCAACCATACTCAGCGAAGAAGACGGGAACAGAGTAGTTCTCAAAGAACTTGGCCTGGTCAGCGTAACCAGAGTCCTGCATGCTGCTCTTACCGCACCAAGAGTAGATGTTGTAACCCCAGTAGTCGATGCGGGAGTCGTCGTCACCGCAGTTGAAGTAGTCGGCAATCTGCTCGCGAATGTCGACATCATCGTTGGAGGCGTAACCGACACCAAGCCAGCGGGAGAACTTGCTCTTGATGTGCTTCTTGGTGTCACGAACGGCGGCCTTGACGAAAGCAGAAGCCTGGGTGTTGGAGACGTTGTTGGAGACCTCGTTACCGGCAAAGAAACCGACGACGTTGTCGTACTGGCCAAGCTCATCGACAACTCCGATGTAGCGCTCGTACAGCTCAACATCCCACTTGGGGTCATCACGGTTGATGGAGACGCTGGGCTCAGAAAGATCAGAGATGACGTAGATTCCAGCATCGTCGAGCAGCTTCATGCAGGCCTTGTGGTCGGCCTTGGGGTTGATGGCGTAAGTTCGGATGATGTTGGTACCGAGCTGCTTGAGGAGAGGGATATCACGCTTGCAAGCATCCTCATCGGCGAGAGGATCGATGTACTTGGTAGTCTTGTCGTTGGTCTCACCAGCGGCGGCGGTATCCTGTTGGTAAGCAACACCCTTCATGAAGAACTGAGTTCCGTTGGAGTAGAAGAGCTTGGATCCCTGGGAATTGTCAATATCAAATCGCACCATCTTGACCTCCGGCGCATACCTTCATGGTGATAGGCTCCAGCTTGGCGCTGGCAGCCGTGGCCGCCGCAGCGACAATGGCAGCGGAAAACTTCATTGTGTTGTGTATCAAACGGCAAGTAAAAAGAACAGAGAGTAATGAATGACTAGAATGAGGCGATGATTTTGTTCAACGCGTAAATTGTTGTTGGAATGCTGAAACCCCTTTTTCCTTCAGTTCGCGACGAATGGGCCGGAAGAGAGGCAATCGGATCGAGTAGCAAGAGCGTTTGTAAATGAGTGTCGGGAAAAGTTAAAAATCGGCCTCAAAGTAACGAGAACCGATAAGAAAAAACGGCGATGAAGAATTAAAGGTTAGCGAAGGTTTGATGAAGGAAGAGAGAAGGAAGATGGAATTCGAGGGATGGGGCGATTTGAAAAGTAAATGGAAAATGGAATGCATGGGGTGGCTAGCACTGACACTAAAGCAGTCTAGCTACGGGACCATCCCTGGGCTTCTGGAGTGGCCCCTCCCCCCTGAACTTCAGTTACCCAAGCCGCTAATTGTCCTGGCAAGGGTTTGGCAGCGGCTGTGTTGTAGTGGAAGAGCGGCACTGTGCCTGCTACGGTGAAAAGGTCGGTCCCCGAAAACAAGCAGATCCCCTCGAGGATTGACGAATGAACCAACCACGGGACAAAGAACCCCTGTCGATTGCGAGGCGCAGTTCAGAGATTGAAGCTTGTTTAGGTCTTGCCCGGCGCCATCCGTGGCCAATCAGGGGTTGCTGCAGAGGGATCTCATCTTGTTGACGGTGGTATAGTGCTTGGAGTCAATGCACACCGTAGCTCTATGTCGCCTTAGCAAAAGCTTGGCCTCGTCCGGTGCATGGTTTGTTAGTGTCTCACGAGATTGCACTGTACAGAATAGGGGACAATCTCCACCGAATATCCGTTCTACGACAAAACATCAGGGGTCTCACCTGGGTTTGGTCTGAGCCGCCATTGATTCTGCATCTCGCCTTGAGCATGTATACGACATTGAATGACACTTGGGAAATTGTCTCGAGTCGCTTGCGGTGGGACTCATTGTCTACGACTTGACCGCGTTCACTTGGCATGATGAATACGGAATTGCAATATCATGATATTAAATGCCTATGTCTTGTCCTCTTGGCTGATAATTTTCGGAAGTTGATTAACAACGGCGGCTGAATTGGGTGCAACGGGTCGAACAATGAGCTTACGTGTGTTCGTGTTGCGTTGATTTCGATTTCCCTTCCGGGATGTGTATGCTCGGCCCGGTTGGTATCTTTGTCTCAAAGGGTTCGTCAATCCTTTCAGAGGCGCGTGTCATTCCTATCAGGGACACTGTATCTCTCACTCCTGTTTCCTGGTTGGTTCCTCCACCCATCGTACTCTGAAACCGATGCAAAGCAGAGCATAGACGCTTGTGCACATCTATGGAGCCCATAATATCCATCCCTGACCCAGCTTGCATTCTGGCATGAGCTTGACTGTGATATTTTTGGACGGGTTCTTTGTTATTTCTCCTTGATCAGCGCTGGGACCTGTCTATCATCATCATATATAGTGGTTCAGACGACGACGACTCGAAGCTTGATCGTGTTGATGGATAGACGGAACATGAACAGTGGAGTACGGTTCTGTCGATGGCGGGTCGAGTTGCAGTCATTCTTTTGGATCATCGATTCCATTCCTCTCTCGTATATGCGTCGTCATCATCTTCCGTCGTTCATTGTCCTCGAATCTTGTAATAGACGCTACCAACGCCATAAAGGACCCGACCCCAGGCATCGTGAGTCTTTTGCAGCAATCCATGTTGAGGGCGTTTCTGGTTATGCCGTTGTTCCGGCCGGTCTGCCGAAGTCCGGTGATAGTGGCCGTCGTGGTACACGAGTTCTCCCGGCATCGTTATCCGTATTGTTTATCGTATTGTTATTTTTAATTATATGTGGATTTGATTCAAGTGAATTGCGTGTTCCGAAAGTTTTCTATTCCCACAGACCTTGTTAGAGACCTCACCCTGTTTAAATAATTCTCCTTAGCGTAGGGCGATCTGATGGTTGTCAACCTCTTGAGGCGCGTGCCATACCGATGACTCTAATTGCACTTCACCTGCTCAATTATTGCATCAATTCTGCCACCACTTGCCATTCAACTGAACGAGCCGTCAGCATTTGACCTCTCAGAGGCATCAAAAGGTCCGGCGCCGCTGAATGGGTCCCACCACCGGCCGATCATGCGACTTAATCGCCGTCTCGGTCGGCTGTAGGGTGGCAAATATCACCCTTCACGGCTGAATTTCTTTCATTCTTGCGTCACGCCTATGAAATCTCAGCCTTGGCTCACGGCTTGGCAATAAAGCCTTGCGAAGATCTTGCTTAATATCACAAAGTGTTTCGTGGTGGTTGTCTGTTTGTGTGAAGAACGAACTTGCTTTATAGCGGACCGTCAAAGTAGTGGATGCAGGATGGATGCTGATGCTGGTAGCAAGGTCAAATAACCGAACGCACCAAGACCACTGGATACAGTAACAAGATAGACAAAGAAATGAATCATAACTCGGAGCAACTGAAATTTCTCTTCTTTTCGTACGAGACTTCCTGCAGACTCAGCCTTAAGAACTTGAGGCATGCCTCTGCTTTTACACGAGTATTGGCATCGTCAGATCCTGGCAGCGATCGTTGAGCTCGTCATCTATTAGAACGAACCTTGAGAGATGGATTTTCTACAGACTTCCCGCTATTAAGGCATGTTATCGATTTCCGCAAGTGACTTTATCATGGCCCGTTGCACTCGAGTCTTGTGTCGTGGATGCAGTCAGGTGATGAGGAGCATGAGGCTGAGATGTTCCATCATTGACAATGGCTTGAGTACCTAATTTTTGAGTGTTCTTCCTTGGCGAAATGGCCTAATAAGATACACTATATATTTGATTCACCCACTAATCATTCAGAGACAGGCAACATCGCGTGCGGCCTCTCACTACTCGCCATGTTCAATCAAGTGTCACTCAACTACTGTCACATGATGTCGCCATGGATGCGTCTTCAAGTGCACTTGAAATATCGTGTAACTTTAAAACTTACGCTGATACAGTAAATACATGTTTGTGTCATTTGGCTGAATAAGGCTTATTACTCGTAGTTGTTCTCTCCAGGCAGGTGAAAGTCGTTAATAGGCAGAACCGAGTGAGAGAGTCTCGACAATCATGCGAAGTCTACTTTTTAGGCCATCATGACAACTCACAGACAATGGCTTGTTATCAGATCGTCAACATCCGCGTTTCGTCGAGCGTTGGTGATAATCTCGTTGTCTCTTCGTAACGCAGATTATACCTATTTGATAGTGGATGGTAAATCTACCTGATAATTCATGTTGTGGTAATTCTAATGAAGTAAAGTAAGGTACAGATTGTTGCAATGTGTTCTCGCGCGCTTGAAATGCTACATCAAGTCTGTTCTATATCATTATCACATCGGTGCCTGGTCGCACTTATACAGAGGTTGAACGGCTAACTTGCAAAAGAAAGCAATTATCTATTCTCAATTGCGTATTTCAAGAATAATTATCTATCAAGAGATGATACTGCACAAACCGATAAGCACAAAAATCAAGGTCTTGTACTTCGCCTGTCGAAACCGAAGTATCACAATCTGATACCATCCCCACCTGCCATGTCGCAAGCGATATACGCGAATGAATAAGCCAGTTTCATGACATCAGGCCGAGTTTCAATCCTCGGGGCTTCAATTCAGGATGAGAACACACTGCAGGACTGTAAAACAAGCTCTATCTTCATTGAACTCGTTGTGGATATACGTGAAGCGAGTGCGTTCTGTTCATGAGAGTAAGTGGAAGCTGGAGTTCATCATGCCAAGACCATTCTCCACGCCCAGCTTTGCACAGACATGCATGAGTGGCGAATATACAGTCTCCTAAGAACCGGGGAATAAGGAAACCAGGTGCAAAAGCTCCGGAGCTCCAGTTCAGAACTCAAAGACAGGCAGGATTCCTGGTCTCTTGCATGGAAGACTTGGTGTTGTTGATGTCGTCTGACAAGATGCTCTTTTGGGCTGGCAGACACATCAAGGCCAACCTACACCTTCATGCCGCTGTCACAAAAGTGAAATACCGGTAAGGGTGGGATTATATAAATCTAAAGCTTTTACTCTTCTACCGACCATTGTAGCGTCACTCATGGTCTGTGTGGATGTTGCGATGCATCAGCTGTCTTACACCCAACATGGTGAGGCTCGGGCACCCACAGCTCAGATCTCGATGTCTATGGAGAGGCTTTGTCGTGGAACTTTCCAACCCATTCGCTTATCGAACGAAAAGTCCTTGGTTACTATTGCTTTGCTTGTTTTCCAGGCGAAATCCTCGTGCCTAGGGCCTTTCATGATGTAATTCGGCGTCATGTTTTGGAGCTTAGAGGCGTCAGTGAAGGAACACCACCATGATGTCATGGAACCTCAAGTTTGTATATATCAAAGAGCTCAAGAACCTTTTGATATCTGTATCAAGCATATTCTGCAATCTCAATCAATCGAATCAAAAGTAGACGAATTTATCTTTCCATCAACACTTCAAACATCATGTCTCCCAAGGCCCCCAGCCACGGTCAAAAGGTAAGCTTTAGCAATATATACTGGCTTTACACCAGAAACTAACCGATCAGGTCGATCTCGGTCAGAACGCTCCCGTTAAGCAGGAGGGTGCTGGTACAATCCCCAATGAATCCCTTGCTGCCGAGTCCTTGAAGGAGGGCGGCGGGTTCACCTCCAACGAGAGTATCCACGGCGAGAACCAGCCCACCTCCAGATCCAGATCCGAGAACGCCAGCGCTGGCCGCAACACCAACATCTCTTCCGCTCCCAGCTCCGGATCTGCCTCAAAGTCCAGCGACTCTGCTCCCAAGTCTCTGGCCGGCACTGCTCCCAGCTATGTCGAAAACCAGTACATCAAGGCTCCTGGTGGACCTCACGGCAAGAACCTGAAGGAGGGTATTGACGATTCGAACACCAAGGATGGTCTCAAGAAGGCCTTGGGATCTGAGCCTGGTAGCCAGGATGATCCTAGCAGACTTGCTGAGCAACAGTTCCAACAGAACCAGACTGCCGCTGGTCGGGATGCTGGTCCTAAGCAGAGTGAGCTTGAGGGCAAGACTGCTTTCGATGCTCTTAATAACGAGACTTCCTCTTAATTTGGGGATGATAATATCTGTACTATAGCGACTGTTCAATGATGAAATGACTTCATGAAACAATAAGGCTGGCCTGTTTCTGTGATACAATTTAGTTAATGATCAAGAGACGTTCATGCACACGTTTTATGAACAGGAACTCATGTTCTATATGTCATCGTCATGACTAGAGGGGTATCATGTCGCAGGATATCTACCAACTTCGCGTAGTTGGACCTAAACTAGGTGAGGTCAAGCAAAAATGAGTAACATCACATCGAACGAGGCGAGCATCAGCTTCAGTTCATGATGATAAGTGACAGATTCGACTGCAAACAGTGCAAGTGCCTGATACACGAGCACAAGGATTGAGCCAGCGGCTATTTCCAGGCGCAACAGGCGGCAGTCTCATCTTCAGGTGATAACGCCTTAGATAGTGGTGAGTTGCTGTAAAGAGGCAAAGTTGACTGGTACGTTTTTACCAACTCGACCGGTAAGTCCGAGTCGATACATCCAATCGAGAATTATGAGTTTGTATGCAAAGCTACGGATTCGCCGCCCTTCAAGGTTGCCTGCACGAGAAGAAGATGGCGGGCAGTGTGAAAATCCTAAAACTCAGCAGCCAATCATATTGGGCGGATTGATGACGTCAGGTCAGGAAAAAAATTAAAATTTGGGGTTGATAGAGGAAGATAACAGCAATTTACCGCAAAAAGCGCAGAATAAGTTGAGAAGAAAGTCTAAGCAAGTTGGGTTCTCTGTGTACTAACTCAGTTATCAAGAATATTCTATAGACTGGTCTCATTAAACTTGCAGCTTATCGGAAATAATACACCTTGATGCCTTAGTTGGTGCCTGACTCTGTCGTCAGTCAAAAAATCTGTAAATCTGCCCCACCAAATTAAAAATTCACCCCGCCTTCCCTCTGAGCACAACCACTGTAGAAGTTGAACCGGGAACTGACTGGAACCGCCACACTCATTGTTATTTGCTTGGCTGGTTTTTCTTTGTCGGTCAACTTAACTTTTCCATCTCACTCTCTTCTTCTTCCTCCCTCTTCATCGAACGGTCATTATCCAAACCACTTCATATACCCCGGTTTGGACTTGATTTCTTAGACGGACATCCTCACCCCGCCAACAGTTTCCGTTCTTTCAACCCCGCGGTCTTTTTTTTCTCTTTCCTACACACATCTTCATCATGGCCCCCTCTTCATCCAAGGAGAAGCGTCTCGCCAAGAAGGCTGCCGAGGGCAAGCTCAAGGGCAAGAAGGGCAAGAAGACTGAGGAGCCTGAGCTCGATGCCCACGGCAACCCTATCAAGGACGATGATGCCCCCGCGACTTCAGGCGCAAAGCTCGAAGAGGTGAAGCGTCTCACCGAGCAGATGGACAAGCACGGTATCTCTGACCGTGTCACCACCGGTGTCCTCGCCTCTACCCAAACCAGCAAGGACGTCAAGATCACCAGTTGTTCTCTGGTCTTCCACGGTCGAGTCCTTATCACCGATTCCACTCTAGAGCTCACCTACGGTCGACGATACGGTCTTCTCGGTGAGAACGGCTGTGGAAAGTCCACTTTCCTCAAGGCCATCGCCGCCCGCGAGTACCCCATTCCTGAGCATCTCGATCTCTACCTTCTCAACGAGGGTGCTCCTCCCAGTGACCTCGGTGCCCTTGAGTGGGTCGTCCGAGAAGCTGAGCTGGAGCTGGAGCGTCTCGACCACCAGGCCGAGAAGCTTCTTGAGGACGAGGGTCCTGAGAGCCCTGTTCTCCTTGATCTCTACGAGGTGAGTTAATCCACAATATTACCAAAGTGCCATCTAACATTTTACAGCACATGGACAAGCTTGATCCCTCAACCTTCGCTACCCGTGCTTCCCTTATCCTGACTGGTCTCGGTTTCAACAAGAAGACCATCCACAAGAAGACCAAGGACATGTCTGGTGGTTGGCGTATGCGTGTCGCCCTTGCCAAAGCCCTCTTCGTCAAGCCCTCCGTTCTCCTTCTCGATGACCCCACTGCCCATTTGGATTTGGAGGCCTGTGTGTGGCTCGAAGAGTACCTCAAGAAGTGGGAGCGAACTCTCGTCCTCGTCTCCCACTCTATGGATTTCCTCAACGGTGTCTGCTCCAACATGATTGACATGCGAGGCAAGCAGCTCATCTACTATGGTGGTAACTACGACTCGTACAGCAAGACTCGAACCGAGAACGAGACCAACCAGATGAAGGCCTACCAGAAGCAGCAGGATGAAATTGTTCACATCAAGAAGTTCATTGCTAGCGCTGGTACCTACGCCAACTTGGTCCGACAGGCCAAGTCCCGACAGAAGATTCTCGACAAGATGGAGGCCGATGGTTTCATCCAGCCTGTCGAGCAGGACCGTGTCTTCACTTTCCGTTTCGCCGATGTTGATAAGCTCCCTCCTCCTGTTCTGTCATTCGATAACGTCACCTTCTCTTACTCTGGTAAGCCTGAGGATGACCTGTACCGCAACCTGGACCTCGGTTTCGACATGGACTCCCGAACTGCCCTTGTCGGCCCCAACGGTGTGGGCAAGTCTACTCTGCTCCGCCTCATGACTGGCAAGCTTTCTCCCACAGGCGGTGTTGTTACCCGACACACTCACTTGAAGCTTGGTCTCTACTCTCAGCACAGTTCCGAGCAGCTTGACTTGACAAAGTCTGCTCTCGACTTCGTTCGCGACAAGTACAGTGAGAAGTCTCAGGACTACCAGTACTGGCGTCAGCAGCTCGGCAAATACGGTCTCAGCGGTGACTCCCAGACTGCCCTAATGGGTACTCTGTCTGAGGGTCAGAAGAGTCGTATTGTCTTTGCTCTGTTGGCTATTGAGAGCCCCAACATGTTGCTTCTTGACGAGCCTACCAACGGTCTGGATATTCCTACCATTGACAGTTTGGCAGATGCCATCAACGCCTTTAGCGGAGGTGTTATCGTCGTTTCTCACGATTTCCGGTAAGCACCATTGAATCTGATTGTAATGAATGATGACTAACGATAATAGATTGCTCGACAAGATTGCCAAGCAGATTCTCGTCTGCGAGAACCAGACTATCCGCACATGGGACGGTTCCATCTCCGAGTACAAGAACTACCTCCGAAAGAAGATGATCAGCGCCGGAGCAGTCTAAGGCGAAAAAGTTTTACGAATTTTGATTTTATCTGGCACGAATGCATGAAAGGAAATTGACTATAGAGGATACTGAATCCACAAAAAGTTGATGAGAGTGCCATTGGCAATCATGTGGGTATTTTCATGGGTTTAAAGCGGCGGCGGCGCGGGTGGCTAGACCATCAGGATACTTGATACCTTATGATGGAATGAGACGGCCACGACGAACGACGCTACAGGACGCATGGGCATGGCCTCAGTAGAGAGGCCCGGAAGCGTTCATGAAGATGTGGAAATGTTCACGGATAGATTTCTTTTTTCTTTGGGTCTGGCTGTTTAAGCCTTGAGTACGAATAAATGGATTCCATTATAATTACTTGCATTTTTGTGATTTTTGTGTTGGATGAAATCCATTATTCGAAGATGTGGGTGGTTGTTGTGGTGCTCGTGATCTGAGACTCGGCAGACTCGAGGCCGAGGTAAGGCTGCTGAAGAATGCGAGTTACGATGCCATCTATCGGCGAATGATTTCTGGCATTAATAAAATTGAAAATTGTTATGCACATGCTCATCTCGTGGTAGGGCTCTTCGAGTTCGTGTTGTTCGTGTTATAGTTCATCCATTCCCTTGTTATCGGTGGTTTCTGGCATAACGATCGTCAAGGCTGAGAATGAGCCGGCTAAATGAGCTTCAGCCTTACAACGTTTGTCTCACCATCAGTGGTAATTGAATAGACTCAAGCAAGTATTGCGCCTAGGTATTTTTACACCAACAGATCAATACAAACAAGTGCATTCTCATAATACTGAATGATGTGGTCATCCAAAGTCAACATTCCTCTCCTCTACCCTGCACAAAATGACAGACATATCATCTTGAAGCGATCTCCGGAACCTATCCCCGCTGCCGGTGACTGGGGATGGGCTGATGGGGAGCCCAAAACGGGGTTAACGCTGTAGAGTTTAGCGTTGAGTCAGACCCACATGGAACGGGGGCCAACGGGACAGGGGAACGAGACTTGGGACCTGAAAAAATAGAGTGAGAAACGAGTCTGACGCGGAATCTGAGTGAACATCGTGTTCGCGTGTGCCTTGATTTGGATGGAGCTGTATTCGCACGCACGCACTTGAATTTTGCCGTGATTACTATGAGGGTTTTTAGACAACAGCCAGATCAACGCATCAGATGCAGCCAGACGCTGTCACATTCAATGACTCAACACTTAGCAGAGCATAGGTACTGACTTATAACCCCAAATTCACATTGAACCTATCACCAATTCCTCTTTAGGGAATCGTGCCTTGGACGGGTCGGTGATACACAATTACAAAAATAGTCGCTTTGATTGCTTCACCATTGACTCGATCTTGTTGTGCATGCAAATCTCATTTCAGTGGTGGTATTTTAGCACGTCAAACCCCCTAGAACCCCCCGTTCGTGCAGGTCCTCGATTCCATCGCCGTCCCTCGATCAGCTTCTGCATCAACTCCTCTTGTCTCTTCTCTTCCTGGTTGACTCTCCCGCCGTGTCAATAGGCTTTGTTATCTCCACTGCCGCCCACACCACCACCGTCGTCATTGTTCATCACAGAATATACGCCTTGATTAATGCAGACAGACGCTGTAATTATCCTTAGCAAGTATCCGTATCTTTGCTTGAACCATCACTATAAACTCGGCTCGCCTCGCTTTGCCTTACCGGGTATCCGTACCTTGCTTGACTGTTGATTGACTGGGCTGGGGCTGTCACTCCAGCTCCCGCCATCACCACCTCATTTTGGTTAACCTCCAGCTCTAGAACAAACTCCACTCCACTTTGTTGTTCCCCGATCCTTCTGATTCTCTCTTACCATTCACGTTGTCATAATCCGTTCCCCCGCTGCTGTTATTATACTTTACTGTAGCTTTGTCTGTCAATCCATTGGCCCTTACCCCCTCTAAGACTCCCATATCTCTCGAGACTCTCAGTACATCCAAACTTCAGTATAGTAACCCTGTCTCGCATCCCCTTCCCCATCTCGACTGCCGCTTGCATCGCCGTATCCCAGCGCCACGCTACCAACACCTCCACACCAAAACACTTTGCCCCCCAGCCAGGGCATCCTCCTTCGACTTGCCTTGGATTGGGGCTCAACCTAGACCTGACATTGTCGCGATCCATCACTGTCCATCGTTTTCATCCCACACGTACCTCTGTCGCAGTTCGCTGCATCACCGATCGCGACTTGCGAATCGCATCGCATCGCAACTCAACCTGCAACGCAACGCAACGCAACGTAACGATTCCTCACACAGCCTCGCGTGCGCATCGCGAAACTCTGATTGATCGACTGCGCATCCTGTACCGGACACATTAACCCCCCAAAACCGTCGTCGCATTGTTGCTTGTCGAGCACATGGGTTCTCAAGCTTGATTGCCACCGGCCGTCCGACTATAACACACTCCCTGCTCTCTCGGGTGTTTAGCTTTGTTCTGTCTGCCATTCAGGCGCTAGACCATCAATCACCATGGATCAGAACGGCTATAACTCCTCGGTGCTGCAGCGGCCACCACATAGAGAAGATGGTGGAGATGATGACCGAGACTCCCGTCCGCATCACCATCATCATCACCACCATCATCACCATCACCACAACAATAGGCGCGACGGTGACTCAGCTGGACCTGGGCCTATAGTTGGAGAAACGGCGACAGCCTCATCGAATGCAGGCGGCGCGAATGTGCATCAGCACTCCACCTTTAGCCTGCGCTCACCCAAGTCAGAATACCGTCCTCCTCCCTTTACATCTCCCAACGGCCATAGCCATAGCCATAGTCATAGCCACAGCCATCAAAACACTCCAAGTGCCGGCCATTCCCTTCAATCCCCGCCTCGTCCAGCATTGCCCAATCCCTACATGTCATCGTCCACGGGCGCACCCGGCGGCCCCGTCGCTCCATCACTTCCACCTCCTGTAGGCCTCAACTCATCATCACCTGGATCGTCAGCAGCAGGACTTCATCAGCAGCAGCATCATCGTCAACCTCCAGCACCACCGCCTGCTGGTCCTCCGCCCGTGTCGCCGCTGCACCCTCCTGTTGCATACTACCCTCCCGGGTCGAACCACGACATTTATATACCGCGTGAAACCAAACCTGCATCGCGAGGTTTTTACGACCCTACAACTGATACAACGAAGGAAAGTCGAGTTTCTGACGCGGCGACGCCTGGAGCCTCCTGGCACAACGCCAACGCCAACGCCAACGCGCCCCCGGTTGGCACTCCAAAGGTAAGGGGGGCAAATCCACTCTTTTTTTGTCTTTGACTCTCGTCTCGTCTCGCCCGGACACGATTTGATTGACTGCACCCGACGTCCCTTGATTTTCCTCTTCCCCATCATCCTTCAATTCTATCTTGATCATCGAGATCTTCACCCATCACGCCCAGGCCATCAATGCCTGTTCCCTTCCCTTACTCTTATCAATCTTAATTTCCCATCAAACTGTCACTATCGCAACACCTTTTAATTTCATCATCACCCTTAACTCCGTCGCACAACATCCTTCTGCTCCGACCAAGACCTAAATAACCACAAAGCTTGCTGACGTGGAGCTAATTTTTCTTTTCTTACACAACAGACTCGCGATCCGTACCCTTATTCGCAATCTGCCGAACAAGGTACTCCTTCATATTACAACGGCTCTTATACATCTCCACGAGATCCATCATACAGTCGACCGCGAAGTCCAGTGTCACATTCGCATCAGAATCCACCAGCTGGATCTCTCAGCCCTCCGGGGCGACAACCTCTACTCGCTTCTCCAAGTGCGAGACATGGTGCTACGGCCAACATGACTTCTTCTACTAACGGGGCTTCTGCCCTTACACCTTACAAGTCTGATCTTGCAGCTCCATCACCACCAAAGCCGGCATCGGCAAGCGTAGGTGCTAACCAATATACAGAATGTTCATTTGTACTAATACCATTGCAGACATCAAGAGCAAACCCAATGTCTTTTGACAGCATCCTCTCTAGCTCTGAGCCCGCTCGAAAACCTAAAGAACAATCTCCTCTGATTTCACGAGAAGTCGAACCAGAAGTCAAGCAAGAGCGAGAATCTAGACGTGATCGAGAACCGAAGCACGACTCGCGGGAACCAAAGCAGACAAAACGCTCCCTAGAGCCCGAAGCGGATCACGACACAGAGGTGGAAAAAGATGTCGAGACTGAGCCCGAACCTTTCCCTGGTAGAGACAAAGAAAGAGAGCCTCCTGCCAAGAAGCGAGGAGGTCGAAAGTCAACAAAAGGCCGTGCTTCTGATATTCGAGATGCCGCTACGCCTAAGAATGGTCGCAGATTATCGATCAAGAAGGAATCGCCAACACCTCGACTTCCCGCTAAGCGACAAGCAAATGGCCTGCCCAAGCCAAAGACTTGGTCAGCAGAAATGGAGAAGAAGATTCAGAACGCCGAGACACAGATTGACAGCAGAGCTTCAAATCTGGAACCCGATGAATTTGATCAGCAGCAATACAAGGAGCGAGCTCAGAAGCGACGACGCGTAATGGATCAACTCGACCTGGAACATGGTCTCTCCCGGCGTGCCGCTTTTGCGACTTCAACCGGCAAGAAGCTCGTACTCCATGCAGAGCTCGGTAAACGACGCTATGACGACGTGTTCTACGACGAAGCACTCCATGAGGTCCGCGAACAAGAAGTTTACGCCGAAAAGGAGCGCAAGAAGGATATGCAGCGCAAGCGACGTCGTGAGAAGTCAATGGCTGTTACCATGGAGCAGAAAGAGGCTGCTCTGGCTCGCGCCGAGGCTGCTGAAGACGAAACCGAACGGCAGAAACATCTTCGAGATGCTGAACGCGCCAGTAAGAAGGCACAGCAGACGAAACTCATTCTCCAGAAGGGTATCAAGGGCCCTGCCCGTAATTTGGAGCTTAACCTGGAGGGTGGCACTATGTCTTCATTCCAGGCTTCTGATGTGGAATCTGGGGAAGCAGGTACACCATCTGGCAAGCGAAAGGGCAAGGGTCGTAGCGGACCTCGTCTCAAGAAGTCCAAGGAGCAAAAGCAAGCCGAAAAGGATTCTGCTGAGGCTGCCCAAGCTGCTCTCGATGCTGGAGAGGAACTCCCAACCAAAGAAGAGAACCGCGTTCGAATCAAGATCAAGAAATCCAAGAAAGATCCTTCTGCTGAGACGGAGAAAGATAAGGACGACGGCGATAAGACCGAAGACGAGCCTGTCGAGAAGAAAAGCAAGAAGAGCAAAGACAAAGACAAGGAGAAGGTCGATGACATTCCCGACAACGAGAAGCGGTTCATGTCTAAGGGCTACAATCAAATTTACGACCAGATTTGGCGAGATATGGCTCGTAAAGATGTCAACAAGACCTTCAAGCTTGCCGTGGACTCTTATGCCACAAAAGCCTCAAATCTTAAAAAGACAGCCATCTTGGCATCGAAGGAAGCAAAGCGCTGGCAATTACGGACAAACAAGGGTACCAAAGATCTCCAAGCTCGAGCAAAGCGTGTTATGCGTGACATGATGGGCTTTTGGAAGCGTAACGAGCGAGAAGAACGAGATCTCCGCAAGGCTGCTGAGAAGCAGGAGATCGAGAATGCCCGAAAAGAAGAAGCCGACCGTGAGGCCGCCCGTCAAAAGAGAAAGCTTAACTTCCTTATCTCGCAAACTGAGCTGTATTCTCACTTTATCGGCAAGAAGATCAAGACTGATGAGGTGGAACGAAGTACCGACAACCCGGATGTCGCCAAGGACGCCCATCAGATTGACCAGCAGAAACTCGACATCGATGAGCCGACAGGACCAGTCACTGGTAAGGTTACCAACTTCGAGAACCTTGACTTCGAGGAGGGCAGCGAAGAGGCTCTCCGTGCTGCTGCTATGGCCAATGCTCAGAATGCCATCGCTGAGGCGCAGAAGAAGGCCCGTGACTTCAACAACCAGGGTCTTGACATGGATGAAGAGGGCGAGATGAACTTCCAGAACCCCACAGGGCTGGGCGACGTCGAGATCGAACAACCGAAGCTTATCAATGCCCAACTCAAGGAATACCAGCTCAAGGGTCTCAACTGGCTTGTCAATTTGTACGAGCAGGGTATCAACGGCATTTTGGCAGACGAAATGGGTCTCGGAAAGACTGTTCAGTCCATCTCCGTCATGGCTTACCTGGCTGAGAAGCACGACATTTGGGGACCCTTCCTTGTTGTTGCTCCTGCTTCTACTCTGCACAACTGGCAGCAGGAAATTGCCAAGTTCGTCCCCGAGTTCAAAATTCTTCCATACTGGGGTGGCGCCAATGACCGAAAGGTTCTCCGAAAGTTCTGGGATCGCAAGCACACGACATATCGAAAGGACGCCCCTTTCCACGTTTGTGTTACTTCGTATCAGCTGGTCGTGTCTGATGTGGCCTACTTCCAGAAGATGAGATGGCAATACATGATTCTTGATGAAGCCCAAGCCATCAAGAGTTCTCAAAGTTCTCGATGGAAGGCATTACTCAACTTCCACTGCCGAAACCGCTTGCTTCTCACTGGTACACCCATCCAGAACAACATGCAAGAACTTTGGGCACTTCTCCATTTCATCATGCCGTCGCTCTTCGACTCACACGACGAATTCAGCGAATGGTTCTCCAAGGATATTGAGTCTCACGCACAAAGTAATACCAAGCTCAACGAGGACCAGCTCAAGCGTCTGCACATGATTCTCAAGCCTTTCATGCTTCGTCGTGTCAAGAAGCATGTGCAGAAGGAGCTCGGTGACAAGATTGAGATGGATATCTTCTGTGATCTCACTTACAGACAACGCGCGTATTACAGTAATCTTCGAAACCAGATTAACATTATGGATCTCGTCGAAAAGGCTACCATGGGCGATGACCAAGATTCAGGTACACTAATGAACTTGGTCATGCAGTTCCGAAAGGTCTGTAACCATCCCGATCTCTTCGAGCGCGCCGAGGTCAATTCACCATTTGCTTGCGCCTACTTTGCCGAGACCGCGTCTTTCGTCCGTGAGGGTAGCGAAGTTGCCGTGGGTTATTCAAGTCGCAACTTGATTGAATACGAGCTCCCCCGCCTTATCTGGAGAAAAGGAGGCCGAATCAACAAGGCGGGCCCGGATAGTCAAGTTGCAGGCTGGAAGAACCAGGCATTGAACCACATGATGAATGTCTGGAGCCCAGACAACATCCGCGAGAGTTGTGATGGATCAAAGGCATTCTCGTGGCTTAGGTTTGCTGACACTTCTCCTTATGAGGCTTATGAGGCCACTCACCAAAGCCTGATTGTCCGAGCTGCCAAGGAGCTTCAGAAACGCGACAGACTTGGATACATGAACGTGGCCTACAGCGACACTGAGGATCAGAACTACACTCCCGCCCATGCCCTGTTCCAGATTCGGGCGCGACAGAACCGAAAGCCTCTAGCGGACATCACCAGTGAAGGCATCTTGACCCAGCTGATGAATGTCGCTCAATCAGACTACAACGAGTCTGGTCTTGGCCGTCTGGAACCCGCTGGTAGACCTCGCGCTTCAGCACCTCCAATCCAGGTGTCTTGCCGCAGTTGGGGCTCTGAGGCCGAACGCAGCGAAGCTCTGTTCAATGCACCGATCCGCAAGATTCTCTATGGCCCTACCGTCTTTGAGGAGAAGGCTCTCGTGGAGAAGAAGCTTCCCATGGAGTTATGGCCCACTCGCGAGATGCTGCCTAAGCCTGATCATGAGAAGAAGGGCTTCACTAATATCTCTGTTCCTTCCATGCGGCGCTTTGTTACCGACAGTGGTAAGCTGGCTAAGCTTGATGAACTTCTGTTCAAGCTCAAGAGTGAGGGTCATCGTGTACTCCTGTACTTCCAGATGACTCGCATGATTGACATGATGGAAGAGTATTTGACGTACCGCAACTACAAGTACTGTCGACTGGATGGTTCTACCAAGCTGGAAGATCGACGAGACACCGTGCACGACTTCCAGACTCGTCCCGAGATCTTCATCTTCCTTCTCTCTACTCGCGCTGGTGGTCTTGGTATCAATCTTACATCCGCCGATACTGTCATCTTCTACGACTCCGATTGGAACCCGACTATCGATTCGCAAGCCATGGATCGAGCACATCGTCTGGGCCAGACCAAGCAGGTCACAGTCTATCGTCTCATCACGCGCGGCACAATCGAAGAGCGCATCCGTAAGAGAGCAATGCAGAAGGAAGAGGTTCAACGTGTCGTCATCCAGGGTGGTGGTGCAAGCGTTGATTTCTCTGGCCGTCGTGCTCCCGAGAACCGCAACCGTGATATTGCTATGTGGCTTGCGGATGATGAGCAAGCTGAGATGATCGAGCGCCGCGAAAAGGAGCTTCTTGAATCAGGCGAGCTTGAGAAGCAGCAAAAGAAAAAGGGTGGCAAGCGACGCAAGGCCGAGAATACGGCCAGTCTGGATGAGATGTATCATGAAGGTGAGCATAACAGTCCAATTGAATCTTTGATTCTAAGCTAACACATCTCAGGCGAGGGTAACTTTGACGATGGATCCAAGGGCCTATCTGGTACAGCAACACCAGCTACCGCAGCCACACCTGGCGACAGCGACAGCAAAGGCAAGAAGGGTAGAAAGGGGACAAAGCGAGCCAAGACGGCGAAGCAAAGATTAGCGATTGCTGATGGTATGATGGAGTAAGGGATGTCAACAGCGTCAACTAGCAACGCTTGTAATATCAAACGCCAGACTTAGAGCCGCATAGGCTCACGGGAAGACGAAGGGAGTTATTCAAGTTATTCATGTATCTGCTACGTTACTTTTTCTTTTTCTTGTTGTCATGGCGAAGGAACCGTCAATAGGGGGAGTTGGAAGTGAAAATGCCGATAAATTATAGCAGGGCAGCAAAGCATCGTCTTGGAACAAAGGCATGTATTATTACTATAGACGGAGGGCAACAAAGTATATGTGTCTGCCATGCGTGTGTGTGTCTCTGTGTTTCTGTTGGCGCTGTGTGCATGAGTCGCGATAGCGTTGCCCACTTCAACAATCACATCCGGTATGGTGTAGTGGCTAACATTTCGCGCTCTCATCTTCAAGCTGAGGGATTAGTACCGCGGAGCCCAGGGTTCGATTCCCTGTACCGGAGTCTATATCTTTTGCTGATGTTGATGATTTCTTTTTGCTAGTTGCTGCGATTAATGAGGATGGAGATCTGGTGGGTTGGGTGCTGGAGCGATCAGCATACTGTTGTTGCCGTTTGTCTGGCTTGTGTCTAGCTATATTAATTATTTATATATTGACAATACTGGTCTAATAGATTAGAGGCAAGAGATGGGATTGTCCAGTGGGTTGTGTTAGTTAAGCTTGGTGACGATGGATGAACTAAGGAAGCGAGAATGACAACTTGTAAATAGGTGGGTGTGAGTGAGCAGCTTATATACCCATAACAACTACTACCAAAAGCATGGGAGCTTTATCATCGGGATTGGTTGTTTGAGATAGTGGTCGCGGTTGGTTTTATATAGTTCTCTGGTCTGCTGGCGCGTTGTTGCTATTGCTTCATCTCCAAGTCAAGTTCTTATCCCAGCGTTGTTCTGTCTCCTCTCTTATACTGATCTACGTAACCAATTTGGGCCCTTGCCAACGGGCTGTAAATACGGTGCATGTGCAACACTTCAAATAATGGCACTTTCTCTCTTACATGTTCATGTGTTCAACTAATTGCATGTTGTGTTGAGCTTACTGAGAACTTACTTGGCAGACCTCCCCGATGTCACTCGCTGATCACCGATTGCTCAATTAAGGGGGATAAAATATTGCATTGATTTTCGAACTCTTAAAGGTGACACTGGATGGTCATGTGTCTCATTAACATGGCCGCAAGAAAATCATGCTCTCCGGGCCAAAGACATGCTATAGTTGCTGAAAACATTCATGGCTAAAACATCGTCTTCGAGTACCTATGATATGACACTCAGAAATGATAGCACCAGTGACCATAAACAGAAGCAATATCCCAACTATATTCACTTCCATCAATCTATACTCACTAATCTATATCTACATAAGAATTGCAAAGCATTCATTTTCAAGCGGTTCTGCATGCACAAACCAACGCAAACCGCTATTTGAATCGTGACATGGCAACACAGTCGCTCGATATAGAACTGGTCATGAATCTCTTTCCACATACCCGGTCGTATCATAATTCGAAACCTCTATTGACCGGAATCAGGATCAACAACTTGTGAGTGTCACTTGCATAGGCGTGCTGGCTACTTGCGACTGCCCTATATCCACATGTAACACCGCGTGCGACGATCGATCACTGCATGTTGCATTTGAGTGTTGCAGAGACACAACAGCCAGCAGCCAGCGAAGACGAAATCTAGTTGTTACGCCCATCCAGCAGCCCATCCAGCACCACCATGCTGTTCTCGCCCGATTGGAAGTCGAAACTTCAACAAATCATTTCCGGTATGGTGTAGTGGCTAACATTTCGCGCTCTCAAAATCTGAGGGATTAGTTCCGCGGAGCCCAGGGTTCGATTCCCTGTACCGGAGTTCTTCATCTTTTGCTTCTCTTAATTAATTCCTCTGTAACGAGCACGAAGAGAGATATCTTTTTGGTGGCGAATGTGCAGGACTGGCGAAACAAGAAGGATGGAAGTGATATAGATACACTGGGGTAAATATTATCTAAAACGCTTGTTTATAATAAAGCTGGAGAATAATCGGTTACAGGCAGACTTTGTTTGGTATCTGCTTTTGTAGAAAATGGGCCACTGGAGAGGTGTCTTCGGTAAGAAACAGGCGATAACGAAATGACAGATGAACCAAGTCCGCGGATGGATAGGGGCCTAAGGAAAATGCACCGGCATTAACGTTTAAGGACATAGACATGTTGCCTCTTTCCAGGACTGCAATATCTCGTGCTATAACGGTGGCCATGTGTGTAGTATGTGTTAGGAGGAAGCTCGAGTATACGAAGATTTAGCATTTCGGTTCAATTGAGGAATACCAATTTCTGCAGTTTGGCGAATCCAGGGGACAGAGACTCTGCTTGCTATTAACACTGTAAGAAGACTAACGTTGATTATGCTGCGCGATGAATACTGAGCCTCACGAGGAGCAATTTGAATGAAGGACAGGCTCCTTATAGACATAACTCTGGGTTGAAAGACAGAGTGGAGCACTACTTCCAGGATAACTTCTGCTCAACAAGGGAGATTACAGGCCAGTAACTCCATGTAGTCGCGGATGCAGTCTGCATGCCACTTGCAAGTTATTTGTCAGGTCAAGTAACATGTTCGCGACTGGACGGAGTTGTAGAAAGATACAAACAGAGTTGCCAAACTCTCAGCCCGCTTGGACAAGAGCGCGAAGACCTCTAATAATATCATAGGGGCCACAAACATAGGTTTCAAGGTGGCACAGTCATGATAGGACAGAGTACTTTCTGACGCAATAGCAAAAAGAGAAGAGAAGCAAAAGCAAACTCCGGTACAGGGAATCGAACCCTGGGCTCCGCGGATCGAGGTGATTCTCCCTCATTGGATGAGAGCGCGAAATGTTAGCCACTACACCATACCGGAAATGATTGGTGGTTGATGGACGGAGGCGGAGGCAGGACAGCTAAGTCGCCGGGCTGCTGGATGGCAGGCAAATGCTCTTGCATGTGACATTAAGAGACAAGGGAGGTCGAATAGTTGGCTGGTGAAGTTGATGGAGGAGTTGAGTTTGGAGTTCGCACTCCGTAGTGGGGCAACAACTCAATTCATCAGCTCCGAAACATCACTACTCAGAACGGCAAGTCCTATTGCCATCACTTGCAAGGGTTACTTGCCTTGTTTCTTGCCCCTGATATAACAGCTCCTTCTTGCTCTTTTTATTTCTTCCTCTTCTCAGCATGTCCACGGCACCTCAATACCAGCTAGGTCTTTGCCAGCTTTATTCACCACTTGAACCAGAACGGTCGTTGTCTACCAATAAAAAGAGATCATGACGCCGCCTGATACCTATTATCCCATCAGGGGGAGCTTACTGAAAACAGCAAAAAGAGACTCCGGTACAGGGAATCGAACCCTGGGCTCCGCGGTACTTGATCTCTCAGATTATGAGAGCGCGAAATGTTAGCCACTACACCATACCGGATGATGCTGCTTATGATGCAGGGGTCTGAGAACGCCGTCTAGATCCGTCACTGCTGGATCATGCAGAACGCAGGTAGTCACTATTGCTTCCGATCAATTTCCCTATATTGACCAGGACGAGAGAGCTTCTTCTATGATAGGTCCATCGAATCCAGGTTCTAATTCCAAGTCTTGAATCTGAATCACATAATGTGATAATTGCTTCTCTTTATGCTCATCTTGCAAGCGTCCTATAATATATTAACACACCTTATCTTGAAAGCGAGCCTCGTAGCTTTGCTCTTATATAATCTCAGTTAAGTGTGAAAGACCGACCTATGATGCTGCTCGTGGCATGATATGAAAGTTACATATGTCTATAAGCATTGTTGAAAAGACCATCCTATCAGATACGTTTCATCCATTCTTCAAATGGGCACTGTAGATTGCTGTAGATTGCTGTAGATTGCTGTAGATTGCTGTAGATTGCTGTAGATTGCTGTAGATTGCTGTAGATTGTCATGTAGTAGAGGTCATACTGATGCTGATAAAAGTCTCAAAAGACTGTCAGAACTAACTACTATCCTTGGAAACCTTGAGTATATAATTGGATTGTTGCTACTGCCAGTTACGCAGCACATTCTTGTGTATAACCTCACCCCCAGCCTCGCACCATCTGCACCATCACCTGATAGTCTCGTCCCTAAACTCTTCCCATCATTTGAAAAATCTCAAATCTGGGATAGCTTTGCACGTAGTTGGTAGCGAGGTTAAATGTTATTGATCAGCCGCTATTGAGTTTTGTCTTTCTTCTAATCTAGGCGTCAGTGCGCGCAGTTGGCCGTGAGGAGGAGACACAGTCACGCCCTCTCAGTGAGCCTATCATCAGATTATATGAGAGACCAACTGCTGAAAAGTTCCGAGACTACCTTCATATATTGCGTTTCCCCAGCCTTGGAGTCCATATCTAGATCTTAACGAGGCTGAAGCATTTCCAACAACTTACCAACAACTTGTCAATATCTTACTATACACCGAATAAAAGTCAGAAATCTCCGCAATGGTTACTGAACGTAACTCTACCGTTCCTAAAGGGTCTCAGCTTATTGAAGCAACATATCTCATGACGCGCAGAGAGCGATGCTGCAAGCTGGCGACCTCTCGTGGAAACTAGGTCATCAAGGCTTCAAGGATTAATGGCGGAACAGACGAAGCCTAACATATATGTTCATGGTCAGATGTAACACCTGAATAGGCAATAGAATAGCCTTAAAGCTGAACAGCGTAGTCAACAGATTGGATCTCAAAGAACTGGCCCCGATATATCGAAGAAGCTGCAAGCGGTTCACCAGGGTCTTCGTCTACTCGTAACAGAAAGACTGAACTCGTCGATCTTTTCCATGGAATTGCCACGAGATTCGGCGAGGACTTCGCGCAGAAGCGATCAAGCCCTGGGGCAAAAGTTTGTGGTCTGAAGACCATTTGTGAGACTTGACATAACCGCAGACACATGATCTGGGAATGAATGGGACGGAATGTAAACTCATCAAGAACTTTGTATGAGATGCCTCGGTTGGGGAGGTATTATTCGAAGATGTGAAGTATTTCCATCGACAGGTTACCACTGATGAGCAATTCAAGGAGAGCATGAAGGGCGCTAGGCTTCTCTAGAAATGAAAGTCCAGTTTCCATCGGGTAGGTGATATAATTTGTTGATAGTGGTTTATTGAGCGTCTGTAGTCCTGGAAATAATAGTAAGTTACTGGATAGCCTCATTGGATGCATTGGTAAGATGAGAAACATTACCAGTATCATATAGCCCGGTCCTTGGGTAACAGTAAATAAATCGTAGTTATAGGTAAGGCAAGTTGCCTTAACACATTGCAAATCGCCTAAGGGCTGGGTTATATGCCTTAGGCAGATAGGTCTTAGGATAAGTTTAGGATTAGGATATTTATAAGGCTGTGTTCAGTCGCTTCTTTCGCTTCCTCCTCTTTCTTCCCCATGCACCTCACATTATCTCAACAACACATCTCTACACAAAGAAAATTAATATCAACTCAACAACCGCAGGGCCTCTTGTAAAAGTTACTACACTAAAGCTTCACTATGTCTTCTAAAACCATAGACTTGACTGGTGCCTCGCCACCGATAGGTAAGTCTAATGCTTTCTTTTATGCTTAAACTAACAAATAGACCAGCAAGCATACCTTCTCCTTCGGTAAAAAGAGAGCAGACTTTACCCTTAGCTACTGTCCCCAGGGAGCAAGTACCAGAGTAAAACTCCTACTTTCTGTATAAGAAGGAGTGTCGTCTAGCCTGGATTAAGTACCTAGGTCTCCTGGAAAAGGTCAAGCTCCGCGAGGGCTCTGACAGGCTCCCATTTTTTATTGGGATGCCGCCCGAACACTTGACTTTCCAGGTCGATGCAGAAAGATTGGCTATAATCCAGCAAACAGCAATGAGCGACCCCCGCAACTCGCTGATCACCCTCGGAACAGTCTTGAACACCCTCCGAGACCGCCCTCGGCATACCCATATCGCATGGGATGCTGTCTAACAGAACCTGGCCAATTCGCGTGCGCAGCTCAATGCTCCCATCATAAATCAAACGTTAATGTAGGCAATCAACGTTTTCATCGAAGATCGGGACCAAATCAAGCACTGGGAGAGCGCGAGCTCACGAAATCCCATGATTCTCCTGCAATCGACTCAGGCACCATCCGGGCAGACTCCTGTGCACAAAGTGATTCAGTCTGCGATGAATCGTTTGGTCGGTATCAGAACTCAAGAAGACGACCCACCCAGTTGTCCTGGATACGTTCTCCCCATGGCCTCCTTCGAGAGGGCCGTTATGAATGCCGAGAAGGCGAAGGATGAGATCCAGCGCAGGCAATGGGCTGACATGTCCCTACGCTCGCTACGCAATTTTATGGACGCACAAAAGAATGAAGCAGTCATTGACAAAATGGTGGAGTTTCAAAAGCATTACGAAGCTTTGGCGGCTGTTGGCTCGAAGTGAGCAAGAAGGGCGAAGGTGGAAACGTGAGCAGCGGATTGCCTTTACCAAGCGGACGGAAATAGGGGAAATGATATTCTTGACATGGAGACGGAAGGGAGAGATATTTTGCTGCATTGATGGAACAGAATGAACGGTCGAGGGACAAAGGGGTTTACGAAAGTAGTTGAATTGATGATTGGAAGGCCATATCTTGATGCTGTGACGCTACCAGAAGTGCTAAATATCTTTTAACACTCGGTTAAGAGAGACGAAAACTTAGGACGTCTATCCTAAATGACATAAAGATTTAGGCAAGTTGAGTAGACCTTTAGACTACCTAACCTAAGTAATGTAGGCAGTAATATCTGACACCCTGGATCAAGGTCAGAAAATTCCTTGCTCCCTGATGACAGGCCTCTCCGCCTACACAGCCTCGCCATCTGCCCAAATAGAGAGCAAACTTCCATTCTCAAGCACCAAGAGAACATACTTTAGAGTCTTTAGGCGTCCTCCATCCGGATCTGCCAGAGAGATGTAGGCTCAATAACCTGGCATGGCAAGTTGAGATGGAAAATGGCGTCTCCATGAGATCTAATGATCTCCTGAAGGCGCTCATGCCTGACTCTGAGCTCCACCGAATGGAGCTTGGCAACACCCTCCCATGCCTCCAGGACTTGTCGGCTGATCTCCAGGTCCCAGGTTCCTCGCCAGGTAACATGGGCATAGTGCTTTGTCCTGGTATACATGAAAGCACATGCTTTCCCTGTTCCCCCACTCCAGAGTGCCATGGTGGTCAGGTTCGGCATTCGCAGTAAGAACTTTGCTGCGGTGATAAGAAGGCTACCGATGCGACCCTTCTGTTCCTTTATATTTTGCAGGAGTAGACTTGATGTTAGGGATAGAGATTGCAGGTAATCCCATGTCCATTCTTCCTCGCAAGCCTTGAAGGAGTTCACGGCATCGATAAAGAATGAGACGGCGAGTTCATTGAGTCTCAGACTTGTCTGAGCGATGCTCTTGGCATTGCCAGGGAGATTGAACTTCGACCAATGTATTGGAAGAATTGCGTAATAAGAATGATCTAAATCTTGACGGATGTTCTCGGTGAGGTATTGTTTGAAGTCCTGAAATAGGATTACTCTTTTGAGAGTCTTGGGCAAATGCATGCCAATCAATGCCGGATCCCCTATGAACAAGCTGGTTAGCATGATGGTTGATTCTCAGGAAGACAGCCTTCCGGCGTTGGGAGGTTCGCGTACATGGATACCGATAGGAATCTGTATATTTCTGGGGCCATGGTTCGTAAACCAAATCTGTGAGGCGGCTGAATTTGGACAGAAGTGATGCGAATTCGCGAGGACCAAGACGATGGCGGAATTGCCGACGGATCATGAAACGGGTAACTGCGTTGACATTGAGAATAGAATACGGAGGGCCATTAAGGTTGATAAGCCCAAATAGCCGCTTATTTGCGCTGATAGGGGGAGGTTTCACCCGGACACCATTTTCCCAACCATGCTTGGGGTCGTGCCAGTCACTATGCATCACTTCCATAGGGATAACTGAGTCTCGGCCATAAGGAGCATCGTGCTCGTCGTTGAAACGAAAGTTCTTAAACCAGTGCTTCGAGTCACTAGCGGACGACGCGTTGAGTTCCAGCGTCAAGGGGCCTGTTGTGTTCCAAGTGCTGAGAATAGTCAAAAGCTTTGTAACCGCCTTACTCATAAGACGGTTATTTTTCTCCGCTATGGTGACAGCAAACTTATTCTTGCAAAGAGTGCACTTGTATTCGGTCAGATCAACATTGAGATAGATATGCCTCACAAGGTCTCTCTGTCGAACCACCGCTTGCTCAAAATCCTCCAAGCAAGATGGCCGAATGTTCAGCTTGGCCATGTTTCTCGTTCCGATAACGCTTTGCCACTCTTTGGATACCGAGGCCAAAGCAGACCAGCGAGGATTTCTCTGATCGACTATCGTGTTTAGAATGTTCCGGCGAATCTCTTGTGGTAGATACGACCACCTGAGGCAGCCTGAGCTGCGAAGTCTCATTCTGGGCTGCTGGGTTGTTTGGTTAGCCATGATGAGAAGGTAATGAATGAGGAAACAAGAGGCCAGTCTCGTAAATCCATTATTTGAGAGAAAAGTTCTTCAGAGTAAACTTTTGTGTATTAAAATTAAAGTGTACAGATTTAGGTTCACGATACTTGTGATGAGTGCTATTGGTTTTGCTGTGAGATAGGGTTCAAAGGTGTAATCTAGACAAGTGGTCAGTTCGACTCTGTTCGAATGCAACAGAGTAGCAAGGCGAGCTCTCCTATCTAACCCCCTCAAAACCTCATACATATCGCCTCGAGAATCTGCTCGCAAATACAGTAGGTGCCTCGAAACTTGACCTGATCATTTGCAGGTGAGAAAGCTCTCCAAGGGGCGGGAAATTATATGTCGGCCATGACCTCAACTGGGAATGGACCCTGCTCAGAACAATGAGTGTTTTCAAGGATGACAACTGTTAAAATGTGTAGGTCAATGATGGGATAAGTTGACGCTGTGATGCCGTAACCCAGTCTCATCTCCATCTTAATCCCTTAGTATATAGAGGAAACACGCCAATATGATGGATGAATTAAGAAACTTCCGAACGAGGGGTAAGCTCCAGTACAAGGATCACGATCCAAAACGAATGTCAGACCAGTCAACGTCAACCCTAGAACCGAGCTCTTGGCGAATAACGAGAAAGGATACGACTCGCGAATGCGAAAAACGAGGGTGGATGACGATACGTGATACGCGGACAGTCTCCAGTCAGTCCAGGTCAGCCTAGTAGGGGTTGACTCCATTGGTCGAACAAGCAACTAAACAATAAGAGTATTCGCATTGAATAAGTCTGCCTAGAAATGATTGCTATACGAGTATAACGTATAATCGTATTGTAGTGCAGCCTCTAAGATTGAGTAAGGGCTGAGGTTGAGTGCCGTGCAGAAATGACGAAGGACCCGATGATCCATTGGATGTTACGTCATTTTATTGTAGTTGGAGTTAGGGGTTCAATTCACCTGAAAAAAAGGCAAGAGCTGTCATCAATTCGGCCCCCAGAACCGCTGACCACTGTATCCATCCGTAGCACAATATTTAAGTACCTAACCTACTTACATCCACAAGAAAACAAGAAACAAGAGCTCTTGGCTTCTACTACGTCGTTCCTTCCTTCTGCTCCTTATTTCAGGTTTATACCCGCATTCTCTCCCTCCTCTTCTTATCTGCCCTCTTTTCCTTATCATATCGTCTTGACGACAACGAAACCACGACGATTCAAGACAAGACCACTTTAGGGCATTTGCTGTCGTGTCTCACAGACTCGTCTATTTTCGTCGCTTTCTGTTTCCGATTGTTTCGTCTTCTTCCGCGGGCGCCGAGTTGACACTACTGCCGAAACTCTATCTTCCCCTCCAGGGCGAGGTCGAATAAATCCTCATCATTTACCGCGACATCTACGACGAACATACGAACAAATACTATATACATTTACGAATATGAGCTCTTCAATAGATCCTCTTCCCAATGGGAATGGTCACGCAGGTGATCATGACCACGTTATACGCCCTCGACCGCGCAAACCCAAACATCCACAAGTCTCGGAGGTTCTTCGCATGTCAACAGCAGAAGATAGCGAGGGACACCTCATGCCTGATAACATGAGCACAGGAACTGCCAGTGGATTGACTAGGTATGCTCGAACCTCCAAATCTTGCGCTCAAGCTAATTGTATACAGTGGTCGCTCCACGCCCGTCCCAGAGAATGCGCCTCCATCCGTTAGAGTCCTCTCGACAGTTCGAAAGCAAACCCGCGCAGAGCAACGCCGCCGTATATTTCCCACGATCGAGTTCGCATCGCGTGTTAGTCATTTCGACCCCGAAAGCGACTACCGAGACTTCCATGGCTTCTTCAACCTCTTCTGGATTGGCCTTGCCATTATGGGTATCACCTCAATGCTACGCAACCTCAAAGATACCGGGTTTCCTCTAAGAGTACAAATATGGGGTCTCTTCACAGTCAAGCTCTGGCATCTTGCCATTGCCGATTTCCTTATGGTCGCAACGACAGCTGTTAGTCTGCCATTGAACCGTGCAGCTCGAAGTGCAAAGCCCGGTAGCTTTCTGTCCTGGGACAAGGGTGGAATAGCTATTCAGAGCGTCTACCAGGTCGCTTGGCTTTCTCTTTGGATTGTTGTGCCCTTTCACTTTGAATGGACCTGGACGTCGCAGGTATTCTTTCTCTTGCACACCATGGTACTGCTGATGAAGATGCATTCGTACGCTTTCTACAACGGACATTTGTCGCAGACGGAGAAGCGACTGCACGCTCTTGACAACCCCTTCTCGCCCCACGATCGACGACCAGCCTACCAATATCCATCCACCGACAGTCTCGCTAACGGCGAGGCTACTAGTTCTGGTAGCAAGAAGCGCCGTCGAAACCGTAGCAAGAAGCGACAACAAGCCAAGCGAAACAACAGTGACGGCAACAAGAGCAACGAGGAGGTGGATGCTGTTAACAACAACCTTTTGGTACCCAGTCCTGTCGCGAGCGGTAACAACAGTGCCGACGAAGTCGATGAATTACGAGAGGACCTTGCCCGTGAGCTTACGAGTCCCATTGGCAACGTTACATACCCGAACAACCTCACCTGGTCCAACTACATGGACTATCTCCTCTGTCCAACACTCTGCTACGAGATCGAATATCCTCGAACATCCCGCATCAACTGGATTTCTCTTATTTCCAAGATCATCGCCACTTTTGGCTGCATTTTTCTCTTAACCATCATCTCAGAAGATTTCATCCTTCCCGTTCTTATCGATGCCTCAGAGCGCCTCGATGCCGTTCCCGCCGTTTCATCCCTTTCGGAGAAGTCGCTCATCCTAGCAGAGACCATCTCATGGCTTCTCTTCCCCTTTATGCTCACATTCCTCCTCGTTTTCCTCGTCATCTTTGAATACGTCCTCGGTGCGTTCGCTGAAATCACCTGCTTCGCCGATAGACATTTCTACTCTGACTGGTGGAACTCAACCGACTGGATGGAGTTCTCGCGCGAGTGGAACATCCCCGTGTATAGCTTCCTTCGACGTCACGTCTACAGTGCCTCTCGACCGCGCATCGGTAGAGGAGCTGCCACGGCCTTGACATTCCTCATCTCTGCTATTGGCCATGAGATCGTTATGGCATGTATCACCAAGAAGCTCCGTGGTTACGGCTTCGTGTGTCAGATGCTTCAACTACCCATCGTAATGCTCCAGCGTACGAGATGGGTCCGTGGTAAGAAGACCTTGAACAATGTCTGTTTCTGGGCATCAATGGTTCTCGGCCTCAGCATGGTAAGCCGCCACTCCCGACAATTATATTGACCCGTAACTAACAAATTCATAGATCTGTGCTCTCTACGTTCTCGTATAGTCAAACCGGGCTCCAGAAGAGTATGCTGGTCATACTGAGCGCTTATCGCATATAACACCTGTACAATACCAACGATAGATACATACCCCATCTCAGTTCCGTGTTTCAATCCTGCACATATGGGCATAGAATTGGAAACGAGAAATGGACTAGTTAAAGAAGGATTGGACTGCTTCCACATCCCACAAAGATAGATTATATACCCTCATAGTAACATTAATTTGAGTCATCGCGACAAGCCGCAACCAACACTACTACATGGTGAACACATGTCCTCAGGAACGTTACCTCAACTCATCATTAAAAAGACAAGTATCACCATTTTCGCAGAGGTAATGGAGGGCGTTTTTAAGTAACTACTTCACACATTCACATCAGATTCAAGGACAAGACATTTGTTCTATACCATTTCCATTTCGCGTCTACTTCATCTCTCTCGTAATCATAGAGCTAACTAGAGTTACACCCCGTCCTCCTCTCAAAAGGACTGGGGAATTATGGCAGAATAAGCGGCTGCTCAAATCCGATAAGCCCGCATAAAAACCAGAAGACAGAAAAAAGACCTTGTTGCTCATAAAAACCGAAACCCTTCAACTCCATTGACTTTTTATGGTATCCCGTTTAGCGTGCATGGTCATTTAGTCAACCTCCTCCATGGCGCTGTCACCAGTGGCGGCGGCAGGGGCATCGGTGGCGGCATCAGCCTCAGCAGGGGCAGAGTCATCTTCCTCAATGTTGAGGCCGAGCTGGACAAGCTTGTGGATGCGGTCGGCGAAACCAGCGGGCTCGTCAATGGTGAAGCCAGAGACAAGGAGAGAGGTCTCGAAAAGAAGCTGGACGATGGACTTGACAGTGCGGTCGTTCTCGCCGTCAGTCTCAACCTTCTTCTTGAGCTCCTGGACGATAGGAGACTTGGGGGAGATCTCGAAGGTCTTCTTGGAAGACATGTAGCTGGACATGGAGGTGTCACGGAGAGCCTGAGCCTTCATGATACGCTCCATGTTAGCGGACCAACCGAACTGGCCAGTTCGGATAGCGCAAGGAGAGGTGCCGAGCTTGTGAGAGACGACAACCTTCTCGACCTTGTCACCGAGAACGTTCTTGAGGGCCTTGGCGAGGCTCTCGTACTCCTTCTCCTCAGCCTCACGGGCCTTCTTCTCATCCTCGGTCTCCTCGAGCTCGAAGTCCTTGGTGATGTCGACAAGCTTCTTGCCCTCGAACTCCTTGAGCTGAGTCATGGCGTACTCATCAATGGGGTCAACGAGGAAAAGAACCTCGAAGCCCTTCTCGCGGAGAGCGTCCAAGAAGGGAGACTTGGAGACAGCCTTGATGGATTCACCAGTGATGTAGTACATGTTGTTCTGGTGCTCAGGCATGCGGGTGACGTAGTCGGAGAGGGAGGTAAGCTCATCACCAGACTTGGTGGAGTTGAATCGGAGGAGCTTGGCGAGGATGGAGCGGTTCTGGGAGTCCTCGTGGATACCAAGCTTGAGGTTCTTGGAGAAGGCGCTGTAGAACTTGTCGAACTGCTCCTTGTCCTCAGCGATCTCCTGGAAGAGCTCAAGAGACTTCTTGACGATGTTCTTCTTGATGACCTTCATGATCTTGTTCTGCTGAAGAGTCTCACGAGACAGGTTAAGGGGAAGATCCTCAGAGTCGACAACACCCTTGACGAAGCCGAGCCACTCAGGGATGAGGTCGGTGGCATCGTCAGTGATGAAGACACGTCGGACGTAGAGCTTGATGTTGTTCTTGGTCTTCTTGGTCTCAAAGAGATCGAAGGGAGCGCGCTTGGGAACGAAGAGGATAGCGCGGAACTCAAGCTGACCCTCAACGGAGAAGTGCTTGACAGCGAGGTGGTCCTCCCAATCGTTGGAGAGGGACTTGTAGAAGGAAGCATACTCCTCTTGGGAGATGTCCTGGGGGTTGCGAGTCCAGATGGGCTTCTGCTTGTTGAGCTCCTCCTCCTCGATCTTGGTCTCCTTGATCTTCTTGGTCTTGGGCTTCTTCTCCTCCTCATCATCATCGACCTCCTCGATCTTGGGCTTCTTGTCATCACCCTCCTCGGTGACCTCTTCGGCCTCCTCATCAGGGACCTCCTTCTCGGTCTCCTTCTCGACGTGGAGGTAGATGGGGTATGAGATGAACTCGGAGTGCTTCTTGATGACCTCCTTGATCTTGCTCTCGTTCAGGTACTCGGTCTGCTCGTCCTTGAGGTGGAGGATGATAGCGGTACCACGGCCGAGGGGCTCACCCTCGGTGTCCTCAGTGATGGAGAAAGTACCACCAGCGGAAGACTCCCAGACGTACTGCTCGTCATCGTTGTTCTTGGAGATGACACGGACCTGGTCGGCAACGAGGTAGGCGGAGTAGAAACCGACACCGAACTGACCAATCATGGAAACATCAGCGCCAGCAGTCAGGGCCTCCATGAACTGCTTGGTGCCGGATCGGGCAATAGTACCCAGGTTGTTGACAAGGTCCTATCTAATGTTAGTATATGGCATTTATGTCTGATTGACATATCAACTTACAGCCTTGGTCATACCAATACCGGTATCCCGGATGGTGAGAGTCTTGTTGGCCTTGTCGGGAATGATGTCAATTCGGAGGTCCTTGCCAGAGTCGAGCTGGCTAGGGTCCGAAAGGGCCTTGTATCGGATCTTGTCGAGGGCATCTGAGGCGTTGGAGACAAGCTCTCGGAGGAAGATCTCCTTGTTGGAGTAGACGGTGTTGATGATAAGGGAGAGAAGCTGAGAGATCTCAGCCTGGAACTCGAAAGTCTCAGACATGGTGTCGGGTATCAAAAGGAATCGTGACTGTTGAGGAGAGTTAGTGATTGAAGGGAGAGAGGAATGAATTTATAATTGTGAGGTTGAAAGTGCATGTCGGTGAGAGTGGCAGAGGGAAGTGTATGGAGGGGTTGAGAAGGCTCTAGAACTCGAGCTTCCTCGGCAGCCACTTGCTACTTTTCCAAGACCAGAAAATAGCGAATTCCACAAACATGAAGCTAATGGAGGATTCTGAAGCTATTCAATTCAGGCTGGAAAAATATCGGTGCAGCAAATAACCACAAGGAAAACTCGAGGGGAGCTACGTGCAAGGCTGATGGAAGGTGGGCATAGCGGGGGATAGCGACTCTGTCATGACAATCATGTACATACCTTGGGATATTCGTTACAAAAAGGAAAAAGCGGTTTGAGTCTCCTGTGAGAGAAAGGAGATAGAGAGAGGTATGCAAAGGCGAGAGAAAAAGATGAGAGATGTGTTGTTTGGAGAGAGAAGAAAGGTCGAAGAGGCAGGTACAAGAAAAATATGTAGTCGCGGCCGGCCCCTCCTTCCTTCCATTTGCTTCTGCCATTGTGAAGGGTTCCATGAGATTCTACGGCCAAAGAGCCCACCTAACACCTAGCGCCGCTACAGCTCCCTATCCCCCGCCTTCCGCTAGCTCCATCGCTGAGGTACCTTGCCTTGCCTCACTTGAAGGCAACCACAGCAACCGTTTTGGCGGCAAGTGGCCAACACTGCTACAGTTTGCCTCTGATTCTGCCTGCACCTTTGCGGTCTGCTAACAATCTAGCCGTAGGTCCCGGGCTAAGGGAGGCAATAAATCTTAGGCTCCTCGATCCCAAGCGACGAAAAACCTTAGGTAACTTAGCCTAAGCTTAGGAGACTCTTTACTGAGTTTATTTTGGCATCCTCTTCTAAGGTCTCAAGTTTTTCTTGCTCCCTGAGGCAAGGTACATTGCTTACCCCAAAAAAAGCACAAAGGGACCAGGAGGGAGGCAAAAATGAATGGATCAGTCTCGAGTGATTGGCCATTGTTTGCTAGACTCTTCCACGTTTCCCTTCACAAGCTCGACGTGCATCGCCCCAAATGTCTATCTTTTGCGAATTCAGGTACCACAAATACAGCAGGCTATCCGAGTCAAACAATGAGCTGTTGTGATTGTAGAAAACAGAGATTTCATTGATCTACATGAATCATACAAAAACTCAATCATGATGGCAAATACCTACAAATTTGTTAACGTGGACAAATTACTCCAGAGCCTTATCGCCATGGATGGATCTTTGAACAACCCCTCATTCGAGGCTGAAAAAGACCCTTGTTCAAGTTCCTAGGCTTTCCATTTCAGAGTCCCACCGCTTCCGCTTTCTTACCCCAGCGAAAGTCACAACCCCTCGATCGAATCGAATCTTCTAGCCATACAAATCGACTGTTGCGTGTGCTGCCTAGGCATTGCTTACAACGGCCAACTGTTTCAATTGAGGCCTCCCCATCTACCAGCAGCCTAGTCGAAGTTCAAGACGTAGCTGTACTGAGCCGTTTTGTAATTTGTGTAGACCAATGAGATGCAATTGTTGAAAGCAAGGCTGAGTGTCACCGTACAGGCAGCAAATGTATCAAGCCGAGGTTGATTCGGAAGGCAGATAGATTGTCTAGAATAAGCAAAATGCTCAGCTTCCATCAATCTTGGGTAAACTGTAGGCTTAATTGCTAAAATTGGATATTGTTTGTGACTCTTCTGGTTTGTTCTTTGGCAGTTTGCCAATGGAGCATCAAGTGACCATGATATCCACCTCAAAACATCCAAGCGAGGAGCCAAACTTACACGCAATCCTACAGCACAAAATCGTTTGTTTCTATTCCAGAATATCCGTAATCTTTTATCATTGATCATGAATCTTCGAGAAACACGGTAACTCCGTGCTCTCCGCCAAACCTTGAATTCCCATGTTATACAGGGTACTATACACTCTAGCCAGCTTTTGATACAATCCCGCTCACTTACATCTCCAACACCACTCCAACCTCTCTATACCTTCTATCCGCATACACAAGTCCAAACTCCTCATCCTCCTCTTCTCCTACCCTCACCATCTCTACAACCTCCCCCACCACAATGACATGATCTCGTACTCTCAAGAGCCCCCCCTCTGGCGCATCTTTGAGTACCCTACACCGAAGGGCAAACATGACGCCGTCCTCTCTTAGTACGGGTGCTTCATCGTCTTCTTGGGAATAAGCCAGTCCTTTGAATGCATTCCCCCCAACATTGCCTTTTGTAAAGTGACTCGCAACATTTGCACCCCGCTCATCCCCCGATAGCACGTGTACGTTGAATCCACCACTTGCTCTTATAGCATCTAGTGTTCTGCTCGGCGTGGCAATGTTGAATGTGACGAGAGGTGTAGGTGCGAGTGTTAATGATGTGAAAGATGACATTGTCATGGCACGAGGGCCATCGCCGGGCTGATTTGATGTACAGACAACGACGCTGTGGGGAAGAAGCCGCATGATGGAGCGGAGTTGTTCGGGGAGAGGGACTTGTTTCGTCGGATGCACGGTTGGAGGTTTGGCTGGGGATGTATGCCATGTTGGTGCAGTAGCTGTTGTGTGATTTCTTCTTCTATCTACAGTATAGCATTAGCTAGAGTAACAGGCCATGGCAGAAACACTCACGATGCAGCGCCCATTGCGGCGAACAAGACCCCGACAGAGAGGTCTTATATCTTCCACAACCACCCAAGCCTCTTATTGAACGCTCTAAGCACTCGGTATTCTGTAAAGAACTGAATCCTCTGGTCCCGCCTCTCGTCATGACAAGTACTGTCGCACAGCCATTGCGCATCGCTCGGGAGCTGTTCATTGCCCACCACAGCGCATTATCAACAAATGCACTTGTTTTAACCTCAAATAAACCGTAAAGAGGACGTAAAATCGCCTCGTGTAAAAAGGCGCCTTTTTATTTCACCTGTTCGCAGTCGGAGGCCGAGCCGGTCTAGAAATGACGAAGAACAATGGTATTTTCTTATCGATAAGATCCAGAACCCCTGCTTGGTGTACCCGCATTCGGACCTCGCATCCTAAATTTTACCGATCGACTTCAAGCCTACCTATCTGAAGCTTCACCACCAATCTACGGTCTTCATCGCTGTCAGGGCCGTCAATTCGTCTTTTTACGGCCTCGCTCATAGTAGCGCTTCTAATTCACAATGGCCAAATTCTCAGTGTCACCGGCGACTCTCTCGCCTCTACGAACAACACTCTCAACACCATGCTCACCAACCCGCCACTCCCTCGGCCAAGTCCGTCATGCCACATTCATTCCTCGACCACGCCGACCATACACATTCACTCAGCTCGTCACTCTATCCGACGGCTCCTCATACACCATGCGAACGACTTCACCACTGCCCATTTACCGCGCTACAAAGGACACACGCAACACATTGCTGTGGCAGCCATCTGAGAAGTCACTCAAGAACGTCGAGCTTGATGAGGCCGGTAAATTGGCTGCTTTCCGAGAACGTTACGGCCGTGCCTATGATGCTTCTCACGCTGAGGAGGGTGAAGGTGATGCTGAGGCTGCTGATGAAGGTTATGCGGATCTTATCACTGGATATGCGCCATCACAAGATGCGAACGCTATGAGGGATTCAGGACCTAAGAAGCAGGCTAAGAAGAGAAAGTAAACAATGATACAATGTTGTTGTTAATAGAGGAGGAACCGCTATCACAAAAACCGTAACGACCCAATACCAACTTGGGATGGAAATGAGTCTTGTATAAATTACTATTGAGGACATCCGAGAATTGGAAGCATGAGGTGGATGGGGGGTGGTTCGATATGTACAACAGCTATAAAGCCCCCGAGGCTTGTAAGATATAAAAAACACGTGTCTCCGATTCTCGGAACTGATCAATAGTCAAACATCTCTGTGGACGTGAATATAATTCTTCCTCCCATCAAGAGCTCAACCTCATCGCTACCAGATAGAACCGTCAAGATGCGTTGGGGAAACCGGCGCCCGGTCCATCTAGTCCGAGTCTTCGTCTATCCTCGCTCGAGCACGGTCAACAGCAGTATCGCCCCCCTTTTGCTGCTGTTGCTGCTGGTATACTGGTGGCCTATAAAATACTGACTCGTCGTCTTCAGCGTCAAGCTGCATCAAGAATGTCTCCCACTTCTCAATAAGCTGTAACATGTTAGCACGCTTCTATCTTCACTGCTTTCACTGTACTCACCTCCTTTTGCGCCTCAACTGCGCTTTCAAGGAATGTCTCGACACCACTCTTGAAATCTTCCACTTTCTCCTTCTCGAATCGATCAAGCTCGCTTCTCATCAACCGACCCATATCTTCGAATAGAAGTCTGGCCTGGTGCACCTTGCGCTCTGACTCGCCAACTTCGGCGCTCATTTGGTTGAGTCGGTCTTGCTGACTCTTACCTTGTCTCAAGAGCTTGTCCTGTGTAGCCTTCTTCTTCTGTAGTTCCGATTCCGCAGCATGCCATGAATAGAACGCCTTTTGTCGCTGGCCAAACGCCTGCTTAACTGAACCGATAAGGCGAATGTACTCCTCAAGGATAATGCCGAATGTCAGAACATCTTGTTGTGCCTGGCGGTCGTACACATCTCGGATAGTAAGCTGGAGCTCGGAAAGAGCATCGAGAGGGCCTGATAGCGAGGGAGACAGTTCGACAGTGGAGAGCGCGTGAAGGGAAGCCGAAAAGTCGCCAGCTGCCTCGGCCATCATCTTACGTTGGCCGACCATGGTCTCCATAGCCTTAAGAAGCCCCTTGAGCTGATTCTCGAGAGCATCAAGATAGACCTTGCGATCATGGAACCAATCGTCTTGTTCCACAAACTTGTTACCACCTCCAACATTGATACCTAGAGACCCAAGCACACCCTTGCTTTCGGTAGGAATGGGTTCCCGTCTCTCCTTGTGCTTGACGTCCACATTGAAAGTTTCGCTTTCCAAGAAAAGCTTCAGATCGGGATCGTGCTGGAGCGTGGGGTGTATCGCGGTCTTGTTGAGCATCTTCTCCAAAGCAGCTCGTCGGCTCTCAACAAAGTTGCTGTCGAAACGACCGACAGCCTGCTTCTCAGGAGGAGGTGGAACCACAATTCCAGGGTTGTTGCCGTGAAGAGTAGTGTAAAGCCAAAGGAAATCGCGATATCGGCGCTTGACTTCGAACTCGGGCTGTTTATATCCCTTGGAAGTCGTCTATTTCTCTGCGTGAGTACTTGATTGAGTTAATTGGAGGCCGGCGCTTCATACCTTGGTTCGAACGGAATAGACAATGTGGGAACTTGTCAGATCACCAACTTTGTGAGGATCTCCAACCGTAATCTGGAACGTGGGCTTGGCAGCCTGCTCAACACTAACGCTCGGCTGATTGCTGCTCCTAACTGCACTGGGCTGGGCAGCCTCAACGGGAGGAGGTGCGCGAGGAGCTTTTGGCCCATCGTTCTCATCATCGTCGATATGGTGAGGATCCGCAGGTCGTCGTTGCTGCTGGGTTTGAGGCATGGTGGTACGAATCACCATCTGCTCCTTTTGCGGAGGCACCGGAGGGGCATCCTGAGCAGGGCCATTGTCTTCGGTGGCGGCGCCGAGAGGACCAAGAGGATCATCGACAGCTTCGAGACGTGTGGGTTGAGCGACCAGGCGACGAGGTCCTCTTGATGGACGAGGGGCCGATGAGGAAGCGGAGGGAGCTGGGTTGGACGATTGCGAGGCCGCGGCTTCAGGCTGCGATGCCTGTTGCGATGCGGCCTGTGACGAGTCGGCCCAAGGCGATTCTTCGACGTCCATTTCTAAATAATGCGATCGCGAGACGCTACCTCTGTTAAGATTTATAGTCGTCGAGGTTGATAGAATGGCTTGAGAGGTAGAGGTTGGAAGCTTGGGGAGCATGCACCCTCGCTCTCCACGCAGGCGGACGTCAGCGGAGACGGCCCCACTCTTCCCCGTAAGGCAGGTACGTATCGTTATATCAACCAGCTTCAACTTACACGCCTTCAAAGACTACCATAGAGTACTCAGATATGCAATCAGTAATTAAATATGGAAATAGATTCGCAGTATTTCGTAGTTATCACTCAGATTCTATTATTACAGGAAATCCATGCTCTCTTGCAAAGGATGACATCAGCCCCAATACGATTTCCTGCGGACTGCTCTCTATTCCAGTTTGTTCACTGAAACCAGCCTCTTCAGTTGGTCTCGAAATTCGGAATCATCCTGCCCTCGCTGTATATTCTCAGTACCTGTGGTCATGACTGCTATGTGAAGGTAGCCCATTGCGCCTCTCCTGATTGTTTGACCCAGTTTCATCGTCGACTATTTGCGAGGTCTCGCCGTCAGCCCCAAATCTATTCCAAACTTAGCGGCAAATTGTTGCCTTCGCCGTTTCTCGCGAGCAACTAGGTCGACTGCCTCCCGCTCCTAACGTTCGGGGTCGTAACAGCCGCCTACAATGACCAAGTTCATCCGTGTAAACTTGACCTTCATCACTGGTGTCTTCTTCGTCGGGAACGCGCTGATCTGATCGGGAGTAATCATCACCTCCTTATTCTTTTTCTTATGAGTTCCAGTGGTGCCGCTGGTACCCGCTGGTCCTGATGTTCCGGCCGTCACTCGAGAAGCTTCACCAACAGTGCCTCCTGCGCTTGTGCCATCGGCCCCTGTTGCTGTTGCATCGAGGCCTGTCTGTTGCTGGCTCGCCTTTTGGGGATCAGAAGGCAGCTCGACATCCCAGAGTCGGACTGTGCCATCTTGACCACCAGAAGCAAGCACGTTGGATTCAACGCTGAAGCTGAGTGACCAAATTCCGCCCTTACCGTGGCCACGTGACCGCTTGATGCGTGTTCCTTTCTCAAGGTCCCAAAAGAAGATGTTACCTGCACAATCGGCACTTGCTAGGATCTTGCCATTTGGCGCGCATTCCATGGCGGTGATGTATTCGTTGTGGCCTGTAAACACGCGGACACAGCTGCCAGTTACGACAGACCACATACGGATCGACTTGTCAGTCTCATCAGAGGCGGAGAAGACATAGAGACCGTTAGGATGCCATGCAAGCGCTGAGATGGCCGTGTCATGCCCAACCAACAATCGTTGAGGGGAAGCATGATCTTGCATCCACAGTCGAACAGCTTTGTCATATCCTCCACTGATGAAATAGTGTCCATGAGGACCCCAGAGTGTCCTGAAAGCAGGTCCATCGTGGGACTTGTATAGACACAGGCAACTCCAAGACTCTAGTGACCACAGACGGATCTGGCCATCTGCAGATGCGGATAGTAGCAGCTTCGGTCGCGTGTCCATAGCAGGGTTCGACTTTCCTTCGTCGCCAAAGAGCTTCTGCGGAGGGCCAGAAACAGCATCGGAGAAGGACACGTCGTAAACAGGCCCAGAATGTCCGATCAATTTGCGGCTGTTGAACTTCGCTTCTTTCTCGTGCGCGTTCATCGTGGGTAAGGCTTTACCATCCAGCGACCAAACCCGAATGTAAGATTCCGTGGTACCAGCTGCCACTAATTGTCCATCGTTGGAGAAGTCCATACAGGCAACACTGTAGTTGGTTAGTATCAGCGGTTCCCACAGGGCTGTCAAAACTCACCTTCCAAGCGTGTTATGGAATGTAAACATGCATGCGCTGATAGGGACTCCCACGCCTCCCGTCGCACCATCGATCTTGAATCGGTCGCGATTCTCTCGAAGTTTTTGCATTTCTAGCATAATGTCCCTCGGCCTCGAGGGTGGTAAGGGTAACTCTGCTCTGCTTGGGGCATCTGCGCTCTCCTCACGCTTGATTTTTTGGTCGAATTCCTCCACTAGCGATGTTTTCCCGGGAGGTGGCGGAATTCGTCGCTCCTCTTCCTCAAGCTCAGCTCGCACATCGTCACGCAGGTCGGCATCCATAGGTAGGGGTCCAAGCTTCAGGGGAGCGGTTGGGTCGAGAACGTCCTTGTTAGACAAACCAATATTGACGCCCGGGATACCTTCATTGGTATCCACGCTCTCTATCTCCATGTTCCTTGACCTTCTGTAAACAGCTTCGAAACTGAAGGGGGTAATAGGTCCACGAGCTGTAGAGTCAATCTGGCAATAAGTTGCCAGGACTTGTCGAATCACGGAACCACCCTGATCAGATTCGCGTTCCAGAAAGTTGAAAAGATCGCCGCTGGCATGTTGGTTCAGAGGGATTCGGTACTTGTTTTCCCGGTACAGCTTTGTCATGGGGTTCTCGTTGATGTGCTGCGGGAGTGTAATGGTACCAAGGGTCTTGAGATCATCCGCGTGTACTGGCTGGAAGTTAGGACCGATGTCTCTGAGGAAAGCCTTCGCATCTTCAGTGTAGGCATGTTGGACAAGTTCCAGGAAAGAATAGACGAAGACGGGCCACAGCAGCTTGGACAGTTCGAACTGGAGTTGTCAGCAAAGGAAACAGGGGGAGGATGGCCATGGCATACCTTGTAAATGTCCAAATTGTTCTCGACCCATTCACGTAGAAGCCCAAAGGCTCGTTGGTACTTTTTTGGGCCGAGGTTGGCCAGTTGATAGATAGGCTTGCCATCGGGGCCAAGATGTTTAGATTCCTGACGAAACACTTCTTCGGTCCGGTTGAACCCCCTCTTGAGCAAGTAGTCCGTGACCTGTGCATGGGCTTTAGTAAGTGTATGTCTGAAGCCAGATTCCATCATAATTATGATGCGCGCGCTGATCAAATATATGTGTTTGTAATGGATGGATGATAGTCTGCATTACTGCGACTCAAGACCATGAAAAGTTCAGGTAAGCACTCTGGACAGGTTACATAGAGACAATGTGCAATATGGCCGATGCTTGATTTGCGTTGTCATGGAAAGTGCCAAGGGGGTTCTGTGATACTGGCAAAAATGATATAATGGTCGCCGTTAGGCTGGTGGTGTAATGGAATAAGACAACCATGTAGAGTCAAGCAAACGAGTAAAAAATGACTTACGATCTGGTTGAGGTTCTGATTCGACATTGGGCCTCCGGATGAGCCACTTTGGCCCGTCGCTGCGGTTGTTGTTGTGTGTGTTGGAGCTGGAGGTGTTGGTGCAGGCCCTTGATAGCCCGGCGCTTGAGGGGCACCTGGTGTTTGTGCTGGCCCAGACATGGTGAAGGGCAGTGACTATTAGAGAAGAAGCCGGGTTTGTATTGGAGCCTAGGTGTTCGATCCAGCCTGTCTACGCCACACGCTGGTAGAGAGAGTGTCCCTCAGCGATATGTCATTCCCCAGCCGTGTCTTTCGGATGGGGACCAGCTCCTGTCGCTCTTCAAGGTGATGAGATGAGAGGTCACAAACTGCTAGTCTGTGGCAGTGTTTTTCTTTGTCGGGTATTCGAAAGATTTGGTAGGCTGGATTTATCTGTGAATTAAAAAGGCTCGAAGATGAATGATTGTAGCTAAGAAGACGATAAGATCCTCAGGTTTGTGTGAGTTGTAACCTCGATTCAATAATGCTGAAAGTTAAAGTGAATCGTGGATGATCAAACGCGCCAAAGCTTAGCAGAGCGCGCCTGAAGGTTAACCGATGATTAAGCGGCGCAACATGATATTGAACTCTACGAGGCAATAAGAGCGTGGCACGCACAGTAATATCCAACTTGAAATATCCAAATATCTCTTTGTTACCCTTTTTGATCCTTGGGAGCCTTTTGCCTATCGTTCATCCCAACAAATCGTGCTACTGTTGAAATAATTGATTGAGCACGCACGCACGGGCCGCCGCTGCGATCTGGGAGCGACAGCGGGTACGTACCTCTCACCACGTCTTTCATTCATTGAGATCCGTTTCGGTTGCACTTCAACTTACTTCAATTTCACTGTCATAGAGAACTCTCTTACATTTTATTCATCTGCTTGCATAACATAAAGCCTTTTCGGAGATTAGAAGCCCGATCATACTTTCGGAGTATTTGTTCAACTTCAACCATCACAAGACTCTGTTCCAGCTGAGCCCTGTGTTCAGCCGATAGTTTGAGCATAAATCCAAGGATACTTCATCATCAACTTCATCGCATACATACACGAAAAGCTCTCAAAGTTCTGGTCACGGTCATGGCTTCCCCAAATGATGTCGAGATGGCTGGTGCCGAATCATCACGCAACGAGCCATTCACCATTGAAGAGAACATCCGCCAGCTCAATGCCATCGACCAACAAATCATCCAGCTCATGAAACACACTGCCACAGCACTCAACGCACTCACAATACCAAAATCCACAGAAACCGACCAGAACATGGATCCATCAGCCGAACCTACCAAGCCATCACTAGATCCTGGTACACAAAAAGAGGCCTTCGCCTCTGCGACAGATCAATTCTTCCGGGCACTTCACACCGTCGACGTCAAGATCAAACGCCAGGTCATGGCACTCGAAGAAGCCAATATCATCAGTCTTGCTCCACCGCCTCGTCTGAATAAGACGGGTCCCATTATCCCACAACCGACGCCCAACGGAGTGGGAGCTGTGGGCAACATCGGAGCAGGTTGGCTGAACAGTCGGGGGACAAGAGTTGAGAGGGATATGGAGGCAGAGCTCTGGGGAAAGGCTAAGGAAATACTGAAGGAGAAGGAAGCGAAGCTGGAGTCGGGATCACGATAGAATGGAATTCCGACCTGGATTGTACATGCAATGTTGCTTTGATGGAAGGTTTAGGAAAGGGACCATCATGTTCCCGGTCATTCCGATAGCACTCCAAAGGAAACATCCCTTTAAGACCTTTGCTGCACAACACAAATCCATTAATGATGGAACTTCATGTTGCAAGTCAAGCCTTGTGTTATTGCTTACCCTAAACCGACTCAGAAGCTCTTAATTACAGATTATGGCAGATCTCTCTATAACTTCAAAGTGAATATTTCGTACCAATAAAAAACATTCAACAAAGACCGGGTGTGTCAAATAGGTGCCAAGTATTGTCTCATTGAATCCTAGTCTCACTAGAGGTGAAGCATGCTTTCATAGTTGAGTTGACAGAACCCGCTGGGAATATCGACCATCACCAAAAGCATAGACTTGATCACATACGAGCCATCCAATGAATGGAATCAAAATCCGTGGTACCTGGGCCAGATGCGCTATCAACTCTACCTTCTCCTAGGGTAGCTAGGGCAAGGTAGTATCGTACTGGTGCATGTTGAGAAAAGAACTGGACGGATATACGGACATCTAAACACAGCACTTGTAAAATGAAGTCCCATAAATCAGTGGTCAGTTTCGGATAATGCCAAGACTTCTAATTCTTGGGGACGACTCCAACCATCGAACAAGCGATGTTCTTCATCTACCGGATTCAGTATATTCCCGTTACTACGAGATGGTGAGATCAATGCATGAGCTGCATCTTCAAGAGCTTCTGTTTATAATTTTAGGTGATGCCTTCAAGTTGACGACCAGACGTCTAACAAGCTCCTCCTCATGAAAATACTTCACTTCAGACTCTTGGGTCCAAGAGGACCAAGACTTGAGTGCAAACATGGCATTCTTGGATTCGGGTATATCGGACCCAGTCGACGCACGTTGCTCTATTAGCGGACAATAAAGCTCCGGCAACCCCCCTGGCGCTGCAGGAATTAGTGGGAAAGCACCACGCCTGATATCAAAAGCAACCAATCGCCATCGCGCTTTGTGTAATGACAGGCTGCCGAAAGCTCCGGAATGACGCCCTCAATCGATGGAGCCCCCTGGAACCTCAAGTTTTATGGAGGGCCCGAGGTGGGAAGTGGGAGAGGTTGGCGGCCTTTTTACTTGAACCGACAAAGAGGAAACAACTTTTGAGTTTGCCCAATTTCCTCATCTCCTTCTTCTTCTTCATCTTTGGTCTCTCTAGAGGAGTTTTATTCTGCCTCGCTGTACAAACGCAGTCATTTATTTGCTCTGCTCTCAGAATCTCCCTATCTACTCGCTTATCGAACCACGATCTTCCAGCGATTGCTGCTTACAATTGAATCATCTAGACGCCGCTAGACATCGACGATCCCCCACCGACGGTTGTTGCGACGGGAAGAACGGAGCCGAACCTGCGATTGCTCACAATTTTGCACGGAGACATTGGATCGTGATATTGACGGAAATTTGAGGACGATACGGTCATGGTTAGCGATTATAGAATGAAGGCCATTGCGGCGCCTTCGCTGTCCAAGGTAGCGACAATTGCGCTTCTTGTCACAGCTGTACAAGCCCACGACCACGATGCAAGCCATATTCCTGAAGGCGAAACAGTCTCTTTGGAACCTTTGGTGCGTTTTACAGGCCTGAAAACTTGAGTTAGCGGCTGACGAGCAGCAGGATACGGTATTGTGGATTCACATCTTCATTCAGATGTTAGCGTACGGCGTTATCTTCCCTGTCGGTATGGTTTTGGGTGTAAGTAAACAAACCTACTCAGCCTTGGCACAATACTGACATCCACGAGATGACCAAGAATCGATGGCACGTTCCGACCCAAGCCGTCGGCACCATTCTTGCTATTCTTGGCTTCTTCCTTGGTCATGCGCATAAGGGCCGCGAGTTCATTCCGAATCACGTCCATGGCAAATTTGCCCACATTCTCCAGCTTCTCCTCGCCGCGCAGGTTGTTCTCGGACTCTACCTCAAGGGACATTGGGAGAAAGGCATCAATGGCAGAATTCGAAAGCTGATCCGTCCATGCCATTCTTTCATCGGCAAGCTTATGCCAGTTCTGTCATGGACACAGATGATCTTTGGTGGAATCACAGCTCTTGGCTTTTGTCAAGGAGATCATACTGGACAATGCGCCGCTCACTTTATTATGGGTGGTGCTTTCATCGCCTACGGAATTCTTCTCACCATCATCCTCGTTGTTGGCCAGCTCTGGATCCGACGACATGGTCGCTCGCAAGAGTTCTACGATAGCGTTGCGATCGCTGCATGGGGCTGCGTCAACACTTTTACCGAGCATCGTTGGGGTACAGACTGGGTTAAGAACGATTGGCAACATACGACGATGGGAATCATTTGGTGGTGCGCTGGTTTGGCTGGTATCTGGCTAAGCAAGGACCGCGATGGAAACCCCAAGCGCAACTTCATCCCCGGCTTCGTCATTTTCATCACAGGCTGGGCCATGTCTGCGCATCCCCAGGAGCTGATGGTCAGTGCTGCTACGCACACGATGTTTGGATACACTCTTATGGTCGTGGGCATTACTCGTATCATTGAGATTGCTTTTGTCCTCAGGGACGCACACTCCATCTCAGAAGATGGTCGAACTGCCAACAGCTTCCAGTTTGTTCCTGTCTTTGTAAGACGAATAGTATTCTGCAGTAAAAACTCAGCTAACGTTTACAGTTCATGTATGCCGCTGGCTTCCTTTTCATGGGTGCTACAGAGGAGCAAATGAATCTTGTTGCTGGCTCGGCCATGGATCATGTTTCATATATCCTTATTACCTACTCGCTTGCCTCGATAATGTTCCTTTTCGTCAACATGCTCATTGGTCTATGGGACCGCCTTGCTCATCCTGTCCTGGACACCAAGGAGCTCGGCAACAACCACTACGCAAATGGTCTCGCAGTGGAAGACGGTCAACTCCGAGATGCTCAAGAATTCGAATTAGATGGGTTGATGAGCGACGACGATGACGATCCTAGTCGAAGAATGCTCGGACCCAACAGCGAGGATAGCGCAGCTACTGTTGGACGAAACCAACAAACTCGTGCTTAAGGGAGGACTATGATCTCTCGTGAGATGTATATTTCGAGACGGGATGGCGCATACCTGGAATGTTCATAGGGGTATTTGGCGTCATTTGATGGCCTGTGTATGATGTTGAAATGACTATTTGATGGCATGGGAAGCGGCATTTTCAGAATTGTATTACTTAGGCGCAATTGATTGGGATTCATGAAAATATTTTGTCTCCATGTCTTGACTTTCTCTGGAGGAGGCGTTCTGGAACATGCAGCTCTGCCGATCCCCGCGGCGGGGCACACTTTAGCGCATTCCTTACCGAACCTCCACCGAGATTTTCGACCCGTAAAAAAAAAAGTTGAGAACTTCTTATCGCAAAACCTCCATCCATCACCACAACCAACACATATAGTCACAATGCCTTCCGTCGGCAATCCCAACGGCCCCTCCAAGAACCGCCTTGCGGCGCGCGCCTCAAGTGCCCGCAAGGAGCGACGCAAGCGATCACAAGCACCCAAGGATAAGGTCGCAAAGGCCGATACTACACGAGGCGCAAGGCCAGGTCTTTTGCCTACGAGTGGACCTAGGGCCAAGTTGAGCGCTAAGAAGGCGCGCAAGATGGAGAAGAGACTGGCGCATGCTATGAAGAGAAAGATGGAAGCCGAGGGCGAGGCGGAGATGAAGGGTAAGTTGCTGCTAGGATGGTTGTGGATAGAGTGCTGACTTGGGTAGATGCGCCAGAGGTTGAAGGCGAGAAGGCTGAGGAGGTTGAGATGGGCGATATTCAGTGAGGGATAGTTGCTGGGGGAAAGGAAGACACAACTACGAACGAACAACAAATGATGAAGAGTTCCAAAGAGGGGCTGTTGCAACGACGATAACAGCTTGCGAGTAGACTCACCACGAGGCGAACCTCACCCAAAACGAGACTTCAGAACGAAAGGCATCCCTGAGATCAAGGACTGGGCGAGGCTGGAACATTGCTATAGGCCACACGGAGGAATCTGCGCTCCAACTTCCATAAGGCCAAAGGTCGAGGTCCCAAAGTTACATATGAAGGGAGACCGTAGATCTTATGAAGATCAACGAAAATGATAATAAATCTTCCAACTGTGTCTGCGGAACCCATGACGGTGAAAATTGAATGGTGCCGTTTCTGGATAGATATCTATGTCACAATGATGCAGAGACAAGAGACAGTTGGCGGCTGTCCGTCTGGAATTCTGGATTGGCCGTGATTCACTTACCTTTAAAACCACAACCACAACCTCCACCTTCATCTCTATCCTGCTCAACGCACCACAACCCACCAAATATTGAATACCAAAATCGCATTTCTTTGAGCTCAAGCGTTAACTCACATTTCTTTTTATCTCTTCTCACAGCTGGTAGGTTCATCTTTACATCTACAAAATCTCATCTTGGAGCACTCTCGCCATTCCATCATAAAATGAGCACCTCATCGCCTTCCACGTTTCTACAAAATGCGGCCCAACAAATTCTGAACACCGTCCTCCTCAATTTCATGACCGCAGACTTCAAAAACCACGTCTTCTACAACTCCAACCACCGCCTCGAGGAGGCGAAACAGAAGGGGGTTACCCTCAGTGACATCTCTATTGGAGACGACTGTCTTCCTACATGGACTGGCCGCACTTGGGACCCTGATGCAGAGTCTCTGCACGATGCTCTTCAAGGTGATGCCTTGAATCTTCTTGAAGCTCAGGAGGCTGGCATTATGGTCCGTAGGGATATCATCTGGAAGAGCAACCGCAAGCTGGACGAAGCGAGAGCCCAGGGTGTTGCGCTGGAGGACATTCGGATCGGACTGAACTTGCTGCCAGTTTAGGGCGCTGTATCGGAAGAAGCGATCCCGTTTCTGCTCGAACATGATGAAGGGAACGATGACCACAGTTCCCCCGAAGGCAGCATCCATGAAGATACAGACACTTCTGAAGGAACCCTTGTTAACCTTAACACCGAAGACTCTGATGATGACACGCTCATGGTCATAGATGATGCCGAAACTACTGACGACGGCAGTGACTCCGATATGGAGTTTGTGGTGATTGGAAATGACGATGAACTCCCCGACAACGAGATTGAAACATCCAACATCTTCGACCCTGAGCCGTCATATGATGATTCAGATGACGACGAACCAAACATTTTCCACGGCGCTCAAGTCATGGGCGTCCTGGCCCAACGCTCTATTGTTGACCTCGAAGTTTACATCGCCGAAGATGACGAGGAGATTCAGGACCTTCCCCAGATGGAGTTGGCTATCGATCAAGAGTCTTACGAACGGCACTTTGGAACCGATGGAGCTATTGAGCTCGAGATTGTTGGAGGTCGACTCATTTGCACTGGAGAGCTTTTTGAGGAGGACCAAGAGATGACATTGGATGATGTGGCGGATGATTTGGAGATCTTATCACTCACGGCTAGCGACGATGAATAATTGGAAGCCGAGGACCGAGATGGGAGCGGCGACGACAAGGGTTGAGAACTTTCTTGATGGCCCCGGGAGTGCTACAGAAGCACAGATTCCTCAGACTGAAGCGGAGAATGGTATTTTGCGGGAGACTGAAGATGAAGATGGATATTTCTGGTGAAATGGGATAGAACTCGCACAGATTTGATTCTCGATCATGTCTTGTATCTAGACCCCTACGCACAGCCAGTATCTAAAAGCAATTGTTTTCATCACAAATTCCCGATCAATCTTGTAAAATGACAACATCAAACATCAACCTTTCTTTTCCTTCGACATGTCATCTTATTCACTTGAGAGCATTCCACCCCTCGTTTGTAAACTCGACAATAATACCTCTCACAGTTCATCCTCGTTTACGGGCATCGACATCTTAGGACGGTACGCTGCCCGCACAAACTTGGATAACCCTTCAACACGCGCGCATGTAGTCTCATGAGCCTGAGGAAGTTCAGGGATCTGCTGAAACCACTGCGCACTCTGATGAACCTGGGAGTTCTGATAGTGCGCATTGTTCTGGATCTGAGGACTCTGCGAACCGAGGACCTGGCCCATCTGCATCTCCAGCTTGGCAACACGACTTTCCAACTCTCGGTTCTTCCTCTCTAGCACTTCATGCTTACTACTCCCGGCTGTGGTCACCGAAGACCTTCCTAGTCGAATCATCTTCGTAGTCCGAGCAGAGGTACCGTTTCGGGCGCCAGCTGGATGTCCCGCAGGGTTGGTTCCACGACCAGCAGAAGGGCTCCCTGGGGTGACAACAATGGTCGATTCCTCTGTCTCCATGGGTGTGAGCAGTAGGTTCCTCGGAGTTCGCGTCGGGGTTGCGAACAAGTCCATGTTGAACTGATTAGGCATGAAAGCTGAAATATCGCCAGCTTTCATGTGAGGTCTAGCGTTCGCGTGCAGCTTGGCAGAGCGGACGTTAGAGTAGGTTTTGCCTGAGCCTTTGCAGCCGAACTTGATGCACATATAAGCACTCTCTCCATCCAAGACCACCATGCCCTCGATATCTTCCAGGATTTCCTCTGCGGGCTCCTCAGCCAGAGCATGGAAGTTCGCATTGGCATGTTTTCGGGCGCTGGTGAGATGCTGATAGATAGCGTTAATTCGTTTGCAGCCAGGTTTAACACAAGTCCAGACACCTTCCTCCATCGAGTAATCCAGCCCGTCGAGGTTCTCATCTGCAGAATCGGGCTCCTCAGCCAAGGCATGGCTGTCACCGCTGGCGTGCTTTTTGGCATTGCCCAGATGCAGGAAAAATTTGTTGAATTTTCGGCAACCGCGCTTGAGGCACCTCCAGCCGTCACCGTCTTTCAAGAACTCCATGCCTTCGATATGTTCGACGGATTCATCAGATGAAGTGGCGATCTCCTCCGCGGCCGTGAGGTGAGTATCAGAGTTGTAGTGACTCTTGGCATTTCCAAGCCCTTTGATGACAACGTTGAACTTCTTGCAGCCTTGTTTGGTGCACTTCCAGAGTAATCCATCCTCCGCAACCTCCATGCCATGTACCGCGCTCTTCTTCCAGACTTCTTCGCCTGATTCGTCCGCGTCTGTCAACCCCAAGTCTTCTTCCGCCCGGACGTGACCGAGTGATCTGCTGTGCTGCTTCATAGCGCCATAAGAGTCAAACTGGAAACGAAACCGGGGACATTTCTCGTTGACACATCTGCCTTTTTTGCCACCAGCATAAAACTGAATTCCAGGCAAGCCATCTCTATCGCTACTGTAATCGAGGTCATCGTCGTCGAATTTGACATACCATCCGTCGCGATGTTCGTCGTCTTTCAGGTGGTTGAAGAAAGCCTTGGCTGTACTAAAGACTTCCCCGTGTCGGTGGCAGCTGCGAGAATTGCATCGGAAGGATCGAAGACCTTCCTGCTCGGCCTGGAGTGCAGAGGCAGTAGGAATGCTCGAGAGCAAGACGTTGCTCAGATTTGCGGCAGTTCGATGAGCGCCTGTGTCTGCGTGGCGGTTGAACTCAGACTTGCACTTGTAATCTGTACCGTAGTGCCGGCAGCAGGGTTCGTTACAGATATTTCCATCTGACGCGAAAGGCCCAAAAACATCATCTTCTGCGGTCTGATGACTAGAGTTGAGAGATGGTGTGAACACCGAGTCGTTATCATTTGCAGTGTCACCCGCAAGCCAGTACTTGTGACCGCTTGAGTTTCGAACATGCTCGCGAAAGAGTGCATTTGTCTCAAAAGCTTCTCCTACCATCTCGCAGTCTTCATCTTCACACAACCACCGGATATCATGCTTGCTTGCCTTGGAATGTCGCTGGAGTGCAGGCTGAGCAGCAAAGCTCACATGACATTGCCCGCACGCATAGGGACCTTGGTGCCAGTTCTTTTCGTGCTTCTAGCACTCTTCGGCAGAGACAAAGATCCAGCCATCGCAGTGAATGTAGGGACAAGTGAAAGTGAACTGCTCCGCTCCATTCGGGCACTCGTTCGCGACGTAGTAGCCTTCGGGCGCTCGTTGAAGAGGCTCGTCGTCGAGCGACATGACAGAAAGAATGTCTTCACTGGAAGACATAGTCATACAGGGTGATACGAGCGTATCGATGTCGCTGATTCAGGCTGCAAACTTCAGTTTGCGATTCTAGAAGTCTGTTTGTCTAAGGGTGTGCAAAAGGGGGCGGGCGGGTGCGACTGTACCTCTGAGCACTTTGAGCGACAAAGGAATATGGTATCTTCCAAAACCACCCCAGCAACTCTGTAACAGCTTCGTTCACTTGTACGAAAATGAAACAAGATGTTGCGCTTGTTGATGTGATTCAAGATGCACTCTGGGTGTTGACGAGGTAAAAAGAGGGGTCAACACGAAAAAGGAGGAGAGTAGCAAGAAGCAGAAGACAGTCTGTTTACCCACGACGGGCAGCGGCGTTGCTGGGGGACTGACTGGGCTTGTGTAACTGTCACTGCCACTGCCACTGCCAACCTGACTTGAGCACGAGCTAAGCTTGCTCTATCGCGCACAGCGCAAATGAAAGGCTAATATTTTGGAGAAGAAGAGAAGAGCAATGATAATGATAACTGGGAAGTGACTCTTGCCATCATGGAGACCAATAATAGTACTGCGTTTCCACCTGTGGGAATCATAGAGCACTAATCCGAACTCTATTTCCAAGCAACGTCCGGTATGGTGTAGTGGCTAACATTTCGCGCTCTCATCTTCAGCTGAGGGATCAGTACCGCGGAGCCCAGGGTTCGATTCCCTGTACCGGAGACCTTAATCTTTTGCCGTTCTTGGGTCTTTTCTTGGTTACCAACTGCATTTCGTTTCTCTTTTTGTCATCGGGCGTGGCTTTATGGAACCGATGTTGTTGTGATACCGGAGGTGAGAAGCGAATAGAGCGTGACTAAGGGGTAGTAGGTAGGTGTTTGGTCTAAAACGACTTCAGACCTTGATGCAGGAAGCTGAAATAAGCTTGTTAAAAAAGTCTACCAAGTTCTTACGCGTTTACCTAAGTCTTGTTGTAAGTTAGGATCAAGGTCCTAAGTTTAGACCAGCCTCCTCACCAACAGGGCTTCTACCACCGAAGGAACATGTACAATCTTGTCTGAGCGGGCTATACACCTCACTTATACAGAGCGATGACCGGTTCATCTGTACTTATTCGTTGCAACTAACTAAAACTCAAGACAAAGGAGACTACAGCCAAGTAGGTTTACTCAATAGCTCACACGCTCAATCACCCCCGTGCTTCCTCTTCAAATGCCTTTTCAAATGATCCCGTCTCGCAAAGTCCTTTCCACAGTGCCTACATATAGGCTTGCTTCGACTGAGACCCATCTTGGCTGCTTCATCTGGATGATTACTCCGATAATGCCTCTCCAGATCACGCTTCCACTGGTGCCCCTTTTCGCAGATGTGACACTTCTCAGGCTTATCTTCTTTTCGCTTTTGTCTTCTAAATAAGTGTTAGTACATACAAATTATGGTGTAAATCTGGTCAGGATGGCTTACTTCAAGTCACAGGGTCTAGTGCCTGGTTCCATCTTCGTTCTTCGTCTTCTGGCTATTGTAATTGATACGTTCTCGGCATCTTTTGTCGATAAGGGGTCGGATACTTGCGACTGTGACAGTCCTATTGGACTGCTTTCAGTCATTGGTGAGGAAGAGCTTGTGTAAGTAGTGGAGCAATTGGATTGCTCTGTGGTCGTTATCGAACCAGCATGGGTAGTAGTGATGGGATCGGTGGGCATCGCCATGAAGTCCCAGTTCATAAGTAAGATATCAAAATAAGTAGTATCTAGAGCTGGTAGCTCCTGAGTGTTGTTTAGAATTGGGTTGATGTGATCGGAGTAAATGTCAAATGAGTTAGAATTGATTGAGTCGACTGTATCTGAAAATGTTGTTTCCTGGTGTACGTCGGCAAACGCTGCGTCATTCGTACCATATGGAGCATTCCATGGCAAGCTATCCAGGTCATCGCTTGCAAAGTCTAAGACGAAGTCTTCTTCACTCATGGAGAGCAGACCATCGTCGGGGCTCCGACCTTCCATTGTCTGTCGGGCTGGACGGGCCTTACCACCAGTGGCTACGCCCAGGAGATATATGTTGGGAATTTGAGAATTAGAGGTATTTGGCGAAGAGGATTTCACAGGAGGAAAGTAACAGGACACCTTTTTACGACTTATCCGGGTCCATGAATCGTGTTGGCTGACACTGTAAGTCCATTGCCACATCGAGGGAGTAAGAAAAGCCGACATACCAAAACAAAAAGGAAAGACACGATACGCAATAATGCAATAACTTCTTTTGAGATAGTTCGATCGCGCGCGTTGCTGATACGCATTCCAAAGCATCTGGCCGGATCTTGAAGATCTACATATGCATGTGTCTGCACAATGACAACAGGACTATAGGTCCTCAAGATCCGGCCAAAGTTGGCATGTTAGGAAATACAGCCTAAAGGGCTTGTTAAGTTTCCTTTTAAAAGGTCCCTGGCAATCACTCACGTTCGCGCGCACTTGTCTTCTCAAGATGGCCATCCAAGCTCACCACGCATGACAGGTACCAAGTATCATGCGGGATGAGCTTGGAGGATCGCCAGCACCGCCAGCACCGCCAGGAAAACCGCGGTCTACCCGACAGCAAGATTAGCAGCTAAAAATGCCGTCGGGCACAGAAAGATGGCTAGTAATGCTGTGCCCGACAACAGTCGTAGCTACCAATATTGTTGTCAGGCAGATCGCGGTCTTGCTGGCGGTGCTAACACATGGGGGTTTATTAGAGGGACACCAGGTCTCGAGAGTACAAAAGCGAATTTGATGAAGAGGAAGAAGGAGGGACAGAAGAAAGTGAAGAGCCACTGGGTATTTATGCTGATCAATGGCGAGTTTACGGATGAGCAGTGGATGACCTCTCATTGGCAGGTTTGGAGGCCTTTGCAGATGTTCGTGAGGGGCAACGTCATATGATGGTCGGCCTCCCAGACTAATATGTCTTCAAATCTCTCACTTTGAGACATATAAAGAAATGGCGACAAGAAACAGATAGAACTAGAACCTGAAAGCTATTTGATACTCTGTTACTCTACTGACATACCCTTGAGTACCTAAAAGACATTGTTCCTTGTATAAGACCTGCAAGCAGCCTGAGCCATCTCCTTTGTAGACCGAATCAGTCTTGTGTCGCCGTGAGCCTACTTCTTCTTTTGCTCCATGTTGGTGTCGTTATCGTAGTCTCCGCTTTTGGCCTCGGCTTCACCTTTCGCCTGGCGAGTTCTAGCTTTGACCTCTGGTTCTCATCAGTTGAGTCAAGAGTACGAGGCTTCTTGATCCTCGTAGCGGTCGTGAACCCCTCCTGCAGCTTCCGCTTGCCGGCCTTGACCGTCTCAGGTACTTCTCCAGTGGACCAGTCCTCAATCTGCTGAAGAACGACTAATACGCCAGACGAGACTGAGGAGCATAACGACTCCTATCGTATTGTGATAATGCCAAGTGATGATCTTGGGGTATGATTGCGAATTGCAGTTACAGTGACTCAAATCAAAGCAGACTTGGTTTTTCTTTGCCTGCGTGGTGTGTGCGCAAAAAGTGAGCACGTTGATAAGCGGCGACAGTAACGTGTCTTGATGCCTCTAGCGGAAGTCCTCGCCGCACGCTCTTCGAGCCCAAACATTGTACAACGCCATGGCAGGGGTGTATATATGGTTGGAGGAAATGCACGCTATGATACTAAAAGAGCAAAGTGAATGAGGGATTCCACAGCTTCAAAAAGCTGTCGCGAGACCCCTTTTTGAACCGTTGAAATGATGTGAAAGCTCCTTCCTCGATTGATACTATGCAGCTCATGAATTCGAGAGTTGGGGTCGTTGAGGAATGGTTGGTAAGGAACAGGTGCCCCCTGCATCATATCGAGCATATTCTTTTCATGGAGCTTCTCGACGTCATGAACGTCCAGCGAATCCCTTGAGCTAAGGATATCAAGAACACCAGAGATGGTCATCCGGTGATCCGTAGCTCCACAAACGACGATCGGAATTTCTGGGGGTCCTTGGTTGCACAACTCTACTGTTTCTTCCATCGTACATGCGATAGTCGCATCGTTTGGATGGTCGGGTTGAGTTGAACCCTTTAATGAACTGAACCCGAATCTGAGACAAGGTTTCCTCCTTGAAGGGCGTGTGGTGGGTGATGTTGCCCACTCGATCGACGGCATCCATCATTCATGATGGGACACTATCGCGGTACTCATACAGCGCGCAAAGACGAATAACCGCGTATTTCCACGAGCCACCTTGCACTTTGTGTGTGACCTGGGGCAGTAGCGGAATGTCGTCTGGGGCGTGGTCGACCGATGATGTAGAAAAGACGCTGGCACTGCATAGATCCTTGGTACAAGCCGTAGATAGTTTGTGAATCGCTGCCTTGTAGAGAGCCAGAGCGTGGCCACTTGAGATGACTCTTGATCTCGACTTTGCTGGGGTCAGAGCAGAGCTATCCCCAATAAAGGCCACAACTTTCAGGAGACGATAGCGGAGATTCCGGGTCCGCTGTGCACTCTTCGACTGAGCTCCCCTAAAGTTCGGTACAACGCGGAGAACATAAAAGTCAGTATTATTCTTCCCAGCCTGTAACTCGAAACATACTCTGGTTCTTGGTGTTTGATGTATCTCTGATCTGGGAACCAGAGCGGTTGTGAGAAGGGGTGCTGTTCTTGTCAAGCCAATGTATCTATGTTGCACGAGGACAGTGGGACGGAACAGCATGGTGTTGTTGAACTGTCCAATTTCTCGTCTTGGTTGTCTCCCAGGTCTTTTTTCAGGGTATTGCCTCGATCATCGTCTCTTTTCCAAAGTCAGGTTGGAACATACGGTCCGTGCCCTGTGTGATAACTGATGATATCCTCTGAGCCTAGAGGATTGTCAATAACGCTGTCAGCGTCGGTATCGGGAAGACATCATGTTTGAGTAGGTGAATCTGGAAGAAGGCACTCTACTGGGATAGAGAAAAACCTAGCATTGTATGCGACTTGCAGAGTTACGACTGCTTTGCGTTGGTGGAGTATCTGGGCTTGAATACTTTGACATATTGAGAAATGGGAGACGTCACACACATCCCGGGTAGGCTTGCGTGATGTAATAGGCGTTTTGCTGCTCTTAGTTGACTTCGGATCCGGTTTAGGGTCTGCCTGCTTCTTGCCCCTAGACTTGGGCTTATTGCATTAGATAAGAGGAATAATTATAAGGGGTATTTGACTTACTGTTAAGATAACCAACCACTATATCGCAGTTGTCAACTCACCAATGTTTTCTAATAACGGCTCAGAATCTGGCGGTATCGTCCTGTGCGGTGAAGATCCATACTTTGATGTCTTGCTGCGTTCTCTCCAGCACCTGATTCGCTGAGCGCAGACCATAAAGCGACCTCTTGATGAACTTTGATAGATCATGCCGAATATCATCTGCGACACAGGCCTGGCATCTGCCGCGGCAAGCCCTTCTGTAATCATAGAGGTTAGGCTTGAAGCCCTAGCACTTGTAATACTGCTGTTCGTCCTTGGGTAGAGCCTCGCTCTTGTATAAGTAACCCCGGCACTTCTTGCTCGCGCCGTCATAAAGCATGCAAGTTTTCTTCCCTACTGGGATAACACAAGGAATGGTTCTTTTTCTGTTATAAAGAATGTCCAGCTTAAAGAGCTTAGATAGAAGCAAAATGAATGGAGCATTAAGCAGGGGATGTAATAGCTGCTGCTGGTCGGACTGGTTCATGAATTGATGATCCTCCCGAGCATCGTTTCTTGAACAGACGTGCTGTTGATGCTCGTTCGTTGTTCCATGACCTCTAAGTAGACTTCATCGACCTCCAAATCCTTTGCCGTCAGCAATCAGAGGCCAGATCGAACTGTTTTTCATTGTTGATGATGAGCATTCGACCTGAGTCGATCAGGTTTGCAGCTTGTCTAGAAGAAGAGCATTAGTACGCCTCAGCCTTAATCCTAAACCTAGGCAGGGGCCCATGTTCTAGAAATGGGATTATCTTGAGGTGAGAAGAGAAGGCAGGAGGTGAACCAGTCGTCTTTAGCCTTTCATGTGAAGATATCATGCAGATTCTCATCTGATAGGGCAACAGTATCGGTACCAGCTGTCGATCAGTGATTGACGCCATTGGTTTGGCCGAGTGGAGTGTCGAGTCTGAGATGGTCATGCTGTAATGGGAGCAGCATTGCATGGCTCGGCTCGAATTTATGTCGCAAGGACAGATTGTGTTCGTAAGCGGTCACCCTCGCAAGATCCTTATACTTGAACCAGGGGTTCAGGGGATGCGCTATCCCGGGGAACACACCGCCTGATGGCTTCTTTGAAGGCTTATCATTAAGATTGTTATATCTGGGTCGACGGATGGCTGAGAGGAGATGGCGCATTTGCTCAGATGTAAGTTCTCTCCGTGAGGACGGTGAGGAACATAGCGAGCGATGCCATTAATAGACACCAGATCTCGCTTGATCGCAACACTCAGCTCTTCAAGTTCCTGCGAGGCCGGTAGTCTCATACGATTGCTCGGTTGAGCTGATAGAGCTCTTCGGAAACCTTCTTCTTCAGTTCATTGGCTTCTTGAAGGATTGAGACAGCACCAGAATCCCCGTCCCATTCAGATGCTGTCCAGGCCTTCGCCGTGGAATTGAACCCTTGATAACAGCTCCCAAGAAAGCCGGGCTGAAGTCTTTCTTCTGTTAGTTGATTGTATATGATCACTCGTTGAGATAGAAACAGCTTTGATTCGTTGCTCAGCTCGGCACTTTCAGTCTGAGACTTGGGGAAAGCCATGCGATGGGAATACCAACGTGCACAATTAGGTATGGCCTCCATTCATTAGAGGTGTTGGTCACATCCTCGAAGATTTGAGTGGCCTGTTCGATCTGCTCTGCAATATGAAACATGATATTGAGTACAAATAGTAGCTCTTGAACTGTTTTGTTGATGTATTGTGAGAACACCCATCTTGAAGCGTTGGTGGAGACTGAGTGTATGTGCAAGGGCGAGAACGAGACAAAAATGAATTGCAAAGGTCTAGGATCTCGATATTTGTGACGGAATAGCGAGAGGACCGAAACTGGTTGTCGGACGCTGCCTCAGGTCACGGAAAAGAATGTCCGATTGACCCCTCGAACGGATCTGAATACCACTTGACAAACGACGTGGAATCACCACATGGCTGATATTTCCGTTGGAGAAACCGACTCTCACTTCAGCGTTGATGTAATTAAGCCTATGGTGAAGGTGAGGGAGGGGATCTGGGAGCTCCAGAGGATCGTGGGGTGTCAGCCCTGGCTCTCTGAGTATCAATCGCTGTCCGCCCAAGTCACCCTTCGACATGGCGATCTTGAGAATTGTATCACCCGCCAGGATGACATTAATCTCATCCCAATCCTTTTGGCTTTATCGCCGTATAGTTCTGCAACTCGGGCTAAGCCACTATATATCATTGGGAGTGTGATATATAGCGCATCAAAGGGGATACCTCCCCTCTCCGTAGTTATCCTATCCCCAGTCTTCCGTAACCCTTTGGGCTTGGTGGGGGGTAGAGTCAGAGAATGAACTGAAACTCGTCATGTTCACGCTTTGACGAGTCAGCATATACATACGCGACCGACGGGTTCTCGGAAGCCTTGTCGTGATGCACCGCGTGGATGACATAGCGGTCGTCGCAGCGTCGATCGGACTTGGGGTGGTCTTCGAGCGTCTTCGCCGGGTTTGAGACAGTGACAGCCGAAATGCGACGGCCCGAGAAGTGAAGTTGTACTGCAACTTCAGGATTGATCATAGTATCGCATGTCCGTCATTGCCGTACTCTGCCGTTGCGTAGATACCTAGCTCACCTGCCCGGGCCTCGGCGAGCCGGATGTTGAACGGGCGGATCGCTGTAGTCTCTCTCGCCCGGCCAGCCTCATCGATTGGGCTTGATGCGATGACTGAAGTAGTACTCCGGTAGAAGATTCAGCGACTCTTCAATAGGCCATTGAAGGCGGCGGAGCATATGAACCAGTGTCGCCTGGCTACCTGCGCTGGCGAGTCAATTATTGAGGATGAGCAACAAGGGCTTGAGGAGCAACTGCTGGAGGAGCGCGTATCTGGGCATAGGCTTGGTACAACATGTCAACAGCTTTGTCATCGGCCTGCTCAATTCTCTGCTGCTCGACTGTGTTCATGTGAAGGCTGGCGCTATGCAAGCACGAAGCCGCGCTTATGTCCTTCTTCTCTGTGGTAATTGTCTCCTTACAGATCGCGATGCTGATCAGCATCATCACCAATATCCCGAAGCGTTTGTTTTCCATCCACCTTGGCCTTAGCCGGGCGTTTCTTTTATGCTCTGGTTTGAGATTGGAACTGCTCGAGCGCAAACGGGCTTCCTAACATGAGAGCACGCTTGGTAAACGTCTCTCAGTATGCTTCATTATTGTTCCAGGCCATTTGCGTCTTTTCTTGGCCTTCAGACTGTTTTCACTGACTCTGAACCACTCTAACCACTTGGTCCGTTATCAAGAGGTAAACGCATCGTCTAGAAATGGGACACCGAGAACGTTAACTTCATTTGTATTACAAACAAGCTGTTCGTCTTGATGCTCCGCAGACTGACGGAGGTGGTTCGCAATGAGAGGGAATAGGGGCTCCAAGTTTCGGCACTGGTGCTTAATAGGGTTTGGTGGAGGACCGAAGGGCGGCTGTGGACCATCATGCTCGTCGAGTCAGCACTGGAGTGTATGGTTCGGATCATTGCCGTCTGGATCTGAGCCAGGGTTTTCTTAAAGAATGATGTGTGGCGAGCGACGTCGCCCTTGCGATTGACAGTATCCTTTTTCCGTGATGAGATAGTAACCCAATGTTTGTTCCTCATTGTCGTCTAGAGTGAAGCCGTGCTTCTGACTGGGTCCTTGCGAGTATTGCAGGGATGAGGCGTATACGACATTCGAGGTCTTGAAGGCGTTGAAACGAATCGTTTAGTGGCCAATATTATGATGCTGAATGGGACATGTACAGCCAACAAGTTGACAGGACATCCAAAACGTTAACCTCGCTTGTAGCCTGAAGCTACAAACAAGCTGTTCGTTCAAATGCCTCTCAGACCAGCCGGTAGATCATGACATTTGCAGCCCACCACTCAACGCCGATAACGACAAGTATCATCCAGAATGTTCAACTTGGGGTAACAGGGGGCCACTTGGCCTGAGAAACTCTCCAGCCACAATGACCGTGAAATCCTTATATCAGTAAGATTCAATTCTATCCGGCCTGTAGACTACTCACTCGCACATGATATTCTGTCAGTTCTTTAACCACAGTCATTTCTGAGTCTACCAAGTTCACAATCTTGTCAACAATCGGGTTGAACACCCCATTGACGTAACCACTATCTTCGAGAGACTGGTCACCAAGGGCATGCGTACACAAACAAGAGCAGGAGAGTAAGGCTGTCCTTGCCCAGCTGTCGAACTTGATGAGATGTGTTCTAAGATTGCCGTTGCGCGTAAATGTATTACCACAGTTTGGACACTCATGCTGTACCTTCTTCTGGTATTTGGCAAAGTGTTCAGATTGATCAGCGCAGAACTCTAAACGTTCTCTCCTATGCAGATTTTGCACTGTTCGCATTTGCTTTGATGCACATATCAATGCGACACCAGAAACAGTGCAAAGAATGTAGAGAGGGCTACACTGATCAATCTGACGTTCTTCAGTCCCAGAAGATGCTCTGTGCCAACGTAGACCAAAGGATACAAACAGACTGCTCTTCAAGAAGACTCGCAAAGACACGGGCCGTCCCCTCACGGCCCGAATATAATACAAAAGCAGCACGGCCAGGGGCCGTACTATGATAGTTGAAGAGAAGAAAGAAGGAAAGGAAAGGAAAGGATGGGAGGAATATCTGGTATGTATACTCGATTCCCGGGATCGGAATAAAATTTCATTCTAACTCCATCGATTCCTAAAGATATGGATGTCGGTGGTCGGGTAGTGGTTAATCTGTGGCATAGTAATTACGGAAGATGACATTGTCTCTGTCACAGCGGGAAAGATGTCTTGATGCATACACGTACGGGCCAATGTGTATTGTTCCGAAGAAATTGCCTATGCGAATCCTTCAAGGTGTAAAGTGTAGCCAATATGATGTCCACGATTTGCATGCTGAGCTTGGGCACGGCTTCGTGCATGACAACTTACGTTTGCTGATGTTCTGGACACATCACCAATGAGCTACTGTGCGTACACTCCAATTTCTTCTCCATGGTTATTCCCATTACTCAATTGGAGTCTCAAACCATCCCGAGTCAAGTTTTGCCCATGACTCGGAAGTCATTTGCTCCTCTCGAAGATAATGTATGTAATTTACGCCGAGTCTACTTGAGTCGTTCGACATCACGACAGTCGATGCACCACCATCCGTACTCCCAAACGCAGACCCCAGATCCTAGAATAAAATGTACATCACCACTTTCAGTATACACTCATAGTCCGAATATACAGCCCCTTCCTCAACGTACCTGTCCAACCGCCAGATGTCTTCCTGCCACAGATATCCCACCTCAACTCACCAGACAGCCTGATCAGGCATCCCAACATCGCCAGAGATCCAGATCCAGCCATCATTTTTGCAATGCGGCAATCCTCTAGGCCCTCATCTCCTCATTTCAGGCAGTAGTTTCACAACACTACCCGTTAATGCCTCGTCATCTTCCGTAATGGCATGTTCTCCCGTCCTTCTCTCGGGAAGCAAACGTCACGACACCGGAGCAGAAGCCAAATCATGACATAGTCAGCGGAAAGTTGCAGTTCTGATACCACAGTTCCCTCATCAATGCACCATTCCGTCCACCAGATGTCTTCCCACCACCGATATTCAGCTTCAGCCGGCCGAACAACTTCCTTGAGCATACCATCATCATCGGGAATCCAGACTCGACGTGTCATTCCTTCAATTCTGTTACCTTCCAGGTCTTTTTCCTGTTAAGCCATGTATCAGACTTAAAATAGACCACTTCAACACTTTACTCGGGCACACCTTCCCCGAAGAGGTTCTCTCCCGTCAAGATCTCGGGAAGCAAGCATGATCCCACCTTAATTGCATAGCTTCCAAGAATATCTATCCCCGATGCATACATTCGTTTGGATCGAGTACCCGCATCGCTTACTAAGACGGACTGATGAGATATTGTTCGGATACTGGCCGCCGCGACGGGGACAATAGCTCTCACCGAGGCCGCATTGCAGCTCAGGGCGTTTGGCATATGACTCAACCTGCGGCCTGACGTATCGGATTTCGCCTGTTTAAGCTGGTGGCGATATCACAAACAATAATCAATACCGTTAATCAATTCACAGCACGGAAATGCTGTCAGCTTGTGCCTCTACATGTAAGTCGCCACCATGAGTTTGAGGACTTTACATGTCTCAACTCGGCCTGCCAAGAGGCTGTTAGAGGCGGCGAGCAGTATCTGCATACCGATTGGATCGGGAATTCTACCAATAGCTTTACATTGGTGGATCATTTCATGACTATAGGTTAGGTTGAAGACAAGGCTTTGTTATGTGAAGTTGTCGTGAGACGGGGTTTGCGTGTCCATATGGTTTGAAGGACAGTTCTTGCCTCAAACCTCAAGCTAGGTGCCAGAAATCCTACTCTGTGTTTAAATGAGCATTGAAATTTAATCATGGTATTTATTGTTTGCATGCTCGTTTCAGGTCCTTTGCTTCCTCGGGCCTTGAGGCTTGGTTCAGGGTAACATTCACATCAAGTCACAAGGAAAGTCAAATGTGAGGCGAATTAGCTTCATTTCTAACCAAGCCAGGCCATGTATCAGCCTGCCTCATCTCTCTATCTGCTATGTCTCGTTCAGCCGAGTAACTAAGAAACCAGAGCGAGTGTGATATCCCCAACGCCGATGATGATATGTAAGAAAAAGAAAAATACTGAGAGCCATCCCTTCCGATGCCATGCATGTCGCACTCCCAACGACGTACAATGATTTGGCCCTGAGGTCACAAAGACCACACGGTGACAAAGTCAAGAACACACAGTTTATTATGCAAACTTGTCCTTCCACTGTGATCCAAATTCCTTCCAGATGCCAGGAGCTAAGTGGTAAAAACAAACAAAACAATCACACTGCCCGTCGCGCCGTTCATCCCGCATCCCGAATCGCCTGTCTGCGATCGAGGTAAATTTCGTATTTCGTAAGACATGTTTCGTTTCGTAAAGTGTATGAAACAATAGAACAACAAATATCAATGCCCAGGCTGAGATGATAAATAAAACCCGATATGGTGGAATACATGCGTCAAACGCCGTGAAATGAAGTCCGAGGACGATACATAAGAGGTCGGCTCAGCTGTCTAGGCAGCATAGGCTTCGCGGTAAGCTGGGTACTCGCTAAATTGCACATCGCCGTAACTTGAAGTCTTGACCTTTCCGGGGTAGTTGCCGTAGCTAGCAGAGTAGGCAGCATCGCGAGAGGGCATGGAAGGACGCTCAACGATACGAACGTTGGGTTGGTTGGCGTAGTACGAGTAAGCCTCCTCAGTAGGGGTGGCGCGTGAGTATGAGTTCTGTAGCGTTGTGCGGCCATCATTTACTCGGTACTGCATCACATGTTCGCCACGCGACTCAGGAGAGCGATGCTTCTTGCTGCTGCGGTGAGACTTACGCTCCCGTTCCCGTCGGTAGCGTTCATAATCATCCTCATCATCACTCTCAGGGACCTGAGCTTGCATCCTTGTGCGACCACGGCCGCGGGGATCGGGCTCAGGATACGCGCCACTGAAGGTTTGAGCTCGAGAGATGCCTGGGACGTGGCGACTGTAACCCTCATTGGGCATAGTATTCGTCCGTCTGGGAGGAGATGTGGTAGGTGCGCCAGTAGCTGTGGCTGACTTGTGCATATGAGGACGAGCGGTAGGAGGAGTAGCCTCGATAGGATCATCGACAACCTCAGGCTTGTAAGCCTTCTCGCCGGTGGATCCGCGTCTAGGTTTGGCGGATGATCGGCGGGCATCGTCATCGTCAGCCGGAGCAGCGAAAGGAGAGCCGACTGGAGGAGGAGTAGGAGCGGGAGGTTGAACCATGTGTCGAGAAGCGTATGAGCCTTTACTTCTAGAGGCCTGGATATAGTTGAGTGCAGCGTTGGTCTTATCCTGGTATTCCACAGGAATGGGTGGCGGGTGCATTGAGCTTGTCGTGGGAGGTGCCTCCTCACGGTGTGATGATCGATCACGCTCGCGTCGCTCATCGTGCTTCTTGCTGGACTTCTTCTTCTCGGACTTTGATGAGATGGGCTCACCATCGTAGGTCTCAATGTAAGGCTTCGTATGTCGCTTCTTCTCCTCAGTATCTCGCTTGCGAGACTTATCGCGGCTCTTCTTCTCAGCACGTCGGGCTTCCTTCTCAGCCTCCTTGTTCTCCTTCTCAGCACGGCGAATGGCTTCGTCGGCTCTTCTCCGTCGCTCACGCTCACGCTCCTTCTCTCGGAGTTCTCGCGCATATTCCTTCTCTCGCGCTCGTTCCAACTCTTTCTCCCTCTCCCTCTCTTCGCGCTTTGTAGTCTTGTCTTGATAAGACTTTTCCCTTCTCACAGTTCGAACTCCCTCAAAGATATCGGCAGCGCGAGGATGCTCATCCTCATAAGAACGCGAATATGAAGAATAACCCCGGACAGGCGATGGCTGTCGGTCCGTCTTGTATGTGCGGTCATTAGTGCGAATTTCGTATTTATATGTTGTAGATGTAGGTGTAGGTCGACTTGATGAGGGGCTCGCGGTGGTTGAAGCAGAAGGGCGACTTGATGCGCTCGCAGCAGCCTTCGCCCGCATCTGCTCACGGAGTTCTGCTAACCGGGCCTGATCATCATAGCGTTTCCGCGCCTTTTCGTCGGCCAATAATTCGTAGGCAGTTTGAACCCTTTGAAACTCGTCCTGCTTCTGGGCCTTTAATGTTGGGTCTTGAACCTTATCGGGATGGCACTTGAGAACGAGCTTTCGGTGCGCAGATCGAATCTCGGGCAGTTGCGCATCTTTGGCAACACCCAGGATTTCGTAAGGGTCAGGAGTTGATGTAGTCATGTTGGGGGAATTGCTTTCGACTACTGGTTGGGCTGGAGTCGAGTATATAGGTTAACAAATGGTAATCGCGAGGCTGTCTATTGCATCGATCCGAAGGTCGTCGGAAGGGCGAGGCTTTGGCGGATCTTGGTGAGGCTGTCAAGGGGTAAGGCAGGGCTGGGTGGCTGTATGTATATTAGGCCAAGTTGGGTATTCTCCGGATTGGTGTTGTCCAGCGATAGGAGGCGGTCGCAGGATAGGTGGTCTGGGCTTTGGGGGGCGGTGTTTGGTGTATTTCTGAGTCTCGTCGCCAGAGCAAGGTGAGTGGGTGCTCGGATTTGCAGGGTACCGTAGAACCAGGCAGAAACTTGTACTCTATACTTGCAAGTGCAGTGCCGGATCAAACGAAAGACCAAGAGTTGGCGGGCGAGGGGGAAAAAAGAAAAGGAAGTGTTTATTTACGTGAGCAGCCGGCTGCTGAACACGAGAGAAAGCGACGATATGAATATTTGGTGGTGTTGTTTGGTTGTTCACGTCCACAGTGGAACAGAGGAACAATGCGGGAGAAGGAGACCAGCAGTCGTTGGGGTATTGACTATTGAAGAACAAGAGCCAGATGAGGTCACGGGCAAAGGGTGGCTAGCGACAGGGGAGAGTGATTCGTTGGTACAAGGGTCGATAGTGAGAGGACGGCGGACAGAGAGACTAGAGTTGACGATCAGACACCAGGTAGTAGGGGGTCCACGACTGGCTTGCTGGAGGGTCGCCTTTGGCGTTTGGGGGTGCCGGTTAGAGCGGTCCACCTGTGTCGTCTGGTGGTGCGTGGTCCTGAGCTGTTGCTAGTGGTCGCTGCTGGTCCAAGGTGGTCCCCTGAGGGGTGCTGTAGAGTGTAAGCGGTCGTAGAAGAGTAGGTACTTGTTGGTCCCTCTTTGAGATGGAGTCGGTCCCGTCGTGGTCTGGTCTCGCTGTGGTGGAGTTTGTGAGTCGTGGCTTGGTTATGGGACTCGAAGAGTCACTTGGTCTGATGAATTTGACCGAAATACTCTGAATAACTTGGTTTTAAAAAGAGTCAATCAGACAAGTTGGAGTCTACTAATCAAGACAAATGGGTTGACTCGCGAGGCGTGTATTTGTAACGAGGTGGTTGGGTGTTTTCTAAGCTGCAACTGGAAGTACCTCTTCTGTGCCAAGAACTTCCTGCCTGAGGTTCCTGTTTGAGTGAAAAAGGTACGTATCTCTTGGTGGAGTGAGCAGAATCGGTTTGCGATGGAAGATTGGAAAACAATTGGGTGAGGGGATTCCGTCCCTTGCTCCAAAAGGCAAAGAATCAGGAACGTGGCGAGTTGATTTTTACTTTAATTCTGATTCTAAAGCCCGTAAAGAGACTTGAAAGAGACTTCAGGCGTTTAAAACTCGCCCCCTTAGCCCCCTTTCGAGAACGCGGCGATGGCGATTTATCATGAGCTGACTAGCAGCTCCAAGTGAACTGACACGCCGGAGCGAGATGCTTGGTAAGGGTTTTCTCTCTGCAATGCGGCCTCGGGCGAATAGCGTAGCGTAGCAGCGATGAAGAATCCTGCTAGAAAAGCCGGCAATGGAAGGGCATCGAATGCCTCTCAGAGTCCCGTCCAGCCAAGACCAGACGGGAATTGCTGGCAGCCCGCACTTATACCGGGTTAGTGAGAGGTCCGCTGGCCGTTAGTGGTCAATTGTACGGCCTCCAGGGCCTTTGCACTGAAATGGCTCGCTGGCAGACCTGATTCGATGACAAGTGGGCTTGTGGCGCGGTTTGTAAGAGGTACGCGGCCTTACGAGTCGAGACACGTCGAGGTACATGCGTCTTAGTGGCGAGGTCTACGGAGCTAAGTGTACCAGGTATGGTGAGTCAGGTTATCCCTCAAGTACCGCGTCACTGTTTCGCTGCGCGAAATGGCTGAGAAATCGGCCACGGAGCGCGATGAATCAGTGTGAGCCGAATAACGAATAACGAATTGAGCATGATTATGATCATCTTTTCAAGGATGCAGGGTCAGATTCGGTGTCGGATTTTAGATCAATTACTGGATTTGAGTAATCTCCATGTCCGAAAGAAACTATCCGTAATTCCCCTTGAATAATCAGTCTTAGTAGAAGGCGATTCCGTAGTGGTGTACGAAAATTCGGTACCTGATTTTTCGGTTGCACAAAGCTTGTGTCCAAAGTACCTCTTTAATTGAAGTGGCTGGTAGTGGCGAGTAAGACCTTCAATTGAATCTTTCTCTTCAGATCCAACATGAATCTACCTCGGGGCCCGCGGTAGCTGATGAGAGCTGATGAATTGCTTGTGCGAACGTCGTAAGAATGAGCCACAATGTTCATGTATGATGAGGTGAGGCATCCGATGCTCCGGGTCTCACCAGATCATCCATCGTCAATTCAGGGTCCGAGTGGAGATGTCACAACAAAGTTGGCTCGTTCATTGATTAATCCGACGACTCCGTGAACTTTCTTTGTCTGTAAGTATCAGCCCAGGAACATCCTGACAAGGCAATCGGCCCAGCAAAAGCAACATCGGTTCCCATGATACGCCTCAGGCGTTCATCAACCCCCGTGATGAAACGGGTCCTCTAACTGCAGAGGACGGTCATCACGGAGCCCGATCGGTAGCTGAAAGATGCCCAGCGGGAGGGGAACGGAAGCGGGAGGGAGCGGGACGAAGCCAGAGGCGGTGAGGCTGATGACTGGCGTGTCGTCTCTAATTTAGCAACCAAAGGCTGTATCTAAGCCAGCTGAATAACTTACACGAGGCGGTGCTGAGCGAGAACGATAGTTTCTATTTCAGCACTTGAAGCGAGGCTGAATATCTAATGATTGAAAACTGTCTCCATGAGGCTAAGCAGAGTTGAGTAGAATGGACCGATGCTAGGGCAAACTCGACACCAAAGTGAAGCTACTGTGTGTACTCGAGCCCTCTCTCAGATTGGATGACCAAAGTGCAAACATACATAGCCCAAACAACGACATATCACTTTTCAACAGTCGATTAGTTCTCTCACCCCATCTCATTGGGTCACCAACATCTATGGGCTGACTGGCTTGCTCCTCGTTGGGCTGAACACCGCTGAGGCCATCTGGGCATGAATTGCAAGACAGCATCATGCCTGCACCAAGAACGATGGCATGAAGTGCAAATGATTCCTCCCACCACGAGAACAAAAAAGTTAGATCGTCGATCAATTACTCGGTGTGTAGAGCTCCAGGGATCGACGTCTTGAGCTCTCAACAGCTCTGGAGCTAAGAACAAGCCAAGCTCCCTAGCTGTGCCCTGATGATATTCGGAGAATACATGCGGTCAATTGCTTCAAGAAGCTTGCATGTAATCACTATAGCGACAGCATCCCATGAGCTTTTTAGCTTGATGCTCAGCTCGCTTGATCAAACGATGCAGCTAGAAGCTCCAGCAAGGTATGGATACCATCTCCACGACGGGTTTGTAACTCTGGTAGCGCGCGATTCTATTCATCAATCTAGTGGAATAGGCGACCTGCTGCAGCAGATATCCCTGAATAGAGACCCCTTTTGGTGCCGGATAGTGATAGTGGGCGCAGACCATGGCATCACGAGGCCTGCATTTCCAAGTTGCACGGCGTTCTTAGAGTCTCGCTTCACCCCCTGCAGCCCGCTCTCTGTGGATACAGAATCACGTTGCTATGGCTTTTTGATCAATGTCCTGGAGACTCATGATAATAAACAATAAAATTAGAGAATGAGATATTCGGTGAAGGATTAAGAAACGCTGAGAGAGATGCCTCCACAGTTACCAAGATACCCCCACGATGCGCAAACCACGGGCGAAGTACATGTGGAGTGATAGCTTCATGAGCAGTATCATGATGTGGATGCTACACCAGCCAGACACACGAGCATTCCTGCAGAAGGCTTCTCTATGGTCTCCTCGTCCGATAGGAGATGGACCTGCAGAGAGGTAGTGGGCGCAAGCTGACAAAGACCAATTAACCAGAGAGGAAATGTCCAAAGATGGTGGTGAGGGGCATTCTGTTTCTCTGCATGACACCATCCAAGAGAAGACTCGAGTCCTACGGTGCTGCAGAATCCATCACATCCGGCTATTTTTTTCCCACTCATAAGCGCCTGTGTGACGAGCCGTGATGAGTGAACGAACCACAAATCACCTTCTTTCCACTACAAAAGTTAATGGTATTCTTTCCATTCCAGATGAACGATCAAATAGTCAGATGCTCCCCCCAGATCAGAGACTCGTGGTCATCAGCGTCATGGCCCAGAAGCCGTTGGGCTGAACAAGGACAAAAAAGAAGGCCTGATGTTTAGTATATGATTGGACAGTTCTTCCCCATCTCGGGAGAGGGCGGGGCCGCCAACGGGCTCTGCATCTGATCACATCTCTGTGATATGCCGACCAATCAAGATAAGCATCTCTGTCTCTGAATGAGGGCTTTTTCCCAAACGGACTGTTCAGCTCTAGGCTAAATCACACATTCCTCCATATGTCAGTAAGATCAGGATCAGCTCAGCACGCGTAATACTCTCCAGGTCTCCGTATCTGGCCAGGTTACAGCCGGGCATCTGAACAAACAGAAGACCAAGCTAGGGAAGACAAAGCCAACCAACGGCCACCGCCAGAACGAGCGAAACCAAGGGAAGATCATCGACAGTTTTGTCCAGGGGGTTGCTTCCCAACTGAGTAAGGAGCGTGGAGGGTGCACGTCTCTGATAGGTATAGCAGACGGCAACGATTGATAAAAGACCCTCCTCACGGGAGCTGTCTAGCCATCTCGAGGCAAGGCCGGTGCTTGAATCTGATCGCAGCATGTGGCTTTGGGGATCACAGGCCTGAGCTTCTAGGCTTATCCCTGGGAAGAAGCGCCAAAGTACCTCTTTGCTGCTGCTTACTGCGTAGAGCTACAAGCTGAGTGAGAGATGAAACGTGAGTGGCAGCAAGGTTCTAGAAGAGTTCTGCCTCTGAAGCTTCAGACAATACAAACATTGAATTCCTGTTCCACGACAGTCATCGCGAGACACGCCGTCGTTCTCATCTCTCAAGCGCAATGACATACAAGACGTACCACGATCATACGGTTGACGTTAGGGCCAGAAAATCCAAGTGTGTGGCCCGGCACGAGTTCCTTGACGTTGTTCGGTAGCTTGCGATGGAGGGCAACGCACCACGTGGGTGTGCTCTTTACCAGACGTCAAATTCTTGGATCCGGCTTTTTTTGTACTGTCAAGATCAGGTTTCCAAGTTTTGAAGAGACAAAGCTGGACCATTGACGATATCCACCATGTGAGCCCAAGAATGTTCTATAGCTATTGTAAACTTGATCCATCTGGCACCAACTCTACAGCTCGATCGATACCGGTACCCTTTGACGATCCCGCGATTGGCGATGTCATGACCCCTCGCACGCGTCTAGTTAATGACCTCCCAAACTCCAGGGAACATCCCGCCTGCACCCGCGTCGGTCAAATGCCTCAAGGGCCTGTACCTGGAAAGATCATCGTCTGCCATGTTTTAAATTCTTTTGCTTCTTCCCGAGCGGTAAACGCGGGGTTGAACTACCGTACCTGATCTAGCTCGTGTAAATTCATCAAGCTCAGGCTCAAAAGAGACAAGAATGCTTGGCTTCGCCGCTCCCAAGATAGAAAAAACACGGGGCACCTAAGCCACGCTATTGGGCTGAGGGTATCACGACAAAGACTGGCGGTGAGCAGGAATGAAATGTGAGGATATGGCGCCCCTCTTGGCGGAGCCCTGTTGGCTCCCCGCAGCGTCAGGCTTGATTGGTTTGTTTGTTTGGGTTGGATCTCTCTTTTGATTCTGTAACTCGGACGACCATGAATGAGCATGGAGAGGTTTTGGTTGATGTTAATGCTATAGGCACGTGGAGGATTATCATCAGATTGGTCCTGTTTCATGTCGCAAGGGATAAGATTTCTTTGTCTCCTTGGCGTCTCAACGGGAGGGGAATGGCTTCACCGTAAGATCGAGCAGATGCCGGCTATAGCATTGGTGGGAAACGGATGTGACTGGCTCGTGCGACTGATCATCCCCTGATCTTGAGGACTTGTTCCTTGAAGTCTGAGAGTTGATCGTGAGCTTCAGCCCAGGTCTAGGGTAGCCATCTAAAGACGAGTCACTACATGCCAAAGACGTGACGCGACATTGTAATACATTGATGAGAACAAGGTTTCAATTCAATTGAAGGTTCAATTAGCTCTCGCTCCTCTACCCCTCGAACAACCATTGGGACCACGTTCATGTACTACAGATGCATTACAGTTCATCCGTTGGATCCGACTACGACTCCAAGCTACCCAATGTTGGTTCACGACGAATACCACCACATCGATCAATTGCATCCCGATCCAGCATGATGCAGATGGTGCGTCACAGCGTAGCAAACATATCAGTAGCCCACAACCATCTGTAAACTTATCAAGAAAGCTCTCGCTTCGTCTTCGTTTGAGGCCATCTCTCTTTTCCCAACGTGGTTCGTTGGGCACCAACACGAGCCTGAGTCTAGGGTAAGCCAAGAGCGAATCACGGGGCTTCGATATGGCCCTCGTCCTCCCAGATGGGGAGATCAAGCTCTACTACGATGGGCTTATTGAACTGTTTTCCTCCTGTGTGGGGATATCGACTCTTCATAATCGCTGCGTTCACCACACACGTCTCTCGACGACCCATCCTGCCAGCGAGAGCTGTCTGGTCGCTCCGTGGTGAGGCGGGATCCCCTCCTAATCCGGTAGTGCCATGAGAGGCGTGTATATCAGCAGGGCCAGATCCGAAGGTGTATAGAGAGCTCTCTGCTGAGTCAATGAAACGAGGGACGTCCGTTACGTCAGGCTCTCTTGTACTTGATCCATATCGACCTGGATGGGAGCCATCATTAGCAAGAGATGGGGCCTTCTTCCCAGTCAGATCTATGAGGCAGGTTTTGTTATTGCCTTCGCCAGGGTCTTGCCAGCGTACGACACTCTCTTCTTGATAGGCGACATTCCGACAACTGAGATCCCACATCACTCTCTTAGCACCTCTTCCGTCATGAATATGGCCACAGACAGCAAGCTGCGGTCTCACTCGCCAAAGCGCCTGTCGAAGAGCCTCACAGCCAGTAGCGCGACGCTCATCCGTCTCATCGCAATGCGTCCTTGGAGGCGTGTGCGTCACCACAATGTCCGCGTCGAGTGGTATAGACTCCCAAATCGACGTCAGATCTGACCAGTTGCTGGGATTTTGAGGAGCATCATAGTAAAACGCCCACAATCCGAAACGTGGAGAGTAAGGCGATCCAAAGACCTTGAATTGCGTACGCGGCCCTGAATGAGATCTGAGGCGGATGGTAGCTGATTCGTGAGAGAGGTACGTTATCGAAGGCGAAGACGTGAACAGTCGTAGACACTCGTCATGAGACTGGGGTTTCTTGTTGTGGAAGTACAGGCCATGCTCAGCGTAAAACTTTGGGTCTAGAGTGAGGTCATGATTTCCTGACGTTCACAGAGTCAGAGACTACTACACTGTTCCATGAGGAGGCATACCAGCGATGACGATTTTGGCCTCAAAGTCCTGCTTCTCTAACCAAGCGACTGTCTTGGCAAGCTGAAAAGAGATCAGCTTCGGTCTTTTAAGTGACCATCAAGAGCATATGGGCCTGAACTACAGACCTCTGCGTGACTCCCTTGGTTGGTCAAATCTCCAGCGTGAATGAGAACATCACCCTTCGGGAGCTTGACCTGGCAATTGTGGGTATCTGAGATACACACAATTCTGGTCCTTCTCCTCATGACAGCTGCCATGGCGTCGACGGAAATGGAAATCGTTTACTCCAACGTTGAACTGATCCCAAGGATTTGGTTGACTTTGTCTAAACTCAGGAACCGAAAGTGTAATTGCTAGCGTTTGTGAGTTGTGAGGAATGAGTTTTGATGGAGACCATCAGCCATGCGATTGCGGAGTTGTCTAAGACAATTTTTGGTCCCTCTCAGGAAATGGAAGACAAGCTCATGTCAAGTGGTTGAGATCTCGACTGCAAGGGAGATTAGTGCAGCTCCGAGACGGGAGCGTCCGTCCAAAGCACGTTTTGAAGTTTCTTTGTCGTCCCTGAGTTGAAATGAGGTTCAACGTCTCGCTTGTGCCCGGGAATGCGAGGATGATGTGCAGGCTGCAGCGCAGATGGTGGATCAATGAATGGAGGCTCACTCAACACCAAATCAAGGCTGAAGAGTATTATCGCAGCGGATAAATGTCAACGTCAAAGCACAGACAACGCCGCAGGAATCAACAAGGGATGATGGTTCGGCGTATAAGGCCAGCAAGGGAAAAAGAATGCTACGTAATTTTAATAATGACGGAGGCTGCGATAATGAACCGAGATGTTGGAGAAACAAGTGCCGTTGAGTTCTGTGGGACCGTCTCAAAAGCAGAGTACAGTGCACAGACAGTGTCCCGCTAATGAGCACTAGAAGCACTAAAAGGACCCTAAATGGTAACCTCTTCACCTTGTGGCGGCCAACTTCTTCCCGTCTCGTCTATTGCTCGTCATTTTCTTGCTTTTACTTTGTTCTCTCCTCGCAATGACTTCATTCTTGGGTATTGGACGGAGATTGTGACGCTGAACAGTTATTGTTTTTCGTTGCTTCTTCCCCCCCTTGTACCTAATGAGAAACTTAAAGCTTTCACAAGGCATTGATTCGTAGGTGCTAATACCTCCCCTGTCAATTCATCGACAGGGCCAGCTGACAACGTTCCATTCCCAGCGCAACGGGCCAGGCTTTTGGAGGGAAGCTAATCTCGGTATCAACTCATTGAGTTAGGAGAGGCCGATTTCTCCCCATATCAGATGAATTATAATAACAAGAGGGCACGATGATTTGTTGCGAGCATGTATCCGTGCCTATTCCCAACGTTGAGTTTCGTTTCTAGTGCATGATGCGTGACCAAGCAATTACTTGCTTCACAGGTGAGGAAAAAGCAACAAAAGACCCGGCGTCATCAAATGAGCCCCTGTCAGTGGCTTCGTGAACCCTGGCGCGGCTTATTCTCATCAGGGGAAACGTTGATTTATTCCCCTTCCACTCGCGAGCTTCTCCCTTTTGCCCATCGAGCAATCAGAATGAAACAACCGGCGGCGGCAACTAAGGGGACCGGGCTTACCGCAGACTGTATGATGGCCTGGGGGTCTTCTATAATTGAACGAATGCTTTTATCTGAGCTTTTCTTTTGTCAATGCTATGGATATCAATGGATGGTCTGTGTTCATTGTACATGAAGCGTGGCGTAATCATGTCTCCTCGCTCGTATTGGAGAATGGTTCTAGACTTGTGTGCACCTCTCTAAGTCACCCACAAGAAACGACAAACAAGCTCTAACCTGCCTCGTAAGAAATGTCTCTCGATCATTCAAACTCATATCCCATCTGAAGCCACATGAGCTTTCCTTCTCTCTATCCCTGTCAATTCGCAGCTGTATTTCCGTCAAAGCCCACTTAGAGCTCGCTGATTCCGTACAGGGGGCTTACAGGGGATGTAGCCCGGCTGAGGGGCCGTGCAGGCGCAGGCGCAGGCTTCATTCAGGTGCTCCCCGCTAACACAGTGTCAATTTTAATCTGCCAGCCTAACCAACCAGCCCCCCTCATGGAAATCTCCCATGGATCATCTTTCTTCGTCTTCTTGTTCTACCCTCTCTTCTCTGCACAGCTCTCTCGGAGCCCGACGCCGCCTTCATCGTCCCAGCCATGATATCTCTGTGACGACGATATCTTGATTGTTGGCTGACCCCAAGTCTATTCCATTATTCCATCCACCAAAAGTTATCTTGTCGACTTCTCTTCGCCATCTAACCGCCCCTTTATCACCGGATCCTTCGTTACTCTTTCCGACCAGCATACGCACCGCCGCTTGCGTCTATGAACAACACCTCTCCTTTAATCGATAGTTGCTACATCGAATTCCGGTAGCATTGACAACGATATAATTCGACTTTCGATCATAAAACATCTTGGAACAAACGCCGTTCGTTCGCCGCCCTCCACGCATCCTCAAATCTCTTATTTCTAGAGGTCGCGGGCGCCATCAACATGGCCACAATGGCACCCGCACCGACCTCAACCGAGAACATTACTCCGCCGCGCAGCAGTCATGGTCATTCAGACTCGTGGGGATACAACATGCCCCAGAAGGAGGTACGAAGCGTGGGAGTTGCCACATGATGGCTGCTACCCCAACTTTTGTCAGGGCGAGGATGCTAATGATTTGCTAGAATTTTGATAATGACATGAACGCTGGCACGAACCATGACTACCCTCAAAAGAACCATTTTACCACCCAAAATGGCAATTCGAACTCTTACCACTCGGGCATGGACCGAGTTGGCCGAAAAGTGAACTCGCACGATAATCTTTCGAGTGCCAAACTTCACAACTCTGTTGACGGAGCTGGAGCGCGCTACATTAGTGAATCCAAGACTAGTCCGGCCTTGAACGGTAACTCGTGGGGACAAACCTTTGGCCCTCAGACCGAAGACGAATACAGCCGCAATGCCGTACCTATCGACCAAGAAGTAGTAGTTGTCGACGAAGGTTCCAAGTGGATTCACCGCGACAAGCTGGCAAGGATAGAGAGTGAAGAGCTTCAGGCAGCTGGCATATTTGTTCCAAGAACCCGCAACCACAGCAAACAACGACGAGACCGAAGCCGCAGCGCTATGCGCCGTGGTACTGACGCGTCGGAAAATGGCCCTAGATCCCGAAAGAACTCGACAGCCGTCGAAGGACGAAACCCCGAGATCGCAGGCGAATCGTGGGATTTACGTACCCCAGAAGAGATTGCGGAGGAGGAAAGCAATGCTTATTTTACTTCAAACAGCCACAAAGGAGGCTCTCGCATTCCTGTTGCCAAGGTTAGTCCAGCGCCCATATCTGTTGATCGTTTCGAGCGAGCATCGAGGAAAACGAGCGAGAGCCCCGACGATGAACGGACTTTGACAAATGAAAAGACTCGACCTGGAAGCGCGCACATGATGAAGGGATTCGACGCCATGTCGGTCAATAGCAATCACAACAATAGTTTACCCGCACCGAAACGAACCGCCACCGATACTTCGCCCAAGAAGGGCGCGACGGGCCCAAGAAAGACGTCTGGCCCCTCGAAGACTGGCACGGCATCGACGGGACGACCAAAGACGAGATCTGGCTCTATTGGAAACAGTATCTCGACTCGACCTTCGACCCGATCTGGGGAATTATCACTAGGAAACAAGGCGCCTGAAGGCGATCCTCCGTGGATGATCAACTCGTACAAGCCCGATCCTCGACTTCCTCCTGATCAGCAACTCCTCCCAACTGTCGCCCGACGCCTACAACAGGAGAAGTGGGAGAAGGAAGGCAAGTTTGGAGATGTATATGACAAAGATTTCCGACCGCTCAACGACAATGAGCTCGGCAAACCGGACCAGCTTGACCAGGCGGACAAGACTGAGGAGACCGACGAGAAGCAACGAGAAACATCACCACCAGAGGGAGAGTGGCCGCTCAAGCTGGAGCCTACAAAGAGCCCAACTCAGCGCGCTGGCGGATACTCTACTATGCCTAAGATCTCGGACAAGCCCCAGAACAGCCCACTTCCAAGCCCAAGAACACCATTGTCGCCCAATGCACCCAACGCACCTCAAGCGCCAGCGCAAGAACAATCGAAGCCGGAACCATCTACTGAACGACCGGTACAGCAACACCCGCAACAGCCACAACCTGTTGAAGACGATAGCAAGGGAGGCTGCGGATGCTGTGTGGTCATGTAAAGACTTGGTCTTCACCCAGCCTGCCCATGGTCGACGGAACCACGATATCGAGGATACCCATTCCCTTCCCTACGTGTCTGACAACACTTACGACGTAACGAATTTCCTTTACAATCTGCTTGCATTCAGCCATTGTGTTAAATCGTATCATACCAACTCAGCCTGCTATCTCTTTAGCGACGCAACTGCCATTCCCTTTGTCACAACTTTAGCGATCCGTTCCACCCCATCCGGACCAAAGATAGCGACCTTGTCACCGAGACACGACTTCACTCGCGGAAAGGTCAAGCATTCACCGACCTGACAGGCTCAAGCGGTAGGCTGTCTGAGATCTGGTGATGTGAGAGATACACGTCTTTCCCGGAGTCCTTCATTATTCGTATTTAATTATCGGCGTTTGAGCTTTTTGTTTTGCGTTTTGATAGTTGAGTGGTTTTGCCGTTAAAATGGTACTTCTTGTTATATTCTTGCCAAAGGAGGAGGGGACATGAACTGGAGCGGAATGATAGAATTGATGGGCCTTGTGATGGGATTCGCTCTGACTGAGTGAGCGAGAGTCTGGGGTGATACTGGCGTGAGTTAGTTCTAGCGACTGGAACCTGCTCAGTTATCTTGTTATTAGAGATTTTGGAGAGCGAAGTTGAGTGAATCAATAACAAGACGTTAAATTATTAGATGCCGTGCCGTGCCGTGTTTGTGAATGAGCTCACTCTCTTATTGTTTCTTTGAGCCTTAAGAGGTATGTGCCAAGAAACCTTGAACGAATACTCATCACGATGTTAATGAGGATTGAGCATCTCAAGCTGAATATCAGGTATTCTATATCGAAACAGGTTATTCCAAGGGGATATCACCCTAACATCACTAAGTTACCCCTCAGCTCTGAAGCTTTTTCGGAAAACCCGGTCTCAAAAAACGCCCACAACGTCATCATTACTCTTTGGCTGTACGCGTTTCAATCGGGAGATCGGCACATTGAAACTCGCGTGAATTCATGCAGTTCTCATTATTAAAACGAAGAATTACCAGGGAATTGCGTACGGATAACGGCATTCCAGAAACGGGTAATTCGGATCTGATGCGATGCGGTAATGCCCGCGTGTGGAGTTTGTCTTGTTAGTTTACTCCATATGATTTGCATCATCGAGATGCTGACGTAGAGTGAGTGAGATCTGGCTTGTGTATGGGGTATTTATATATAGATCGGGAGATATCTTGGGACTGTTCTTGGCATTTAGAATTCACTTACATGTTTACAATTGCTTCAGTGTAAGATAGCAACCGTGACAATGGTTCATCAGCACGGAGATCATCATAAAATCCCCGCCAAGCACCGGATTCACAAGTAAGACCTACGCTCTCGACCCAACATCACCATGCACTAACACTCACAGACCCGGAGCATGGCTTCCCGCCGATCATCGCGTGCACAGAGAGTACATGCGCCGCGTCACAAAGCACGCCGACGAGAACCCCAAAGAGCTCGTCCCCGTTCTTCAAGAGTTCAAAGACTTTATTGAGAAGACGCCCCGCGTGTACATGTACTTCATCCAGATGTTTGAGGAGATCCCCCAGAAACACCCGTACCAGAGTGATCCTACTGGTACACCTCAGTTGAGAGACTACGAGCATATGCTGCAGGTGCTCAATCACATTTTTAGCACGGCGCCAGAGTGGACGGATGCGGCGGAGAGTGTGGGCATGGTAGGTGTGCCGCTTTGTGCCATCTTTGACTATCCTATGGGAACGCCTAGGTGGGTTTAATTAGAGATGGGATGAGAGGGTGATTGCTGATCAAGGTAGTGGTTATGCGGCGTTTTTGGACCCTGATGTGAATCGGATGCTGAAGAAGGTTCTCAACCACTGGGGCAAATTTCTCATGGTATGTTAGTCCATACGAGTTATCCCGACAGTTGCACTGACAACGAGTAGACACCTAAATCGGCTGAAGTTCTGGGAGATCACAAGCAGGGCTGGTTCGGACCCGTGGGTCTGAATGACCTCGTCGAGGTCGCCAACAAGCCCAACAAAACGAACTTCAAGTTTGAGGAGGTCTTTGAGTGTGATCCATCAGCCAAATACTACGGCTTCAAGTCCTGGGACGGTAAGCCAAAAGCGTCACCACCATGAACCATAGCTCACAATTGGCATAGACTTTTTTACTCGCAAGGTTCGCGACAGCGCTCGTCCCGTTGCTTCACCAGATGACGACCTCGTCATCGCCAACTGCTGCGAATCACGCGTCTACAACATCGAACGCGACGTGAAACTCCGCGACCGTTTCTTCGCAAAGGGCCAACCTTACTCTATCCTCGACATGCTGGCTCATGATCCTCTGGCTGAGAAATTCGCCGGCGGAACGATCTACCAAGCCTTCCTGTCCGCTCTCTCCTATCACCGCTGGCACACTCCCGTCTCCGGTAAGGTCGTACGTGCCTTCGTCCAAGACGGTACGTATTTCAGCGAGCCTCTATTCGAAGGTGTAGGCGAACCTGGATCGACGGAGATCTCGTCAGCGGGATTGTCGCAGAGTCAGGGATATTTGAGTGCATTGGCAACGAGGGCTATCATTCTGATTGAGGCTGATGAGCCGGCGATCGGACTCCTTGCGTTTGTTGGTATTGGTATGGATGAGGTTAGTACATGTGAGATTACCGTTAAGGAGGGACAGCACGTCAAGAAGGGACAGGAGACGGGCATGTTCCACTTTGGAGGCTCGACGCATTGTGTTATCTTCCGCAAGGGCGTCAAGGTTGAGGGATTTCCCGAGGTTGGTAGGGAGGAGAACGTGCCAGTTCGAAGCCAGCTGGCTGTCGTGAAGAAGTAAGACAGCTCCAGGTAAATCGGGAGATAGTTAAAACAGAATGTATTACGCTTCGTTTATGCTGTCATTATTTATTTCTTCGCATCTTCCTTCATACCAGACTGAACCCAAGCCTTGGACGCACTAGCCTTTGCCTCAAGTTCCTCCTCACTCAGCTTGGCCAGCTCAAACGCGGTGTGGCGCGTAGGAACATGACGACCAGCCTCGAAACCAGGACGCTCAAGGAGCTTGTAGAGCCACTTCTCGAGGTGAGGGAACTCGGAGAGATCAACGCCAGCCCATTCTGTTGGGTGTTAGGAAACGGTGGTGGTGATGTTGGGGAACAGAGAGACTTACTTGCGCTGGAGACCCAGCCCCAAATGGAAATGTCGGCGATGGTTACTTTGTCGCCGACGATGTAGCCGGATGATGTCTGGGCGAGGTGAGTGTCGAGGGTGCGGTAGAGACGGCGGGTCTCGTTGGTGTAGCGGTTGATGCCGTACTCAATCTTTTCGGGAGCATAGCCTGCGCATGTCAGTATAGTATCATTAATTGCATGAGTGAGAACATACGCTTGAAGTGGTTGGCTTGACCCTGCATGGGACCGAGGCCACCCATCTGCCACATGAGCTGCGAATTGTTAGCTATGATCCGACAATATAATGAGAAAGCTCACCCAGCTGGTCATCTCCCAATGCTCAGCAGATCCATGAGGGAACGAAAGCTTATGATCCTTATCATAGCGATCAACGAGGTACTGCAGCATAGCACCACTCTCAAAAACACGGATCTGCTTGCCGTCGAGAGTATCGGTGAGAGCAGGGATGCGACCGTTGGGGTTGATCTTGAGGAACCACTCTTCCTTCTGCTCATTCTCTGTCATCTTGATAGGATACACCTGGGACCGTCAGTGTTGCACGCATGAATGTGGAGAGTGAGAGATTACCTTGTACTCGAGGTTAAGCTCCTCGAGCAGAATAGAGGGTTTGATGCCATTGGGCGTGTTGGTGGTGTAGAGGGTGATGTCGGTCTTGGTCTTTTGAGCCATTGTGAAGAGTTGCTTTCCCAATTGGGTGATGCGCGATGTCATTAATTAATTTGAGGGTGTAGATATGAGAATGAGACCGAGGGAGGGGAAAGACACTTTATATAATGATATGAGGTTACAAATTCTACATCTGTAGAACTACGGCATAGTGAGGGGTTCCTTTTTCTGGGGATTGGATGGATTATTCATTGTACAGCTGGATTTGGCTTGGTAATCCGAAGTTGGTGGAGGTTGAACCCACATTGGACCAAGGCACATTGCGCGATTGTTACAACAGTCTTTGTAATCAGCCCGTCTCCGAATGCTCCATGGGGAAATACTCCAGTTGTTGCTGATATCGATTGTTTTATTTATGATCCTGAAGGACCCCCCCTTTTGCTCTGATGATATGAGACTGGCTCTTCTGGCAAATCGCTATCAGCGTCAGCACTTTGAGTGAACTACCAGGCCAGGGTCATTGATGTCATTGCTCTGAGCTCCAGACTGTTCGTGGGTTCTCTCCTTTGATTGGCTGAGGACGAAGTCAACTTTTTCACAGAGTTTTGTTCCTGAGCTGCTCACCAGATTAATTTCTCGACGTTAAGCTTATTCCCATTAGCCCCAACCCATCATTATTTGTAGCAGACTTTCAGAGCTATTATATTTGTTCTGGAGTCTCCAGTGCAGCCGTCATATTCTCAGGTTCCCCATCATGGATACGTATCTTTGCAACGGACTTGGTGCCGGATCGGCCCCACTTTCGGCTCCGGACACCGATCGACCATCGAAACTTGGTGTAAGCGACACCGTATGATCCCGCAAAACACATAAAAGCTGCCGCGGCGAACAGACATCCCAAATAAAGTTATCGGCGACTGGTCACTTATTAACTAGATGCTACACTTGGTCTATTTGTTAGGGTTATGTTAGCATTGCTGTCTGAGCTGAACACTTGCATAAGATTTATAAGTCCATGAACCGCTGGAATAATAAAGAGACACTAAAGGATAAATCTTCAAAAGCTGGAGTAGACACAGGGATCAAAGCATCAAGATTTCTCTGAGTTCGCTGACAGTGCTCAGTCTACCACCACTTAGTCACCACTTAGACTTCACAGAGGAATTTATATTCCGTTAAAACTAAAATTAGCTTGTATAACCGCAGAAAGCCTTAGAATTACTAAAATAATTCTTTTGTTATCTGATAACGATTCGCAGCGTAGGCCTAGCACAAAAGGGATCTCAGTATTGGGCTAAGATGTTGATTACAACCACGTCTTGTTATATTGGACCTGCATTGGCAGCAATACTCCTAGAGTATCTCTCAATTAAAATAATTACATCACTACAGGAAGCCAAGAGTGCAACATGAATCATGGACGTATTTACTTCAGGGCTGAGACTGTCAGTCGAGGTGGTAAGTACCAGGTAGCTTCGTGCACGACCATGCTAAAACTCGTCAAGCTTTACACGTGGATTCAACGATTTGCGACCCTTAAGTTCCAAAGAGTAAAAGCTTGAATATATGATCTAGATCTAGCAACAATAATCAGCGAGTAGTCACCAGATGAGCCCCAGCATGCCTCCATGAATAGAATCTCTCCCTACCTGAATAACTATGTCCTTCCTTCTTCCCCACAATCACATATATTTCGCTTAGTTCTCGGAGAGACCGCCAACCGAAGCCACATCCTGAGCCGCATCTTTCTTTAGCTGACAATATCATGTCTCCTCAAATTTGCGTCGCGGGACGCCCCCTTACCCTCACCAATTTCCCCCCAGAAATCATCAAGTGTATCATCGACAAAATCCTGGATGAAAATAGGGTCCACAAAGAGGAGAGCTGGGAATGGGATTATTGGCCTGAGCCTGAGCCCGAGCACAACCCTCTTCAGGTATACGTGGATGCCCTCAACCTTGCAGCGACCTGTAAGGACATCCGCAGGCTCGTGACGAAGCAAATCTATATCAGAGATGCGAGGGACAACCATTCGGCAGCTTTGCTAGTATCGGCGAAGCGCAATGACATTGCTGGCGTCATTCGAGCCCTTCATATAGGAGCTAACATCCACTCTGATGATGCGACCGAGACAGTCACCTACTATACTACCGGACCAAACGCTATCAAGACTGGCCATAGGGTTCCCTTGCAACTTGACAACCAAGTAACTGCCTTTCACTGGGCCGCTTTCAATGGACACAAGGAGATTGTGTCCCTACTCCTCAATCATGGGGCCAGCATTAACCACAGGGTCAGCATCGATGCTCGTGAGTGGTTTATTCGCCAGAGGTTGCCGGCTGTTCAGCTAAACAAGGATTGTACTGCCCTAGATTATTACCCAATCAGTTACACCAGAAGAGCTGTGGCGGATAATGCATTTTTAGGCTTGAGGTGTTTGGGATCTCCGCAAGCCGTCGACAACCAATATCGATTCATGAAGTTAGAGAAAGGTGCAAATACTCTATACTTTGCTGTAAAGGGCGGCAACATTGACATTGCAGAATCTCTCATCAAGGCTGGGGCTGATTTGATGACACATACTGGGACAGGGCTCACTGCTCTGCATCAGGCAGTGAGCAACGGAGACATAAGCATGGCAAAGGGTCTACTTATGGAGGGGATTGATCCGAATAGTGCTAATCCCTTTGGGAAAACTCCACTCCACTTCATAAAATGCCCCGAAGAGGAGATGGCACACCCAGCAGTCAAAATGACCCAGACTCTTGTGGAGCACGGAGCCGACATCAACAGATGGGACCTTCTTGGTAACACACCGCTCCTCACTCATCTGCAAGACTTTGAGCGGAATGATTCTGTCATCGCAGAGTTCATCCGGCAAGGAGCTCACATATACGAGGGCTTTTATGATGATCTCGAAGCGCCTCTCAATGAACTCAACCAAGAGATCTATAGCGCCATGGCATATATCGGATTTGTTGGCCCAGGCTGCGAACCGGTTCCTCTGCCGCCTAACCATGACACCGGAATGGAATGGTCTGAGACCCGAGAGGCCATTTTTTGACATTTTCATAAACTCATTCACCAGACAGACAAGTGCCGGAAGGGTTGGCTGAATTCTCGCCCAAAGAATGGGAAGAGTCCTGGGAGAAGCGCCCATTTGTCTATGTGGATGCTCAACTGTTGGGGAATCTAACACAGAGGAGCCCAGACTATTGAGCGTCAACTAGAGTGAAAGATAGCTATGAGGAGGGTGATAATGACTCGGGAGATGAAACCTCTGACGAAAGAGTTGGTGGCTGGCAGTGATAAAGAAGAGGAGAAGAGTATGCGGTGGTTATGTTGACTGTCGAAAGATTGTCAAATTCTACGCCGGAGTTTTATTTTACAGTAGAGAGAGAGACGGGAATACTGGTCAGCAATGATGAGAGTTCATATGGAATCTTGATCAGGTGTTTGTATTATTGGCTGATTTCAGCGTGGACGCAGACTCGCAGTAATGTTGAATGATATAAGATGCCAAAGTTCTCCGGAAAGGGGCACCTGAGAAAGAAATAGAAAATGGTTTACTAGTTTATTTACCCCAACATCGAACCACTGAAAAGAGTCATCATGAGGAACTTGTCCTGGACTGCTAAGCATTCTGCAATTTCCAAGTGTCGTGCCTTATGAGCTTGACTATGCCTTACCAGTACTTCCACAAATATCTATCCATCTATCAACCTCGGCCTGTAGTATCTCTATACCTTCATCTACACGCTGCATGAAAGGTTTATGTGCATTCTCCTTCAAGTGGACATGCCAGACCTCCAAGAGCAATTTGTTGACATTGAGCTTCACGGCTCCAGCTTCGATACAGTCTTGCATGATCTGAGCAGTGAAGTCATTTGTCCCGTGAAGTGCCATGAATGCATGCCCACGGATCTGTTTATCAATAGATGAGAGTCTGGCAAGGTCGAGGTCCGGTCCTTTGGGGCCATAATCACCGTGAATATTGCCGACGCTCGGGGCCAGGATGTCTATACCTGCTTTGAGGAAGTCTTCTACCTCCTCGGGAGAAGTGAATAAGGCTGTCCCTGTATTAGACAACTGTTACTATGGCGATGAGAGGTACTAACCTTCAAGATCATCAGTATCAGCAATGCCATCTTCCCCCCCATTGATCCGTCCACTCTCTGCCTCGACAGCAATACCCCGCTTATGACACAACTTCGTCAATGCAGCAGTCTTAGCAAGATTTTCCTCATGATCGTAATGGCTCATATCAACCATGATAGAGTCAAAAGGTAAAGTTTTCACAACCTCTTCGATCTGTGAAACATCTTGTGCATGATCGAGATGAAGAGAGAGCGGAACGGTCGCTGATTTGATAGCTGCAGATGCTGCCCAGGCTAGAGTTGGTAGCTGTCTCAGGGTAGAGGGGAATAGAAGGAGAACCAGTGGGGATCGTTTTCTTCGGCTGCTTTGACTATGGCTGTGAGATGTTCGATATTGTAGCTGAGTATTATAGTTAGTACGAAGCGCCAACGATACTGCGGACGGCAAACCATATTGCTGCTAAGACCCCATAGTTACCCTTGACAGCATCTTCCAAGATACGTAAGGTTCGGTTCGTGTTTCTCAAGTTTTCAGTTGGTTCTGGCATGATGAACTGGTATACAATGAGTTGTCTGTTGAGGAGCAAACCGATTGGATGGGGTGACATAGACAGCATCAGCGTATTTGGTTTAGTCATCATCCAATAAGGAAATTAGAGCCACCAACTCCTCATTTGGGCGAGGTGTTAACGGCAACAGGATTATAGACTTTATTTTACCCGATTTGGCAAACTCACATAACGTAGAAGTTGACAGATAAATTTATGATATGCTTACATATAGTAAATGTTATATTCATGTGTCCTGAGACCGCTGTGTTTCTTGATTGTGCCAGTTGAGTGAAGATACTGACTGGCAAAGCCTGATGTTACTGCGAAATGTTTCCGCAATCGAGGTCATATATATGTATATACAGTTCACTAGTTATGAAACCGAAAACCCGACAATGTTCAACTATCCCTTTGCAATCTGCAGAACCCATCTCCCTCCAGCGAGCCCGTCATAAAGTCCGTATGTACCTTACAAGCTGGCCAACCCATCATCCACCGACATGCTCATTCTAGCAATTTGCTTCGATAGTTTATCCTCGACAGAGAAAATTTATAGCTCTTTGATGAGAATCCTCTTAATCCGTGATGTTTCTGCGGACAAGCTGAGACAACGCCATGATGCAGCAAGGTTCTTATTTTGAAGTATCCAGCAGCATTTCAAGAAGAGAAAGGCAATATAAAAGTATATGATGCAAAGAAGTTCCGTAATGTGTCCTGATACATGAGGCAAAGGGCTCCCTGATGTTGTGTTCGTGAATCGTGTTCCATGATCCACCCCAGTGCGATCGATGTTAGGGCGATTTATGCCCTTCCTGGATAAGATCTTGGTATCCGGATCGGCCGTCAAAATATTTCATTCATCCATTGCCTGATCGTGTTGCGAACAGTATAAAATGGTGTTCGTGCCGTTGTGGTGTCGTATTCGTTTCTAGGAGCCTGTGCCTGAGAGTATCGGGGACCCGAAGCTAATCGGTGAAGTGAAGTTTGTGGTGACGATGTTGCTTGATCTGAGTCAGCAAGAGTCTAATACGGAAGCGCGCAATGCTCAAGAATGCAGGAATATCAAAGAAGGTGATGAAGCGGCAAGGTAGGGCAAAATTGTGTATCAAGATGTGCAAGAGTAGTTCTTGTAGATAGTGACGAGGACCTCAGATAAACAGGTCGATAGCTAAAAGAAAGCTAAATCTGGGAAGTGTATATCGAAAAGCCTACTCAGTCGCTCTCCGATTGCAGTGAACGAGGGCTCTCGATGGCTCGTGACCTGCTTGAGCTATTGCACACTCTGAGCTCAGGGTCAGTCACAAGGGCTCTCTGCGCATGGTAGGAGAATCCGTGGGGCGAAGGAATAAGAAATAATATACTATACCTCTCTTCAGACACAAGAGACAGCTCGCATAACATATCGCCGTGCTCAACCTGGCTAAGAACCTCGTGTACGCTCGTGTTTTGCCGTAGCATATCAAGAATGACATGCGCTTCTTTGTGGTCTCGTGATCGAAGTAAGTAGATAAGCTTTTGATAATCCGTCTTTTCGATTTGTAGATGTTCGTAACGTTGTCGTAACTCGTGATCTTTATTCATGGGCGCGTAGTTGCATTCTGACCCAGCTCGGATGCAGCCTTTACAGCGAGGCCGATTCCCATTGCACTACGATAAAAGGTTAGATACCAGTTTGAGGAGCATTCGAGAGACTAACTCTGATCTTTCGCTTTCGACAGGTTTCACAGGCAATCGTGACACCGACTCTGGGGTAATGCGGGAGAACGACGCGGGGTTTAGGGGCAGGCGGTAGTTCGGTGGCAGGGAGAAGTGTGCGTTGATGGCCTTGGCTAAAACCAGCCATTGTTCATATAATATCGAGAAGTCGTAGTTCGAGGACGCTTGGAGCGTTTTACCCTGAAAGGTATCTGTTCCGGAGAATAAGAGAGGAACTACATCAAGACAAGCAGAATTCGGCTTGGTGGACGTGAGGTATATCAGTACAAACTGACAAGTTCCCCTTGCCTATCACAGTAAGGGACTTGCCCGAGACTGTGAAACCTACCATTGGCCGCTTACCTCTTGCCGCCATCATTTCAACGTCTCTGAACCATGCCAATGACCGCATATCAACCCTAGTCTTTTTCTCCGAGGAGTGCATGAAGGCCCTGCACCTTTCCAACAAAGTCAATAGAGCAACCAATAGTCTCACCTCCGGTCGCAGCCCTCCGCTAAACGTGGTTGGGCCCCCCACTAGTCAAACTGTAAAATGATCGTCATAATAGCCGCATATCCTAAAAATGTGACAAGAACCTGGCATTATGACTACGAAACGGGTCATTTCTATATTAACAGGGGTTATGTGCTTTGACCAGTGAGACACACCAATCAAGATGATAAATTACTGGTCCAGAGCTTTCGGGAGAAGACTGCCAGTGGTATCCTGGCACACCAAGTCGACGGACCGCGGCTGTCAAGCGGGACTTAACCGCAAATGATACCTGCAGCAGTACCCCGAGAAATAAAAGATAAATACGTTAAGTTGTTCTTTACTGTATTGAGAGTGGCAAGACCACATTTTAGACCGTTTGTGTTGCGTTGAGCTCCATTTCAGCTCAACAGTTCCAGGACCACATAAAACCAGCATTCCACCCCTGTCAGAATGATGAGAGGCGTGGAGGGTTCAGAATAATCAGAATCTATCCGATTATCGATCTTTTATCAATCATCCAATACATAGTTGAACCATGAAGTAAGTACTGCTGAAAATACAAGTTGTTAATCGTACCTCAGCTCCTGATTTCAGTTGCTGTATCAGGTTGGAGGCACAAAAAAGGAAAACCGAACAGCACATAACTGTCGTCGTGCATAGGCAGGGGCCATTACGGATGTCTTTCTTCATATCCAGCTTTATATTTCTACTCGCATAATGGACCTCACAGAGACATGGAAAGACGTTGACTTCAACTTAAGAAAAACCAATCCCGGTTCGCCACTTGGACATGCATTGCGTGTTTTCGGTTGTCTATCAACAAGCTATTATGATTTGTAAGGTCTTGTAGCCTTACAAGGAAGTGGCAAACTCTATAACCCATCACTAGGCTAACATAGGGGCGAAACACACGGTTGACCGTTATATACCGTCAGTCTAGTCACACTGACCGTAAGAAATACTGAATTATTGCTGATAGCCAAGACCTGCCCCTGTCTATAAAGTTCAAGTGTACCAAGTCCCACAAAAACAAAAACAAAAAAAAAGGAAAAGAAAAAGAAAAAGAAAAAAGGTAATTCTGGCGTCACCAGCACTACACCGCGCTTTTCCCTCTCTTATCATAAGCCTTGCGACCTTCCTCCTTAAGCCGGGAGTCGTCCGGTCGAGTAAGATCAACCTGCGGCATCAAGAAAAACGCTAGCACGAATGCCAGGCTTGCGACACCTGCGCCTATAAGGAATATTATGCGGAATCCTTGTCTGTATGCTGGGATGAGAACTGAGCGGATCTTCTCAGCTTCGCTTGGTGAGACTGTGTCTAGGAATGTCTGAGGATTGCCGAGCAATGTCTTTGAGTCGTCTCTATCTAGGTTAAGGGAGGATAGAGAGCCTGCTATGACGTTGTTCCTGGAGTGATATCAGCGAATGTTGGTTAAAATGGCTTTTTGGCTTGACATACAGAACTGTCCCGCAGACTGCAAGTCCTAATGTTGCCCCCAAGTTTCTCACAAAACTATCATGTTCTGTCAGATTTGTCTTCGACACACGTTATGGGTCTGTCACTTACTTGCGGAATGATGTGACAACAGCCATATCACGCCTCTCGACGCCAGCTTGCGTAGCAATGAGTGCACTATCACCGTCAGTCAAAGCCCACTTGAGCGTCACAATTTCAACTCACGGCTGCAGCGTATTTCCAACACCCACTCCAATTAGTACCGAATAACCGATTTGTTTCCCAACGCCCGTATTCTCATCAAGAGTTGACATTAAGCCAAGACCTACAGCCCAGCATAACCAGCCAAACAAGATGCACTCACGGTACCGACCGATCCAGTGCACGATGAGTCCAGAGAAAGTGCTACTGGCTGTTTGTAGTAGTGTGATGGGGAGAAGCATTACTCCGGATTTGGTGGCGGAGTAGCCGTAGACGAGTTGGTAAAAGGAGGGGATGTAGTAAACTTGCATGACGAAGTTCCAACCGTTGATAGCCATGGTCAGGCATGCGCCGTTGACGATCTTCGACTTGAAGATGTGCACTACGTATTTGTCAGGGAATGCTTCTGATCGTAGCATGGAGTTTCTTACACGGTATCAATGGATATCGAGGGCCTTTCCACTGCCATAGCATGAAAGCAACTGATGCAGCTGTGCCCACTACCAATGTTGCGATAACCTGAGCGGAGTTCCAGGAGTACTCTTTTCCTCCCCAAGTTAATCCCAGAATAACGACTGTCATTCCAGCCAAGGCGAGAAATATGCCCAGAAAGTCGACTGCCTTAAGCTTTCTATTTATCACGTCAGTTGAAACCCTACCATCTCCTAATGGAACTCACAGTCTCCAATCTCCTTCGACTTTCTTTAATGGCATGAAGAACAGTACACAAAGGGTTGTCAACAGAGTCAGTGGTAGTTGCATCCTGAAGATCCATCGCCATGAGTCCTCAGAACTCGACGAGAGTGCACCTCCGATGACGGGACCTATGCCATTTGCGAGAGCAACGACGGCACCCTTGGAATATTGTTAGCCATGATGATACAAGCCTCGGTTACAGCAAGCTCACCAATATTCCTTGATACTTCCCCCTCTCTCGCAGAGGGACTACATCGCTCACTATGAGCTGCGCAACGGTCATAAGCCCTCCACCTCCAATACCTGTAAAGGCTCGGAAGATTGTGAGTTGCAAGACAGACTGCGCTAAGGATGAGGCCAGTGATCCGACAAAGAATACTGCAAGACCCAATAGCAGAATGATCTTGCGAGACCAGATATCGGATAACCTTCCATACATGAGCTGTCCAACTGTTGAAGTTCTGTTATTGTTAGCATAGTCCCGCACCGATGCTGATGATGCTTACATGAAATATCCGCTTGCTATCCACGAAACCTGGGCTGTTGACCCCAAAGCATTTCCGATGATGTATAAACTGGTGGCCAGCATAGTCTGGTCCATCAACGCCAGCAAATCTACACTTGCACATGCGAGAAATATCTACAGATCCAGTTAGCATGGCGATGTCATTGTTTCTTGAGAGTTGAGACTTACTGTGATGATGGCTCGCTTTGGCACGTAATTTGTCTGCTCATTGAACTCATGGGTCTTTTCATTGTCGCCTGAATCAACGACAATAGTGTTTGTTGAGCCCATATCACGGGTCATGACCGCGTTGGCGTCGGGTTCCCGATTTTCCGTCATTGTGTTTGGTGTCGCGGCGACTCGACCTCCTAAGCGCTGATGTGGGAGAAACTGCAGTGGGAGTTCCTTTAATCCTGATGGTGGAATGGAAGTCGCCTTGACGGTGAGCAAGTCCCTCTGTGGCGGCGTTCAACCTCGCTCAAACTTGCTCAAGGATCGGCATTGAGCAACCCTTTTGGCTGAAACAAGGTTATTTTCCAGGTACACCGCTTCAACTACCTGTCAACTACCGCGTCGTGTGCCTTGAGCCATTATTGCCCCTTTGTTGTTATGAATGGCTTTTATGTAAATCAAGTCTCGTAGTCCAATAAAGTCTGGTGCGATTGGCTCTTAAACTGACGCAAAGGTGTCATTGCTAGGGATCGGCAACTAAGGTTGCAACAGCGCGGGTTTTGCAAATAATAATGTTGCAACGTGGATTAAAGACAGCTCTAAACACGCCACAATACTTTCTCATACGAGCTAACTGAGCATATTTGCGAAAATTCGCGAGAAATATGCTCGTTGATGACTATGAGGCTTTCACGATGCTCAATAGACTTTCTCACAGATCAGTCTCAATAATACTGTTCTCGTCACAAAAGATGGAGGAAATCTTTTTGGTAACCGTTCGAGGACAAAATAAGAAGTAATATAAGATCTATCAAGGTGTTTCTAGAAGTAATTAATTGGACCCCAAATTATGGATAATATTAAGCATCTCCACCATGAGCCGCCTTGGTGGAAAACTATCAGGGTCCTTTTCTCCCAACGCTGATACAAGCTTGCGGGAATAACCGAGGCTATTGCAAATCATACTCAAAAGAAGGAGTAAAAGTTCCTTGCGCGAGCGATACCTGACCAATTATCTTGGCCATATGCATCTCATCTCATGAATGGCACCACCCTGATGGTCAATTTCTCGTATGCGCCACTTCAAGTCTCCAATGCATCATCGAAACAAGCATCAAGAACCTTAATGACCTGCTTTACTAGAGTAGTTCTGTTAGCAATTCGTCAGATGAAATCCATTTAGAGATGAATATCTGTCGATCAGCAAGAGATTTCGAGTAAAACACTTCAACGAGCTTCCCTCTGGGGCCACTTGACTCAGTGACCCCCATCTTCTCTATCCATGATACTCTGATCTGCCCTCTAACGATGACGATCTCGGTAAAGCGACTCATGCACTCTTATGGATATTGAGTCTTTTGATTGGTATACGGTTACATTCAAGAAAAAATGCGTTGTTCGGTTAGACATCCCACGCTCCATGCAGATGCCGAGCAAAACCTGCTACCACCCAATGGCCAAATAAAAAAGGCTGGTAAGTCTGCGAAGTACGATCTCCGACTTATATAGCTACTTGGTATCCAGGTTCTCTGTTAGATCTACCTCTGCAGTCTCCAAGCCATAACCTTATTCCAACATGGCCAGCCCCAACCCCCTCAACGTGTACCATGGACAAGACTCCATCCAGAAGTACTTCGATCCAGAATCGGCACCGCCGCTACCGCTTGTCGAGATTCCCGACTCGCTTAATCCCTATCGTCAAGATGGAGTACGTATTTATGCCAAGATGATGACTATGCATCCTGCGAACAACGTCAAAGCGATGCCAGGTACGGCACCCTGTTTTGGGCTTTATATGCTTAGCTCACTGGATGATAGCCTTGAACCTTCTTCAAAATTGTGTCGTGCCTGGCAAGACAAAGGCTGTTGTCGAGTACAGCTCTGGATCAACTGTCCTGTCCATGTCATTGATTTCACGAGCGATTCATGGAGTCGATGATGTTCGAGCGTTCTTGAGTAACAAGACGAGCTCAACAAAGCTTAAACTCATGCAGTTCTTTGGCATTGACATGTGAGTCACCAGAACACCGATAAACATCCAAACAGGTCTTCGCTCTAACGCTTCATATATATAGCACGCTGTATGGCGGCCCGTCCCAGCCAGAGCCTCTCGACGAGCGCGGTGGCATCAGAGCTGCTCAAAGGCTCGCGCAAGAATCAGATGCGACCATCATCAACCCAAATCAATATGAGAACGATCTTGTAGGACTTCTGTCAATCTCAATGCAAGGCTAGTGTTAACATCAGAACAGAACTGGAATGCCCACGTCAAGTGGACTGGTCCACAAATCTACAAGCAGTTACCAGAGATAAACGTCATCTGTGCTGGCATGGGGACCTCAGGTACGCCAACATACTCCCTTTATGGGATTCTTTTTAACCATGAGAGACAGGAACTATGACTGGACTTGGCACATACTTCAAAGATGCAAAGCCTACAGTGTACCGACTTGGGTCAGTCAAACCACCATTAGCATGATAAAACCCATCGGGCCATCAATACTAACTACGATTCAGTGTTTGTACAGCACCCGGTGACCGAGTCCCCGGCCCCCGATCCTTCGCTCTCATGGCTCCCGTCCAGTTTCCCTGGAAACGGGCAGTCGATCATATCGAAGAAGTCGACTCTCACAACTCTTTCTCCATGTCGTTAGATCTCTGCCGAAACGGTATCGTCTGTGGACCTTCTTCAGGTTTCAACCTTAAGGGTTTGTACCAGCTTATAGAAAAGCGTAAGGCTGAAGGTACTCTGTCAGACCTGGCTGGACCAGACGGAACTATCAACTGTGTCTTCCTATGCTGTGACCTGCCTTATCAGTACATCAACGAGTACTTTGACAAGCTTGGAGAGAGCTACTTCCCTTCCATCAAGAACAAGGTAAGCCTAATATCTCAAGAGTTCCAACGGGAACTAAGACTATCGCAGGACCTCTTGGAAGTCGACTTGTATCGGTATGATGAAAAATGGGAGAGATCAGCATCCGAGGCCCTCGATGCATTCTTTGACGTTGACAGAGGAGCACTTCTCGACATGGTCCTTGCCGACCCCAAGATAGGATCTGTCAATACCGTCGACTTACAGAGCATTCTGAGATCCAAACAGGACACTACTATAATCGATCTACGCCAGCCTGACGACTTCAGCATGTTCCATCTACCAGGCGCTGTCAATATGCCTTTTGTCCAAGACGGCACCCCAAGCCCATTCTCTGATGCAAAGCTATTGGAATCACTATGGAAGAATCTTGATGGGGCTTTTAAGGCTCCAGGAGCAGAAGTCCAGTCTCTTCTCAGCGGAAGACGAGTTCTTCTCACATGTTACGATGGCGACAGCGCTCGAGTTGCAACCAGTGTCTTGAGGGCCAAGGGATATGAGGCGGATAGTATCAGAGGTGGGTTTCAGGCATTGAACAAGATGAGACAGAGCTCAAACCAAACCCCTATGGCTGGATCTCGAGAATCATCGCCTTGGGTGGATTTGAGTCAGGAGGCACTGAGTGTTGGCGCGTCAAAGTCTGCTCGCGTTTCTCTATAGCGGTCTAGGCATGCTTGGCCGAGGATACCTAGTATAGATACTTACGAATAGCATACGAAGAAGGATGTAACTAAGTTTGGATATCTCGCGCACTGGTAAATATTGTCAATCATATGTAGTCTATAAGATTCTATCCTATTTGGCAATTCGTCAAGGTGAGACGAATAATCTCACAATGCAGGCACGATCCCGCTGTCCAAGTACTATGCTTCAAAGGCACTTATATATAAAGTGAAAGCCTCTTCACTCCGAAGATCATGTCGCGAGAAGTCTAGCTCACTCCCCAGGCCCCAAGAACATTCTTCCTTCCCTCCCCCTTTGCCTTGCGACTCCCATTCTCCAATTTTCTAACCCTGTTCACGATCAGTCCCACAGAGATCGGCCCAATGATCGTACAGAGTGTAATAGCCCAGGTGACAATCAGAAAGATCTCAGAGGACTGGCCATCCGCCGTTGCACCAAAGATACCCTTGCTTTCAGCCAGTGCCGAGATCAAATATCCGATCTCACCTCGCGCTACCATGCCGATGCCAACGATACACGCTGGATACAGAGACAAGGCTTTCTCGGGCTTCGGTGTCGAGTTACGCACTTGTGGAGACGCCTGAGATGTATCTGTGTCAGTGACGGGTTCCAGAGGGACAGCATCACGTCCTTCTCCTTCCTGCGCTGCACTAGCCCCATCGCGAGGTGATGAGTTGTCTGCGCATTGAGCACCAGGCACCAATCCTTTAGAAGACTTTTTGAGCTTGGGCGAAAGTGTATGAGAAAGCTGCACAAGAGCCCGGAAAGGGTTTTCGAATGACATAAGCCAAAGACCACAAGCAAGCTTGGCAAATATCATAAGGATGGTGTAGATCACGCCGCGCCATACGATGGGGCCAGTGAATAGCTTTGTGATGGGCACGGAAAATCCAATAGAGGCCTAGTTCCAGTCAGACTTGTTCAGTGATGGGTTAGAAGTTGGGAAACTCACAAAGAAGAAAGGCTTGAGAATGTGTTGAAGGGCAGGTTCATAGTAGTGGTGAAAGATCTCGGCACCTGAACCACCTTCCATGACCTTTGTGAGAACCCTGCTCTCTGGAGCCGGCTCTTGGGTTGCCAACTCTTCAGTAACCACACTTTCTCCCGTGGCTTCAGTCGCATTGGTATCGGTCTCTCGGGATTCGAGATGAGGAACATCGGAATCCCACCAACTGATAGTCGCACCCGCTATATAAGCAGCCAAGAGGCTCGAAGTGCCTGCAAAAGTCGCACCAATGACTATACCTAGGAGATATGCGGTATGAATAACAAAAGCAGTCTGACTCATACCGAAAACCTTTGAAATTCTAGAAGTCGGATTGGCTTTTCGGAAAGCATTGAGTCGAACAGTAAGAGGTAGAACGATGAATCTGCAAAGAACAGGAATGGTAATTGCAAAACCAAGAGAGACAACGACAGGTCTGACGACTGTGATGGCATCAAAGGCATCGCCACCGAGGTTTGAGATAACCTGGACCATGATTAAGCCTATGACATCATCCATCATGGCAGCACTTGTCAAAACAACGCCGAGACGTGTTGCAGAAAGACCGCTTGTGCCGAGGATAGTAAACGTTGTACCGAGACTTGTAGAGCACAAAGCAGCACCAGCAGCAAAGGCTTGCAATGGAGTTGCGTTAAGCATAGGCATAACTGCAAAAGAGAGACCGATTGGGAGAACAATTCCAGTTGTAGCCACGATAGAGGAAAGACCAAGATTAGCCTTGAGAGATCTAAAAGATGTTGACAACCCGCCTATAACGCAAATTAGAAAGCTGTCTATGCATCAATGGGAATCGAATTACCTTCAAAAACTAGGAGGATGAGACCAAGGTATCCAAGCTGCACTATCGCATCTTCAACCTCCCGGGAGAGCCATTTTGCACCTGGTGTTCCCCAAGCTATACCTAGCGCTATTTGGCCAATTAGACCGCAATATGCGATTTTATCGAGGCCATAATTAACTAAACTCAAGAGAAGAAGAAAGCTCGATAGAATGGCAATGACTGTTATCGAAGGCTCGTGGTATGGAAGTGAGGCTTCCATTTTGCAGACAATGATGTTGGTTGCATTCTGCTAATCTGAAGTTGAAGCAGGTTTAGATATGCCGGAGTTTTAATTCTCCGACTCGGTTCGGGAATAAGACATGTAACACTACAGTAGAACCAAAGTACACGAGCTTTAACCACAAAATGTCCAGTTTCATAGACTACTGCTTGCAGCAGTCATATGATTCTTATAACTCAAAAGTTAGAAATATCTTTGCAGTTCTCTCTTCTCTTCTCATCGTCTCATACCTCTGTTATCCTGACCAATCGCATCATCTGGCACTGGACGGCCGCCCTGCGAGTCAGTATCCCTGAACGCCAAGACAAACCAATGCATTCCTTCACAGGGGTGAGGGATGTTGGTCGACTCTGGGTGATTTATACTTTCTTCCCCTGGCATTTTAACCGAACATCGTTCGTGCCTCTCACTCACATATTTAGCTCACCCTGAATTTCAAGTCTGCAAATTAAACAAGAGCTGGTCGTTCCGACATGAATATGAACAGTGTAATTAGTTGGCTTTTATGTACATGATCTCATTTTATACAATCGTCCTATCCTTGGCCGTTACATCGAGACTAACAAGCTCGATATCGCTTCTGTTGCTCTTCTTATCACTCCAGCCTGCCGCGAGCTCCGGTGAATGTGATCCTGTCCATGGGCCTGGGTCGGGGTCGCCTTCTAGAGATGGTGTTTCGTCGATTTCTTCGAAGCCACTTTGTGCTGCTCTGCGAACTGGTGCGCCGGAGGAGTTGTTCGGTCTGCCCGATGTGTTGTAGTTGTAGTCGTATTTGGAACCCTTTCTGCGGAGATATGGTCGGAGAGCTGGGAGGCATGCAATGATGAGGCCGATGAAAACGTCGAGGCCACTCCAAAGTTCTATGAAATGTTAGATGAACCTTACTGGAACGATGATATAACTCACCAATCGTTGTGATGGAACGAAAGTCTCCGACGTTTGTGAGTTGAATAGTCAAGAAGCGCGTGAGCGAGAATGCAATGTCGATTATTCCGAGAAGGAAAACGCAGTAGACACCGATCTTGACCCTCTTCCGCATGTTGAGCTTATACAGAACTAGCCATGGAAGAGCGAAGACTGTAAGGTTATTAGTATCTATAAGATCCAACAGGTTGGGATGACTTACGCAGAAGACTCCCAACAAAATGCAGCGTCCAAGCAACCTGGAATGTAGTGACCAAGGCAAAGTCATCACAGAAAGGCTCTGGTCCCAAGATCGACCTGAATATGAGTTAGATGAGTTGAGGAAGGACGAGATGCGTGACGTACCAGTTTCGTTTAATCGGGAAGCAGAGGAATAGTTGCAGGCATAGTGACACGATCAATGCGCATGCACAATAACCAACTACACTCCAAAGAATGATCCTTCTCTTGATCATGAACGGTGGGAACAGCTGGAGATATACGACGAGAAGTGATGCCTTGCAGAGGTAGAAGGTCACGAAGAAGGGAATGACACTAGCCCACATGTACTATAATACCATCAGCTTCATGTTGTTTCGATTCGTGATGATGATACTCACCCGCAGCACTCTCGATAGCTTCTCTGGCGCAACATTCCAATTAACGAGGGTGTAGTTGATCTCGGGCTTCAACACATCCTCCTTCATGTAGATGATGTCGAACGACGCCGTAACAAATGCTGATATCCATGCTGCAACCCTCAACCAATCTGCAGCGACGAGCCTTTGCTTCTGTATGACGAGCCGTAGGTAGATTCGAGCACCGATGATGGCAGCAGCCAGCGTAATAAGGCTGAAGTTCACTGCCTAAAGTGGTGGGTTAGAGGCTAATTCAGTGGATTAATTTGGTGGACTCGAACTTACCAGCACAGCGGCGCCCGACGGCGCAGAAACCATTGTGAGACTCCAGATGAAATTACAGCATTAAACAGAAACAAAAAAGCAAATAAATAAAGAGCGTTTATGCTTTCGTTGGGACCATGCAATGCAATGTAACAGAGTTGACAAAAACGCAGAATGATCGTCACGAAAGTTGCTGGGGGATAATGACGATAAAACCCCTAAATAAAGCTGGCGATAGCTCAGCACAAGGTTAACCCCGGCAATCGTGGACTGACGGAGATTCCCTTGTTTTTTTTTGAGCTTGACTGTAAGCTTATCAAGTGGCGACGCTAGAGGCTTCAGGCTGAACATTTAGAGTTCACGCTACGGGCCACCTCGCTTGAACTGGAATCTCGTTACGTGACGAGTTTAACGCATCTCAACTCAAGCCCTGTTCAGTGGGAAAAAGTCGCACCATCGGCTTTAGTCGAGACTCGCAGCGGAAGCCAGATATTGAAAAGCCTTCATTCCGAAGTGTGGGTAGGGCTGAGTCGGGACGAGAAAAGGATCGACCTGATGTGATGTTGATCATACACGTTTATTGCCAAGAATCTGCTCGAGTCGTAGATCTAGTCACAACTGAAGCGAGAAAAGCAAATAAGTCACAACCAACAGAGCTGAAAAGATACTCCGATTAATCAAGCGATATCATGAGAGGGGCACTCCTGTTTTTGACGATTCGTATAAGCAAAAGGTTCATTTTGCAAAGTCCCCACGGACAATGTCTCATCATCGTGGTCTTTTCCGACTAAAACGAACAGATGGTCTAACCAGAAGCCCTGCCCCTTGCTCGCAGCTGCAATATCGCCAGCTCGTTTCTGGGCTGTTGTCACCAACGAATGTCGTGGGATTCTCCGTTAGTGTGTTCCAGAACTGGGATAGACCGATAGGCGGATGCAACGGATCTTACCCGTTGATGCAGATATGTGCCGGGTCCTCCTTGTTAATATTGGCTGACAATCGCATGCGCACCAACAGTCATCCTGTACCTCCGATAGGCCCGAAACCATGAACGAGAGCAGCCATTTCGCGTACCTGTTGGTTCTGCAGGCGAATCCTTGTGATCGGCTGCAGTCAGCCGATAGATTCTGCAGCGGAACAAGGGAGCTGACTCGATCTTGTGTTTGCTTTGCCCTTCGAGACTCTGTAGCCAAGAGGACTATTGTTACGCTTTGATCCAGCTCATCAGCTCATGTTTGTAAATCGCTTCAATTATTAAAAGATTTATATGTAATGTAGTGACTCGCATACATGTCCTGTCAGTCCATCTTCCTAACTCGGACCTAATGCTTATGAACGCAAGTGCCGCGCTTTCGAAGCTTGGCCGCATCGGCCTTGGCTCTCTCTGACAGCGTGTTGGCGTTGAAGCCGCCGATAGTTCGACGGGCGAGCTTAGCGCTGGTCTTGTCGTCGTTAGGGAACTTGGCCTTGACGCCAAAGTTCTGTCCGTCAGCCACATAAACCACCTCACCGCCGACCATGGTAAGGAGGACCTTCTGGCGGCCGAGTTTGGACTCGGGGACCTTGAAGAAGTTGTTTTCGAGGATGATGATGTCGGCGAGCTTGCCTACCTCAAGAGAGCCGATCTGCTTGTCGGCGCGGAGGAAACGGGCGCCGTTGATGGTGATGGATTGAAGAGCGGAGGTACGGGAGATTCCGCTGCCAGGGAACTTCCCGTCGAAGGGAGGGCCTTGGGATGCGGGGGAGTTGGGGTTCTGAGGATCACCAGAGCGGGTGACCGCGACCTTGAGTGCAAGGAACTCATCAAGAGGATCAATCTGTTTCTGTTAAACATGTCTCAGACGTGAAAAAATGGCGACACTTACAGGCCAATCGCTTCCATAAACAAGAGGTCGACCCGCCTTCTCAATCTCAGCCCAAGCCTGAAGATTGTCCTTTCGGTAGTCGGCGAGCGACTTGAACGTGTTAGGGATGTAGAATGAGCTAAGCTGCGCCCACTGGTAACTGACGATGGGATCGACCTTGAGCTTAGCAAAGCGAGGCCAGTCCTTCTCATGCGACAATTCATCGTGGGCGAGGCCGAGCCGGAAATCCTTGCGGGGGTACTTCTTGCGGAACGACTCGGCAGCATTGAGACCAACACGGACGGCAAGATCACCGTCGACGTGCAATTGAGCATCGAAACCAGCAAGGAAGAGAAGCTCGAGGGTCTTGGTGAGAATAGCAGGATTCCAGTAGGGGTCATTGAGGGACTTCTTATCGGGGGCCCATTTGCCGTCGAGGTCGGAGCTGTTGACGGGTGCCCAGTACGGATCAATCAGAGCAGCGGTGTTGGCAGGGTAAGTGATGACACCGTCGATGAAGGCCTTGATCGCCTGCCACTTGAGTGTGGGCTTGGGACCAATGGCCTTATTATCATGCCAAGGAGTCAGCTTCTTGACAACGTTGTTGACGAGCGCGGGAACACCGTCAATTGACTTAGGCGCTTCAATGCGGTAGTCAAAGTACGCGCGCGCAGAGAGACCATCCTCAGCCTTGATGGTGCTGAAGAGAGTGTGATGTTCTTCACCAGCAGCGGCTTCCTGGAAGGTGGTAATACCAGCCTCGCGAAGAAGCTTGAGAGCAGCGCGACCAGCCTGGACGTTCTCCTCGGCGGTGGGAGGAGGAGGACCAGCGAGGAGGGCAGAGGCGCCATCTGAGAGAGCACCCGAGGGCTCTTGGCTACCAGGAAGACGAACAATCTTGCCATCGGAGGGGTCCTTTGTGCTTGAGTCGATGTCGGAGAGCTCGAGGGCGCGTGAATTGGCGAGAACGGTATGGTAGTCGCTGGATCGAATGATGATGGGTCGCTTGGTGTTGAGCTTGTCAAGCTGCTTCTTTCCAACATTTCCGCTCTTCTCAACAAGACCAGCATAGTCCATATTGACAACCTCAAGCCAGTCATCATCCGTCTTATCAGTCTCGCCATCAATGCAGCCCTGGATATGCTCTATAACATCCTCAATTGGCAGCGTCTGGTAGCTCAAATCGCACTTGAGAAGAAACAGACCACCAGAGAGAACGTGCATGTGCGAGTCGACAAGACCAGGCATGGCCATCTTTCCCTTGAGATCAATGACCTTTGTGTTCTTGCCAATGTACTTGTCGGCAGATTTCTTGCTGCCAACGTACTCAATCTTTCCGCCGCGCACAGCGAGAGCCGATGCATGTCCGTTGGACGGACACATAGTGTAGATCTCGCCATTGACGAAGACTACATCCGCGGGCTTGACGACGGGCTTTACAGCGCTCGCCGTAGCGAGAAGCGCGCTGACGCAAAGAGTGAGAAGACCACGAGCCATGATTGAAGATGTCGATGATGGTGATCCCCTTCAATTGAGAGCCTAACATGAGCGACGTAAGATTGGTATAAGTACATTACTCAATGGTCCCTGCACCACAAGCTAACATGGGGGTCTCCCAGCGGAGAGTTCGGCTAGAAGACCACTGTTATATTCCATGTCCAAAGAGGGTCAGAAGGCCGGATTCCATGGTGCAGGGACTATGGGAGCTCGTGGTGATTCCGGCGGCTGCATCGCCTGTAAATGGCTAAGCCCAGCGGGTGCTTCCCCCCAAACAGATAAGTGGACACCAACAGATCATGGTTAGTAATGAATCTATAATGGTAACTTACTGCAGGGTCTAAATCCCTCAGAACTATTGATCCCTTTCATCCCACTGCCTCTGCGTGATTCGCTGCATTGTTTACGACGATGAGATGGTGCTGGTGGGATGCTGATGTTGCGACTCTTTACCTACGAACAGCATAGTCGTATGGGATATGATTTCTGTGGCGAAAACTCTCACGGGTCTAGATTTGAAGACTAGACGTTTGCGAATGACTGATTCGAGTACGATGTGTCGTGAGGCGCGTTGTAGAGTTTGAGCTACATCTAAGGTTAACTAATAAGTTAAGGTTGCGGGTATGTAGATCCACGTGAATGACACTCGTGATACGACATCACTGACATTAACTTTCTCGCACGCGATCAACAACTACAATTACGACTCTGGATATAAACAAAGTTCCCAGATATAATACCGTCGCGCCTCTATTAGCCCGAAACATCATCATTATGTAAGTTACAACTAATCGCAATTTGCAGATCCTATCCCATCAAAGTCTCATAGCCATTCTCCATCATAACATCCATCCAATACACATCCTGCTTCTCCTCGTCCATGCAAGACCACGTCTTTTTGACAAGCGTCAACATCTGGCGAATAGGCTTTGCCGCTAAAATATTTTCAAAAGCAGAAAGACGTGAAATGATCGTTTTTCTTGCTTGCAAAACATCAAGACCAGCCAGAGGCACTCTGAACCTTGTGCTGGTCGCGATGCTTGCCACGGGAGGTTGTTGTAAATTCGAGATCCCGCAGTATGATCTATTCAAAGACATCTCGCTGCAGATACTCACGAACAGCAGTGGTTGAATAGAACGGCTTCTAGATGTTGTTGGGATATCCTTGACCAGGTCCAGCACGTGAAGAGCTAGACACGTCAGCCACGTATCTGCCAGGGTTCTATCATCTGGGTAGTTATTCGCAGCATCTGGAGACCCTGACTGGAAGGCTTGGTTATTTGGGCTTCCAGATTGTATGTAAGGTACTAGAAGATCGGGAAAGTTGCGATACAACTGAAGCAAGCCCGTACATCTATAAGCTTCAGCAATACTGACCAGATGGTTTGCCGGAGTCATGTCGTCGCCAGCATCGACAATGTCGTTCTCTGTCGGTAGCCGAATTGCGCACAACTCAGAATGCAGCTGTTCCGAGGCAAGCATAGCTTCTTGAGCACGCTGGATATCCTCCTGAGAAACAAACCGCCGTGAACGAATCCTCTTGCGTTCCTTTCGTACAAGACTTCCCACTTTGGCGACGAGTTCTTGAACTTCGATGCCAATTCCTGTCTGCGGATGAGGCATACGTGGTTCCTGCAAATCAAGACATTCTGGAGGTGCTGGTTGAGGCTGAGCATGTCTTGTGCTTGGATCCACGTCCGTGACGAAGGAAAGCAGCATTTTCCAGTAAACAAGAGAGTTGTAGAAGAAGAATTCCTTCTTCTTGTCGGCGACTGCTAGGGCGTCGCCGCGTGCTTCGGCGGACTGAACCATTCGGGATAGAACGTCGAATTGCAGCTGGCCAAGACTACTGGGATCATGCCATGAAAGACTCATCCCCAACATGACCAAGGCTAACAGAGATGAGGTCTCAAGTTGAGCGATCTTGGCTTCTCGAGATAGGCAGATCATGGCTTGGTCCCTAAGTTGGCGACCGACTGGTGCGAAATTTGGTGATACTTCAGATAGACAAGCAGCTGCCATGCTTTGCGTGATGTAGTAAAGTGATTGAGATCCAGACCACATATTCGAGATGGTAGTTCGGTACGGGTTCATCGGGCTGTCATAGCAAGACATCATTCCACAAACCTCTTTAAAGTAGTACTCTACCAAAACAGACGAATAGTCCTGGAGGGCATGCGCCAAAGGCATCTCACCAACAGTCTCGACGGTTTGGTTTTGAGGCTCCTGCCTAGTCAAGGCTTGTGAGGTCGGTCGTGCTGGCGGAATCGGCTGTGTTGGACTAATGGTAGCGACAGGCCAAAGTCTCTCATCAGTGGACCCTTGACCTATGGTATCAGGTGTCTGTCCAAGCGCCTGTTCCGGATATAGCTGCAACACGTCATCCGGGAATTGCATGAGAGGCAAAGCTGTATCTAGCGTTTCCTGGCCTTGTGTATCGACACATCCGGGATTCATAGCGTCGTTGAGTTGATCCATAAGTTCCGGGTCATAGAAATTGTTAACAAACTGCTCGGCCGGCTGAGTCTGATAAGGCACATATGCCGAGCTCGGCTGCGGCTCAGCAGTGACATCGCTCCTAGGGGTTTCCGCAACATCCTTCGGAGACTTGGATCCAGCTTTCCATCGCAGCGGCTTTTGATACCCAGGACATGGGATACCTAGTCTCACACAGCGCGAACACGCAGGCTTGGATTCATCGCATTTGAGCTATTTAGGGGTCAGGCAAGGTTCGGATGAGCGGGAGGGGTAGGCATACTCTCTTGGATTTGCAGACGGCACAGCCAGTGCGTGATCTGGTGATTGTTTTTGGTGCTGGTGCGTATGATGAGGACAGCATGACGACCCGTTTGGATGTATCCGCGTTGACGAGTGGAGATGGCCAGGTGCAGATAGATGGAGTGATGTGGAGTTATGAGGGGCTGTCATCACGTGATGATACTAGTGTCCGGATATGGGACTCGGCTTCAGCCTCGAGGTAACATTCCAGCGTGTAAACCATTGTGTACTATAATGCTATGAACTAATTCCTAATAATGCTGTCTATGAGTTATGGGTTGGTTCGGCGACCCAGAGGACAATCAAAAAGCATATATGTTTCGTGATGAACTACTAGTTCTAAAGTGGAACTCAGCCTAGATATATCCGTCCCCTAAGTCTCCAAGACATCTCGGCTTTCCTAAGCAAGCCTGTCTCATTGTAATATTACTAAAATCGTACATCATCTGATCGAGAATTCCTTCTCTTATCTTTTCCAGCTCACTTCATATCCGATCCGAAGCAATGGATAATATTCCCAAGGAAATCGCCATCGCATATCGTTCCCGAGACTCACGATGCTCCACCAATCCTTACCAAACTCGGTACGAATTAGAGAAGGAAATCAATACCATAAACGGAAGTCCTAAGCAAATGCTATGCTATGGCTACGGCACAGGATCACGGCTACTGTCACCTGGCCTTGGTTATCTGAAGACATGTTTGCCGAGGGGCCCGGGTTTCACTTCACCTATGTTTTGCGAAGGGAGCCCACGCTTTGATGTTTCTCCAGCATCGAATTCTTATCAATCATGGCTGTTATACCAAGTTCTTCTTTCAAGGTGGCTCTCGTACAGATGAAGCCAAAGGTCAGCGACCAACATACAATTCTTTTATTTGACTGACACTTACATGTTTAATAGCCCCTTGATGCTGAACATAACTTTGCACATGCTGCCGAGCAGATCCGTATCGCTGCTGATCAAGGTGCTGCACTAGCGGTACTGCCAGAATACCATCTTACAGGATGGGTCCCCGAAGAGCCATCTTTCGCACTCTCCCCTGAGGACGCTGGTAAATATCGAAAGAAATACCAAGACCTCGCCGCCGAGATTCATATCAATATTTGTGCTGGCACATTTGTTTCCCAAGCCCCTAAACCTGATGATCAACAAAATGCTGATGCCCGACCCACGTTGTTGAATACGTCGGACTTCATCGACCACAACGGAAACCTCCTTGGCACTTACACAAAGACCAACCTCTGGATACCAGAGCGACATACGTTAACGTCCTTTGTCGACCATGCTAGAAATATCTCCAAAGATGATTACGCTGCCCCCAATCCCCACCAAGTCATCGACACCCCTCTCGGCCGAGTCGGTATCCTCGTCTGCTGGGATCTTGCCTTCCCAGAAGCCTTCAGACAGCTCGTTCTCGCGGGCGCCAAGATCATTATAATTCCTTCGTACTGGACGGCGCTTGATATGTGCAAAGATGGTCTTGCATATAACGCCGACTGCGAGAGGATGTTCATCCAGTCTGCCCTGGTAACCAGGGCATTCGAGAACACCGCCGCTGTTATTTATTGCAATGCTGGTGGACCGGCGGCAGAGGGTTTCTTCGGCTGCAGTCAAGTTGCACTACCCATTGTTGGAACAGTGCCTGGGAGCTTTACCGATGGCGAGGAGGCTATGCGTATCTTGGATGTCGATATGAGGACGGTGGATATTGCGGAACGTAATTACCAGATCCGACAGGACTTGGCCAGGGAGGATTGGCATTATGGCTACCTCAAGAACACGGTCGCAAGGCTATAGGATGTAATACTCGATACTTATTTAGTGCGTTAATATCAGTTGCGTCTCAACCCCTTTCGCCTGTACCAAGCAGGCAACCAGAGAAGAAGTCAAATTCTCCATGGAAGCAATCACCCACTGGCAAGATTGCTAATAATTACTATCCCAAAGATCAAGGGTGCTCTTGTTACATGCATATCACTAAAGGTCAGGTCGACGGCAGCGGTCATGTCATATCTCAAAAATAAATTGGTAAAGTATTACAGTCTGCCCATGTCGCAATAGCCTCGAGCAAGATACAGCTTTTAATAGAATGACAAAATCCCACGCTCCTTAACTAAACCAATGCCAATACATCAGATCGCTACCCAACATCCTAGCATCGCGATACAGTAATCCCACGAAGTACGATTATTCATCGCGCTTCGAGGTTGAGCTAGAGGAAATTTCTTTAGGGCCCCTCTGTGACACTGTATCTGTCACAGGCAATTCTTCCCCCAGAATGCACTCAAGCTTGGGTCCCTCGTAAGACTTTCTCTTTCCCAACCAAAGAGCTGTTACGAAGACAATGAAAATTCCCAATACAGCTGTCACGTAGTCTAAATCTGTTAGCTTCCGACTTTGCTTGTTGGCCAGATTGACTTACTCATGGTTGATACGTTGATGGGAATTGCAGGAGGGAAGCAAAAGAACTGTTTAAGTTATATCAGCATCAGTCAAAGCGATCTTAAACTTTGTCATCGTGGGAGAACTTACTACAGAAGTGACAGCAACAAAGATAACTGCAGTGTAGTTCGCGATGTAGCCTTTAACGCGACCGAGAGAAAACTCGGGAGGCTGCGAAAGCACCATTTGTCGGCCTCGAATCAAAAGGATAAGCACAGGTGCTGCATACGAGAGGTTGAGGAATAGTGTGCAGCTTGCGATGTAAGCATTGAAAGCAACCTCGGGGCCTTTGGGTGCATTAGTGGTAAGAAGCAAATGGTGCAGGAGAGAAACATACCCAGATAAAGAAGTCCAAAGAGAAGGTTGAAAACAGCCTGCACGACAATAGCCCGAACAGGAACGTTAAGCTTAGGATGAAGATGCGAGAGACTTCACCATGTTAGCTATGTTCGGCAGAGGGCTAAGATTATGCTTACTATCTGGAAAAAGGAGTACCGCCATCTCGTGCCATGGCCCAGATAAGACGACTGCCAGAGGTAACACAACCATTGGCACCGTTGACGAAACACAAGGCAACAGCAACAGTGAGTACGGTTGCAGCAGCTCGGCTGTTAGTCGCTTGCAGTATCATCTCGGTAAGGGGGCTCTGTGTAGGCGATGCAAGGAGCAGATCAAGATCGACGAAGCAAAATAGCATGACGATGATGAAGAAAATTCCGCTGAGGACAGTTAGATAGAGATTCTGGAAGGGACCTGTCAGAACTTACGTCGTGCCTCCAACGAGGACTGCAGCAACCATAGCTTGGGGGGCATCCTTGGACGGTCGAGGCATTTCTTCGGTCATGTGTGCCACGGCATCCCAGCTGCAGCGTGTTAGCTATGCCTGGTAGAAATCAGTGCATTACTTAGTACTTACCCAATGAAGCTCAGAGCTGACTGTAGCAGTCCAAGCATCCAAGCCGTGCCATCACTCCATCCAGTGGTATTGGAGAAGTTGGTAAATACGAACTCGGCGTCGGTCTTCGGAGAGGTAGCGAGAAGGACGATGCTGATCACGATGACGCTGAGCAAAGACCAGTACACTAAGGAGGGTCAGTTTAGATAGCGGTTTGTCTGTGGCTCGACTTACAAGCGCCCTCGTTCCATCGGTTTAGGATAGGATAGGCAAAGATGTTCAAGAACACGCCAACAATAGACACAGCGACGAACATCAAGTACGTGCCCCACTGGGTGATTTCGTAGCTACCTCCGGAGCCGACGACAGCTGCAGCAGCCAGAAATCGAGCTATAACATGTGAGCAATTGTTTTCTTGATGATCATAAATATATACCTCCGAAGTAGGCTGCAGTTGTGTTGAGAGTCAACCAGCCTGCAATATTTGTCCATCCTACGAGGAAGCTCTGTTACAATTAGCGATATGCATAAAAAGTAGTATTAGTATATCTTACGTTGATACCCTTCCATTTCTTCGATGAAAGAGCAAAGGAATAGTGATATTGTCCTCCAGCTGTAGGATATAGAGACGCCAATTCTCCAACACTTGCAGCCAAGCAAATATTACAAAGAACGCAGAAAATGAAGCCATAGACGAAACTAACAGAGCCGCCCGATGGCATTACTAGACCTATTGATCCAGCAAGAGAAATCCATGTACTGCACTCAATTAGCGACTTTCATGTGACACGATGGGACTTCTTACTTGAGAATGGCAAAAGCCATGCCGATCATAGTGATCTTTGAGAACCTCTTCTGGAGGTGACCCTCCTGGACCGGTGCATCGCTCGCCATACTTGCTACTGTCAATTACGGTAGACTATAGACGAAAGGGAACAGAGATGAGGTTTAAGCTTTTACCCCAGACCAGATATAAAAAGCTGAACGTTTGTCTTATCGCGCGATGGTTGGTAACTTACTCGCGACGGGCGCCCAATTAGCGGGTAATGAGCCCTCCGCCTCCGCGTTGCGGGGGAAATTGATCAAATGATGGGCTAGACCGTAAGCGGTAAGCAATAGCTTAGGAAAACTGGCATGAGGCGTATTTTTAGGTTCCATTGTCCCGTATTTCTCGGCAGATAAGGCTGCGAGATAACGGGACACCCCTGTTCTAGAATCGGAATCATGGGTGGAAAGGGGGGTTGAAAAGGAGAGGATGAGGTGATGATAGGAGAAGGAATTCTAATTGATATTGATAAGATGTAGATTGGTATTCCTAAGGATAGTACGGAGTATTCAGTATATGATACTTCTCCAAAGAATAGCATACATTTATAGTTAATTCTCTGATGGTCGTTCCATACAGTGCAGGGTAGACGGGAACGCACTCATCAATCAGCTCCAACATTGAAGTGCGTAAGCTACCAAGGTCCTCGTGCTTTGGAACGACAGTGTAAGATAAATAAATATAGGCTCGCTGTTTTTTATTTGTAGAGACTTAGTATAGGTACACCCAGGTTGTTCTAGTTTTTAGTCCTTGTATTGTCACCCAACATGCCTTTTCATCACTCAACAACTATCCTTTTGCTACTGCAGACACTCCAAGCTGTGTCCTGTTTCTTCATGCCTGAAAGTAGATGACTACTAAGAATTTATAAGAGTATTCGTGTCTTACTAGAAGTAGAAGCATTCTGGTATATAATTTATCTTCGTTTACGAGATTGATGCTGTGTAGAGCTCTTGTATCTACATCTCGTAAACTTTCAACAAAGCAGACACGAAGCCTCCATAAGTTTTGAATATCATCCCGAGTAAAAGCGTAACTACAGGCATTCCGGAACGTGATTCTCTGTAATTGAATCTCTCAATTCTTATTCCCAGAGTTTTTCTTAGATGCCTCGACCCTTTCCTCGATCTTAGAAATCTTCGCAGTCAGTAGGAGGCTTGGGTATGAGAGTACTTAGACATACCACGCTTTTCGAAGGAGAGGAGCTGGCATCTTGAGTCCATGCACCAGCGTGGGCAACCAGAATATCCTGATCTTTTTTATAGTTGTGCTTGACGGGATCCAGAGCCATATTGAAACAAAAGGCGCAATCAAAGAGGTATATTTGATAAGAAACTCGTAGTTTTAATGATTTAAGCAGCAGAGGGCAGAGGATAACTTCAGAGTTGTATTCAAGCTTGTCACCATGATCAACATCCTATATAGTGAACAATTGAAATCATCCTGCCATGAAGCTACTCTCTAGATTATAGGCCTATCTCTGCTATGCTTGGTTACGAAGCCACACAACAGCCCTAACGCTGCTCAGAAACCTATCGTAATCTTTGGCATTGCTAATTCTGGAAAAGCCAAACTTTCTTGATCATGTGGCAAACAGATCTATTGATGATTGACAGATTGCCCCAAAACCAGGCCGCCTCATCAGTGTCATCACAGCCTCTGTCTCACTCAAGCACCAGCAGAACGGCACCCATATGATATTTGGTAGTTTGTTTTATCTAGATTGGGAAGTTCCAAACTTTCAATTCCCGGAACTTGAGACGAAATGTGTAACAGAGTGGCAGTAGCCTTTTCAGCAGATTGACCTGAGTAATCAGATTACGAGGAGTTTCCCCTGAATATCGGGAGTTAGCTGCAGGGAAAAATAAGGCTGCCGAAGTAGCCACAATAATTCATTGGAATTACCCGACAAGGCATGGTGTGCGACTTGCCACTTTGGCCAGCTGTCACCGAGTGAGACGAGCCGTTGGCATTGTAAGTGAATATGGCTTGGAAACGTCCTCAGCGATTAGCAGAAATTTGATATAAAGGTTTGGAGTTACCATATTTGGCCTAGTTCAGTTTGGGGGTTGAAAGAGTAACAATGTCATCACCTCTTGTCCAATTGACGACCCAAGACAAGGGTTACTCGAATCTTACCTGATACTAGCAGAGCATGGCGTGTTGATTGCTTTTTTGTTGAGGTAAGAGGATAGAATCAAGAATGGAAGACCGTATGCTCAGTTTGCCCTTGCGTGTTTCTTTATATTCGGATGCGCAGTGTAACTTTAAACTTGTGTCAGTCAAGAGCCAGTCTCTGCGGATACCCGTTACCAGACTTCTAGTTTATTTGCATAGTTCCACAACGACTAATGGCTCCGCGAGAAATAGTCTTTGCCCCAGAACCTGCTCCCCGAGCTGCTAGACTGTCAGACAAAGCAGTGGACGAGCACAAAGAGCTGATTGGTGATCTATACTGGACCCAAGATTGGACTCGCGACCAAGTAATCAACTACCTACAAACAAATCTGAGTTTCACCATATCGTGAGTATATCGCTCTCCATGTAATGTCTCTGCTGACATTGCTGTGCGTAGCAAAGATCAGTTCTCAAAAGCAACGAGACGTTGGGGTTTCAACAAGCAGCCCCGAGGAGGCCGCTCTATCCAACGATCGCCGAATGAGACGGCCAGTCAAAGCACGCCTAGCGAAGCTGCCAGTAACGAGCCATCCTGTACGACCACCGTGGATGGCTCTACGGACCAAGGGCTCATACTTACAAATGAGTCAAGCAAACGTCCAAGAAGTGGCGCAAGCTCCAGCAGTCGCAGGAGTTATATCACAGCCCATGGGACATCTTCACCTCTTCCTCGCCGCCCACTGAAGCGACCGAAACCCAGAAGCGAGTCAGGCGACAACACTGCAGAAATCCCATCCTACGCGCAACTGAATTTCGCTACTGACAGCGACTTCACGTTTACCCCATCGGCCATAGAATCGAGTCCACGCTGTCAGTATATGTACGATGACAAGCTGTCGGCAGAATATCTATCTTGTTATCGCTGCACCAAAGCTTTCAGCTACTACTGCAAGATCTCAATTCCTTTTCAATACAAAGCGCCTTCGGCCAAACAGCGACGCGCCAGGATGCTCGACATGGCAAGGACTGCCAAAAAACGAAGAACCTGTGAGATCGTGAGGGTGATGATGGAGTCTGAGCTCAAGATGAACAATGATCGTCTGATTGGAGAGGAACCTAACCCTTGCCCGTCCAATGAGGATGAGATGTGTCCCATGCAATCCTTCCTATTCCATCGCCACCTTGCGCAGATCTATGTGCATACAAGCGGAGGTACCAGTCTAGTACAGAAACATCTTGATAAAGCCAGAGACTTTACAAAGGTTTTCGACCCACTTGGTCCAGAATCGATAGACCTTTGGACATTGCTCCTTCTTCAAGGAAAGAAAGATCACGATATTCCAGAGAGCCTGTTGAATTCACTCAAATGGGAAAAATAATTGTTCGCATCGGATATGGAGCGTTGTCTTGCCAACTGTTGGCGCACCCTGAGTGGTCCCTATCGCCTCTAGCCTTCCCAGGCTATATAAAGAGAAACTCAAGGGGATGAAGCCGACTGAAATGAGCGATTTGGCTCTTCAAAAAAGCCCACTCTGTCTTTGGAAGTATTCCAGCTTCCTATTCACCTACCTTTGGAAGCAGATATAACTGGAACGGGAATGCCCTCTTCCTTGTGGTCAAAGCCTTCCTACAATATCAGCGGCACACTTCTTGATGATCGTGAGTAGGATCATCGCTCAAAGGTCGCTGCGTTTCTCTGAGCCCAAATTTAGTTCACTGAAACATCAGCCCTTAGAAAATCCACTTTGTTGTGAAATTATTCAAGCGATTCTTTATGATAGCTTACTCACACCAGATCATGTCAAAAGAGAGTTTGTAACACAATTTGTTGAGCATTACTCATGGTTTCCGCCAGCCGCTCGCAATGATGACCTCGCTAGAGAAGTTCAGACTTATCAAATGGAAGTACTCAAATCAGTATTGGACACCAGAAGCAGCCGCTCAGCAACTCCTACTTCTGCTCCACTGAAGGAGGTGGTAGCTTTAAAATCAAATTTCAGCAAAATTCGACGTGCATCTATTGATAATAAGTTTCTGGGCTGGCTGATACAGCAGCGCGAGCAATTAGCCTCTCCCAACCAGAGAGATACTATCATATATGTCGAAGGGGGCCGATATCTGCCGTCTTTCGGTTCTTCTAGTATTTCATCTTATTTGAAAACATCTCTATCTTCCCATCACATATACTTGAATGCTTTGAATGGGAACCCTACTATCGCCAGATCCTTGGCGTCTCGGTCTTCACGCTCTTCTCAAGTGTCAGGCTCAAGCTCACTTCAAAGGTTCAAAGCAGCAGCGCTCAGCAGAAAAGACCAGTCAGCTTCAACGCCGGGGCTGGGATTACATGACCTCATCCGACATTGGGAGGACGAGGAACTCTCGTGGGATGATTATTTCCAGGCACTGGGGAGCTCCGATTTTAGGCGGGGTTTGAAATCGACTATGCCAACTTTGGTGGAGGAGGAAGAAGGAAAGTCAACAATAAGGGGGAGGATAGGGAGGTTGCTTAAAGGTAAAGGTAAAGCAGACGCAGTTGGCTTAGAATAGTCTTCAACGGCCTTAGCAAATTATTACTGCATCAATTAGAATAGAGCCCTAATAAAACACATCGACGGAGATAAGATGAGGCTTCAAGAGTGACATATTCTAGAATTTCGAAGTTTAAAGCTCTCACGACCTTCCAGGCTTGTCAAATTGAACTTCTGTTTCACTCAGTTCGACAGACAGGAATAATCTTTAGTAAAATCCCAAACGAGGCTTGTTAATTTTGGTAAACATTGTGTCTCCTCAGACTAAAGAAATATTCTAAGTGAATAAGGTTTCTCTATTTACAATTTGTGGATACTGAAGGCCTTATGAACATACCTGCATTGGCATGGGATTACCATTCGCTATTGAAGAATCATGATTTGATATTATCGCTAGTTATGCATCTAATTAATTTAAGGTTATAGAAAGTAGGAAATAGTAAATCATTGAGTCGATGAAGTGTCCGTCTTGGTAACTTCGACTGTCGTTATCATAGTCTTTGTGATACCACTATGAAACTGGCCCCTGTATGCTGCATTGCCACCACTCTCATCACTTGACCTCCCCTCAATCTCAGTCTGCACTGTCGTCTTGTTCATCACTCCAGAAGGGCTGGCTATCCTATCTCGAAGCTCATACTCCTGTTGACCAATGTTGATTGCCTTTTGACTACTGGTCTCATCATCGCCCCTTTTACCACTGGACAAGACATGCCAGTTCTTACCACTGCGCATTGTAGCGCTTCTCAGAGTACCACGACCATAATTCGTGTTGCCTGTTGTTGGTGTCTTCTTGGAGTTCTTGCCATAGGTGCTGCCAAGGAAGCTTCGGAACAACGGCCGCAGACAGGGTAGACTGCCTGCGATGATACCGACGTTGAGCTCAACACTGGTCCAGATTGTGATGTTGCGAGAGTCCCATAGCCAGTCACCAAGTTTTCCGTAATTGGTGACGTATCCAAGCTTGGTAAAGGCAGCGGCGCAGGCAAAGACACCAAGACTAAGAATGCCAATAAGGGTTACCCGTGTACGGAAGTGCACGTTGAGTTTCCAAAGCATGGGTGTTGGGATGATAATAGCGAAGAGGAGATCAGTCAAGATATTAAACGCGGAGTTCGTGTACGAGAGTGATTGTAATGTCTTTTGTGACCAGCATTTCGACGGTACGGTTGGATCCCAGAGGACACGGATGTCTGTACATTGAAAGATGACAGTCTACAGTAGAGAATATTAGCCGTCCGAACTGAACGTCATCGTAGATGCATGACTTACAAAGAAACATCCAATCGTGTAGATTGACATGAAGATCATAATAGACAGAATCAACCATTTGTAGAACTTGGTGGACGCAATTCGAAGGAGGGCGCACCCGACGGACAATTTGACTATGCAGATTGCTATCAAGAAAATGGGCTGACTTATGAAGTTCAACTTCATTCCTGTCATGTAGACATCTGGGTCAACATCGCCAATGTGCTTTCCACCACCGTAAGCAAGCTGTGCGAAGATTACGCCTTGACCTGCCCAGGATAATGCGATGGTGAATATCATGAAGGCATCCTAGGCGCAGACGATTAGAAAGATTCAGGGCTTGGCACAGGAGCAGTGGGAGTAAAAAAGGGAGATAAACGAGATGAGGCATTGATGCAACTTACATCCCAACCAATGTTGCGAATCATAAACAACCGCACATAAACGCGAGCCAAAACAACAATAGTCGCCAGAGTAATCACCAGAACCGTAGAAGCAAGAATATCGACCGCTCCATTCTCGTTGGGATTAGAAGGGAGCTGAGCCTGAGGATCCATGATGGCCGAGGGAAGGATGTACAAAGACCCAAGAACTTGGGACGATGGAGAAGGGGCAAGATAATAAGAAAAGAAACACGCACGAGAGAGGGGGCAGCCAGGGGGTCGTCTATCGATCCTTTACGTCGTGTGCACCACGTTTTCGACAGGGTGTTTTGCGAGCTAGAACACAAAATTTCCACTTACCAGGAAATCAAGTCGAAGAGTATGCATATTGCCTCGGCTGCGAGTCCACTAGAAGCCATCTGTCATTGCTTTGACGCGGCTGAACTACCAAGTTTAATCAAAGATTCTTCACATCTTTTTGATCTAAAGACGACCCTTGTATTGCCACTGTGACTCCGACGTTCAGGTGTATCTTACGAGTTCCCTAACGGGGAGTCTGACCCTGGCCGGTGGTAATTGGCCTTACCAGGGTTGGATTGATACATCTGCAGGTCCTCTGGATAAAGGATTTATGAAACGCTCAGGTCTCGCTCTTGTTCTGCATTCAGGTTATAGCCGAGGCTAATAGAGAAGGTCGAGTAATATCCGTAGCGACCAATGCGGTGCAGGTCTTGGCGGCCCACCTGCCAAGGTGAGCGAGGGTATCTCGACCTGATTGTATTATATGTGATATGATATGCATCTCGACTATGTGATCTTGCCTGTTTAATCATGTACTTGAATGTAACTCCGCGATCGAAAATGGGTGGGTTAACATCTCTCCTCAAAGTGAAACATCTGGGTGACATCGAGTGATTCGCGAGGGAGATCGACATAACGATCAGCAACAATCTTTTACTAGTCATGCTAGTCTAGTCGCCGGATAAAAGTAGTCAAAACACGAATCTTTGTCCCGTCACTAACGGGAATGTCAATGTTCGTGTCCGAGATGTTATGGATCCCAAATCTCCACTCATCTTAGCACGGAACTGTTCCGGATCATCAACCCTAGTTTCTCCCGGCGCCAAAGCGTCAATCTAGCGCTCACCTACGCTATTACTCCAGCATCCCATAGTCTCCTGAAATCCAGGGCTCTGGAATGTGACAAGAACGTTGGTTCATGGCTTCAGCTGCAGAATCATGCATTTCGCGAGAGAAGACCTACCGTAAGCACTCTATTCCCCTGAATTAAGAATCGTCCGGTGGCGTAGTTGGTTCACCCCTGCAATTCCAATGCTAATGCAAACCCGCTGAGGAGTCCCTAAATCGGATTAGATCTAAGCTATAACTTATCTGGCCGAACGAACCGAACCCCTCCGCCTCGGCAACAAGGGACGGGCTTTTAGGAGCCCACATAAAAGTTCTCTTCTACCGTTGGTTCTAGGGTTTTAGTCAACGACCCTGCCTTCGTCTCGGGGGTATATTCCCGTTAGGGATGTAAGCGTACTCGCTCCAATTGATAGGCCCTAGGTCAAGATCCATGGGCTGGCCCTGAACGATTATGCGTGGTAATCCTTGACCTTGAAATGCAAGAGAAGGGGAAATGTCCAAGGGGATGATACAGTAGTATATAGCTCATCACCTTTCTGCATCCAAGACAGTCTTCACTCACTGGTCCTTCAAGCCAAACACCGGTGCTGCAAAGAAGATCCCTGCCCTTTCTTTCGTCCCTTCTTTCTCTTGTCAAGGTTGCCATCATGCGTGCTGGTTTCATCTCCCTCCTGGCCCTCAACGCCGCTGGTGTTTTGGCTGCCCCCCAAGCCACCACCGTTGACTCCTCCGCACCCGAGGTCACCAACCTCGATGAGCTCGCTGATCTCGCTGCTGCTGCGTATGAGACTGCCCAGGACCTCGCCGGGGATAAGACCAAGCGTGCCAGTACCTGCAACTGGAGCAACGTCCGTGTTCGACGAGAATGGTAAGCTCCCTGTCTTTCCTACACAGCATTTTCTCTAACATCTGCTACAGGGGCACTCTCTCCAAGACGGAGAAGAAGTCTTACATCGACGCTGTCAAGTGTCTCCAGTCCAAACCTTCCAAGTCTCCTGCGTCTTTCGCCGCTGGTGCCAAGACGCGTTTCGATGACTGGGTTGCTGTTCATCTGAACCAGACTCAGATGATCCACTACACTGGTAACTTCCTCACATGGCACCGATACTTCACTTGGCTCTATGAAGAGGCTCTCCGAAATGAGTGTGGCTACAAGGGAACTCAGCCTGTAAGTACACTCACCATGCTACTAAACTACTCTCACTAACACTCTGGTAGTACTGGGACTGGGCTCTTACTGCCCTCAGCGGCCTCAACAAGTCTCCTGTCTTCGATGGCAGTGACCTGTCCCTCTCTGGTGACGGTGAATTCATCCCTAACGAGCCCGATATCATCCTCGGTGCCTCAAGTGGTCTTCCCCCCGTCTACCTTCCCGCTGGCTCTGGCGGCGGCTGTGTCAAGTCTGGTCCTTTCAAGGACATGAAGGTCAATCTGGGCCCTGCTGCCCTTGACCTTCCTGGCGGTGGCGTCGCTGCCAACCCCAACCCTCTGGACTACAATCCTCGTTGCCTGAAGCGCGATCTCAGCGACGCCGTCAACAAGCGCTTCGCTAACGCTACATCTATTCTGAACAATATCCTCAAGCCCAAGACTGTTCTGGACTTCCAGATGCAGATGCAGGGTGTTCCCGGCACTGGTGACATTGGTATTCATGGAGGCGGTCATTACTCTCTCGGTGGTGACCCTGGCCGAGATGTCTTCACTTCTCCCGGTGATCCTGCTTTCTACCTGCACCACTCCATGATTGACCGTGTTTGGTGGATCTGGCAGATGCTTAACCCCAAGGAGCGTGTTAACGGCAAGAATGCCGTCCAGGGCACAAATACTTTCCTCAACATGCCTCCCAGTGCTGAAACTACACTTGATGATTATGTTAACATTGGCTGGGTTGGGCCTGAGCGACAGATCAAGGATCTGATGAGCACGCTTTCTGGACCTTTCTGCTACGTCTACCTGTAAACGAATGCAGAATGGTATCTTGTATATAGCACGTATTCATCTTCATCCGCTAAGCGTTTTAATTATTAGAAAAATAGACTTTAATGCTATCGATTGAGTTCCATCTGTGATCTTCCTCTGGGTTACGTCAGGACCCCAGTAGTTCATCCTCGTTTCCCTGAGATCTTCATCCGCATCTTCCGTAACATCAATCCCACCAAAGACGGGGTCTCGGGTCTCATACGGCTAAATTTGGAGAAGCATCTAGCAGCAGGGTATAGTGGCATGATCGTAAAACCGTCTCTTGGCACCGGGTAAGCGTTCAAGCGAAGCTCGTTCAAGTTCCAGACCCACGGGTTTACTCCATTCCCCCTGATAAGCTCGCTTGGCGGGCATTTTCCCATTTGCAGTTCTGGCTGTAACCATACACCATTTATCGTCGACAAAACTACCAACTGATTCTTGGCACGTGCTGTCATACCCCGGCATTTCTGGTGCATCATGCCATTTACCATCCTGAAAGAGATCACGGGCTGATGCAACCCTTTCCCCGCGAAAACCTTCAGGGTGGTATTCGCTACCCCTGCGGCTTTCCCCTGCATTCAACGAATGTTACCAAGCCGCCGTGGCTTTTACAACCTGGCCCTATATATGTCATCTTATACATAGCGAATTGCGGGTTTTCCGGCTTGTTTGCTCGGAGGAATACTTCCTAGTTTCCCTTGTTCTCGGGAAAAGCGGCCGGCTCGGCGCTATGCTTCCTTGGCATGCTTTTGTACAAACTTTGTTAATATTTGGAAACATCGAAGTCTCTGATTCACGTCTATTGAACTCCTAACCCATCTAAGACTTCCCGTAGTCATAAAATCCTCGCCCGCTCTTAACGCCTAGATTACCTTCATCCAAAAACTTCTGTAAATATTGTCGGGGTGCACTTGGGATATTTCCCCTAGCATCAGCATAATGCTGCTCAATATCCAACACAACATCCAAGCCAACAACATCCATCTGCTCAAAAGGCCCTTTGGGTGTTTTCAGTACTCCCTTGAAAATATCGTCGATTTCTTCTGGTGTTGCAGCGCCTTCTGAAGCTGCGAGGAGGGCTTCTCTCTTGATAGCCGCCCATATTCTGATGTGATTGAATTAGACACCATAGCAAGCGAGTTTTTCGGAGAGCTTACCTGTTGTAGATGTATCCCATTGATGGTGACTTAACATGAAATGGCGAGAAGCCATGGGCTTTGCATTGCTCCATCATCAATGTGATGTATGAAGGGTGGGTTGTTTCATGGCCCATGATTTCGATTTCTAGTCTTTGTTAGCAACATATTTTGCAAGTCGCCTGACGTATGATTCTTACCAGGTGTCTCAGGTGGCCAGTCTACATCCTTTCAGTTACTACAGGTATTTTGCTAGCTTTTGAACACTTACAAGAATGAGCGCTTAGAAAACGACTCTCGTTTCTTAGATTAAGACCCTTCAATATCTCCGAACAGGAATAACTGCTCGAGTTTGACGCAATGATAGTATCTCGTGGAGCTAGTGAATCGAGCTCTGAGATGACTTTCGTCTTGAGCTCGATTTGCTCAGGTACACACTTTTCAGTCAGCCTTGAGCCATTTTTAATATCAGAGTTGCTTACCTCGACTACCAACCAAGCAGCTTGAAGAGCCTCGCGCAAGCTTTCGGGAGAATGAGTTATGATTCTACCCCAGAAAGCATTTCTGTTGCTTGAACTTTGTCGAAACTCCTCAATGGCTTTGATGCTGGCTTGAAGTTGGGCTTCTTGGCCGTCGACCAGATGGACATCGTTTCCTCTACTCGACCACTGAGATATGGTTGTTAGCAAGGAATTCATGAAGGATAAGATAATTGTTGAGGCGATACATACCATGAATGCAAGGCGTCTTCCTTGAGTGCCCGCTCCGATCAAAGTGACCGACGTCCTGGGAGTTACTGTAAGAACCATATTGACAGCATTAAGAAAATGAAGAGGTTTGAAAGCTTGGATGTATCCGACTGAGGAGGAGAGGTTGAAATAGAAGCAAGGAAATAGACGTTCCAGTAGATCTTGCTCAGCAAACGATCGTCATCATTTCGGATCCGGTCTATGATACCCCAGAAGCTAACTTAGTGAGTGGCGAACATTCTCCGCTCCATTTCGACCTCACCAGCGTCATCGGATCCGAGACAAAATCAGGGTAATCGCAACCGAAAATTGTCTCTGAGGTCAGTGGCTGAACTCGCTTGAGTTGGGGTAACTTGATTACTTATTCCGCATCGCGGAAACTTACAGCGCCAAGTCCATGGCGTCGGTATGTGCATTCAACCCAACCACCTTCTGCAATCGTACATGGTAAACTGTTGGTATCACTCAAACAAAGGGCTTGCATTTTGAGTCAGCCGATGGGAACGTGTGGTATTTAGACTAAAACACTAGGATGTACACTATTTTCATCAGCCGTTGTTGAGAACTTTGCTATCGCTGCCTGCACAGACTTTGAGCTCTGCGGCAAATGCCTCAACGTCCTCTCTAACGTGGACAGTAAACTCTGATAAGTTTCTTCGGTGATTTTTCCAATGCCAAAGTCGCGGTCAATGGCTTTCCTCAGTAACTGCACCCCAGCAACGGCATGGTGCGGATATGGATCAATAGACACGATCGGTACTGTGAATACCGTTTGTCTCCTACTGAAACCATCGCTCTCGATTGAATCGCGAGGTCGCTTTAATGTGAATGTGTTGTGCAAACCGAATGCTAGAGTATTCATCACCGTGTTTTCAGCATCGATGCATATGTCGGTTATATCTGGGAGAAGGTCTTGACGGTCTGTGGCTTCGATAATATCCACCAGCATGAGAATGCTGAGATGGTAGTGAAGCATAAGAGAAACTACAGAGTTAGTCAGCAGAGTTCTTTGTCGCAGGATATTGCCTTGGACTTACACCATCGAAGCTTTGTCTGCTGCCCAAGAAAAGGCATGCGTTTATGACATTCATCCAAAAGAGGACGATAAATGATCCCAAATTGTTTAACAGAGTCAACTACGGCCAGGTACGCTCTCCGAACCTCTGACTCCTCATGGCCATCTCTCAGAGCTTCTTTGAAAATGGCAGTAACTTTCCATCCAAGAAGTTTCCAAGAGGCCCCAGCAGCAATGATTTGATTCGCCCTTTCATCTGTCATGTCTGAGCTACCTTGCTTCCACTGACGGGCGTTCTCATCGAACATCTTGGCGCAAGTTTTGACGAGACGCCATGGGAGTTCAGATTCGAAGCCGAAGAGACCCGAAGATAGAAGGGAGCGACAATTGAGGGTGAGAGATGCGGAGGTATCAAATGTTAGAGCTGCCCAGTATACAGTACTTTCGGCGTTTATGAAGCCTGATGTCTCGATTGACTCTGGTGTTGTGACAATAGCTTGCGACTTGAGAGACGGAGAAACTTTGGATCCGCTGAATTGTAGGTTTCTCTGACGTGCACGTAGTGTTTGTATCTGCTGCAAGGCTGCATGAACACAAGCCTGACCGGAAATCCCATCTGTCTCCTCTTCCTCTGAAATACCCTCAGGTATCGGCGTGAGGGCAAACAGAAGCAGAGACAGCATTGATCGGTAAGACGGTCTGTTGATGACACGTAACATGTCCCTTCGAGCATGCCTCCAGAGAGTCTGGACAAGACTGCAGTGATCCTCGTTGGAATTTGGCTCTGGAGATGTAACAGGGAGCCATCGTGCCGCGAACGCAGAAATGGTGCTCTGTAAAGACTGTTCAATATCTCGACATCGACCGACTAATTGACTGTCGCCAGTATCTACTATGCACCCATCGAGATGGCGACAGAGGTCAGATATGCTGACGTATTTGTCTGCTAGATTGTGACCGAACCTGCTCATGTAAGTACAAGTGGTAGAGACGTTTGGCTAGTACATACAAGAAAGGGCAAGCATATCTTCCCATCCAAGAGCCAAAGACCGCCTCGAAGCCTTCTCTGTACAGAGTATCAAGCCATCTAGAGTCGACATTTTCCATGTGGACACTCTCTTCTGAATTTCTTATCGGACTTGGACACCATGGCAAAGATGCTGACTCAGGCATTGCCGGCACAGTTGAGCTATCTCTGTAGGTATCATGGTCTAGGTCATTTGCAGGACCTGGATCAAAACCCGACTCACGGGATGTATCCGAGACTCGACTGTCGCGTGTTGACGATGTGTCGCTTGTAGGCCGTGTCGTCCCTCGACGCGACCTGCGCTTTGTCCCTCCATTGTTTGTCTTGGCATTTTGAAGCCACTGCAAAAGACTTTATTAGTCGCTGAAAACCATTTGCCTTGATAGTCACATACTTTGAAGGTACACGCATGGTGACGGTTCCGACAGCGTGTACACGAAGAAGTCCCTTCGCTGCTCTGGGCATCACAAGCCACACGCGATCTACGACACTCATCGCAGCTGGAGAACTGAGTACGACGTGTAACGAGACCCGCTGGCATATCGGGTCCACTATGAGTGAGCGTTGCAGTGGTAGCGATTCGCGATTCAGGAGTGAATTTCGGATCCGGATGATGTTTGTTGGGAATGAAAAGAGTCCACTTTATTTGGAAGAGAGAACAGGGAAGTCTTTCATCAGATGATGCGGGGTAATGCAGATCCCCCAGTTCAGCTTTAGTCTGGGGTTGACATTCAAGGTTAGACCGTCTTGACGGGGCCTGATGGTCACATTTTCATCACTTTGGGGATGACTTCTTCAGAGCTCGATTGGTAAAACGCGGAGAGGGTGAAATTACGGTTGAAAGCTTAATTTTGGAGAAATTCCTTGTTCGTTCGTCTGGTTTGTGTGTAACGGGCGCCGCCACATTCTCTTAGGTAACGCTGATCGCTGGCGAGAAAAGGGAGCCATGTGTTGACAGGGATCTTCGGAACCGAGGCCATGACGCTCTTTGTTTATGACGTACAAGTTTTTGCATTGTAGAAACCCGTCTTTGAGTGAAGGACTGGAAGTTGAGCCCACGAGAAGTCGGGGATAGCAATAGAGATATATATCAGATGAAGAGTAATAGGACATCATCTCACCGTTGTAGTAGATTGATCTGAGATCCGTAACCAACAATCGAACCATTCTTAAGAATGACTCGCTCACTCGACACGACCATCGGATCCGGTTCCAAACCATGACCTGTTTCTCAGTTTCTTATTCCAGATAAGCGTTTTCCGCCCTCCACCGTTAGCACTATTCCGCCCCTCCCCCGTCTCCATCTACCGCGTGCGTTCCTCACAAGCCTCTTACGATCTCATCACTCAAGATCAGCAACATTAGACATTGCGGGGAAATCATGGGGAAGACAAGGGTGACGCGACATACTTAAGTTCGCTGATCGTCCCATCTTTTCTGCCCATTTCTAAAACAGAGACACAGACATTCTGCGCTATCATCATGACTTCTTATTCTACTCCCCCAAATGAGAAGGCTGAGGTCTTTGAGGCCGAGGCTGCTGGTAGAGGGCAGGTTGATCGTATTGATGCTATGGCTACGGCACCTGGTACAACCCTCGAGTCGTTTTCTCATCTTGATGAGAAGATGATTCTTCGCAAGGTTTGTTCTGGACACCAAAATTTATCATCTTATCACTAATGACTCTCAGATGGACATGCGATTGATCCCCATGCTCGCACTTCTTTACCTCCTCTCTTTTCTCGACCGTAAGCTCACCACAGCCCTCACTATGGCGCCCAACTAAGCATGCAACTACAGGAGGAAACATCGGAAACGCAAAGATCGAGGGTCTTCAGGAAGATCTCAAAATGAGCCCGGACCAATACAACTGGTGTCTCACCGTCTTCTTCTTCACATACGCCGCCTTCGAAGTCCCGTCAAATCTCCTCCTTAAGAAACTCCGCCCAAGCGTTTGGCTTCCCACAATCATGATTGCATGGGGCATTGTGATGACACTCATGGGCATTGTTCAAAATTACCATGGTCTTCTCATCGCGCGCATCTTTCTTGGTGTCACCGAGGCCGGTCTCTTTCCTGGTGTTGCTGTACGTCTACGTCACTTCTCCAATCTTTTGCTGGTAAACTAACGTGCTCTCAGTACTACCTCACAATGTGGTATTGTCGTCACGAAATTCAATTCCGGCAGGCACTCTTCTTCTCTGCAGCTTCCATCGCCGGTGCATTCAGCGGTCTTCTTGCCTTTGGTATCGCAAAGATGGACGGTGTCGGCGGCCTCGAAGGATGGCGCTGGATTTTCATCCTCGAGGGAATCGTCACCGTTCTTGTTGCCATCTTTGCCTTCTGGGCACTTTACGATTTCCCCGAAACTGCAAGCTTCTTGACCGAAGAGGAGCGCGCTTTCGTCGTGTTCAGACTCAAGTATCAGGGCCAGCAGAAGGCTGCGGGGCAGAGTCAGTCTCGTGTTGCGCAGGCCGACGAGTTCAAGTGGGAGTATGTCTGGGCGGCGTTTAAGGATTGGCAAATTTGGGTCAACATCTTTGTTTACTGGGGTGTAAGTCAAGATATGTGAGCTGCTAGGACGCGAGTAACGCTAACTCTGACAGATTGTTTGCCCACTCTATGGTATCAGTCTTTTCTTGCCCACCATCATTCGAAACCTTGGCTACAGTTCCAGTAAGGCCCAGCTTATGACTGTTCCCATCTACATCACAGCAGCTATCCTAGCTGTGATCGTCGCTTGGACATCAGACCGAGTTGGCAAGAGAAGTCCCTTCATTGTGTCTTTCCTCTGCGTCATGGTTGTTGGTTTTACAATGCAAGTTCCCCATAATATCACATTGCTTCAGCTCATACTAACCTTTCCAGGTGTATCTCTACCCACAACCCCAAGGTTGTCTACGCCGGTGTCTTCATCGCAGCATGCGCCATCTATCCTGCGTTCCCTGGAGTTATCACTTGGCTGGCCAACAATCTGTCAGGAAGTTACAAACGCAGTGTCGGAATGGCCATTCAGATTGGAGTTGGAAATCTCGGTGGTGTAAGTACAATCCTTTTTCGGTAGCAAGGCTCTTCTCACTAACAAACATAGGCTATGGCATCAAACTTCTACCGACAAAAGGATGGGCCTCGGTACATTTTAGGTCACGCTCTGGAACTGGGTTTCATTGGCGGAGGTATCATTGCGGCTCTTATCTTGATCTTCAGCTACAGCCGCATCAACAAGAGCCGTGACAGGAGAATGGCAGCTGGTGAACATGAGACGATCTCTGAGGAGGAACTTTCCGCCAAAGGAGATAAGGCTGTAACCTGGCGATATATGCACTAAATGTACCTAGCTTAGCTGTGGATTGAATTACATAACGAGATTGGACTGTATCGTGTCAATTTGTTCCTCAACTAGTCGATGCGGTTTCCTGCAGAGCATAAGGGGCGCCCTGAGGATAGCTACAGTGAAAACAGCACCCATTGCCTTCACGATACGAATGGAGACAGAGCCAAGTTAGTCTAGTCTAGTTTAGCCTCGTCACTTTCAATGCGCGCCCTTGGTTTAACTTTGTAGCCCCACCTAACCCCGCCTCGTTGTCGTTGGCGCCCAAGTTTCTCAACATGATTCATCCTTAGATAGATATTTATAGTGAAGTCAATTCCTATCGAGGTTGAGTCAAGCAAATACTTTTTTACCTCTATCTTCAAAATGGCTCTCTATGCTCGACAACTCAACATCAATGACCTAGAGCGGTTTCTGGCCGTTGAAACTGCCGCGTTTCCTCCCGCCGAGGCCGCCACTCGCCAAAAGGTTGTGAGATCCATAACAGATCCGAGGTTTATGTCTAACCTCGATCTTAGATTGAGTATCGCTTGACAGTCTGTCCTGAGATATGCATTGGCCTCTTTCTTCGCGCTGGGGCCAGCTTGCCGTCTCCCATTCCTCATGACATCCCATTCGTGGAGGAATCGACATCCAGCGACGATGTGCTCCTCGCGCATGTCATCTCTACTAAAACGACCAACAAACCTGTGAGAGATGAAGACATGGACTACCCTCGCAACTGGAAAGAAGACCCCCAAGGTGACTATGCCGTGGGTCACAAGAAGAATGGAAGAACGATTGCTCTCCATGCTCTTGCTGTCGCTCCCGATTACCAAAGGGCTGGGCTAGGCAAGGCCATTATGCGCGTTTATATCGAACGAACGAAGTCACTCGATTCCGCGGATCGTATATCTATCTTGACGTATGACCGTCTTGTTCCGTATTACCAGAGACTTGGGTTTGAGCACTATGGGAAGAGCGAGTCTGCATATGCTGGGGTAGCTTGGCACGATCTTGTGAGTGGCATCAAAAGCAGAAAGACCAATTCTAACTGGGACATAGTCTTATATACCATCTTCTTCTGTGTGAGAAACCCCTACAATGGTGATGTTAGATGTGTAGCGTGATGGACTTCAGAATGAAAAGGCTCGCGTGGTCTGGGAAATCAGGGCAGCCTGCTGCAAATCTTGTGAGACTAATATGTAGATGATTGCTAGCTATAAGGTTAAACTTCAGGCTGCTAACACAGACAATATGGACACGATATTCTGTTTTTCACCATAAGCTTCTACCCGGTCTGGTGAGACGAATTCTTCAACAGTCTCTGACTACATACTTTCCACCGAGCTATCTTTGGTAAAGAATAAGCGGCTGTTAGATGATTGATTAGGGCACAGCATGTGCCATAGATAAATGTACCCCAAAGATAAATGTCGGCTCGTCGCTTGTTTTTGAAGACAAGTTCCATTGACCAGGGTCCAGATCAAACCTATGCACTTGGCGACATTAAAATTTCCTTCTACTTTCATCTAGCTTAATTTATGCACAATATGTTGGCAGATGGGCAGATGGCTTTCAGACGCTTGACCTGTCTCAATACTTATGGGCTCGCTGCAAATTGACATCTTCTTATCAGCTAGTCATGTGTCAGTGTTGAGATCAGTTACACTGAGTTGGTCATCATACTGCACTGAATCTCGACGGTGGCCAGTCCGACCTCAACCCGAAGGTCAAATTTGATCTGAATTTTGGGCTTTCGAGCCAGATGGAGTCTTGATAGGGCGCCTCTTGCCCCAGTCTGGTCAGGTTCGCCAATATGGGATAGCTTCACTTTGAGGACCGAATGGACACGAAAGTCATCTGTACATGTTAGTATCTGCCATGCGTCGTCAGGGATCAAAGGCTTACCCTCAAGTGTCAACTGCTCGATGTCGCTCTCGAAGCTGGTGAGAATGCCAAGTTCCCAGATCCGCTTGTCGGATGGCAAATCCGCACTGAAGTGCGCTATTTGTTCATGAACGGCGACTCGGTCAGGAACAAGTTCCCCCTTGTATCGTCACGTCAGCAAAGGCAGCTCGATGACACCAGTCTCAATCTTGGAACTTTACCTTGATGAGAAACCACTCCACTTCCCCCTCGGGCTTTTCGCCCTTAGGAAAGCGTAAGAGTGCTCGTGTGATGAGATTACGAAAGCGACTCTTCTTAATCGCACCTGTCAGTGACTGTGAGGCTACACCGACTGAAACTCGGTTGAAGCGTCGTGGGAATAGCTCTGGATTACGGCCCGCATTGTAGACCAGACCCATGCACACAGAAAGTCGCGGGGCAGACGACATGACCACTTTGGTTTTCAATGCAAGGTTGGTCTGCGATTCGCCGATAAACTCTTCGATCTTGCCTAGAACGTAGCGGGAGCTTCCAAGCCCACCAGCGAGGACAATGTAGTCCTGCGTAATCAGAGAAAATTCTCATTCACGGACATTTGGGTTGTTCTGAGACTTACGAGGTGGTTTTCGGAATTGGTCCCGCTGTCTGTCTCTAAAGCTCTTGCGAAACGCCGAATGTGCTGATTGATCTCACCAATCTGGCTGTCGAACAAAGAACCGAGAGATTTACTAAACCTGGTGAGAAACATATCCAAACTTGTCTCTGGTACTAGGAAGCTTACCCAGTCAGAACAAAGGAGGGGGGTGGGGGAGGGTGTCTTGAGTCATCTCGAGCGCTCGTCTTGAAAGGGATGTTGAATGTCAACTCGCGGAACTTATCGGGGTTAAACTCGTGTTTGTAAATGCGGAAGCGGTTGCTGTTTCGTAAGTCCCAGGCGACATCCTCGATGTCTCTTAGCAAAAGATCACGCTTCTCCTGAAGATAGGTCACCACCATTTCCTCAAAGCCCCGGTCGATGTACGAGGAGCCAATTGCACAGGCTAAGAAATTTAGCTCATGCCTTTTCTCTCTCTTAAAGGCATACCTGTTGGTGGTGCTAATTCCATAGCTTGGGGCGGTTTCTCATAAGTATCATCCATCTTCAAGAGGCAGAAATCCTCCAGAGGTTAGCGCCAGCAATGCCACAGCATCTGGAGGGGCAAAGTTACAGTAGTCCCACCGCCAGCATCAACGATCAAGACACTTTCACCGTTCTGTGAGTGATATATGAGTTGTGGTTTTCCTGAGGGCCCTTTTCTCACTAACCTTGAGTTGGTAATCAGGATTCCGTACGCAAATCTCATACGCGGCAACCGCTTGCGGCTCCGTCATGGTCACTCTAACGCTGCGAAGGCCCTCCTTTTCGAAGCCAGAGTCACGAACGAGCTGCGTGAAATCACGGACAGCAGCCGGGTCCCATGTGGCGGGTACACTGAAAAGGAACAGAACCTCGGCCTCTTCGAAATTCTTTCCTCCCAGCAGAGCTGAAGTGAACCGCTTGGTGCTAAGTTCGCCATACAAGGACGTCAAGAAGTCTCTGTAAAGACTTTTGACTTGACCATTGTCGCCATCAACTTCTCCAAGGTCGACTTTAAACCATTCATATAGTTTTAAATGCTCGACAGAATCATCGGGGACCTCTGTTCCCCATCCAACGAGCCTCGGCGGCTGATCGTGGACATTGTAAAAGACACGCGTGGGCGTCTTTGGATCCTTCATATCGATGCCCCATTTTAGGCAAATCACTTCAGCATGACCTTTCTGTCTGTACGCGACACCGGTTCCTGTTCAAGTTGTCAGGAGACCACATCATTGCAGTGGCCAGACTTTGGGGATGAACCAGATCACATACCACTCATTCCAACGTCGATGCCAACCACAAGATCCTCTGCCATAATGTCGACTTTGCTAGATCTATCTGTGTTGACAAAGATTGAAGAAGAAATGAGAACACCTGCAAAGAAAAAGAGAGGCTATCAATGTCCTCCTCTACCATGGCCTTACGTGGTACCGCATGCTCTAGTCTACACCGCTGAGTGAAGGAATACACAGTCTCAAGCAACATGCCGTCCCGTGCCGTCCCTTCCTACCGTCACATCACTTTTAATTTCCCGTTTCTATCCAGAGGGTGTCACAAATGCGTTGTCGCCGCGGGTTGGGTTGGTGCGTGTCAATTTGTCTGGAGTGTCACAACGGCAATAGACTTGAGTCCGAGAGGGCGAGCTGATCCAGGCTCACGCCAAGCCAGCCACATTACTCCACCAACTGAGATGGCTGCTCTGCCCAAAACATGTTTGCCTACGAACGGGATGATCAGTCTTGAGCTAGTGGGCTATTGTTGTTGGTCTCTTAAACTGCACCTGAGTCCCTAAATGCCAGTTCCCATCCATGGTCACCCATCAGCACTCTTCACTTGGGCCTCTCAACTCTCCTTTCCTTTCCTTTCCTTCCCAGCCGCAGAAGCGCTTCCATTCCATTCATACTAAGATCTTCTATCGGGCGTCCCTGCAGGTATGGCTTATTCGTTTGCTGAGTCGTTCTTTATCGGCTGGGCTACTGGGGTCTGTACGACTTCTCTCGCCGTCACAATCATCGTCCTAGCTTTGAGAGGGACTGCACGTGGAGTCTCTGTTTTCGCCTGGCTAAGCAAGAATCACAACCCCGATGTTGCTGAGACCTCTGCCAAGCAAACAATTGAAGCTACGAATGTTCCCATTCCTCAGCAAGTCCCAGAGAGCCAGATTATCCGCAGTCAGATGAACCCAAATCCCATCACGGAGTCACACAGGGAGTTGGCTTTCCGTGTCATAGAAGTCTGTGGGCCCGATGGAATCAGGGAAAATGTTGCAGGATTCGAGTGCCTGATCGAAAATCTTTTCATGGATCTTGTTTATGGCGGCGTAGATCCTGCTATCACGCCTGGCATAATGCCAACCGTCGAGAGGTCCTCTTTCAATGACCAAGAACTCGTCCGCCTTGCCGGTGATCCTCCCGAAGGTGAGACGTGGTCAGAGTTGATATGCGATCGAGACACTCGATTCTACGCCATATGGACATTCCTCAACCGATTTCTCTACAGACGAATGGATCCAAACTGCAATGTTGAAGAATGCCTGTTGCCTCTTGAGGTCTCAAGCTGTTTTCAGCTCATCCCTCATCGCCACTTCGCTCACAGTAAGCTCGCTATCTATAGCATTGCTGCGGTGGGCTCTACTGACATAATCCCAGGGGAGGACTCTATTTCAGTCTGGAGAGAGATTCTCTTCATGATGCTCATGACTCTGTACAAAATGGTACACATACCCGCGACCGATCTCGACAAGGATGACCCACGACGAGAGAGAATTGATTCCATGGTCTCTGAAGTCGCTGACGCCCTGAATCTGGAACTCCTCGAGGCTCGTGGTCGTTCAGGCGCTGATATAAAAAAGACCTTGAGTCACATTTTCGGCTGCGCAGCAAACTGTGCTCTCATCTTCTTCGGGCAGCCCTCTGTGTGGGAAGCTGACTGGGATTCTGACCCAGGTCGTCTCGTTGCTCCAAGGATCCGGTTCATGTGGAATGGGCAGATCAAATGGACCAGGCCTCCTGTCGTGTATAATGGCACCCTGTGGGCTCCCCTCGTGCCTCTTGAGCCTGTGTCGCGTCCCAGGAAGCTTCCTGGAAATTCATACGGTCGAATGTGGAGCGGTGGCCAAAGTACTTCTGATATCTGATACAACAGTTTGTATTTAGCTTAGTATTTAGAACCAATAATTTTATTCTTTCCCCTTTGCAATAGAATAGAAGTTTAACAAACAATCCACTCAATTTCGGATGTGAAGCGACACAAGGAGAAGTCGCCCAAGCGAACATATCCGCCTGCAGCCTTTGATTGGACACGGATGGCCAAGGCGCTGTACGCTTCCGATCTCCTTCATTCAACAGCATACGTTTTAATTTGTACGATGAGAAGACCGGCCTCACGACAAAGCGATGCCAACTGCGAGATTGATTCGTCCAAGTCCAGGGTGTCAACGGCCTTCTCATAAGCACGGCAGGCTGCCATAAGTTTCTTCCGCTTATTCTCAATTCTATCAAGTTTTATTTACTTCTGTTTCCTTTTTAGAAAATTCTTGACAGATCCCTTGAAAGAGTCATTCTTGCCGTCCTCCTTTGGGGCGTGATTTTCGCGTTTCTTTTCATGTCCATTGACAGCTTCCCGGGTGTTCTGGTGGGCGGAAATGGTGGTTGGGATGCGTATTACGCCACCAACTTGAAGTTAAGGAGTTGATTGTAATTGGGAATCCGCGGCTTGGGAAGTGAACATGTTGATCGGAGATTGGGTTATGAGTAGTTGATCGCGATTGTTTGTCGAATCTTGATTCGAGTTGTTGTGGTGATTAGTGGCAAGAGTTGGGATTGCAACGAGTTTAAGTGTTGATTTCCGTTTCATATGAATGAGCTTCAGGCAGTAAACATAATCCGAGCTCAATCTACACTCTCGCTCACTGCTCAAATGAATAACCACCCGATGTGTGGCAGCCCATGCTTTATCTGCCCTTTCGGGTTGGGAGTTCTTTGCTGGCGTTTGTTGTCTCCTGTCTGTTAAACGCAGTGCATTGGGCCTCATGTGGGTATTGATGTGGTTATGACGATCTTTTATGTGACAATTGGGCTCGTTTCTAAAAGTAAATGAAAAAATAAATGAAAAAAAGAATTACTTCCTTTGTTGCTCGAAATGGAAGCGTGAGGCACGACATTCAACCTCGCCCTTTGTTGGCCAGCAACTTTCACCCAAAACGGCATTCTATAGGCAAACAAATGCAGCGTCCATGGATTTTCTTTCAGACTAGCGCATACCAAGACGTCTCCGCCATTCTCTGAGGTGGTGGTCAGTCATTATCCTTATCACCACCAACTTTTGTAAAGTTTGGGCAAACAACACAAAGAAATTCCCGTTGGGGCCTCCGAGTCTGTTTATGCACATCAAGCACGTCCATCATGCAGGCGACAATCCAGAAATAGCAACGTCGCATCAACGTGGAATGAAGCTTTCTCTCCCCACTACCAACGGTCCGATAACTTCCTGGTGCCATGAAGGTAATCCAACAATGGGAACAGTGCCAAATGATAACGATGTTTCTATTAATAGCCCCCGCATCCATTCTGTCACATGATCTCAGCTTGGTAGACCTGGATACTACTGCGCGCAAACATCAGTCTTTGAAGGACAGACAAACCACTTTAATGCACCCGATCTTCGAAGTGGATGACTTTACTCAACAAATGACACTCTATCTGTCAATCCAAGTAAACCCCCAGGTGACTTCGCGCTGTGATGGCAGCTCTTTGCGACGGGAATAACACCAATCAAGTCTGGGCAACGTGGCGGAGTGGTTATCGCGACAGCCTCGAAGTGTCGTAAGCTGTTTCCTTCGGGAGCGCAGGTTCGAATCCTGCCGTTGTCGGCGTTTTTTGATCTTTTGACGTGTATCATCTTTGCGACTCTAATGTTGTAAATAAAACGATTCTTTTTGCGAGCAAGGAGCCTTGTATAGGCTAGAGTACTCGGGGATTTATTAATTATTGATTATAAAAAGTTTAGAGAAAATATATATCTTATATCTTATTATGCAGTTGCTCATTTGAAAGAGGATTCAACTTCTTGCTGGTAATACTGCTAGAGTTCCATCAATATCCGGGACGAATGCATTCAATTGTCAAGTAACGGGCTAATTGTAAAATAACTCAGACATCAGCAACCAAGACTACGCTCGCCCCGATACGAGTCAACTGATGTTCAGCTCACCAACAAGAGCCACAACAGAAGCGAACCCAGCATCGGTAGTCGGCCTGATTGAAAGCATACCAGCGCCGAGATCCCACTCAGCAACATGAGCATTCTCCTCAGTGGCCTTATCCGGGCTGCCATCGGGCGTAGCAGGAATGCCGAAAACTCTGACCGAACCACCAGAAGACTTGGCTTCATCGAACAAGTTGTCAATCTGTCCCGCAACCTTGTTATCTCGGATGGAGACCTTGAAGCCGAGGTTCCTCACGACGACGAGATAGTCTGGGAAGGCAAGGTTGCGGGACTCTTCAGAGGCGGTGTTTGATAGCTGGTAGCGTCGCCCTGGGCTGGGAACGTTCCTAGAATGGTGTTAGTATGTAGAAGTCTTCCCGGGTAGTTAGAACTTACCAATCACCAGCTGGAACACAGATAGTTTGAATTTCATCATACGAGAATTGCACGTCGAGGTTAGTATCGGTGTCCATAGAGCCGAAAGACACGCCCCTCTCGTTGGTACTTCCTTTACCGGCAGAAAAAGACAACCACGGTCCATAGGAGAATCCGTCGGTGGCGGCATGGCCAAAGTCAGATTCGTTCACCTCTCTACCATCAGCAACGTTGATCTGAGTAGAAGAGTCACCATCTCCAACGCCGTTCATCCAGTGTTCAACTTGGGCAGTGTACTGAAGGGACATCCATTCAGGGACATATGTGATGGCATGTGGTGTTCTGTCTCTCTCGAGGAGTTCACGGGTGATGTCAGCTGAGGCGTGACAAGCAGGCATCGTGATGCTATCAAGGTTAGAAAGCGGCCAAATGCTTCGGAAGATGATATCTTACCCTGGGACTGACTGCCCGCCGATCAAGGCCTTGACGATTCGATTGAAATCTCTGGCTAGCGAACTAGCAGTTGGTCCACCTGTGTTGAGAAGGATGGCCTGATAGTCTGCGGCTGCGGCCTCGACCTTTTGCTTAGCTGCCGAGTATGCAGGAGCATGCGATGGCCACCATTGAGAAAAGTCTTGTTCACCCGTGAGGCCGTAGCCTTCTTCTTTTTCAAAGGCCTCCAGGGCACGATCTCTCTCGCGCAAGGCCTGGTCAAGTGCACTTGCCAGGGTTCGGCCTATCATTGTTACACGGACTTGATCACCCTCGCCCTGTGACTTGTTAGAGAAAGTAATGTTGCACATGCATTTCACGTACAATCTTGACTGCCATCAGATATCTAGTCTTGGTTAGTTACATGCGTACTGCATGGTGGCGGTGTGCTTACTCGAGTAAACATTGAGTGTAAGTTTTGTGATGAGCCGGATCATAGAAAAGATCATTAGTCTGTAGGAAATTGTTGATGATGTTGTTAATTCCATAGTTCGTATAGGCTGGGTCGATATCTTGTGAAGCGACTGGTGCCTTTTGCGCATGCTTGGTGAAAAACAAAGCAGGCTTATGTCCAGGTAGACCACCGACAGCATTCTGCACAGCCTTGCAGTATGCCAGCCACAGATACTTGTCGACTTCGTTAATAGCCATTTTCGCAGTAGATATTCGAAAGGGAAAACACGTGGAGCGCAAAATAAGATGGAGAGTCCCAGAAACAGCGGCAGAGCGCGGGACGGAGACGCGGCTTTAAAAGGAATCTGAGCAAGCCATGTCTCTCCCATGTGTAATCACATATTGGCTTTGACTAGTTCTAGGCCCAAGGTGATCTGAGGTTTGCAGATGCGCTAGTCTCATAGCCCCAAACTCTATCAAGCACCATCAAGTTTGGCCTCGCTTCGTGTCAATAGATCTGATTTCTGGGGACTCGGCTGTAGATCCGGTGCAGATGGTGCGGGGATTTCGAGACACGGCTTCATTATCCACCATGAATAGTTCCATCCGCTTTACTGAGAACCGTCTAGTCGAGTCGGCGAATGCTTTTTTAATTTGCCATCTTCTCTAACCGAAGTGTCTCAGAAGGGTCCTAGCCTCGCGGGAGAGGGGATCATGCACAGCTGACAGTCTCCCTTGCCTCGTCGCACATTAGCACAAGTAATAATGTCCAGGGTCCGATGAACAAATGCTACCCCAAAGGCCAAGAAGCCACCATTCCATAGTTCTGCGTTTTTTGGTCGTCCCCCGCGTAACCGGCAACACAATTGGTGGCTTGCGATAAGGTAAGTTACTCGGAGAACACAAATCCCCATTTGCGGATTGTGAACGCAAAGTTGGGGCTGTGCGACGAGAAATTGTTCTTCTGGAATGCTTCGGCTGGTCAGCGGAACATCTAATATTACAGTGAAATTCAGGCTGTTGGTTAGTAGCAAGGTTGTTGGCGATGGTGATACACAAAGGATGGTGTTCCCGCTCGTATTGCTACCCCTGCATCTCAACATCCAATCGACGATTAATCCCGCAGAAATGCGCTTGGACGTGCAGCATAAAATGCATAAAGATACCACCCTAATCTTATGTACCAATGTCATGGCGGACCGGCACGCTGGGTTAACTCAAGCGCCACAACACGTTCTCGGCCGGACCATGGCTAGACGAGCCAACAGCGCGGATAAGGCCCAGCAAGCGGGTAATGACAGACTAGAATGCGGCTCATTCGTGACTCTGGACTAGAACTGAAGCGGTGCAAGATGGAAGCATTGTCTGGAGGAAATTGTCGAAGAAGCCGCATCTGGAAAGTTCTAGTGTAGTAATCAATGAATGGGATTTGGCTTTGTCGTTGTTTCTAGCAGGATGTTGCACAAAGGGGCTTTTTTTAGAATACAGTAGAATACAGATGATTGAAGTCTGACAAGTATGAGGAATATGAGTGTATAACCATATTTGATTTGTCCTGGACCATTCTACGCATGTATAGGGCTCCAGTAAAGTTAACTGAATTGAGTTTGTGGCAGCCTTATCTGCTATTTTAAAATTCTTGGTCATTCTTGTGTCGCAGCGTTGTAATTGAGGTCAGTAAAAGGGAGGGGAGGAATATAGGAATATGAATGAACAGCACAATGCACATCGATCGCGCAACTCCGGCTTCAGTCCAAAGCTACCCTGAAGGGTGATAACTTCTTGAGGGCTCGATGGCTTCAGAGGTCTTGGGCATTGATCGCATTCCCCACAACTATTATCTTTTACTAATTGATAGCTACAGAAGTCTAATGTGTCATTAATACGTTGTGCTTTTGTAAATGGTTTTGATCCAATGTGAAGTTGCTAGGACAGATATTTATCGTGCGTTTCCATATCCGGGTGTTTCGATCGTTAAGGCTCGATGTTATGTATGAGATTAGCAAAATCTGGCCGAGAGTCTGGGACTCTGGATCCAAGGAAAATCAATGGCTCCCTGTGAGAATCCCTGTATCACACGACAAAAGCTCCATAGAGGCTACGTAAATTCTCCCGGGCAGCGCATCGGGTGGGCAGTCCTTTCAACTACAAGATATCTATCTCAAAGGACGCCTCTATCTTGTCAGTGACAGTCGCATAAATCAATAAAACGGCAAGAGTAAGTAAGAGAACAGTCTATGATTCAAGAGCATGATGGCTATGTCTTCTTGGTTATCGGGTGATAGGTCGGGAAAGCGATCTAGAGAACCATAGAAAATGTTGTTGACTTTGTTCTTGACTGCCCTGATAAAGTGACAAGGGGGCATAGATACAAGAACTTGAGTTTGGACATGAATCTACGAAGCTGTTGAAACCTGTCCCTGTCAGCCTGTCTACCTATTATCTGCTTGTATTAGTATTGGAATGTGCGGCATCGGTCTAGAAAACCACTACGTCAACTTTAGTATAAGCTTGAAAGCACCCTTTAAACCTCCAACCAATGAGAAAAACCAATTTCAAATAGGAAATATGCATACGTATCCCTATCTTGATTTTAAGATTCCATCGTGAAGATCTCTCGCGATGTGGGCTCCCACCTCCCGATGAAAACCCCCCACAAGACCGCGTGTCTCCCATGACCCGCGCGTTCGCGAGCCAATCGTCGTCATCTCTTTTGCCTGACTCGTTTTACATTCTCCGCTATAGGCTGGCCCTAAACTAGACCTCGGCAGTGCTTTTTAGGTGCCGTCTATGCTTCATTCTTAGCTTGGCAGCTTTATTCGGAGAAATTGACCGTTTGGTTACTTCTGTAACATTTAACGCGTCACAGCGTGTCCATGCGCCTCTCGACAATGCGAATATGCAGCTTCTGTGCCACTCGGTATGTGGGTTGTTGCTGAGGTCAAGAGGTGGTGGATTGAGATCTTTATGATAGATATAAAGAATGAGTTTCTGCAATTGAATTGCAATCTCGATACCCTCATCACTCGCATCAGTCTCTTCCAGATCGTTCTTTAACCAGTATCAACTATCATTGAAATCACCACTATGCCTTCTTTCAAGAGCCTCCTCACCACCTTTGCCGTCGTGGCTAGTATCGCCTCGGCCCATCCAGGACATGATATTGCTCACGAAGCCGCTGAACGTCGCGAGTTTCTCAGCTCTGTCAAGCGATCCTCACTCGCCCACTGCGCTCCGAAACTTCGAGCTCGTGGTGTTGAAGCTCGCAACATCGCCCGTCGTTCGGCCCAGGTTAACAAGGCTCGCCAGAAGCGAAGCTTGAAGAAGCGCGATGCTGATACCGCCTTGAACACCTCTCACAACAAGACTGATCAAGGTTTCAGCCCTTGCACTGCCCCTTCGGTCCTGTTTGCCAGCATCAACTCTTGTGTTTTGACTCCTGAAGTTACTCAGGGTCCTTACTGTAAGGAACTCCAGTTTTTTGTTTTAGGGACTTATAGCTAACATAATACAGACGTGGCCGGCGAATACGTTCGTGAGAACATCATTGAAGATCAAGAGGGTCTCAACATTGTCCTCGATTACCAGGTCATCGACGTCGAAACCTGCGATCCTGTCCCCAACGTTTACCTCGAGATGTGGCACTGCAACTCCACTGGCGTGTACTCTGGTGTCGTTGCCAACGGCAATGGCGATAGCTCTGATGAGGCCAACATTGACAAGACTTGGCTTCGAGGCATCCAGAAGACCGACTCTGATGGTGTTGCTCAGTTTGAGTCTATCTTCCCTGGTCACTACACCAGCCGCGCTACTCACATCCACGTCATGGTTCATGCTAACGCGACTCTCCTTGCCAACCAAACTCTCGGCCGAGACAACTACGCCAGCCACGTTGGACAAGCCTTCTTCGACCAAGACCTCATCTCCCAAGTCGAGACCCTCGAGCCTTATGCTTCCAACACCCAGGAACTCACTCTCAACGAAGACGATGGTATTCTGAGCGAAGAGACCAAGACCGATGGTGTCGATCCCTTCATGGAGTACACTCTTCTCGGCGACAGCATCAGCGACGGTCTTTTCGCTTGGCTCGCCTTCGGCATCAACTCCACCCAGTCCAGCTCTGTCTCTCCTGCTGTCTACTACTACAAGGAGGGAGGTGTTGCCAACGAGAACTCCGGTGGCGGTATGGGCGGATCTCCTCCTTCTGGCGCTGCTCCTGGAGGTACACCTCCGGCCAAGATTGACGAGTAAGACAATCCTACGGTGAAGTAAATCCGGGATATGACCGGATCTACTGCTAGAATACCATGTAACCGGTGTACCCGGTTTTGCCGACAACGCTGGAAGTTAGGAGATGTTGTGATGAGTCTGGGCAAGCGATTTGCGATTTGTTGGAGAAGTGCCTGCTTGGTCTGGAACTAAGTTCATTGTTTATATAAGATTTTGCATAACTGTTTATAGCTTCACTATAGAAAGAAAACGTTCTTGTTGATCAAGCTTCACGCCACTTATACCACCAGATGAATGGATGATGCGAATGGGAATAGTTATAATGCCATATAGCAATAGTAAATTGACGCCTAGTTGATCTGCGATCGAGAAATAGCTAAACATCTAGATCCAGAAGGCCAAGACAAGACCACCAAGAATACTCAGTATCCACGTAGCTGCCTCTGACTTCTTAAACTGAGCTTTCTTGTATCCAAATCCCAGATCAAACACCAAGTGTCGAATACCATTGATAAAATGGTACGTAAACGGAAACCCCAGCAATCCAAACTTGATTGCGGCCTTGGCAGCGAAAGGTAATGCGCCAAAAGCCGATACCAAAGCAGCAGAGTCAAACCCCATTCCAAGATAAGGAGCTACAGCATGGGCGCATAGAGTCAGGTAAGCTGTACCACCTACAGCAAGGCCTGTTATCCGAGTCCATGCTGATGCACTGAACCAGACTTGTCCGACCTTGTAGATCGTGAGGTTTGGGGTGACAGGGCGGTTGAGACGTTGTTTGACGAGAATGTCATGGCCTTCTTTTTGGTTCATATGAACAATCGTTGGATGATCTCTGGAATTAGATTAGAAAAGGCAATTGAGAGCTGAAAATGGAAGCTCACCTGGTTTGCTGGGACAACAGACGGATGAAGGCCAATCTTGAAACGTTCTGGTTGAAGACAACCCCCGGTCGCCCAGCGCCTATGGAGAAGCTTCAGTATGGCCACTGCAATATCATTGATAAATTTGAATGCTTTACCTCGCATGGTGCCAAGACCAATCCGTTGTACGCTCATGGTGATTAACCAGTGACCAGGAATGACAATCCCAGGGTGCTTTTGGACGAGTCGATCATGTATTCAATGAAAGACTAATAAACAAGATCTGATCTTTCAAAACACAAGTCTCTATTTTATGCACACGTGATTCTCGCTTTTCGCGTCTTCGACTTCTTCCGACCTCAGCCTGCCGAGAACATCGGTGTTTGTTGTGCGACCAACCGGATGTAAGAAGCCGGATGAAGGACGCCGACCATACCGGACATTTGCTCAGATCATTGTCAAAGAAAGAAAAATTCAGGCTATTTGAGGCAGCCACGATTAAATTCCAGACCGCTCGTGCTTTTGATAATAAACCAATTGGCGTAGATGGTCAATGCAGTCCACAGACTGCAAGCATCCAAGGATCCAGGCCAATACATCATGTAAAGCTAGAGCTTAATCCTAAGAAGTCAGAGAGCTTATATAGCTTAAGAGTACTTTAGATTAAGCTTAGTAGACTCTTTATTTACTTTATTCTCGCTGTCTAAAGTAAGAGTCTTAAATCTTTCTAATATTATAAGCTATTCTCAACAGCACTCCTTTTAGTAAAAGGACATATATCGGATTTTATTACATAAAACAAATTAATAAAAACAAATAATATTTATCTGATGTCCATTTATCGGCTTTCCCTTCTTGGTCAATGGCTGAGCCAAGCTGGTAGTGGTGATGTGCTTCCCAGGAACTCAAACACCAAAAAAAATCGACAACGGCATGATTCGAACATGCGCTCCCGAAGGAAATTGATTACCAGGGCCTTTTAAACCGCTTCGAGTCAATCGCGTTAACCACTCCGCCACGTTGCCAGGAGTTATTAGATGTTTCTCACAATCAAGTTTTGGTTTAATAACCCTATCCTTGCAGTTTTCGCAACACTACGAATGGCAGGCCAAGAACACCCAATAGCTCATTCTAGTGCCATCCGTCTTCAGGAAACAGCATGTTTCATCAACACAATAAAATTTCTTGGGAGTTTCAAGTCAATGAAAGTATCGCCCAGCTCGCTGTTGTTTCATCGGTCCAGCCGTTGGCCCGACTTACACTCGATATAAGGCTGAAGATAAGGTTATTAGTCATGCACCATGATTCACGATCCAGGAAGGAGCACCTTCTATTTTTCGCACCTCAATTAAACGGCCACGTTTTCCTGACTAATTGCCATGTGACGAACATAACTTCATGAATGATTGGTAGAGATTACCCTTCGCAATTAAAATCGAGACGCCCGACTTGTTTCATGGTTTTCAGCTGATCCCCAAATCGTGCTGGTTTGTATGCAATGAACAGGGATGGATCCATGCTCGAGAAGGGCTGACTAGGTCATTTTATCGCTCGCGATCCCACAAGAAGCTTAAATACTTGCTCATATCCCCAGTCAGTAGTCGAAGTGGCGGTCAATTCATTTAAGCTTATTTTCCCATTGATACAGTGACGTTAAGATGCGTGCCTTTCCGTCAACACTTATCAGCCTAGGCCTAGCAGCCTTGGCAGCTGCCTCCGACGAAGATGTCGTTTCATTCCCCGCCATCGGTGAAGTCGACATCGTGTTTCCTCGGGAAGATACATACGCCGCCGAAGCGCCATTTCCCGTCATCTTTGGCCTTCAAAACGCCCCAGTCTTGACAACATTTAGCGGCACACTCAACTGGGAACTTAACTGTGCATACACCCTCTTCGGCATCGGTCGACTGTACCTAGACTTTCTACCAGACTCAGAACCATATTACTTTCTCAACACGAGCAAAGCCATCGCTGACGCTGACGAGGGAGACCAATTTCAGTACTGGCGTGGCGAAGAAGATTCTTGTATCCTCAAGTGGGATTTGCGATGGACCACTGTCTGCGAGCCACGCAAAGACGGCAGCCTTCTCTTGAAGAACAATCAGTTCGAACGATCTGGGAACGTAACTTTTACTCTTCGCCCTGGGGCAAAGACGGCACGCAAGGCTATCGCCGAGTACGACGGCTGCGCTATTGGGGGCACTGCGGTGAAGGTTGAACGCAATCACACAGTTGGCTGTCCCATTCTTGCAGTAGACGCCTCACCAAAACCCAAGCCTTGTGGTTTGGATGTCAAAAAGGCCCGCAGTAGTCTTGCAGAGGCTGTTGTGAAGCCTACCACGAGCTTGACCGCGATACCCAGCAAAACGACCGATGCAGGTGTGGGTACAACAGGTACTGGGACAGATGGTGTCTCAGTGCCATCTAGCACTGGAGAGGCCTCTGGTCAAAGCGACAGGGGTGGAAATGATGATAATGGTGCACAAGTATTGGATAGTAGCAAAGGTGGGCTCTTGACTTTGTTTACTGCTTTGGCTACTAGTATCCTTCTTGAGCTAGTTATGTAGATTCAGTAGCATGGGCCCGCGGATAGAGTAGTTGAATCAGTTGCCCCATCCCAGCCTCAGCCTCAAGATCTGAATGCCAACAAACAAAGCATGGCTGCATGAGATTTCACCGCCATCGTCACAAGTCATTTTAGCACTTGGCCAGTACACATTTCTGTTGATAAAGGAAACCACCTTTCCATATGTTATTTCACAGTAGTCTAGGACATGGCTGATGGTACCATCCAGAAAAGTCTATACTTGACTTTGTGCTGGTAAACAGCTTCATCCTGACTTGAGCTATTGAGTCTCAAGCACCCCTGAACAGGTTTAAAGCATATACACTAAATATAAACGACCTAGTTTCTCTCTCAGAATTACTGTTTCTGTCGATGGATACTGCTTTTTAGCTTTCTAGGATGGAGCCACGGACACGGCATGCACGGTTATCCAAGCCGGCCGAGGGCCGAGACCAATGATTCAAGTCTTTAAGGGTAAAATTACTGTCTAATGGCTGTAAGAATAGCGCCTTGACTTATTAATTCAAAGGGACAGTATTCATTTCAACGTTATCTGAAACTGGGTGTATATAATCTTACGACTACCTCACTTGAACCATAGGGAAGCCGCACACTTCCTTCTTCCGACACCACTCAAGGTATTCTCGGTTATTTCATACAAAATTCCCAATCCCCAATATATCTCTGTTCTTATCATTACAACATGTCCTCAGTAAAATATACCACTCCTCCCGGCTTCACCCAAACCCTCTCTGACGCCGTCCACTACTCCCAAGCCGTAGATCTCGGCAACGGCCACTTCAAAATCTCAGGCCAAGGCGGCTGGAATTCCAAAGGGGAAATATCCCCCGACATCAATAAAGAAACTGAACAGACAATTCAAAACGTCGATGATGTTCTCAAAGCAGCTGGTCTTCGTGGATGGGAAGACGTCTACTACGTACGCAGCTATCATACCGATATTGACGCCACACTATCTCCTCTAGCTGAGGCTCTTAAGAAGCGAATTCCTAACAATCGGCCTGGAGGTGTTGTGTTGGGTGTTGCGAAGTTAGCCCTGCCGGGTATGAGGCTGGAAATTGAGGTCGATGCTAAGATTTCGAATTCAAGGGGGCCATCAGCGAAGATCTAACCTCGATCAACCCTGCCGAATGATTTGGACCATTGAATAACTACATCAATACATTCCAAGAGCTCTTCTAGGAAATCGAACAGTCATATTCATATCATTATATCCTTCCATAAGTCGCTAAATTAACCAAAGTCATCATTCATAACCCATTATCTCTCCAAACATCCTCGAATCGACACTTCCTGCATTTCACTGTACAGCTCAAATTCCCTCTTGACCTGACATCCAAGACTCTTCTCGAAAGACCCCTGATCCGCTTCTGCGACATGACTCAACCCGCCATCTTCTCCTAGGTTTGAATGAAAGATTCCAGCGGCACTGACAGGCAAGAAATCCTCATATGTAATCGGCTCAGTCTTAACAGCCCCAGAGCTGACAAGACTGTCGATGCTCGCATCAGAGTCTTTTGGTAGCTTAGAAACAGGGCTGTATGTAAAGTATGCAAGATTCTCTTTTCGAATGATTTCCAAGTCATCAGGGAACTTCTGGAAAACCTCTGCAAGAATTTGCTCCTTCGAACCAGACTTGGCATCAGACGTGACCTCGGCCACAGACCCTCGCCACTCGTTGATAAGATCATCGTATAGACGTCTTCCCTTGGGCGTCAAAGCCATTCCTCGCTGTTCAATCTCTCCAAATCTCGCCTTGTGACTTCCTCCAGTTTCTTCTCCTTCTGAAAAAGCAATCGCTTCATCAAGGGCTAAGAAACTTGTCTGGCGAAGGAGGATAGGACAGAGTCTTGGTGGAGGTCCTTCTATGGCGTCTTTGGCTTGGAGGCCATATCGAAGCATTTCAACTTGTGCTGTTTCGATATCGAGGACCCGGGGCGTGAGATGGTTGATGTGAGGTCCTTTGAAACAGACGACGTCTGCGATCAAGGGATGTGCTTCTCGAAGAGCTTTGTATGTTTTCATGTCAACTGTTGATGTTTTATGCCATCGAAATGTTTCGAGGGCTTCTTTTATGAATTCTTCTGAAACATCTTTTGAGAAAGACTTTTGTGACTCGAATATCTCGATCAATTCCACACATCGATCTGTAAAGATGTTGCGTTTTCGCAAGATATCGGCAGCCTGTGTCCGAAGTGTCTCATCCTCGATGAGCTCAAGCCGCAACAAAGATGTAAATACCCGAAAAGGGTTGTAAGCCAGAGCTTCTTGTGTGAGAGGTCGAAAGCACGTTGCGTGAACTGGGAGATTGGCGACAGTGAGGTCGTAGTAGCCAACAGGATGCATGCCCATTACAGCAAATAATCGCCGCATCATGGCTAGTTCTTCTGGCGTTCCAAGTCTGATAGCTCCATGGCGTTCAACCTCGATACGGGGTTCGATGGGTTGATGTTTTTGGTGGTTGATATCGGATACAAGCTTGAGGAGTGTGCCGTATTGAGGAACTTCACGTCGATACATACTCGACAGGGCAGAGGCAAACATGGCCCTGATAGCATCTGGATTGACTGGGTCTGTGATTGTCATTGCGGCTGCGGTATACGGTATGTTGTTGCTGTAGGTGAGGGACTATTTGCGCGGTAAGGAGCAATATTGCAAATTCAGATGCATTAGTAGGCTTATCATGTCTAGAGCATAATTCAGATAAGCCTGAATACTGTCATTTATATCTAATATTTCGGGCAACGAGACACGAATGCCGATGTTATCAGGTATCTCCTGGGCGCCCTTTTGCTTGTAGTCATTCTCCACTGACAAGCCACCAACGAATTAGATTACATGCTTCGTTGATAAAGCGGAGATGGCGCATACGATAAGGCGGGCCGAAATACGGTCATGGGATTCGGATGCGATAAAGAGGAAACAGAACCCGAGCGTTGGCTCGTCTCGACCTGTTATGTGCCGGCTCCGGTTATCGGCGCGATTGATACTTTCCGAGTCACTGACTTGCCTGTTTTTTTTTTTTTTTTTTTTTGGCTGGATAGTGAAGATAAGGATGCTGATAAGGAGTCCAAAGTCACATTCTCACAGATACTAAATATGTTGGGGATGCATCGGAAGATAACCGAGCTAGAGGGCAGTCACTATATTGATAGACAATCTCATGCGCGACATCAGAAGAGTCACAACAACACCAAGTACTCAGCAGAGCCTAGCCTACAGCCATTGGTAATGTAACAAATGGTATTATCATGGCTATCTCATATCAACTTCTCTATGCAGCTCCCCCTACAGCTCAAATCCCAGGTTGACGTGAATAGCCTTGGACTGAGTATACGCATCCAGCGCATACTGTCCCAATTCACGACCAATTCCAGAAGATTTGTACCCACCAAAAGGAATACCAAAGTGTGAATCGCCAGATGAGTTGATCCAGACCATGCCAGCCTGAAGTTTGCGAGCGACCTTATGTGCCCTTGAGATCTTCTCTGTGAATAGAGCGGCTGCAAGACCGTAGGATGTATCATTGGCTTTGGCGATAGCTTCCTCGTCTGTTGAGAACTTGGCGATGGATACGACTGGGCCAAAGATCTCCTCTTTCATAATCTTCATATCCTCAGTGGTCTGTGATGCGAGTTAGAATACTTTCACTATTGTTGAAGCGAGAACTTACGTCTGCAAAGACTGTGGGCTGGAGGTAGTAACCCTTGTCACCGTGCTTGCTTCCACCGTAAAGCAGTCTAGCACCAGACTTACGCCCCTCCTCAATATATGAGATGACTCGATCGAATTGGGTCTTGGAGACCTGAGGACCTTGGACTGTTGCCTCTTCGAAGGGAGAGCCGAGCTTGTCATTCTCCTTTGTGACCGCGACGAACTTCTCGAGGAACTTGTCGTAGATGTCCTCGTGCACGTAGATTCTCGAGGTGGATGTACAAACCTGAGATATACTGTCAGTATCCATATCGCCGTTCAATGGGTTATGAAGCTCACCTCTCCCTTGTTGTCCATGATGCCGAAGTGGCACCACTTAACAGCCTGCTCCAGCTCTGCGTCCGCAAAGACAATTGAAGGACTCTTACCACCACACTCAAGCGTGATGTTCTTCAGGTTATTCGCAGCATCCTTCATGATAGCCCTACCAGTATTGGTGCTGCCTGTAAACGCAACCTTGTCAATGTCCATGTGTCCAGCGATAGCCTTTCCAGTCTGGGGACCGAGACCCGGTAGGACATTGACAACACCAGCAGGGAGACCAGCCTCCTTGATAAGGTTACCGAAGTATAAAGCGGACAGAGGTGTCTGCTCGGCGGGCTTGAGGATGACGGTGTTGCCGCATGCCAGGGCTGGCGCGACCTTCCAAGCGAGCATCATGAAAGGGAAGTTCCACGGGATAATCTGTCCGCAGACACCAAGAGGCTCCTGGAGTACGTATGCGAGCTTAGCGGGAGATGTCTCAATTGTCTTGCCGCTGATCTTGTCGGCGGCACCAGCGTAGTAACGGAAGACATTGTACGACTCATCGAGATCGCCAGCGAGACAAGCGCTGAAAGGCTAGCGATAGTGTCAGCGATGCAATTGGACTAAGGAGCATTGATACGTACCTTGCCATTGTCAAAGGCGTCAATAGCAGCGATGAGCTCGCGATCGCGATCAATGAGATCAGCAAGCTTGTAGAGGAATGCGCCGCGGTCTACAGCAGCGAGCTCTGACCATTCACCCTCGAAAGCTTTGCGCGCAGCTTGGACGGCCTTGTCGACGTCTTCTTTTGAAGCTCCCTTGAGCTTGATGACTTCTTCCTCGGTGCTGGGACGTGTGAGTTCCCGTTCAATCGGAGAGTTGAGGGCTGCTGGGAGCTTACACTGGGTTTGTCACTGTGAACTCGTCGCCTGAAGCAGCGATATACTCGTTGTTGATGAAGAGACCTGTTGGTTGGTCGTACTTCTTGCCGTTGGGCAATGTGATTGAAGTAGTTGATGCCATTGTGAGATATGTAAGAGACGCAACGTGCAGGGAAGACAGAAATGAGAGAAGTCTGAATGTATGTAATGACGAAGGATGGGGTATGATCTTTTATAATGAGTGCGACGCATCAAGTGACGGCGGCTGTCTTCGGAGCTTACACCCAATAAACTACCCCCAGCTAAGACACCACCACGTCCATGTTTGCGGGGTTCACTCAATCATGACAATTCCGCTGCACATTCAGCTGATAACACTTCAATTGGCCCCAAACCTTTCCTCATAGAGTCTCTCATCATGTCCCAATTCAAGTCAGGAAAGTATTGAGGCCAGAATGAGGGGGGACACTAACGATATCTCCAACCCCACGATGCGGGGGGACGTGGGCTATTCTCCTTTGGGTAACTTTTTGGGCCTCTGGCAACCCACAGACAGGTCTTATCTCATACTGCATCTGGGATGTTTCTGGGCAATTCTGCGGGGAAAGGGAGATACAGCTATTAAGAGTGAGGGAGTCAGACTGGAATAGGAATGTTGGGTGACCACTCGGTCGTTGTGGCATGACGAGGTGGTCGAGGTGAAACTTTCATGATAGGTTCTGTGATCATCATGGCCATGCGCCAAGATCTTGGGTGGTGATATTGTGTGTCGTGTTGTGTAGTACATAAGGGCAACTGTGCCTCTGATACGAGCATCGAACACAGCGACTGCCCAAATATCTGTACCTCTTAGTCACAAATCCTCAGTACCTGTAAGCCTCCAACTTCACTATCAGTCTTATTTCGGTTCCTCACACAAATAGACCTTCATCATGTCTCATCTGACCTACTACAACTACGAGGGTGTCGGCAAGACCAACAACAAAGAATACTCCTACTCACAAGCTGTCCGCGTCGGCAACACCATCAAATGCTCCGGCCAAGGCGGATGGGACAGCGAAGGCAACATTGACAAAGAAGATCTCAAGGGTCAAATTGACCTTGCGTTCAAGAACGTTGAGAAGAACCTCAAAGACGCTGGTGCAAGGGGTTGGGCAGATGTTCACTCCGTCAGAAGCTATCACATTTCCCTCTCGGGCTCTTTTGACCTCATGGTAGAGCAGTTTCGGAAGTGGATGCCTGATCATCAGCCAACTTGGACTTGTGTGGGTGTTACGGAGTTGGGTATTCCTGGCATGATCGTCGAGATCGAGGTGGAGACCAATATCCAGCAGTAATTGTGTAGCAGAATTTATTAAGCATCTTTCTTCTCCACCATGTCTCACATTGCTCTTGGCTTTGTCCCACTTATTTGAGTACTCTACAGCACAAAAAGGCCGGCTGAATAGTTATTCCTGGACCATATCTCACGTCTTTCTTGTGACCGTGAGACTCATTTCACGATTACCTCATCCCAAGTCACTTGACACCATGCCAGAAGTTCCTTGGCCCAAGAGTCGTAGAGTCCAAGATGCCAATGGATGGGGCAATCACGATGTCCTGGAACACGACCAAACCCCGTTCCTTCTGGACGACGAGACGCGCGCTCTTTATGAACGCGCTACCACTGGCCAGTCATCACTGAGCGATGCTGACCGGCAAAAGCTCTCCCAATGGCCATCTCAGGAAGCACAAGACTCCCACTACCGAAAACAATGCGGCTTGACCCGGTCTGAACTCATCGCCAAGGCTGTTCAGGATCCCGGATCGCTCTCATACTTCGAAGCATCCCTGATAATCACCCCAGCCATGGACCCTGGTCTAGGTCTACAGAGACATAGAATGAGCAAGAGTGAATTGTGTCTTTTGGATACTGTGTTAGAGGCTGTTTTGACAAAAGAAGAAATTGCTGCTCGTCAAATCAGCTTGGATATGAAGGGCTTCTGGGATCAACAAAGCCGAAATGCCAAAGAAACGCTCAGGGATAACGATAGACAGATTATCGAAGAGGCTATGACTATTCAATGGCAGGGATACATTATGGGTTTGAGTGATCATAAGTTGGCATCTTGTGGCTTTGTGATCTTTTCACTCAAAAGATCTTGACTGGCCGGTATTCAAGGAACAGATGGAAACTGCCATACGGCATGGCTTCAATTTCATGCCCAAAGTCAAGACAGCGATCAAAGACAGGTTCGCAATACATGAAACAAAGTATGATGATTCGAAATCTCTGCAGAGCCGCTTCACCGCCATGCAAGATGAAAGAGCTATCCCTAAAGGCTTGCAATCAAACGCATTCCTCTATGTTGATGACAAGACACTTCAATCTCGACACTCAGTCAGGCCTTTCGTTTGGCTATGGGAACGTGAGAATCAAACTGAGCTATTCGACGAGACTAGGCCGCTAAAGATAGATATCAGGCACATAGCACCGGTACTGATTGCACAGTTGACGCAACGGGATATGTCATCGGCAAGGGCCGTACATGGCCATGGAGAAACACATCAGACTTGGAGCAACTTCACGCTGAAGCTGGTCCTTCACGAAACTCGGACGGTGAACGAGATAGAACATGGCCTCCAACTCCACGACAGTTTCAGATCCAGTCTTCGGGTTCCTTTGATAATGAGCTAAGGATTGAATGTGTAGCGACATGTTAGAAATGTTTATTATATGAGTTAGATATCGAAATAGTTAGTGAGACTGTATCAAGCGCAATCAAGTAACAAATCTTTCAAGAACTACGGGAACTCTTTTATCTTTCCTAAAGTATCTGTAACTCGTGTTTCGATTTCAAAGTCATAGAATTTGAAAGATCTACTTCTGGAAAGGGAGTTCAAGCTATAGTACCAGTGCCAGATCGATAATAATTTTCACTCACTATTTTCTCATAAATAGAGCATGGCCTGGGAAACAGGAGGCATGCAAGAACAATGAACGCTTTCCTTGATGCATTGACTGGCCGAGAAGTTGAGAGGGTTAGGACGGAGCTCAGCCAGCTCGAATTGAGTTTCACTCATGGAAAGGATTTAGTATCGGCTTTCCGGGAATCCATTAATATTCTGATAAGGCCTTGCGGCCAATTAGGTTTACAAGACATCCTGGCAAGCGTCTGGTGTTGCAGAAGCACGGCATCAAGTCGGACCAGAAATGACTCACCGCCAACTTAGTTCTAAAAGAAGCACTGAATCATCTCAAGAACAGTGACCCTTTACCAGACCACTTTGTCTCACAAAATGACTTCAGCATATAGTCAAGAGCAACTGTCACAGTTCCTCGAGCATATCAATCTTCCTAAAGCGCTGCGAGAAGACATTCGGCCTTCGTTGATGCTCTTGAAAGCCTTGCACACTCACTCACTCGCTACATTCCCGTATGAAAACCTATCTTTGCACTATAATGCGACTCATAGCATCGACCTCGATCCTCAACATCTTTTTCGAAAGATGGTGACGGATAAACGTGGCCGTGGCGGTTTCTGTATGGAAATTGCCATCTTGTACAACCATATTCTTCGGGCTATTGGATTCGATGCATATACTGCTGGGGTGCGAACTCGGGGGAGACTTGAGGGCGTCCCGACTGGGGACTATCCAGGCTGGTAAGTAAGCCACTATATCTCAGTTAATGGGGTGAGATGAACGAGCCAAAGCCGCGTATCAAACGGACCCCCGTCAGCATCTTGAACCCTAAGAGCAGAAAACACTGTAGAAATAACCTCATTTTCTTTTTGGACACCTAAGCATTTTGACAACATGGACCAAGAGCTAACCAGACACTAAGGAACCATATCGTGAATATCATCACTTTCCCGGATGACAGCAAATACCATTCTGATGTAGCATTCGGAGGTGACGGCGCCACGATGCCAATGCCACTCATCGACGACTTAGTACACGAGAACCTTGGAACCCAGCAAATCCGACTCAAGAGAGATTGGATACCTCATCAAGTCCACAAGACAGAAGAGACCAAACTCTGGATCTATCAGTATCGGAACGGTCAAGACAAGGAGTGGAACTCTTTCTACTCGTTTCCAGGTATCGAGTTCTTTGCTTTGGACTGGGACGTCGTCAACTGGTGGATCAACACTCACGCGGATAGCCATCAGCTACGCAATGTGTTGACTATCAAGTTTCTGCTTCGACCTGTGGAGAGTGAGGCAAGCTTCGAAGGGGAGATGGAGATTTATGGAAAGAGAATGCTTGTGAATGGGGTTGTTAAAGAGAATCTGGGCGGAAAGACACAGATCATCACCACTTGCAATACAGAAGGGGAGCGTGTAGAAGCTCTTGAGAAGTATTTCCAGATACCTCTCACCAATGAAGAAAAGGAGGGTATTCACGGCTATGTGTCAGAGCTCAGAGGCACTATACCATAAATAAGACAAAAAGATTCAGTCAGGTCCAAAGATAAATACCATCAAGTCTTCAGAAAGTCCCACAGAGCACCCTCACCTCTCACTTCAACCAACTCACTCCCATCATCTCCAACAGCCATACTCCACAACTCTTGCCCATGTCTCATCAAAAGCTCATAACCACCCTGCGGACTCGGTCGAAGCGTAAAGTACTCATGCGACTGATGCTTATCGACTCTCGCGATGAACTTCTTCCTCTCATTGTGGCCGATGATAGTCCCAGAAACACAGTTTCGGAAGCCCAGCCATCTATCTCGTTCGATACACTCCCAGTGAAAGCCTCCTCTCGGGTTGAAGCCCTCACAGAGTCGGAGGTCGCCGTTGACGATGGTGATGACTTTGCCTGAGTCGCGATGGCGAATGATGAAGATGGCTCCGGGGTAGGGAACGGATTCGGTGTAATCTCTGCAGTGTTCGGTTGTCGTTGTGTGTGTAGGCGTACCTTGACTATCGACAGTGGAAGCCATGGACATGGTATCAATGAGATCCATTTCTTTACTCATTCTGGCTATATTTTACTGTCGATAGTTGTAATTGAGTTGCAGTGTTGAGATGGTGAGATTCAATGCACCTCCACGTAATGCGTCAGGCAGACGCGGGAGGACAGCCAACCACTGAGATTGTTGCATCTCGACAGCCTTTCATGCCCTTTCAGCCGCTTCAACACCCGACAGGGAAGCGCTGGGGCAAGCAGTCCTATATAACGGCAAACAAAGATTAGAAAATTACAGGCAGTGGCAATGTATATGTATAACACATTTACTAAAACAGGTTTCCAGGAACAAAGAGCTTTCAAGTTTGCCCCTGGTAACCGAGCAATGCCGTAGGGTAACTCGCCAGACTTGCCCCAGACGGAGATGATCGACGTTCTGCTCGGCAGCTAGCGAGCGATAGCCGCCTGTGACTTGACTTATAAGTCATACAGATATGAATTATCGACGTAACAATATCTATCTATTCATCTTGCGCTGCTGTGTTTGACTCCGTATCTTACGGAACGAGTCCATGACATGTCCTCACCAATGGCCATTCCCTCAACGGCCTGACTCGCGCAGACAAAGCCCAACACCAAACCCAATGCCAGTAACCAACTGCGCCGTTAGACAAACCGAGACACCAAAGTCCTAACAGACTCAAATCATCAATATCAGAGCAAGAATAGGGTGTGAGACGAAGACCCTGCATCAGTACAACCAACCCAGCCACGACAGCATCTCTCGAAACACATACCCTGGACAGTTCAAAGTCACAAGGTTAAGCAATCAGTCATTTCTTCGCAACCATAAACGCCCAAGACACAAAAATTAACTTGCGCCAAGCCTCGCGTGACCTCAATCACAAACACCGTTTCAAGCGCCCGCGTCGCATGGCAACGCATTCACAAACTCCCCCCCCCCTCCCCTGTCATTATCGTGTCATTCTGATTTCTCGGGCTTCACAACAAAACCGTTATGCTATAAGTTACAGAGTACCCTCCCGTCACATCCGAAAAAGAGGGCGCCACAGTAGCACTCGTAACACGTTCTAGACCAACGGAGCAAAGCCTACGAAGCCAAGAACTGTGGCTCAGGGCACGAGGACACGCAACCGCATGGATTCAAAAGGTCTAGAACGTCGCTGTGCTGATCTTGGGTATTCCCGAAGAGTTTCCCACGTTCTTCAGAACCAAATTGTCCAATAGGACTGCACGGCTGTGCGAGGGCTTCTTGTGCCACTGCGCTTCGCTATTGGTTCTACGACAAGGCGCAACGGAGAAGGGCGATTGAGAGACCCCGAAGGAGAGAATGGCATAGTGCACGCTGGGGTATCGTATAGAAGGACATGTTCTCGAATTAGCCAGGAACGCTCGGAGCCCGGCAGGAGCGGAAAAGGGCTTGATTGAAGCAACGTTGTATGAATGCCGGGAGATCGATAACGGTCTTTTCCGGAGGCGTAGTATCGACTGACCAGAACAACAACAGTTTTAGTCAATGGCCAGACAAGAATAGCAGCATGGTTTAAAGACTCTGAGACTACAGTAAAAGCACCGATTCGAATGTCTTTGTTGACCTATCTTCTTGGACTCTGCCCTGAAAATCAATAAAGCCAAGCCCTGCCTGATCCGCATCGGCATGCCCGAGCTCCATCATGATCTGATAGGAAAGAGTCAAATGGAATAACTGATAAAATAACTGACCAAGTGCCTGAGGGATTATCACGCGGAAACACTCGCTTACTCAAACATCGAGGTTTTCCGTGAGTACAGTACCCGGGATGCAATCTGATCGAAAGCAATCAGCTGCATAGTGCTCAGTTACAATGCATCAAGCACAGGCACCTACTGCCGCATCAAGGAACCCAAGTCACGGACGTTTTCTAGAGTCAGGCCGAAACAGATCAGTCATAGTGGCCGAGCTTCTGGCCTAGAACCTGAGCATGTAAAACAAAGGCCCAAATCTAGAGCCTCCCTCGTGTGATAAGCAAGACCGGACGGACCCTTTCAAAAGGACCCTTGATTTGTAAAAGGGGATTCACCGCTCCATAATTCTTCAGCCCTGGGATCACCGGGTCCGTGGCTTAAAAGTCCAGTTTGAGATCCGAGCTCTGCAAGATGGCGTATTCTGGAATACGGTTCCAACGTCTCACTTGAGTGCCATGCAATTTCCCGCAGAACGCCGCCAAGACGATTTCTAGCCCGCATGGGACTGCAGTCCTGCAATGCAACACTGTCTTGCTCTTGTAAGCGCTTGCTGGGGTTTGATGGGAAAGAGAGAAAAGGCTTCGTCAGAACATCGTGGCTGTGACAGGTTTACTGCTTAGAATGGTTTGGTTGGGTTGGCTTTGTAATTTAATGATATGCAAAACACATGTTGCTCAGCATGTCCAAGCGGGTCGATCATTCATCAAACTTCAGCTTCAGGGACCTTTTGGGGCCCACCCCAGTTCAAAACGCCAGTGAGAAAAAAGTTAAAAAAATAAGGGGACCCTGCCAAGCCAGAGTTCTAGACTCTGAGTCTAACAGTCTGACTCTCACTTTAAAATGATGAGCGGTATTATTTCCTCTCGTTTGACGGAAATAGCAATTCAAGCGGAAAACAAAAAAACATCAGTCAGCAATAACCTCAGACCAGTGCTAGAGACAGTTAGTGATTTTAGACATGACACGGCTTGCCAAGCAATTCGTGATCGTCTGACAAAGAAGACACTGATCCGTCGCATCCGTCGGAGACCTTAATTACAGCGCCATGCATTGGCTCCATGGGAGATAGAATGCCGCGGCATCGCAACGCAACGCAACGCATCGCATGCATCGGATGCTATCGCATCAGATAAAACAGACACGCGTAAGGTCCTGTCCTACTGTGGTATAGGCAAAATGAGCAACGGAGCAGAGGGGGAAGGGCGTGGGGTGGGAATTAAGAAAAGGGTCATCCATATCCCCGATTTAGAGTATCTCCGTCTCGATCCCCTTGCAGCATTGATGAGGCTACATTTCCATTCCCCCATCTTAAATCCGCGAGATCGAGAATTGTCTTTGAATATGGATATGTGGATGTGGAAAAAACAAGCATCTCGATATCTGTGCAAAGAGAGGTAATTGGTTCCCAGGAGCAGCTCCGAACGGGAGACTCTCTGACTGTTTATAACGAAAACCGACGCCCATCGAAGGTTTGGTAGAGCATCTCGGCCGGTGGCGTCGCCATCTCGATGTGGCTCCATCACTTGATGAGGGCGGTTTTTTAGAGCGTGTTCCAGATCGATCTACAACAAAGAGTCTTGCCTAGCCCCCAGGAACATTTCCATCTAACTAAGCAACACGCTGAGAGAGTTTCCATTCGATGATATTACGACCAGAGGGAGTGTTTGTTGTGTGTCGCGCCATGCCATGGGCAATTGGTAATGAATGGAATTGTGGGTGGCATGGCTATGGGCATTTGCTCAAAACCACCGCTGAATGGCGGCCGTTTTGTGTCCGGACGATGTGGATGGCTCTATCTATCTCAAACTCTAGACTGACCCATCAATCCAGTTTAAAACGGTTTCTTCAAAGGGCTGAAGGGAGCGACACCACTCGTGTTAGCGATCGATCGCGATGACACAAGGGCAGTGTGTCTTTATCTACGACTCGGACTCAACCAGTCTACTTAAAACACATCTCGATGATTAATTCCTCTGTAACGAAGATCAAACAGATTCTCATCCCACACCTGAGCTGATAATCTTTCGATGAATCGATCAAGAACCCCCCTACCTTAGTCTAAAACCCCACATATCTTCCTTCTCATCGGGACCATCGAAAGGCAAAAAATAAAAAAAATGATAGACGATCGCGGGTTCTGATAAGCGTTCCCGCCCAAGCCCAGTCCCGGCAATCCGACGATCAATCAACTACTTCTCCAGTTTCACTCGCTGATCCGATGAGTAAGTCTGGTTCTGGGCATCGAGAGGGTTTCGATCACACGTGGGTGCTGCGTAACTGTCGACGTCAGTTTTGCGATAAGCGCTTCCTTGTGTCATGTTTCGAGGGATGAATTACGCGCGTGCTATGGAGATTGCATCATTCAAACGGCTATTGACAGCTCCATCAATCACCACATGTTCTCGATGTTCAGAACGGCTGGCTAGACGACGATAATTTACTGCAATAGGGAATAACTTAAACCCTGTCACAATTGTGCTTTTCAGGATCATAATGAGATGCAGGGTATTACCATCGCCAACGGGGTCATGCAGACAGCCTAGACAAGAACAAGGTCGACGGAGAAGCTCCGATGCTTGTGAAGGAAGCTCACGGTGTCGATTGCATGCTACAGTACGATGCCGATGGCACTCGGTGTCATGGGTGTTTTTGCCTGTCTTGAGTGCCGTGCCGGATGTGACTGACACGACTCGGCCGGGTGTGATAGCGTGAACGTGAATGGTGCTTGACACTCTGCTTCAAGGTCTTGGCAAAGCACGTTGCAACTTTGGGGACCAATCCAATGAAGCCGTAACGGACGACATCGAGATGCTTAGGGCCGTTGTAATGTGTCCATGCAATGTTGTGTCTTTCTTTTTCATGCTCAACAAAAAGACTTATCAGCAGAGTGACAGCTCCAGAGCCAGTCATCTGTCGTTATTCCCGTCCAGAACATTCAGATATCTCGTTAGAATGCTCTGGACTCAACCCACACCGGAGGTATAATCACAGAACCGAATCGACGAGATATCCCCATTGCAACGGAATCATCTCCGACTAGTGGGCTCTGGGTCATGGGACAGAAGGAACAGAACAAGACAGTAAAAAACCGAAGCTTCATGTCCTTCGATCCTGTTCTAATGGCCCGACCAAGCTTCTCGTCTCTGTGCCCTGAAGATCGGAAATTGGCTGTGTCATCAAAGGAGTGGGCGATGGCGCTAGGACTGTTTTGAAGGCTGACTCCAAACGCCGGAACGGAATGCCCTGCCAAGATCTCCGTTCGCTAACTCCGTTTACCGCTTACTGTGATATCTCCTTAACCGCTCTTTTCATCTCGCTGAGTTGCATGTTAACAACACAGCTTTACAAGGTCCCTTGTGAGTCACGGCAAGGGGCCCTGTAAAGAAACCAAAGGGCGGGAAGATGCACCTGAAATAGCAATTCATCCCAACACGATCCACAGACAAGAGACAGCAAAGAAGAAGCGGTCATAAACATCATGACACTCTACAGCATCGTATTTTCTGCGGCGGGCTTTTTACTGTCAAGCCCAACACGCCAATTTACACATTTCAACAATGCTCTATTTCTGGGTACACTAAACGCTAGCTCAGAGCCCAATCCAACGGTTCAGGCTCATCAAGCAAGGACAGGGTTCTCGCTCTCGCTCTCCGTCAGAGTCAGCCCTCAAAAAGAATTAGGGGTCCATCTCTTCTGTACGGAGTATCATTCAAGCTCGCTCTCAAAATATTGGAGCCTGTAAGACCAGCGTTGCAGCCCTGAAAACTGAACGACCCGAATCCCCGGGTACGCGGTGTGCTGCGCTGTAGCATTCTGCTCATCTTCCTCCCTGTGGATATTGGATCACCCTGGTGCTTAGATCGTGGTGGTGTCCGTAGTCGCGGGCGGCTCTGTTGTTCTGTTCTGCTCGGCTGTCTGCGTTGCATCAGGATTGAGGCTTGTAAGTGACAGCCATCCAATAGCGCCTTTCCATACGAGGACAAAACTTTGCAAATTACAATTCTGTCACAATGGAAGTTTGGCGGGCGCCCAATAGCGACTCTTTCATGCGTTGAGAAACAATACCGATTGTTTATCTCAACTTATGCGTTGACCGCGGATGGAGAAACGAAACTCGCTCATCGGATCCCGCGATATGCGTGAAACCCGCCCTAGCATTCAAGACTCCATCCAAAGATCCGCCTTTCATATAATGTCGGTCGCACAACAAGGGTTAATTACTGCATCTACTGCAATGTACATGCCGCCCGACGCGAACGCCATTGTTTAAATGTGACAGATCCAATGCTTATTGTATCAATTGCGCGGCCTTTCGGCGCGGTTCAAGCGCCGCCATCCATTATCAATCACCATGGCATGCCGTACAAGCCGAAAAGCCCGTCACTTGCACATTCAGTTGAGACAAGAGGCAGCAGGCACCCGCGGAAGACGGGCGCACGCAGAGTCAGTCAGCTCGATGTCCTTTTTACTACCTAATTGATCCCTGTGGCTTCGTGCCCTTGCTGGGCTGAGCTGGCCGATCCGGGGTTATTTTAACGGTGAACTCAATTTCATGAGGCGGACCATGTTGAATTGTCGTACTACTGTCTACCTACCGTCCATTTGACTCATCTTGCCAGAGCAACACTGGACAACTCATCTTGGTCCAAGCTGTTGAGAGGTGAAAAGCTAGAGTGATACAGCACAGGCACAGGGTCCTTTTGCACAGACTTTTGGGCCCTGAAGCTAGAAACTTCATCAACATGAGACTCAGCAATCTAATTTGCAGGAAGCTCCCATTGTGCAAGGAAGACCCCGTTACGGGAGCCCGGAGCAACGACTGACAACAAGACATGTAAATGCATAAAGCTTTATCTGCATTTGCATTTGTTCTTTTTCGTGCCCGGGTTGAACAAGGCGGTAGATTGCTGCCAAAAAGCAAACAATGCATGGATATGTTGCGCTGTACCTTTTTGTCTCTGAAGCTGTGCCCCGTTGTCGTCGTAAGCAGTTTTGAGCTGGTTCCTCCCGTGCCGTGAGAATATTACAGTTCTGTAAGAGGTACAGTACATACAGGCATATCCGAGACATCAGCCAGCCTCACAACGGGACGACTTGGGCGTGAGATTAATCACGGGCGCTACAGGGAATGATAAGAGAAAATTTCTGTACAGTTCCGTAGAGTCGGTTAATCAACTAGACACAGCGTGATGCCTCACCAACATGACCCGCAGGGCAATCACAAGCCAAAACAAAAGTCTCGAGATTTGGTGATCCGTAAGCCCCGATAGATCGCATAAGCCCAACATAAAAGAAAACGGAGCATCTCAGATGAATCGACAGGGGTAAGAGTAAACTAAACGGACAAGATGGAGATGGACGGGTTTCGCCTGGTCAGGACCCAAGACCTGACGTTGCATCGGCCAGGCCTGTTCTGGTATTGGGTTCGGGCCAAGCCACGCCCCCCCTCTCTCCCTCTGCCTCCTCCGTTTTTGACTTTGGACCTGAGCTTGCCCTGCCGTACAGTGAGTGAGTGAGTGAGTGAACGCCAAGTTTCAAGCCAAGACTCAACAGCTCGAGAGTTTATGGTTGCTGAGACAATTATCCCTCACCGAGAGCAGTGTAGACAACAGCTCAGCTTTGCCTGGTGCTGGCATATGCCGCAGTTGCAATGTATCTTTTTGCAGGACTCAATTTGAATTGAATTGAATGCTGGTGCCTTGAAGAGGGGCGTGTGCTTGGACTTGGACGCTCCGTTTTGCTTGTCTTGGGCTTGGCACAATGTCTTGCTGCTGTTTCTCTTCGACCCGCTGCCGATCTTTACTCCGCGACACGCCGTCTTGCAAGACACCTCCGTGGACGAGCAGTCAAATCGTCGATCCGCAGCAGCAGCACAGCTAAAGGAGAGGAAGGAAAAAAACTTACGTAGCCCCCAAACACCACATACTGAGACCGCCCTGTTTCTCTCTGGGCACGCGTGTGTGTTGCATCCAATTGCTAGCAGGTTCAAGAAAAAGAATGAAGCCATTTTGATAAAAAGGCCTGCTCACCCCCCAGAACAACGCCTTGGATCCAGAACCTACATCCCTTTATGAAACGAATTTCACGGTACGACTCGACTCGACTCGACTCGACTCTATACGATACAATACCCTAGGACACTCTAGACTCTCTCAGTGATAGCGATTGATTGATTGTGCACTCAAATCAACACAAGGACCCCCTTCTACTCGTCCGTCCCAGCTGCAATCGACCGGACTAAGCCTCAGCCACCTGTGCTACAGTTCCAAACTGTACCGTCCGCCCGTACCGTACCGTATTTGTCTGTCTGTCGTCTACGTATACGACGTAGCGTGCGTAGTGCAGCCCTCCCTGGTCCCCAGTGCCCAGTCCCGTTCAGGCTCAGACAGGCCAAGACAAAACACAACACACACACCCCTCCCCCGGACGGGCTTGTTTTCAAGGCTCCAGAGTTCAAGAGGCTAGGCCCCTGGTCGCTCTTCAATCCTTCTTAACCAGCACAGTCCCCCTTGAGGGCGAAGCATTCAAGCAAGAGCACAAAGCAGCAAAGCAATTACCAAGGCGCCAGCACATCCCCATCCACTTGAAACAAACAAAAAAGGCTTTAGCTTCTTTTTCTTCTTATTCCTTACCCGACCCCTTGCGGTACATCACCTCAGAATTATCTATATTATACCCGCCCTGTCTGCCCTCTCCAACCTCGTCTCCATCATCATGTCTGCCAGACCTTCAAGTCACCACTTTGGATCAACAAGCTCAACATCATCAACACCTTCTTCAGGTTCCGACTCAGACTCTTCCAGCTCAGGACACAGATACAGCATGGACTCAATCGCCCTCCCCATCGCCTCTGTCGAGGTTCTTCGCTGCATGCGATGCGCTCGCTCAGTCGAGGCTACTTCTACCGACGACGTCAGCACCATGGGAATGGTTCGCATCGCACACAACCTCTACTACTGCGAACGCTGCGCAAAGATGGTCGGCTACAAATAAATGAATCAACCAACACACAACAACTAAAGGCCTGAACACGAGTAACACATGGAACTACTTTCAGCTTTTTTTTCTTTTCCAGTGGAGGGAAACAAATCACATTGCGACATGGACGGTTAATCCCCAAAGCATTCAATGATTCTTCCAACCAGCCAACCCACAACAACCACCTTTTCGGCGCAAAGGAAATATGATATTCGGCTCTTAACCCCCAGCGTGCCGCATAAATGCATCTCCCTCCCGCCATTAGGGTCAGCCAGCCATTTATTGCATTTGGCATACCCAACCAACACCAAGAGTAAAGCCATATATCGCCACAGAGCAAAGTTGACCATCAACATCAACATGCGAGGACGACCTGAATTGGCACGCTCTTAACAACAACCGAAGCAAAACCCAACGATACCGACAAAACCACCCTCTCAGCACCTGCAAACCCAGGAACCAATCCATCTTTTTGAGGTTCAGGGCATTCGAGTGATTGGGTGCGGCATGTCCGGCATCAATGTATGGGTACCCCGTCAGCTTCCGGATCAGCACTTGTCAGGCTCAGCTCAGCTCAGCCTGCGGGTAATCAACCCCTCCAAAAGAGAAAGACTGCATTCACTGCCTCATGTGAGATGGATACCACCGAGGCGCTGTCTTCTCAATTTTCATGACCACCATTTTTTGTGTATTTGACGACCTTGATGTATGGAGTTTTCTTTGGGATGGGATATAACATTGTCACACTATCGGATTTTCTTCTTCTTCTTGTATACCCACGGATACCCTGTTTATTGCCACCGGGCGCTTCGGATATTTTGGGGTTATTTGGATGTTTTACTTCTTCGCTTCTATTCATCGTGGTAGATACAAGCAAGACCACGGCCTGGTGCCTGGCATGGCTTTAGCCTCCTGGACAGGCTATTTTATCTATATGCTTGTTTAAACAATTTATCAAAAATTACCATATCATATCATATCGTTGTGTCTCATGCATTGTGTTCTCGCACCAATCTCACCTGTGTCTTGCATGTTGGTCATGTAGTTGGTGGTCATTAAGGCCTGACCTCTAACAGTATCTAACTACAGGCTACAGCTGCCCTCGGCGCTACGTGCCGTCTCTCGCATTGCTAGCACGTATTTACATCCGACCAGGGTCGGGAATACTGCCATTGGCTATTTCGTTCTCAAACGGTGATTGCCATTTTTACCCTCCCCTCTCAGAACCAATTAGAGGCTGTACAAGAGGAATTTCAACTGCAGACTCGATGTTGGCTGCCGTAAGGTCACATACCAGCCGCTGACGTCTTGGCTCTCCAACTTCTCCGTTATCATTTCTCTTCAAGCGGGGGCTTAATTGTGTATGTAGCACAGAGAGAGTGTGTCAAGAAAGACTGCGTTCTCATGATCTGAGTCTGTCTTCGTCGATAGGAATGAGAGCGGAGTTGGGAATGGAGACATGGCTGTTTCGCTTCGACTCATTTCACTTTGACTTTTTGACTTTTACTTTGATCTGAGACTCTGAGACCTGTCCTTTTCCTTTTTCGCCTCCCCCTTTCTGCTCTTCTCCGCTTGTCACTCCAGGTTTTATCCCGGCTTTGGCAATTCTCCTCGGTTAGGGTTTTTAACAGAGCCCAGAGCAACTCCACTATTTCGGTTTACTTGCTTATTTCTGCAGATTTAGTGGAGTCATTCCATTCAATATCTTGCACCTGCATCTGCATCTGCATTTTTTTCTCTACTTCCCGCCTTGTTCTCTTTTGAGGCTATTCCCACCGTCCCACTCGTGGTCTAGAGCCGTCTCGGAGGTGCGTCGAGATTACGACAACGTGACATGACATGGATATGAGTGCCCCGAGAACAAGATCAAGACCAATCGATCCAATAGTGCAGTGGTGCGGCACTCACATGCAGATTGGCTTGCGATCATTGCATAAACTCTATGTAACATCTGCCTATACCCGTGTGACGATGACACTTGAAACTCAATCAGTCACACTTGCACTTGCGCTTGCACTCGCGCTTGCAATGCAATCGCAGCCGGGGATTTCAGCTATCGACTGCACAGCTTAGGTTTTGCCCAGCCAACCATCAAAAGTCAATGTCAGTTCGCGTGCGGCACCTCAGATGCAAACAGTGGAGTCTCGAGTATGAGTGCCGTGGACTATCCGTAAAAGGTACCAAGATAGCTCATAGCCTAACTGCAAGTTACCCAGCACCGTTGTCACGCTTCTGCAAGCCTTGCAAGCCAAGAGCGTAACTGTTATAGGCATTTCAGAACACCCCAGCCACACGATGTGGTCTAAAAAAGCACATATGGAGGAGCTAATGTACGACTTGTCCTCCTGCCGCACAACGCGCCTGTAGCAGATTGAGAGGAACAGACTTTTTGACTTTGGAGCGGCAGTTGAGGGGATGCATGCGCCTACAAAAGTGCTACGGTACTCGACTGGAGTGGACTGGAATGCAACATTGGCTTGTGTAGCTGCATCTGCCGTTATCCTTCAAATAGAGGAGATGCAGGTCTAGACTCCTGGCGACTCTGTTTAGGAACAGCCCGACTCCCCGCACGCTCGCCATCCTCGGCTCCGTGAAAGGCAGCAGCGAAAAATAAAGGAAATAAGAGGGCGGCGGTGGCTTGACGGGTCCAAATGTCGGAAGGCTAACAGTCCGAGACTACGAATTGCTCGAAATGGCCATTTCTTGATTCCTCTGCGATTCAGGACCTCGCAGCTGCACTAACAGGTCCAAGATAGTGCAGCTTTTCAAAGTCCCCGTGCCAAGCTTTATTTCCTGCTCGTGTGCCTTGCGTTTCCTTGCTCAACTTGCAGTCCAGGGTTTCAGTACCGTTCTTGACCAAGCTCGAAATAGCATCTCATCGGCCCGCAGGGGTTGCAGTGAAGCCAGGGTAGGTATTTTACGGCATACAGAAATGGGAATGGAAATGAAGTGAGAAAAACATGTCCCAGCCTGCTGGTCTGTCGCCCGCTCCAAAAGCTGACATGCAGCAATCATGAGGCTGTCATGTCGTTGGCTTTTCCCTTTTCTTGGCATGAGATGTGAGACAAAAAATGAACCCCTTGTCTTGCCTTGCATCTCAAGTGGTGGAGTCGGGAGTAGAATGCACTGAATGTCACTTTGTCTTAGAAAATAGGCAAGAGGCAGAGACAATTGATCATTCTGACAAGGCTACAAGACAATCAACGTCGGAGTTGTTCTCATCCGTGATGGATAGTGAGACTTAACTCACCGGTCTAGATCCGACCCCCCGAACTTCATTCAAGGCGTTCGCTCGGCATGTCGTCCGTTTAAAGCAAAAGCGGCATCGACGGATCTGAAGGTTATAGCAGCAAACATCCCGAGGCCGATCACTCCGAAGGATATAACACTTTTCGTGATTCCGTAGACTCTGAGCAGTTCCGTCTTAATGCCGATTAACCGTCAAATTATCGAACCTCCATGCACAACAACGTCGTGATGTTATCGCCGTCCTCAATTCTCAGTCTTCTCATGCAGCAAATGAGCCTTTTTTCCCTTTCTTTTTTTAACCATCTTACACACCCACCCCCGACATTTCCGTACATGTACACATTCATCCGTCTAACCAGAAAACGGTTGCGCCCATGAGCTATGCAGCCATATGTCATAGGTCCCCGCGCGCCAACTCCAACGTTAGTTAGCTTCACCTCGAGTGCTGCAAGGGATGACGTTTTCTCATGCGTCAAGGGTTTTCTGTGCTCCCTTTATTAACAAGGTCAGAGCGGTGACAGGAGCCACACCGAAAAAAAAAAAAAAGAAAAATCACAAGAAAAATGCTTAAATCATGACCCAGAATGTTGGAAGGGGAGAACAAAAAAGAAAAAAAGAAATGGACCTCATGTTGGTTTTTCTGGTGGAGAACTAAACGCACGGGAGATCATCACAAAAGATCAGATATTCTCCATTTGAGGCTCAAGATCCCCGAGATCGTAAACTCAAAAGTAGTAAAAACAAGCACGTATTTAGAAACAGAACAACAAGAACATGGATCAAAGGGGTTCTTTCTCCCTTCCGTGCAATTCCCTTGCACAAACACGTACACACCATCAAAACATGCATCTTCCTGCAAAGACCCTGCGAATGCCCTCACTCGAGAAAGACCCACCCCCTTTCGTCATCCCGCCCTCTGACCTCATCGTGTAGGCCACCACGGCATGACGTTACGTTATCGAGCAGACCCAAAAACAGGGCGGTCTATTAAAAACAACACTGACATGGGTGCGTGACGTCGCTTGTGAGGGGAAAAACTGTCAAACGGTTTGCTTTTGCGGTATTTGACATGGGCTATTTTGGCGAAACGGTTACCAAGCGGGAATAGACTGAGGTGTGTGAGGATGATGTACATGAAGATCAGAAAACCCTTACAATGAGCGAAACGGTGATGCTGTGGTGTATGTGTAACTCGACTTATTTTGATCATTATAGGGCTGTCTTGTGCACCTGGCGGTCAATGGGGGAGCTTCTATGCTGCTTCTAGGAATATTCGATTTCTGATTACCAATATTGTCTTCTCGATTACATACCAAGGTGTTTTCATGCATGTTCACAACAAGGCTACTCCAACGCCTTACTCCTAGTTCCTACAGCCCATAATTACAAAGTTAGACATGCAAACGTCTCATATCCGAACATCATGTTTCCGTAAACCAACGACCGTAAAGCAATCAACCCTCCATTTTCACATCCGTCTCCCTTCCGAGATTCTTCAGCAGGAAGCTGCGCTTGAAGTACTCGTTGGGATGGACAATGGTCTCGAGCTGTTGTTGTGTCATTACACCCTCATCCTTGGCCTTCTTGATCTCTTGCTTGTGCAGATGCTCAAATACACTGCGATCGCAATCAGTATATAGGTTATTCGAGGAATGAGTATAGACTTACCGATTGCACGCCATGTGGAACTTTTGCTTATCCTTATCCTCTTTAACGCCCTGAAGAACAGAGCGATCATTAACACCCATAGCTTGGACAAGTGCTGAGAGGTTCTCCATGTTGAAGTGTCGATATGGGCATCCGTGGGCTTCGCCGGGACCAGGAGGATGTTCGGTCAGGATCTTCTGACAACTAAATGGACTGTAACCACCTCCCCTTCGATTCGAGTCACCACCAACATCACCATAAACGTGACGGATATTGTAACGGTATTCCTTGTTGAACTTGTCATCTGTGATCTTGTGGAAGCTCTTTCTCCAGAATACAAGACACTCCTCCAGGTTGAGGCCAATACCCTTGAGGAAGAGCGAGTACTGTAGTCGACCATAGTGCTTGAGATGAGCGTCTCGACGTAGTGAGCGGTGCAAGTGGGACATGCAGGCTGGGAAGTGTTGGGATAAGTTGTCGATGTTGGCAGCGCTGATCTCGGCACCGGGCACAGCGGCTGTGCTGGACATGTAGGATGCATCGGGGGTGATGAAATTCTTGGAAAGATGGTTGAGGATGGGTGTGAGTCGGTCGTCCTCGTCAAGTCGAGGAAGAGCACGGGCAGTCAACTATACACTGTCAGTTCAGACCTTGGCATGGAGTAATCAGTTGCTGTACCTCAAGTTGTCGCTCCAGTCGCGAGCTGAACTCCGAAACCACCATGCCAGCCTGTTCTCGGCCTGGCACAAACGCCTTTCCAGCCTTCAAGAACACTCTTCGGCTCTCAATTAGCTCGGGGACTCGTTCCCAGTCTACCTTGAACCATGCATCGTCGTCATTCTCGCCCTTTCGGTTACTAGCAAAAGCAGCCAGCTCCGCAGCATACTCCCTCCTATCCTCATCTGTTACGTCTTCGCACCAGTCTAGACCAAGAGTTTTGACAAAGGCAGATCGCTCGGCGAGGTCGTCATCATTGAGTCGCAGGCGGAAAAGCATTGTCTCGACACGTGTGAATCGACGGCGCAGATCCTCAGTAGACGAGAACGCAAGTCGGAGGATGAAATGGCTGTAGTGGTCTTTTTGGCGTTGCTCGAAGATCTTCTTGGAGCTTGAGCTGTTGGCCTCGAGGTGAAGGTGCTTCTTGAGGATGGGCTTCATGTGTGTTGCAGTCTCGGCAGGTGTCTTGTTGCGGAATGAGCATGCTTCAAGTTCGGCGAGAACTACCGAGTATTAGATATACCCATCATTACAGTCTTCTGCGGCCTACCTCGAAGTCGGTCGATGGCCCATTGCTCAAACTGCTCGAGGGTGATATCCGCAGTGGGAGGATCTGTGTAAAAGTTGAGACGATGAGGGTAGTCGAGATCTTTGTATGTAGGCGCAGCGAACTGTTTCTTGCGATGGTCGACGACATTTCGCCTCTTGGGGTCAATTCGGTTAAAGTCTTGCCGCAACATGATTTCTTTGTCTCTGGAATATCTGTATCGAAAGAGTGGAAATTGCACGAGGAGTGGAATTGGTTAGCAAAAGGCATGAGGCGGGAGACGCGACTTTACGCGTCTGGCGTCGCGGGGTGGGCCAGGCAATTAAAGGCATGTGGTCCAATCAGAAGCGCGTAAGGTGTTCCCCAGGTGATTTTCGCGTGCAAGCCCACAATGTACTTGGCTCCATATCAGACAATGCAATTAATTAATAAAGAAAGAAAGAAAGAAGGCTTTGTTCTTAAGTCAACAAGAGTGTCCAAACATTTAATTAATATTAGAATGAATAGGTCATTCAAAATTATATCTAACGCGACAACGGACGCGATTTTCCATCCAAATGTCCTGTCATCATGCATTTCAAGAGCTAGTCGATGACCTCCGTTGGAGCTATTGTTCCAGTTCCCCATCATTCGTAAGTGAAGCTCTCATTCCTATCAACAACATTTCTTCACATATCGTACCAATAAGTCCTGTCCATAGCTTACCCCATGCCAGTTCAACTCAGAAGTAGGCCTGGAGCATCAGGTCCTAAAGTCTGTTGCTCTACAACTGCATTCAGAGTTCCTTCAACAGTGTGTATGAGCCTCAGCCAACCATTCTGCATTGGCAACTCACCCTTTTAGATCAGCACTGGAAGCAGCTCAGACTCAGCTCTGCTTTTTAAACTGCCGCCTGAGGTTCTTACCATGATCTTCGACCAAGCGCCACAGGTGGACAAGATCATGTTTGCGATGACCTGCAAAAGTTTACTCGCCACTTCGCGGCTGTGCGGCCTTTCTGTACCTCTCCGTGAATCGCACATGGCCACTTGGAATAGGCCTGACTCTTCACGCTTTGTAGCGTCGTGCTCATGTTTGAGCATGGGCGATTTACTCCGAAGGTTTCGGCCAAGAGATGCGCGTGGTCGACCAAGTCGGGCGTGGAGTTGGTGCTTGGACTGCTGTAGGTACCTCCCGGCAAGACGAGGATGGTGGGAACGTCGAATGAGAAGAGATCATACTACGATATCACAGGATTACATGCCAAATCGTGAACCTAGTATTGATTGGTTCAGTCGCGGACTCAAACAGCAGTGCCCTATTTGTTACCTGGAAGACGTCCAATAGTATCAACACTTGGGTTTCGAGAACGAAAGTATGAAGATGATATAGACAAGTACATACTTTTGGCGGGCATTTCTTATGATCCTCTAACTTTAATTTTCAGAAAAATAAACGAACTTGAAGATCTCGCGATCAGAAATTACTTTCAACGTTCTCTCACTTATGCATTCCTAATACAAACACTACAAATCCTCAACTACGAGATACAACACCATAAATATCTAGATATTGTGTCCAGAAAAACTGAATCAATTAAAGCTGTTGCGCACTGGAATGGTGTTGAACGGGTTCATGGGCCTTGGGCAATTAGTGAACATACGTCTCATAAATGCCATGGAACTGACGATATCCTCATGATACAGAACATCCTTTCGCCTCCGTGAACATCCATTGACTTTCATAAACTCATACATCCTCTTAAATAGCACTATGCGCTCGTTTATATACTTTTAAAAATGTTCATGGAGTCCTTGATCCGATTTTCCCTGGCCTATATATTCACCATTTCCCCCTTCCCTTGACAGACCTTGGAACATACTCATTCCATATTTGTACAACCAGACTTGTACATCACTTGCCATCACTAAGATCATTTAGCATAACACATCCCCCTTTCTGTACTTGATCTTTATTCCTGTATCAAGTTCGGCATCACTTGGTCTTTCCCTTTCCACATAATGAACAGGCATCAGTATCCCTTAAAGGAGTCTCCAGATGGCTCGAGCCCCATAAGCTTATTTCCACAGATGCCCCTACGGGACTTGGATTCCGAAGTAGAGAATATCGAAAAACTCTTCTTACTGGGCCTCAGTCAGCCGGCACAAGAAAGAGATGGCTTGAAGGAACTGGAAGCTAACTTCAAGGAAAGCCGAAGACAGGCGACCTACAGGCTACTTTCTCTTGCGCCTAAAGAGATCAGCGACTATTACCAGCAACTGATTCAGCGCACCCAACCGGGGCCTCATGACTTCCACTCTTCCCCATACCCTCAAATGCCAACGGACAAGATTGTCGATTACACAGAGAGCTACAGGCTTCGATATAACTCAGCACGGAACTTCATCAAGTGAATTAAGCTAGTATGCCGGAGGTTACAGAAATTCCTTACAAAAGAACTCAGTGTGACGGGTTGTGAAAAGCATCGCCTTAGAACAACCCAGGGACTTTTCCGGCATCCAAAGGTTGTTTTAGGGAATGGCCTCCATTACCTGAGGGCTTATCGGGACGAATTATCAACCACTTGATCTGATCTCAGCCTTTTCCGCTCTCATAGTGGCGCCTAGCTTGATCCATCAGGCGCCAGGCCAAGTCAAAGAGCTGGAACAGAAGCAAATGTTGCTTAATTTTCGCCATTCGGCATTACTGACCGTATTTAGGTTCAATGAAGATCTTGGTCGATGGAAAACCTTGAGTACCCAGAACCAACCAGACCCATTTGGCTTGTTCCAAGAGGTCGTTGGTGCCGCATTTGCCCTCAAGTCTTCCCAAGGGCTGCGCCCTTGTACGTGCCAGAGAACGAAGGGCTTCCTCCTCGGGTTGCAAACATGCACCCGTTCAACCCCAACGTGTTTGCGCAGCTGCAATCTGTTGCCTTCGATTTCTTCCTTCAAGCGTCCTCCGGGAAATCTTCCATGCCATGCCTCTGTCGATACTTAGACTAAAAATGACATAGCTATTCAAGAAATTTATGATCGAGGTCCGGATCTGGATGCATCCGAAAACACAATAGACAATTTATTTGGGGCTAGCGAGGATCATCAAGCTCCAGACCAGCACGACTCTGGCATTAGCATGGGCACTTCTGTTGAAGACAGCATGTACTATCAGATGCCAGATGAGGGCGCCGACAATCCCTAGGCTCCGTTTATGCAGTAAGATGCCCACCTCGGATCCTAATCAGGACACCATGGGTTTCTTTGTCGAGTTGTAGGATATCGGGGAGGTTTGTCGGGCTCTATCTTGACGGAGTTGTTTTGGGTGCAAGGCCAAGTCTACGACTACATGCGTTCACGAGTTTTATGAGAAGAGTTGTGCATATGTGATCCCAATTTGGGACAAACGCGAGTGTCTTTTTTGTATATTCTTTTTTAGTATTGGTAATGATCATGGGTTGCATAAGGGTATAGAGGTTCATTTTTGTTTTGGTGCCGGTGAATGAATTTGGGGAGTAGGTACTGCAACAAATATACATTGTTTTACTGCATAATTTTCTGAGTGCAATTGTATAACCCATACCTCTACAGTACCATGTTCGTCATCGCTAGGCCCAGATCAAATCATTGTCAACCATCTATGTCAACCAAGATTGAGCTTTATTAGAACTGTCTAGATGCTTGTTGACGTAGGTAGTTTGTTGCAAGACATCCTGCTCTTCAGGCCTCCACTTACAAAGCACCCTTTGTCTACCTATCTGTCTCCGTAATCAGCTAGATGGAGGCAGTGATTGCCAGATCTAGACCACACGGCCGAGGGCTGAGGTGGGTGTCGGTCTCTGATGAATGCGACGGGAGGGAGCAACGGCTGCTAGAGCGCCTCTCGCTCCCGAAGAAGTGGAGATAGCCGGGCGCTTATGGGGCACGTTTACAGGGGCGGGCGGTGGCTTTCATTTCTGTAGGGCTGAAGAAGAGATGAAACCAACAAATGTAACATGAAGGTCAAAAGACTGGCATAATTAACGATGGTGATAATAAATGCGTGTTTGGGTTTTATGAATGAGGGAATTAGACAAACTAAGAGTGAGCCGATGGATAAGCATAAGACACCGGGGCTAAGATTATCGCAAGGCATACTCGCATCATCCATCGAGGTATCCCATGACTTGTGACTCTGTGTTCCCTACGACATGGATGACTCGAGAAAACGGCCCCCACCCTAGAAACGCATTTGACATGGATAACACATTAGCACATATGTAAGGTGAGATATCGCTAAGTTTTGGGAGGGGAAGATACCGCGTTGAAGCCGTCTTACCTACTCTCACTGGCCCTACGGGGCTGGGCGGAATGGAACGGACTGGGGTGATCCCTCAAGGCTGCCTCATCCAATCTGTGCCGTGCCGCGCTGATGAGAGGGGATTGACTGACAGGGTTTGGGCCTAAATATGTCAAACCTTGAACATTAATTAATTACCTTGAATCCATTCCTACTCGTTTTGCTTCATCTTCACCTTTAATGTGACGTCTTTCCTCATTCCCTCTCCCATAAAACTTCATATGGGCCCTCGCTCCGTTAACAATTACTCACTCACAACTGCCGCGTCAGCAACACATCCATCAGTCAGCCTTACCCACCAGAAATGCTATGATGGCTACCTCGAGCGTCTTCTCCGCTCGACGCCGCACGTCACCCGGTGACTCTGACGACACCGATATGAGCTTCCCTCGCTGCGCACCCGGAAGACGTATCCCCAGCTCAGAATGGGAGAAGAAACGCCCGGTAATCACGAAGCTCTACCAGGAAGAGAAGCGCCCGCTCAAAGAGGTTATGGAAGTCCTCGAGCGTGAACATGGCTTCACTGCAACGTGTGTAAACCTCTTTGTCTCTGAAAGTCTTGGGTGTTGACTCTTTTTGCAGTGTCAAGATGTACAAGTCGAGGATTTGGAAGTGGGGTCTTGATAAGAAGCTCAAGAGTGATGAGGTTCTCGCTATTCTTATCTTGAGGACTGAACGTGAGGCGCAGGGAAAGATATCAGAGTTTACTATACGTGGTCAACCAGTCGATCTGGATAACATCAACAGATACATCCGACGGAATCCGGGACTTGTTGCGCGCTTCAGAGCAGGTGTTGTGCCCAGCATCCAGACGACTCTCGAGGTCCAATGTCGAACACCGTCACCAACACCAAGTCATCACTCGTTACCACCACCGAAGGAGATTTCCAATGTCGAACAAGTTCTCAATCTATTTAGGGACTACTTCGATACATCTTTCACCAATGGAGCATGGAACCATGAATATAACGGCGACTGTGTCAGCCTAAAGCCGGGTGATCGAAGCGTTGAGCTGTTTGAACGTGTCGTCGCCAGCTTTGGTCTTGTCAACAGGTCAATGATGAGAAAGGACGAGATCTCAATAAGCACTCTCCTCACTCCAGCATTCGAGTCACTCAAGGAGATAATCGCCTCCGAGAGCCCAGTTTTCGCTGTACGCACAGCTTTCCTCTTGTGGTATCTCCATCGATTTCACAAGGAAGACCTTCTTCACATTGTCATGAACTACCTCGCTGGCTTAGTACCTATTGTACTGGGTCATGATCACCCGATGACACGAATCTGGAAAATTATTGGGTCTCAGGACTTCTCCGATCATTACGAACTCTCCACACGACTCTACTCTTCTCTCGTACCTCTCTTTGAGGAGCGAATTGGATTCGCCAATTCCCTAACCACAATTTTATACTGCGACCACATCGATTGTCTTGTCCATCATGGTCAAACAGCAGAGTCACTCAGTGTCGCTACACAATACAGAACCCGGGCAGAAGCCACACAATTACGACATCCTTGGCTCCGCGAACTTGCAATCTTACAAACAGGCATCATGTGCAATGCGAAAACAGCCGAGGGGAAAATCGAAGAGGCAATGCAGTGTCTTCAAACGCTAAAAGATTGGGACCTGAACGAAGAACAACAAGCCGGTATGAACATTCAACTAGGCAACTACAGCTATCAAATGGGTGACTTCTCCTTGGCAATTGACTGCTTCCGTGAAGCGTCACGCCTCATAACCGCCAGCCAAGGCGACGAGAGGATCCACCTCACATGTCTCGCAAACCTTGAGTCTGCACTGCGCAAGAGCGGAGAGGCTGACGAGGCAGCCCAAGTGCATGAGCTACGACTCACACGGCTATCAGAATTTGCCAGGGAGACAGGCACCTTTGCAAATCTGCCTGAATCCTGCGCTGCGGCCGTGAGTCCGGGCGATAGTTACAGCTGGGACGCTCAGCAAGTGTCTGATTGGCACTGGAGTGAGGATGGGCACGGTAGTGCGATGCCTACCTTGGGATTGACATGATGCCTGCAGCATCTGCTTACTGAATTGTGTTCCAAGATACAGGGGGGTACTATACGATGTGGAATATGGCGCTGTTTGTATATATTGAGCGAGGATTTTGGGGGTTTAACGCTTTACGACTTAACATTTTATTACGACGAAGACACCATTAGGCATGAATTCAAGAGACACAGAGGAAAATCTCTGCTTGTACTGAAATACAGATGATTGAAAGAAGGATCAGACTAGAAGACTAGCTGGTGGGCATCTTTGACGAAAGCGGTATCATTTTTCGAGGCCACGACTGGCGACCTCCCGGGGCTGTGTACATCGGTTTAGTTGAGGCGGGACCTTATCATGGATCTTCAAAGACTTGATCCACCTTATAAAAGCTTATTTTATTGTTCTTGACTCTGTCTTTCATGATGTTGACTACTCAAGTGTAAAGTGACATCGTGATGTTTTGCGTTGGGGATACGGTCTTGCATTGCAACGAGGCAACAACCTCAACTGTGTGATCAATGAAGCCAGCCTGTCTTGAATAAAAGACCCCTGCATTAGCGGCCGATTAATATTGCTCTTGGGTGCGTTGTTGAGTTCGTTGTGGAATAGGAGGGTTGGGTTGCATACTTGCAGTCTTCATGGGGATGCTTGACGAACAATGCAGGCAGAAAACAAGGCAATGGAGATAGTAGTGAGCTATCATGGCAGTTTATCGGTATACCATACAAGTTTAACAGCGATCTTTTTCCAGACCATTGGCTCTGTTCAGTAGCACCTGGACAGTAACAACATGCAGGAGAAGTCTATATGCCAGGAACCATTACCCTCGTTGTCTCCTAGAACTACCTCAAGGAAGACAGAAGCTGTGGTGTCTCTGTTAACGGATAGGAGCTTTCACAGTACTCTATTAAACATGAGTATTCCAGGACAATAATAAGAAAAGGCCGTGATAGAAGCGGCTGGCCTAGTCTATAAGATTTCTTTGCAATAATTTTGTCATCAACAGTTCAACCATCACATCCGGTATGGTGTAGTGGCTAACATTTCGCGCTCTCATAAACTGAGGGACTAGCACCGCGGAGCCCAGGGTTCGATTCCCTGTACCGGAGTTTCTCTTTTTGCATTTCTTGTAAACGATGCATGATACTCTTTTTGCATCCAATTGACCTACCAAGGAAGTGATTATTGTTGGCGGGATGAATAAAACAAGTCTGGATAAGAGTTAATTAATACTATTTATATTTTAAAGGAGGTATTAATATTAATTATTAATCCTACCTGACCTATAATTATAAGGAGGTATATATAGTCTCTGCTACATTTAAATAATATAATCCCTTCAAGCCTAGATCTTGTGATTTGGCTTTTATGTTTTAAACAGAGGTGCCTCACACGCCTGTCCTTGCCTAGATCTTTGGTATCTTGTTTAGTAGGACATCTTAGGCCGTATGCGAAAGTCAGACATTTGTAAGTGCAGTGCAGCAGTGTCTAAGAGGGTATGTAATGAGTGTTATCTTTATGGAATGTCGCCCAGCAAAAACAGTTCTGGGAAACGGTTTCCCTGGCTGGGTACCTCCAACTCACGATAAATGCTGACGTACAGTACCAAGTTCAACAAACAGATATGTGAGTGGCATCGTCCTCTGACGATTGGACACAGAGTGCTTCCAAATTGACCTAAAGCAGTATCCGTAACAACAAAAGGTCTATCCGAAAACGTATTGAGCCTTTTCAGAAGGATACCACGGTGTTTCAGCGCCTGGTATAATTTGTCATTACGATGGTCTGTAGAATTAGAGTGTCGCCGCAAGTAAGCCAATAATGTCAGCGGATGGGCCATGTGGTCGAGGCAGAGGATCACATCAAAGGGCAACGACTTTCGGAGGCGTGAAAGAAACTCGAACCGAAAAATGATGGATGTGTGCTCGGTGACGCAAGTGGTCCGAAAGGATCTCCAGCACGGCGCGGCATTCAAGTATGTTCGTTCATGATGCAATCAAGGACTTACTCATTTGAGACGCTTCCTTGGGTGACATCGAAGGCTTTGTTGGCCAGAGTGCACCAAGACTTAGCAAAGCGAACATTGCGTGGAGCTTACTCACGGTGAGTGAGGTGAGGGTAGTACTTTACGGACGCCGAAGGACCCGGAGGGTTTCGGCAGTCGAGAGTGGAGGTCCGGAGCGGAGGGATCGGGCGATGACATAGAAGAGCGGTGCATGTGACGACTCATGAAGTTACAATTATCGACGTCATGATAAAGCAAAAAGTGACAAGGGGTGAGGGGACCAGTTTGCAATGGAATCAAGGGACGATCGCAGAAATGCGTAGGAATGGAGCGGGTGGGCGATTATAGGGCTCTTAGTGGCCGCCTTGGTGGGCTCTCTGCAGCGGCAGTGGGATAGGGCGGCGTGGCAGCGGGGATTGAGAGTGGAGAGAGTTGGAGAGCTTCCAGAGAGAGCCCAGAGAGTGTTTGTATGAGGGAGAGTTTAATGCTTGCCTGTTGATGAAATGTTTGCCTGATACCAGCGTCAATGCAAGAGCAAAAGGATCCAATGCAAGTAATGCATAACCGAAAGGTGATACACATAAATCGAAGCCGGCGTTATTTTGTCACTATCGTTACTGCGCGACCATCTGTGTTTCGCTTGTGTGAATCCTGGTTCCCTCTCTCGGGATGCCACAAAGAGACAGCAAAGGTCGAGGAAATATGGGGCAATGCATGCAGGTGTAACGAAGCAACACAGCGCCAAACGTTACTTTGCAGATGAACCCCTGTAAGTTAAGTGCAAAGTACTGAAGTGTCCTGTATCAGTATCAAATGTTCTGTAATTTGCGTCTGGCCTCTGTCTCAACTAAGTCAATCAGTTAGTTCCCTATCAGATCTGAGCTTGCCTCTTGGAAAAGTTAGATTTGTTTGGTAAACTTAATTGCCCAACTTTATTGAATTACCGTAATTCATCCCCTCGTATAGTCTTTGCTAATTAGTGGAAATAATCACAGAATAATTAGAATACGGAATAATTAATATTGAGGTTCGTGTTATAGTCGTGTAGTCTGTCAGCTGTCAACGCTTGTGCTTGGGCATTCGGCTTATTTGTTGGGTGGTGGTATCTAAGATGTCGTAACGTTAATATCATCAACCTCCACACCAATTTCATGAATCATCCATTCATTCCCCATTCTAACACGGGCTGCGTGTCCTTTTTGACCTTCTGTTTCCACCGGATCTTTTTTTTCTGATCTACAATCAATCTGCATCTTCAATTGAGGGAAATCTTTGACCCTAGGACAAAATCTTCTCCCAGGAAATTACAAGTCCATGCACTCCCGGCTCAGCTCAGCGTGACCTGAATTTCACCACGCCACGCCCAACAACATACCATATCCGTAAAAGTGACCGTATTGCAATATTTGACGTTCCTGCACGAGACCAATTGTCCTGGTTCCCCAGCTCTCGAGTCCGTCTTGGCCACTGCTACAGCTACAGTTACCGTTGCCGCATACTTAGGTAGCTGTAGCTCCCTGTACCTCATTAAAGGCGCCGTCACCTCAATTGACACCATCGCCTGCACAACATCAACGAACGTCCACGACTTAGCAAAACAAAGTTTACCTGGATCTGATTCAACGCAAACCTAACTTAATCCCAACCTCGAACCCCTCCTTTTCATCCCGTCTCCAAGCAGAGAGCAGCTCTAGCGATAAGGATTCCATCGTGGCCAAGTAGCTTTGGAAGCGCTCAACGCTGCAGGGGTACCTAAAGCTACTATCAACTTATCACTGTAACGGCCCCAGTTTTCCTCACCCGCCGCCAAAGCTTTGAGCAGAGCCAAGTGGATGAAGTCCCGCGGTGATTAACAAGGTCAGTTCATCTCAAGGAAGTAGAACTCCTTTCCATTTAGGAAGAGAGATATAAGGGGAAGCGGATTGATTCCGAAAGCGAGTCCAAACGCAAATGGTCGAGAGAAGAACAGAAGACGACACAGCGAGACGAGTTCAGACGGAAGGAGTCACAGAGACGGGACAAACGAGAGACAGGAAGGACCCGCTCCGATCCCCGGTTCCCAATCTCTGGTGCTAGCACCTGCACTTGTGCTAGGCTAGTCCTTGAAGCTAGTGGCAGTCACGCCCTCCAAGTGCGGTGCCCCTCGGAGCGCAAAAAGACCCAAGACATCAGATTAGGAGGCTAAAATAATCAGGTAAGGCAGTCATGAACACCTCCTAGTTTATCACAGACGTTGCCTGAATATTTCTGTCGCCCATGATCAGCTCTTTCAGTTTTCTGACATCCCTTCCCTTAGGGAGCCTGTCTTTGCTTCTCACAGTTCAGAGGTCAAAGGCCTTACCTTCCATGCTACTGCTGCTGTGCTGTGCTGGACCCACGAACGATCAACCACCCAAATCTTGGCTGTTCACGTCGATCTTGACTCCTTTGACTCCTCCTCTTCTTTCTTTTCTGTTCTTCTCTTTCTCTTGTTCTCGCTCTGTTTGAGCGGCACTGTCGACACATTCACCCTCCCTCCTCTGAACGACGATTCGAATCGCCTCTCATGTTCGCGTTATAGAAGAGCCTTTGGCCCATTTCTCCTCATCCTTCCGCCGTTCTCCTCGTCCTTATAAACAAACCCCTTGGACTCCTTCGACTCGATCAACGCTCCCTCAACCAGCATCGCCAAGCCCATTCCTTAGCACCGTGCTCCTTGACGCATTCGCATTCCCCCAGAGTTTACCTTGCGCCAAGGTACGTTCCTAAGGCCTTCAAGATCTCATAATTGCATTGCCTCTGAATATCAATACTCGTCACCCCACCTGGATTTCGGAATACAGCTACTTAGCCAATTCCCATTTTCGTACTCATCTCATTTGCAGCAGGCTGACAGCCAATTCAACAGTCTTGCGATCTAAATAAACGACGATTACTCGACTTTCCCCCTCCTTCAAATTCGCTAGACCTTAATCTGGTTCTAAGCGACTCCGACGACCCGACAGCGCGGAGCCATGAACACGCCCCACGCCCCCCGAACTGCGACGGCCCTGCCCCTCGACGACAACTCTCAAGACACAGGAAACAACTCTTTTAGAGGTCGTGATACCTCCCTTCGCTCAACTTCTCGTCCCATACCAGTTCCTGCACATACACCTTCTCGTGCTGGGGCCTCCCTTACACCAACTTCCCGTCGGCACGACCACGCCTACGCTACACTGTCCACCAGTCCCTTGTCGTCCTTCACGCTTCCTGATGTCTCTGTTACAACGCCGCCGCTTGCCCATTTCCGTGCGGATACAATAGCACCGACTTCCATACAAGAGGGCGAACTCCCGCCACCACAATCCAATACCCTGTCCATTGGATCACCGGCTATTCCAAGACGCTCCGTCAGTCCTGTGGGATCCTTGCGTATCTCAACTGACTTTGCTGCACGTCCCGTAACCCCAGACCGCCGCGAATCATTTAACAACAGCAACGGGAATGGCAGTGGTTCATCCCGTGGCTCGTTGACGTTGAACCACAGGGCTTCGTCCAACAGCCTTCATCCCATCTCCCGGACACCAAGTCTTAAAGCTGCCTTGACTAACAGTCTTGGTTCTGCCAGCGGCACAAGCAGTTTGGTGCCTAGTCCTATTATTTCTGCTATGGGGGATATGACGCCTCTTCCAAGCCCGCTCATGTCGGGTGATTCCCCAGGACCCTGGAAGAGGCTGAGCGCAGGTTCTGCGTCACCTCCCCAACAGCGCCTCAAAAGCGTAGGAGAGGGCTCTGTTCTGGTTACGAGTACAGGTGAATCGATTGATGCAGCACTTTCCAATGGTGCTAAACGTAAAATTTATTCAACCCTCGAGCCTGGCGACCATGTTCATACACAATCGCCTTCTAATCAGCAGCCACGACAGCATACGCGAAACCGAAGTGTGAGCGAATACGTTCCTGATCCTATGGGTATTCCTAAGAGACAAATATCCGTTTCAGCACGACCCAACGCCGAGGCTTCAGCACGGTCCCATGAACCCCAGCTTCGAAGAGAGCTTAACCTTGCAGAATCGCGAGGACTTACACCTTCGGTGGTTCAGCCACCAACTCCTCCACCCAGCGAGTCTTCGCGAGACTCTGCTGATGGCGCCAGTAAGCCCCAAGGACCCCGATTCGAATATTTCGAAGCAAATGGACGTAATGATAAGAAGCGTCGCCGATGGAGGGCCGTGCGAATGCTTGGTCAAGGAACCTTCAGTAGGGTCATGCTGGCTACAAGCCAGATTGAACCCGACGAAGACTCTCCCGAAGTTGACCATGGAAGACTAACACCAAAACCGGAACAGAGCCTTGACCGTAAGACTTTGGTTGCCGTCAAGGTCTGCGAGCATGGTCCAAAGGGCGGCGCGAGTGAGGAACGTGTTGAGATGAGTCTAAAACGTGAACTTGAAATCATGCTTTCCATCCACCATCCCTCGCTTGTCGACCTAAAAGCTTGGAGCATTGAGCCTACTCGGGCCATTCTTGTCTTGAGCTATTGCCCTGGAGGTGATATGTTTGATATCGCGACCACTCATCGTGGTGTGCTCAAGGAGCCTCTATTACGAAGGATATTTGCTGAACTGGTTGGTGCTGTGAGCTATCTCCACGAAAGGAGAATTGTTCATCGAGATATCAAACTCGAGAATGTCCTCGTCAACCTCACCCCTTCTGAGCTTGCAGACCCATCGATCGACTGGGCTACCTACCCTTACTCGGTGGTAATTCTGAGTGATCTGGGCCTTTCAAGACGCATCGCCGATGATGAGAAACTGGAAACTCGATGTGGATCAGAAGACTATGCAGCCCCTGAGGTCATCATGGGACAACCTTACGATGGACGAGCTACCGATGCTTGGTCACTCGGTGTTCTTTTGTATGCTCTTCTTGAGGCTCGACTTCCCTTCGATCCGCACCCAGGTATGAGTGAAGCGCATCGCATGCGCAGTCGCACTAGCCACCGTATCGCGAGAGTTGAATGGAAATGGGTAGAATACTACGGTGATGACACCGACCACGATGGCGACGAAGCCAAGTTCAAGCAAAAGGGTCTCCTCGGTGCTATGGAGATCACAGAAGGGTTGCTAAGGCGAGCCAGGGGTCGTTGGACCGTCGATAAGGTGGCCAAGACCCCCTGGGTTCAGGGCGCCATCAATGTCGAAGGCGGAATACGTTTCCGCGAAGAGAAGGACGGCGAGGAAGTTTCCTGACATTCACTTGTGCGACTCTAAAGTCACTGAAAGTATCCTGACTTCTTTCAACTTGGACCAGAGGTCTGTTCTCAAATATTGCCCACAACCAACTCGATGATTTTTGAAATCATCGGTTGCGCTGCTGCCAACACGCCGGCGGCTCCCTTACAACTACATTACAATCAATTGCGCGCCCCTTCTACGAATCTTTATACGACTACATGACGGGACAAAGGGGCACATGGGTAACGGATTGATCAAATCAGGAAGAATGACGGAAGGTGTTGTTTCATGGGTATTAGTATGATGCGGTTCGGTTGTGTATTTCTAGCATTTGTTTGTGTTTTGGCAATTTTTTTTTTTTGGCTGTCTTGGGTTCGGTTCAGTCTATCTTGACATCCTTTCTTGTTTTATTCTTCGATTACCCCCACTTTGTTTCTTCGTTTTTATATTAAACCATACCACTCGTAGGCTTTCAGGAGTAGAAAAAGGTTATACCAAAATGGATAGAAAGGTGTTTTTATACTCTATTATGTTCTTGTGCCTTGTGTGAAAAGCGACCTTCTCAATTGTGAGAAACTCTGCAACAAGAGAGTCTTCACTTGTTTTTACACGGATTAACTACTCAGCCTTGTGTCTAGAATAACATACAATTTGGTAACACTGGCTTGGCTTTTACGAGGCATTGAATATGGTGATGTTTTCCAGAGTACGACTTGAGGCAGTTGCTGCGTGAACCCCCCTCGCTCGTAGAATGCTGTTTGTTTTTGCTCTGTTGCGCCGCAACAACTGTTGTCGTATTGAAAAGCCATTTGTCGTATTCTTATCAACACCGTCTGATTCCATCGTCATGATTCTGTTGCAAGAATGCCTTCATAAGGTATACAAACAACATTCTATTATCTTCCCCATTTTGCAAAAAGAACAATAGCTTCGGAAAATGACTGGTTGACTTGTCTTCCCCATAGACATGTCTACCCTCTTCCATGCTTTCAAAAGTGCTGTGACGATCCCCTCATCCAGGGACATGTTTATTTATCTTCTTTACAACCTACTCTTCATTTACAGGCAAAATATGACAACGGTCGACGTTGATAGAGTTACCGGCCCGTTTGTTGTTTGTTGCAAAGGTTGATTTGACTCAAGGTTTGACTGCACATCGTATCCCAGGTCGTAATGCCACTGATGGCTTTGGGTTGACGCCTTGGATTCCCGTGACAAAAATATGCTTATATTGACGTCTAACTCCGGTTCGGGGGGGGTTGTTCCCCCCCGTTGATGACTGACCAGTCGCTTAACACAAGGTCACATTTGTCTTATCAGCTTCAACCCCTCTGTATCAGCTCAGAGATCTGCAAAGCCTGGCCATTGATCTGGCTATTTTTATCTGCTGGGGGCAACTGACAACGAACCATGAAGTCATGAGTCGACTCAATCTACCAGGAGCCGTCCAATGAACACACAGTTCAATATCAGCACGAGAACTCAGCTCCCCTTTGCTGCCTTGAATTTCCCCCCTTATCACTGTCCTTCGAAAGGAAGAAAAGAAGGACGGATGGAACACGTAGGGGGCACATCAAGCAGGCTAGCTGTAGAGGTTGTCAGACATGATGCCGCATCCAGCGATATGCACCGGCTGGGCCGTAGACTATGTCTCGGAGCATTTAGCTAGAGACGCGGCGGATGCGGACCAGATTACCGTGTACAATGTGGCTTGACCCTACTGCTGATCTCAGCCTTGGCAGCGGCTTGCTCTTCATCAATCTGCTTCAATTGGACCCCTGAGAAAGACACCGTAAATCTCGTATGGCATCATGGCATCTGGAGTGATATTATGGAGTACACTGTAGTGAGTGCTTTCAGGGACCTGATGACGAGCTTACTGGATCGTGCGAGATGGAGTTGCGGCATGATCTCCATCATTCAATGGGAGCAGGGGACAGGGGGTGCCGGCATCGAGCAAAGCACATGCAAGGCGAGGCGAGGCAAGCATGGGTTTGACTATGCTGTCTTGGGTTATATCCCCAGGACACTCGGGCACAAAACAGACGCTATCATAGCAACCTGAATTACAGACAAAGACTTGTTCTTCTGATGAGTTGCATTGACGGTCATATCCGTGGGATATTTGAAAGAGTATTGCATAGAATAACAAGCGACTCGTTATCTTTGAACGACACACATCAGTTCTTCGAGATAACTCGGCCGCTCTCTCGGCCGAGTCCATTTCGACTTATGGGAGCCGTTGCCGGACCAGGGGCTGTGTGGCATGTCATGGCTCCAGCCAACATGGAACGTTCCATTTTCAGCTCATTCAGACACCCTCTCGTAAAAGCGAACATCAATCACAGCTGGCCAAATGATTTCTCTCTGAACTTTGCAGTCGTCAAATCATTCAAGAAAGCAAGACTTTCAAGGTTGATCTTGCGTTATTCGGGTTCAGTAAGGCGACGTTAGTCCTCTTCAAAACGATCGGAATTTCCTTCTCTTCGGAACAAATTACGGGAAAACGAAACTTAAGACAACGGCGCCATGTGGACGACAGGAAGCCTTGAAGGCTCATTTGTAGGCTATCGGCGGGAGCCGGCTTGGCTACAGAGCCAGTAAGAAGCACGGTTCTCGCTCCCCCACAACATTGTATCTTCCCTCAATTTGCAAGATAACCACTGTCCTAGGGCAGTCTCCTCATTTGATTGGAGCAGACTGATTGAAGATCGATAGAGCTCCGTCGCGTCGAGATACTGAGCTTCGCAGCAGAGCCTGTGTCTCGGTACCCTGATTCGCGCTCAAGCCGCAATCCTTCCAGGGTGACAACGCCTGGGAAACTTCGTCACTAGCCACTCAGACCAACTCACGGTGTGGCCTCAGAAACAGCAGGTCAAACAGACAGTGGCGTGCGCCACGGCCGAAGCGATCGGACGGCCAGTAGAGTTTCCAAGTTCAAGTCCAAGTCCCAGGCTTCTCCGAAACCATTCCAATTTCTTCTTGTCCACCGAATTTGCCGTGCCGATCCTGTTGTCACTCTTGCAGCACCTGACAATATCAGGGGAATAGAGCCGCGTCTTGTCTCTCGTGGTGCCTTCGATCCAGCTGAACCGAGAGAGAAAACCAAGATAACGAAGCCTTCTGGAATATCTCAGAACTCAATATTCTCAGAGCATAGACACAGGATAACACGCTGGAATGCTCATCCCCTCGGCAGATTTCCCTGTCGGTACGAGCCCCCAGAGCCGTATCGAGTCAATATGATTGGTGCTTCTAGGTTAGGGTGGTGTCTCCGTCTTGTCCACCTTCTGTTTTTGGCAGTATGGTCGCATGCTCTCACACGCGCACCCCTGAAAGCTTTCATCTCACTGGTTGAGTATCATCGACCCCAGGGATGGCGTTGTCTTTCTAGTGCAGCCTTATCGGCCCTTCTCTCTCTGTGGTGCTGAATCTCAAATTCATAATTCGTCCTCTTGAGGTCGTTCTCTTAGTATCGCCTCTGCACAGCCCGTCAACTCGAGTCGTTGGCATTGAGAGTCATTGTTCCTGTGTTTTAACTGTGCCTGAATAATTTTGACCGCGTTTGGTTTTAACCATAAACCCTCGGAACTGCTGAACCGAGGATATGTCTGCTTCCCTCTTATCTCCCTCAAAGAGCCCACTCCAGCCTCCTCTAGACAACATATTGGGTTGCCTTTCTGGGAAACTTTGGCGAGGGAACTTTTGCTGGCGCTCTCTCACGCGCATTACTTGGCGTTCTGGCCGTGGACGCTCCCCGTCTTTTTTCTGGCTCCCATTGCGTTGATGGTCCTATCACAGCACCGCCCATATCTTGTCTAGCTGCTGCGTCAAGTCTGGGGAACGATAACGTTAGCAAGCCCTGGCCGTTGCTTTGGTGCGACTCACTGCACTGTCCTACAGGCGGCAGACACCCCAGTCCTGGTAGTGTCCGCTGGGTTGTCTTGGTCTGGTTCTGCTCTGCTCTTGCCTGTACCGTCCGTTCGAGCGCTCTTCCTTATTATTATACGTACCGATAGTCATGGGCGTTTCTGCCCGCCTATTCATCCTCCCGTTCTTGAACCTCCATCTGAGCTCTCCCGCTCGCCACATTGACGAGTGATGAATTCTCGCATTGGCGACTGAGGACACAGCCGAGGCCTTCGACTCGCCTCAGTCCGTCATTGACTGCCTTTCAGCTAGCAGACCGGGCCTCTCACGTCCGGCCTGGGCATCACCGGCGACATGTTTAACCATTCAGCAGGCGGGCCTCGCCCTTCCGACAACAATGAGGATCCGTCGTATGGTTTCGCCGACCAAGGCTGGCACAGGTTCACCATGAACAATAACAACACAAATAGTTTCTCGGCGGGAAATTCGCAATCATATCACGATGCTGGCGCATCCTATGGCGACTCATCCGGTATGGATTGGGCGCCAACTCCGTCGGCAGAATATGACATGCGATTCGATCAACACGACCACATGTCTCAAGATGTCGAACTCGATAACATGAGCTCTTCGCATGGTGGGGGAGGTGGCGTTGGACGTCTGGTTGCGCATTTCGAGAACAAATCCTTTGCGCCCCCTCTACCTCCAAGACCATCGAACGTCGTAACAAGCCCAGTACATCAAGAACCTCCCGTTTCCTCGCCGTTCGGAAACTTCAGTGTCACCTCGCCTATCGTTACAAGTCCGCTCGCCAGTCCTGCAGAGCCCAACTATGGACTCTTGAGTGGCCATACAAGAGTCACCAGTCCGATCGTTAGCCCGCCTCCCGCCCTCGCTTTTGGCGGATTTCATGATATACCAGTCCACAGTCCAGGTGTTGGTTCGTCGTCCGGTCCTTTCGGAAATATGAACAGTTTTATGGTCAACAACAATAGAGTGACGACCCCGATGGAGACAGCATCCATGGCTGGGCCTTCAATGATGCCAAATTCTGGCATGAACGCCAAACTCACCTCACCCGATTCAGTTACCCCAGGTGTGCCAGGTACACCTGGATTTGCCATATGGCGACCACCCGTACCAACGACTTCTAAGCCCTCCTTGGATCAACCACAAGGCAGCAGTACTTCCTCAAATTCTGGTTATTTCGCAAAACCTCCGATCCCCTCTACACCTAAACCCGTGATGAACGCCGGAAGCCAGCTGGTTTTGGATTTCAATACCAATTCCACCTTCAATGCTAAAGGCAAGGCCCCAGCGAAGCCGCCTGTCAAACCACCCAGGCCCGTTCGACAACCCTCCCGATCATCAATGTCCACACCTGGACCTTTTAGCCCTCCTATTAAACGTGAACCCTCCACACCACAACTTTCTCAAGCCTCTGCCTCCTCTATGTTGCCTCCGGTATGTTTCGTGAAAATGTAGAGCGAGGGGACAGATTGCTAACTCTTCTCAGAATGAACGAAGAACTTCCGTATCTCAACGATCTCAAGTAGGAAGCCGTCCTTCAAGAGAACAGGTCCCGGCTGAGGCATGGGAATCCTTCAAGCACACAATTCGTAAACTGTATCTTGAGGAAAGGAAACCACTCAAAGAGGTCATGTCTGTCATGGCCGACCAGTATGGCTTCCAGGCAACGTAAGTCCCTATTCGTCACCCACTGAGTGCCATAGCTCATCCTTTGTAGACCAAAAATGTACAAGACTCGATTCTCGCAATGGGGTTTTGTGAAGAATAATACCGAGGAGGAAGTCAAGCGCCTGCTGTCCATGAAATTCCAGCGCGACGCCGAGGGCAAGGTGTCCGAATTCGTTCGTAACGGCAAGGTTGTTAACCTGGGTACCTACTTGAAGAGAAAGGGTGTTACCGAGTATGACTTGGTGGATTTCGAACTACCTGCCGATTTGCCGGCACACATCAGATGCAGAACACCAACTCCGCCTCCAGCACCAGGGTATCTTCAATCACCAGATCTCCTCCGGGCTCAAGAAATCATCATCAGCAACATGAGAAAAGCGTTCTTACAATGTCGGCAATTCGAAGTCGAGACGGACGCCCAAGTTGGATGGCAAACTATCATGGTGTGGGGAGCGGGCTCAAGTGACCTTCTTCTCGAGGCTAACCACTATTTCGAGATGAAGGACCACGATCAGGGTGGTCATTTTCTGATGAAGGCTTTCCAACAGCTTGAATCAGATCTGAAGAAGCTGTCTCCTCAGGGCATCAAGGAGTTGCTTTTGGGCATGGTCCATCGCGATCCAGGAATGATGACGGCACTCTGCAAGTATTTAGCGGCTTACTCGACGACCAACTTCGAGAGGTCACATCCCCTACGGCAGATCTTCTCTTGCCTGTATGAGGTGCAACAGAAGCATGGACCAGGCACACTATCAGAACTGCTGTGGGGAAGCATTCCAACCATCGCTGAGGAGCTGGAGGCCATTTATGGCCGCAAGCATCCCTATGTGGCTCGAACATGGGTTGACCTGGCCATGTTTTATAACCATGTGAATCAGGAGCGACTCGAGAAATTGGTGGGAGAACTGCGACTACTGCAGCGACAAATGGAGCAAAGACTAGGCCCTGAAAGCGTCGATGTCCTCGTCCTGCGATATACAATTGTCCAGTTGATGTTCGCGGCGCACCCTCAATCTGATGCGACTAAGCAAGCAACGATCGACCTCTGGCACCATATGAGAGGCATGGGACTTCTATTCCCTATTCGTAGCCAGCAACCGAACATGTTCTGCTATCACAGTCCTGTCAAGGTCGATCCTTGGACGAAGCGCTGTCGGCGTCGATACGATTCTGGTGTTCAATTCCTCGAAGAACATGTCGGGGTTCGCGTTGTCGTGTACTTCGAGGAGGACTTCCATACCACGGAGCACGCACCAGAACATGTTCCTCATCAGCAGCATCAACGCCAGCACCAGCAGAGCTACCAATATCAGCATCGGCAGTCGCAGCAGCAGCAACGCCCACAACAGCTCCAAGCACAGGACTCGTGGGCGGCCGCGATGGAGCAGCACATGTCGAGCTCAAAATATTCGTTCATCTGAGCAGGATCTCAGATCGTTTATTGTTCTTTGTCCTGATGCGTAGTATCAGGATTCGACGTATGTAATTCGACGAAGCCGGTGTTTTCAACAAGTATTGGTGACGGAGGCGGCTTCAACGACTGCACGATATACTACACGTGTTGCCAGTATGTGTACATATCTTGGCACCGATAACTTTGGATTTGATCATGATCCCATTGATGAGTACACAGCCTGGAGTCTGGTACCGAGCAAGCATATATTTTCTTTGTGGGTTTTAACGTCTCATGGACCGGCGTTTATTCTTGGGGTTTTACGTTAGCCAGCACAGCACAGCAGGGTTCGGGGGAAGCGTGCTTGAACATTTTGGTTTTGGTTGATTATGATATGACATCCCCCATTGTATAATAGTAACTGACGCGCCGGGTATTGATGAGTCGAGATGAGGCTGGATGATGGCGGAGTTTGGGGAGTCTTCAAAATGACGGCGCTCTAAAGAGACGGGATGGCAGAGGTGTGCATTGAAAAGGCGCAAGGCAGGCGCGAAGGTTAGGAACCTAAGGTTGGAAGGAAGGAAAGGAAGGACATGAACAAACCCCTCCACAACGAGGGAAGGCGATACCCTGGGCCAAAATTACAAGTCGATACCTTGGTAGTGGAATCAGGTAATACAAATAGACATTTATCTACCTTACAAAACATATATATATATATATTGTACTTGCTTCCAACAACTGCTTTCGAAAACATTACTAGGTATTTATGCCGTCCTTCATCAGTTCTAAGGTTCAAATGGGCGCTGCAGCCATGATCCCTGCTACTTATCTCCGAGTTATCCCCGGCGCAAAACGAAAACCTCTAAAGATTCTCATCATGACAGCCTCTCCACCGCTCAAAGCACCATCATGCGCCTATCCCACCCTTCAGCCCTTGCGGGCCTCTCTTCTACCCCCTTGAAACGCTTCTACTCTCCATCGCGCACCATCCAAAGTAAGTCAATTCCCGCCTTTGCCCCCCGAAGTCTCATCATGGATGCTAACCCCACGGTCCTCCAGAAAATGACGTTCTCTTCCTGCGCCAACAGGGCATTAAAGCTCCCAAATGGCATCTTACGTCTCCTCTTCGCGCCGATACGAAAATAAGACTTGGTTATGGTGCCTCTATTAATTCGTCCGAGCTCATTGGTCGCCAGGTGCTTGATGTTCTGAATGATAGCTCGGGACGTCCTGTCACTCTTCACGAGCCGACCTTGGCTTCATACATCATTAACAGCCCGCGACAGGCCACACCGGTACGATACAGTGCCAATTGAACTCAATCGCTATTACTAATATGGAATTGGCTCTTAGATATATCCCCATCATGCGAATACCATCGTGTCGCTCCTCGATTTAAACCTTTCCCGGCCTGGTGAAGAAGAACACGACGCAGATCTCAATCATCCAACCCAGCCGTTTGAGATATTTGAGGCTGGTACTGGAATGGGGAGCTTGACGCTACACCTCGCTCGTGCTCTTCATGCAGCAAATCCAGCTGTACCTCCTAGCCTGCGAAACACCCTCTGCACGGCACGCTACAGGACCGACGGTTTTGGTCTCGATCTCGCCGAAGAGGACCAGGCTGCCCTCGACTCTTACCGGTCCAGTCGTCGCGCCGTGTTACATACCCTTGACCGGAACATTAAACACTCTCGCGCAGCACATAAACTGATTCGCCACTTCCGCCGCTCTTTGTACTTCCCTACTATAGACTTCCATGTCGGCTCCATAGACGAGTATATCTCATCCCGCCTGGCTGAGACGGATAACCAGCCTTTCCTGTCACATGCAATCCTTGACCTTCCTTCCGCTCACGACCATGCTACTCAAGTTATTCAGGCCCTCCACCCCAACGGCCTTCTTGTCATCTTCACACCCTCTATTAGCCAAATCGCCGACTTCCAAACTTGGGTTGCTCGCACAGGCCAGCCCATGCGCCCTGAGAGGGTTATTGAGCTTGAGGTTTCGACCACGGCTGACGGTGTTCTTGATACTGGTGGCGGCAAGGAGTGGGATGTCAAAACCGTTATTCCTAGAGAAAACCCTGAAGGCGCTGCAGTGCAGGTGATGCGACCCAAGGTGGGTGAGCGAGTCACCGGTGGTGGGTTTGTAGCTGTTCTCAGGCGATGGCCTGTTGGCCAGATACGCTCGCAAGTTGAGTCCTCTACACAGGAGAGTTCTTCTGAAGTTGAGTGTGAATTTGAGGATAAGGGAGCTTCTGAAGCTGAGGGCAACCCAGAAGTTGAAGAAACTACTCAAGCTGAGGGCACGGCGGAGAATGAGCCAACGAAAACTGAATGATGTTCATGAATCTTGTACAACACAATCTGTATAGTAGACTTTTAGACCTATAGAGTCTAGACATGTATAAAGCAAACAATAGACGAAGCAACGAATGTAATCAGAGTGGAAGAACAGTAATGCCGCTTGCTATCTCGTTCTGGCTCCCCAAAGCATGAATGGGTATCTCTATGCAACATGCTCAAATATCAAGTCGTATCTCCTCCTCACATTCAATCATCAAGATTTCATAATCATTCCTATTCCGTCTTTCTTTTTTTCCCCAATCCTATGCACTCCATTTCCAAATTCTGCGGAGTGCAATGTCCAGCATTTCCCCCATATTAAGAACCCCCCCCAAAAAAAAAATGGCCCTTAGCTTGAAATACCAGTGCATCCAGTGCGTGGTCTAACCCGACCTGCGGCACCGAAGATTAATCAAACAAGTAAAAGAGAACTTATGCCTCTGTTGCAGAGGAACGAAATGAAATAAAGATTGTTTTCCGTGGTTCAATCTTGTGGTATAGCCTCTTTTTCTGAGGAATGGGCTTGCGCCGCATGGAATCTTCCAACCTGTAATGCTTTCCAATTAAACTTGCGTATCTTGCGCAATGTTGTGACCGATAAGGAAAAGTAGAGGAAGAAAATAATGTGTTGTGTTGAGTGCTTAGACACTGGTGATGCGCTCAAGAGGAGCCCGAGCGCAGCAGACCATAAGCTTCAGGCTTGTACCGAGCTCTTCAGACTCAGAGAGCAGAGACTTATCGCTCCAGATGCTCTTTCCAGAGGGGTTCTCAGCTGCATTTTCGTAGCATCGTGTGTACCACCATCGGCCAACGCGGCTGACCATCTTGGTGATGCCCTCATCCGCCAGGGGGCTGTTGTCGCTCATCATCTCGGATAGACTCGGCGGGTCCTTCTTCTTCTCAGCAGTAGCCTTACCCTTGTCAGCCTTGCTGTCTGAGCGAGTGACCGAACTCGCGACAGGCACACCCACTCGTGCTGCCTTGATAGTAGTGAAACCAACCTTGCCCAGAAGACGAACAATGAGATCCGCGGTTGATCCAAGACTAGTATCAGGCGTCTTCTCATTGATCCTCTCTTTGAGACGGCGGACTGTACGTCGGCCCCGGTTGCCCATGTTGTTCAGGTCGACATCGAGAATAGAGAGCTCGATGAAACCTCCTGGCTTCAGTACACGCCGAGCTTCAGTGAGGATGCTGCGGTAGTATGCTTCAGGAGCTGCGACAGGGAAGCGGTACACAACAGCTGTAAAGCTCTGAGGGGCAAATGGGAACTTGTCGAGGTGAGAGACGTATTGGATCTGATGGTGATTTGGAGGGCTGAGAGGGAAGCTTGAAGACGAACTCTTGAGTTCTTCTGGAAGAGGAGCGCGAGGAGACAGGTTGAAGAAGGTAGCAGCCGGGTATGTTTCGGCAGCGTAGAATGACCAGTCATCGTTACCAAGGCCATCAATTACAAGGATTGAGTGCCTCTTCAGTGATCCCTCAACAGGAACCAGTTCATGGCGAACGTCACTGAAGAGAACATGCCCGAAGGTGAGCCACTTGCTCACCGTCATTGAACCAACCCTGAGGTTGACTTGTGCGAGTGGTGACCCATCCTCCGAAGAGGAGCTGGCATCAGATCGTCTCGTCTTGCGGGAAGAACGACTGCTTCGTCGAGATACCTCACCAGTTGCAGGCGCCTCAGTGTTGGTGTTGCGGTCTTCATATCCCGAAACAAACTTGGAGACTGAGAAGGGAGTGCTGGGGCTTGGGTGAGGTTGGAAAGCCGCTCGAAGGCGTTCAGTCATATCAGCGCTGCAAGTGCTGGAGATGGTTGTTGCCTTGGATTGTCGGCTTGCTTTCTTATCGAAGACAATCGTCGGCGACTCCAAGGGCTTCTCCTTGCTAGCCAGTTTCGACTCGTAAGTCTCAAGATGGAACGGTGTACCTCGTGAAGAAGTTGCCGAGGGAAGTGCTTTGCCAGCATCTTCTCCAAGGAGATCATCATACTCATCCCACACCTCATCTTCTGCGGGGGGGTCATAAGGCTGTGGGATCACGGCAGTAGAGCCAGAGAAAGCAAGAATACCAGAACAGCTTGAGCTAGATGTACCAATGGTTCCCTCGGAATCCTTGCGAGGCGAAAACGCCAAGAACTCCTTTTCAACTCGGCTCAAAGCAGGAGGGTTGGAGTCTCTTGATGAGAGGTTGTTGGTGCTTCCTGCTGTTGAACCATCGGTAGTCAGATCAGGAACAGGAGTCGAAGGCCTGGAAGGTGAGGGACCTTTGGCAATTGACTCAGGATCATAGACCTCAAGGTTTTCAGGTGCCAACTGCATGCTAGCTCTGAAAGGCCTAGAAAAGCTCATAGGTGACACATGTTCAGTACGGTTACTCACAACCTTGGGGATTCTTCCGACTTGAGGAAGTCGGCTTCGTCGACCAGCAGTGGTGCTTGTTGACGGAGGCTGTAGAGTAGGCTTCTTGGACATCAAAGTCTGCTGGGGTACAGGCAGCCGAGGCTTGGTCTTCATCTCGATGCTCTCCCGCCTTGGGGGTTGAGCTGGCTCTGCAGGCCGTACCGGAGAGTTGGTTGACGATCGCATCTCTGGTGTGCCTTGCGGAAGCTCGGGAGTACCACCAACACTAGGTGATTTTCCGTAAACCTCGGCAAACCTCAAGACATCTTGAATGTCCATCGGCTCGCTGTCCTCTTGTTCTGACGAATCCATCATGGCATAAAAGGCAAGGGGCTTCTTCTCCACTGGTTTGACAGTGGCAGAGACCTTCTCGCTCTGCTTAGGCTGCTGGGTCTGGGTTGACCTTCCAAACAAGTTCCACTTTCGAGGAGATCGCGGCCTCTTGACAAGCTTCTTGGGCGCAGGGTGTGAAGACTTGGCCTCGTGAGAAATCTCCCGTTGCAGTTCGAAGTGGGACTCATCAGACATGACACTGGTATCAAAGCTTGTCATGGGCGACGATGCATAACCTGACGTGTTGATAGGCTGAGGCAGCTTCAGGGGGTCATCCGGCGAAGATCGGAGACGATGGACAGATCTTCGGAAAGCCAAAGTCGACTTCATTGTAGGGCCTTCAGAATCGCTGCTCTCGGATGGACGGCGAGCACCAAAGGCTGGGTGTGGAGTGCGTGACATGGGCGACGGCCACAAAGTGTTTCGAGGCTGATCTTGAGAAGTTGCCAATGACTGCGAGCTTCCGAACCTCGACTCTTCGGTCGCCAAGCTTTGGGAGCTTACACTCCGAGAGATTTCAGAGCTTGCATTTCTATTCTCGATAATCGCACCTCCAGCGATGACCACTGGGTTGACCCGATCTGCAAAGAAGGAATCGTTGCTAGAACGGGGTTCCTGAGTTGTCTGACTACCAGGAGAATTGCGTGTCATGTTGCTGATACTGCCACTGCGTCTCTTGGAAGCACCAATGCGTCCATAACCTTCATGGCCTGTGCCAGCTACAGGACCCTTGCGAAGAATCTTCTTTTCCTTCTCATTCTTCTCGGCTAGTGTTCCGTTGGCGTGCTTCTTACGACTAAAGAACGGGAAGCGTGAGAATGAAGAGGTTGCCACATTAGGACTCGGTGTGCTTGTCATTCGAGGTGGCTCGAGGCCCTTGCCCTTCTTCGATTCGGCTGTTGCCTTGGCTGCCGGCTGAGCGTACAATTCGCCTTTGATGGGGAGCTGTGAAGTCGATGCTGTTCGACCTCCATGAGTGTACTGTGGCTTCGGGGGCGACAAAGCTGCTGTAGCAGCAGATTCGCTTCCTCTTCTTTCGGTTGTTGGGAGGGATTGAGTGGAAAGATTGCTGTGAATGACTGGCATGGGGTTGAACAGTTGAGATTGCATGTCGGGGGTGCCATCTCTGCTGGGTCGTGAAGGGGGCACGGCTCTTGGGGAGGCGGAGGATTGGGCACTTCTCTCAGGGGAAGGGGATCGCAAAACAGGTCTTGATACCTTGCGCACCGACTTGGGCGACGATGTCTCCTCACGAAAGTACTGCGATGATTTCCGTGGTGGAGGACTGGGTGGTGGAGGAGGCAGGTTCTTGGTCTTCTTCTTGATGGTAGCTTCTCGAACAGTAGAGTTCGACGAGGATGAAGTCAGGGACTCTCTAACAGCTGCGAGGCCATGAGGATCAACGGTGATGGCATCAACTTCGTTAGGGAAACTTCCACCAGCTCTTCGTGTCACAGGAGGTCTGTTGAGGATGGGGCTTTGTAGTCGGTTCTTGTTCTGGGTGCGAAGAGGTGCAACAAGACCAGGGGACTGAGAAGCAATTGAGGTTGGAGTGGTGTCGCGACTATACGATCCTGGTCCAGGTGACTCGGAGAACCTAGTAGATGGGCTTCCACTAGTTCCGGAGAACAGTAGGCTGGCTGGAGTTGGAGGTGGAAGATCGTGTGTCGCTAACCGGAACGGAACCTCGATGCGGTTATCCGAGCTGTCAGAAGGACGTCGAATGTTGCGATAGCGGTCCAGTTCTGGGTAGATCACTGGTGATTTGGAAGGTTTCTTTACCTCTACAACCTCAGCAATTTGAATCTCGGCAGGACTGCTGGTAAGTTCTCTATCCAGATGGAAGCCGAAAGCAGGGTCGAGTGAGCCTTGGCGCTTATGCTGGGACGAAGAAGAAGAGTCTGTCCGAGATGAGCCGGTCCGTGTCGTCTTGACATCGCCGGATAACGATGACTTCTTCCTACGCAGAACGTTTGGGTTAGACCTTGGGTTGTCCATGGACTGGGCTGATGATGATGATCCGGAACCTCCACGGTGGTTGGCAGTTGATCGTGTGGATACTGAAGTAGAAGAAGAACCCCATGATTGGGCTTGATGATTAAGGCTAGGTCGTGGCACAGGTTGAGGAATCGATGGTCGCCGGGTAGTAGAAGGTTGAGGAGCCCTTGCTGATGGACGTGAGATGGAAGAGGGCTTCGGTAATGGTCGTGGAATCTCTTCCCTCCTTCCTGATCTGTTGAGTGGCTTAGGAGCATTTGAGATAACTCCAGGTTCAGTTCCCATTGTCATTCCCGAACCAGGCCGTCTTATGCGAGACGGCTCCGAGGGCCTGGTCGGGATACCAGACCCCAATCTGTAAGATTCCATCTTCCAACCTTCTTCAGGATCGATTTCGTATACTTAATCCCATATTTCGCCAGGAAGATTCTGAATGGGTGTATGATATATATGAAAGTCAAAAAAGAAAAGTGACCGAGACCGTGAATCGGGAGAGCGAGGTAGAGTCGTCGTTATTAGTGTGGAGGGGAATCGTTACTCTAAGAATTGGTGTGGGTAAATTTATCAGCTCGAAGAGGCCTAGTTCGTTGGGTGATGGTGTGGGCTGTGGGATGAACCCGCGTCTAAAAGTTTGGTTGACGGTAGAGCTGGCGCTTCGGTTGATGTGATGAGTGTTTGAGGTGCGGGCTTCAGTACAGTAGTGTCGTTCAAGGTTGGAGTGTAAGTGGAGGAAGTGAGACAGGACAAGGAAGGGGAAAGGGTAATTAGATGAGTTGAAGTTTAAGAGATGAGAGACAATGCAATGGTAGACAAGAAGACACAAGTCAGTGGCAAAACTAGAGAGCGAATGGGTATAGATATGATAAGGTAAGAAAAGTAAGTAAGTCAAGAAGAGATGGTAGCAGCGGGGAGGGCCGAGACGGAAACGGGAGCATATAACTAGGTGCAGGTAGTATTTAGGCAATGGGCGACCTTTCTGGGGCCATCATCATGAGTGGACGACGACATCTGGTACATGAATACATTGACGGATGGGCAGAGGTACATGCTTGGTAGAGGAGAGGATGGAGGACTCTGACTGTGGCGTTTCTCCCAATCCTGGTCTGGCCTGGGAGGTTGCAGGCATTGCCTTGCCAGGCATCGCATCTCAGGCGTGGAGTCCGCCCATGCCATGCCATGCAATGCGATGCGATTAAAACCCTCCCCAAGTTTGAGTCATCCGTTTGGTCAGCGAGAGAAAAATACTGCTGCAGCTGTAGTACCCGTCGCTGCGGAGCACATTAACTCAAGCGTGCTACTGCGCCGCCTTCCCTCCTTCGGGGTGCATATCCATATTATCCTATGAGAAAGCCCTCATGGCATCTTGACGCAGTGATTGGGCATCACACCCTTGCAGCGATTTGCACTCCCAATCCCGGTCGCCTTGAAGGACCCTTGGTGTGGGCTATCCATAGTGGGGCTTCTTAAAAGAGAGACAGGGACGGAAACATGAGAGAAGGATATCTTTAAACGACTGGTTAACCTTGAACCGGGCTGGGCTGGACCGTTGACATTAGTTAGTTAGTAGAGTGGACCAGAAAGGGATGGGCCGATGGCCGCTCATCATGGACCAATCTTGGATTTCTATAACCCGAGATGTTGGAGGAGAGACAAAAGGGTGGGTAAACAAGAAGAAAGGAGTGCACAGATACGGAAAGATAAAATGTTATCAGCAAAAAGATAGCATCGAATCATAGTCTAATACCTCTCTCATATAAAAAAGCCTGACCAAGAACTGATGCGGGTGCAGGGTATAGTCCTGACATTTGGTGGGTGTAGATGTCGGTTGTGTCCCATTTTGGAAATGATGAAGCTGTGTGAGGGGGGGCAGGAATGGTATTCCCAGCGACTAATTATCTTTTCTCTTAACGTCTCGATTTTCAATAGTCAGGGGCCATGAATCTATGTCCGGAGCCGAAGGACAGAGTCGTGGGTGTGAAGACATCGAGAGTTTGGAGCAGGGTATCATCATCTCGATGGGAGTATGAAACCGTCCGTGACTCCGAGGTAGAAACATGACGGCGCTTGTTCATTGTTCTTGTTCTTCAGCACAACATGCGACGTCGTTGGAGGCATATGCATGTCTTAGACATGCATATCAAATGTCTCACTTTGTTCTTCTCCCACAGGTTAATCTGGTCTGCATGTCTCTAAAATGTCTTGCCCATAGCCAGCCTCACCTTCCAAATCCGTTAATCAATATGATGAGCGTAAGCAAACACCAGGCACCTATCGTCTCATCTCGTCTCATCGAGTAGAGTAATCACGATTGCGAATAACAACAAAACTTTGTACGTAGTGCTGCATGGACCTTCATATCCAGCGATGAGTGGACCTGGCGTTCACATTTTTAGAATTCAGGGTAAGCTTTTACCGTCCCAACGGGCGAGTCCCGTTATAAAAGTGCCCCGCATTGGGGAAAGTCTACCATTATCGGATCCTTCGTAGGATGATCTGACAGCATTCATCTCGAATTGTATATATTTTTTGCCATTTTCGCAATATGACACGAAGTCCCAGACCTCGAATCAACTCCTTCAGTGACAGGACTTGATCGTCGTTGGTCACTGACCGGGGTGAGAGATCCTGGGGCGAAATACACCCTGTCGGTCAAACACCAAGCCCCAGACCAGCTGCATGAGTTGCATCTGCAGCCAAGGTAGCGGCCAAGTTGGTACAAGAATAGCATCACGAGAGGAGTCCATCTTCATGGGGCCATTCTTTTGCGGTGTCTATGCTAGACGCGAGAATGTTGGGATAGCGACAGCAGTTTGCACGCCTCTCACGATGCTAGAGCATGAATACTCGACAGACGGGATAGGACTCACAACTTCAGCGTTCAGCCATCCCGTCCCGCCTTATCCCGCTCTACAAATTTGCTTTGTCCCGTGAACACGAACATATCGTCTCTCGCCCTCCCTCCTATTCGTTGAAAATCCCAACGCAAAGCGCCGAGGAGTGTCAATCGCCAAAGGACTCATCGATGCCATTGGTTGCTGATCAAGGGTTTTCTACCAATGATTCACACGCACTCGCACTCTCTCGTTTCACTCCACGACCTGTCAGAATGGACACCAGGATAATGATAACCCTCTCTCCTGCATGTCTTCTTTTCCTTGTAAAAAGTCTATGATGAGTGAACGACTAATCCACAATGCGTCTCATCGTTCGCCAATCCTCGCTGCAAAAAACTATGTCTTGCTCAGACCCCTGTCCTTAACTATTGACATGGGGTACTATAATTCGGTAGAGGCGATGGCGAAGAGGGAGCTCAAAGTCGGCATATAGCAGAGCAAAAACTTGTTAGTCGAACGGATCGCTCAGTCATGAGCGAAGCGAAGAGCGATTGCGCGATATAGGTCTACGTATTGGCCAACGTAGGCAGACAGTCAAAGTTCACCGCCATGCATTGTTAGTCTCGTGACGGGCACTTTGGACGAGATAAGACACCACGAGACCAAAAAAGCACGCCCAGGTAAAACGGTCGGCAGTCAAAAAGAAACGCACGATCCTGGTGTTTTCGACGTCATTCTAAGACACAAGGCATTCTCTGGAATCTCATACGTGCTGGCAGCCTTATCACGAGGTCAGGTTCCAAACGTTCGGTGAGAGTTTGAGCCTCCAAATGGACCCAGATCGGTGTGTGCGGCTAGGCCCTGTCTCTCAAGCAAGCTTGGCTGGCTGAAAGAAGACCTCATAGTGCGAGTCCAGCTTGGATAGTGGCAAGACGAGAATGGGTTAATGCGCTGGCAAGGCGGCAAACGCGTCTTGACGTCGATATCTCACCGATTGTCCATGAATTCTAGCATGTCGTACCTGGATCAGTCTTAGATCTTGCTGCAGGACCCGGCATGATTTGGGGAACATGTTTCCAAAAGTGGCTACAAGAGAGGCATCCCATATGCAGCATGCAACTCCGCCACAGCAAAAATTTCCCCATATCCGCCACAGGTTCTCAGATCCTTGAGGCTGGTGACCCTGATTTCTGGGAGTTGAGATGCCTTCACTGACGTGGCAGATCGCGCGTGGCTGGCCACTCCACTCCGGCAGACGTGAAGCCTCACCCAGGCCAGGTCCCCCCCTGTCCATGTGGCTTGTCAGTCGGCCGAGCAAATAAGGTGCCATCTGAGATGCTTGGCCCTTGCAAAGTCACTCGAATTCGAGATCAAAGTACTCTCTACTTTGGGCAGCGGTGAATGCATGCAAATGGCCCCGATGTGCAGCTTTGCCTCATTGACAACTCATCAAACTGCAATATTTGCCAGCCCGTGATGTGAAGCGATGCGCAAGCCCAGCACTTTCGGTTGTGAAGCCATTTCTTCGCTTGCGATGATCAAGCGGGCCTGGCTAGACACTTGAGCACAACGACGGGCTCTAAGCGTCCAACGGCAACTGGAGTCGCTGGAGTCGGAGTGGTCCAATTGATTAGACGCCTCTACCAACCATAGCCGCCAGACGGCTCGGCGACCAGGGCTGCTTTATCGCGAGAGCAGGGGTTTTGCCCTCATGATTGGCTTGTTGTCTGAGACTTGGCTCGAGCTTAGCGTTTGGGAACGTTGACAACCACACGATCAGACCTGTTGGTGATGATGGTCCTATCTCGCTTCCTTCTACTTTATAGTGTCTTCTATTCTGCTCATCATCTCGCCAATATTGGCCATTGAGGCATGGAAGTCACTGCACGTTTTGTCCGGGCCCTTTCGGAGACTGCAACTATCGTCCGAGAACGGAGATCGTGGCTTGCGTCGTTGAAGAAACCATGAGCCCCTTTGGGATTGCGGGATTAGCGCAGCCGCGAGTATTTGTTTCTCGTTGGTTCCAGGCGTTTTCGAGCTATTCATAATGTGTTTCCTTGGTCCGAAGTGTTGGGCCAGACATGTCATTGTTCCGATCAAGGCATACCCCTTCCGCTATACTCATCTTTAACATCGATCTGCTCTATGGCTACAGATTTTCACGAATCGTCGGCACTTGGACCATCCTGAAGTTTTGGCAGGGCTGATAAAAAGAGTCTCGTGCTTTGCTGCAGATATGATGCTCAGATCGGTCTGTCCAATATGAAGTATCAACGCTGAACTTAAATCGCGTGGTCTCCCACTCGGCCGGCTTTCGCTCACCAGCTGTAACTAAGCTCAGCTGTCGCCAGAGATGCGACTTTTCCTGATTGAGAATTGAAAATTCTTCTGTTGTTTTTCGCTCCCCCATGAAGGTCTCCTAGCTCAACCATCCATCAGGAGAAAGTAAGTTGCACTCCAAGTGGTCCTCCAAGAATAGGGGCATCGCAAGACCAGGACCGCGGCACCGGCAGTCGTGCAACGGCGCACAAGTCTCTCGGGAGCTAGAGTCAAAGGAAGGCCTCCCCGTGATGGAAGCTCAATTCCGCCGTATATGTAGTGGGACCCAGGCAAGGTCATGGTGTTGAGTGTTAGTGGATATGCATGTCAAGCTTCAAGTCAGCTTGGCCCCATTTACGGCTCGTATCCGAACAGTCTCTTTGTCGTTCCGGCGACAAGACTAACAGAAAATAGTTAAACTGAATCGGGCCCCGTCCTGTCTGACAAGATGCAAAATCTTGAAGTTCCGCTTCTCTTAGTTGAAGTGTAACCATTCGGATCGTGCGGATTCTTCCGACTTTGAAGGATGATCCCAGTAGAATCTTGCTCTACGCAAGGCCACCGTGTTCGCACAACATCGAGATAGGGGTAAGATGTTTATTGACGAAATATGGCCGGATAACCGTTTGTGCTTTTCCTTACGCCCCCAAGCTCTCTCAGAGGAGATCGGTAGGTTCTCAGACAGTTGAATCCTTGAACGCTTGGATCGATATCGACCGGTTCAAGCTATATGCAAAGACTAGCCGTTTGAGAACCTGACGAATTGACGATTTTTTATTGTTCTTCCATTTGGCTGCCTTGCATCGGCTTGTCTTCTCCGGGACTGTTACCAAGGCTGCTCATCACAACTGGTTAGATCTGGAAACAGAGAACTTACCATGGACCTCAAGATTCTGATTGATAGTGGACATTGGTCGAACCGAAGACGCCGATTTCCTCTTTATTCATTTATCCTTGATAGTCTGCGCCTGAATATGAAAATAAGAATGTTGTACAAGTAGAAATGGTCCATTCACGTAAGTCTGCTGCTCTGCCCAGTTTCATCCGATCCTCAATTTGTAGCCTTTTTACTTGCCAAATTTCGTGTCGCATTGGTTACCATGAGAACTATTAGTTTCCAGCGAACCTAGCAGCACGCTTCTCTGCCTTGGCCTTCTCTGTTGGGTCGTCAAGAATACCACTTCTGGTAGACGTCTTCTCCTTTCGGGCGCCACCATCGCGACCGCCGTCTCGACCACCACGGCCGCGTCGTCGACCGCCACCACCGTTTCTTCTGTCCAGGCTTTGTCGCTTCCCAGGGCGGTTTCCTTCACCTTCAGTGGTGCGATCCCGGCCTCGCTTTCGCGAGCGCTCTGGGAGTGCCGAGTCAAGAGTAGTAGCAAGTTCCTTTTCGTCGAGGCCAAATCGCTTCGCACGGTCGGCGCGCTTCTTCGCGTCCTCGTCCTCCTCAATACCGAACCGCTTGGCACGTTCGGCACGCTTCTTGGCTTCGTCGTCGGCAGCGGTGGATTGTAGACCGATGGCATAAGACTTCTCGGGCTCAGCAGGAGCCTCCGCTGTCTCGGCGGGCTTCTCTGCTGTCGTCTCCTCGGCCTTGGCGGCCTCGACGGGTGCAGCCTCAGTGGCAGGAACCTCAGCAACAGGCTCAGAGGCGGCTGCAGGAGCGGCAGCGGCGGGTTCAGCAGGAGCCTCGTCATCACTGTAGCTGATTTCATCCTCCTTGTTCTCAGCTGTGAAGGATCCAATTAGCCGATGTTATCGATGCGATGCGACGCGACGCGCGAGAGGTTGGATCGCAGGCCTGATAGAATCACGTACCGGGCTTCTCAGCGGTTTCGGAGGTTCGATCGTTCTCTTGGAGCCTTGCAATAAGATCCGCCTTGTTGCCCGTCTGAGGCAGACCCTTCTCAGCCAGCAGCTTCTTCAGCTCGGGCACCTTGAGTGACGAATATTCGGCCATGCTGCGCAAGTCGATTGAAGCGCGTTAACTAATGATTAGGAGACTTTTCACGATCGGAGAGGAAGCACGGCTAGATATGCGATTGTTGCGACTTAGACTGCGATGTTTTGATGAAAGAAGAGAAAAGGCCTGAGTTGCTTCGATGGAGCGGACGAGGGCGAAGCAAGGTCCGCGCCTCAAACAAAGAATGGATAGGAGCGACCCACAGTGATACAAGCGTCATCCCCTAGAATTAGCTAAGGGTAAACTCTTTATCTTATCTCGAATCAAACAAAGAGATGGCAGACTTGATATCGAAGACTACTGAAATTGCAAGGCCTATTCTTTTGTTTGATTCGCCGGATCAGGCTTCAATTATCCCACTGAACCTGTTCTATTTCCAATGATGCCTCTGTTATGAAGCCAATCGTGCTTTCTATTGGCTTGACGGTGTTTGCCTCTGTTCACAGGGAGATGTGCACGGGCCACGAAGCTCTGAAAGAAGCTCGACAAAGCTCTTGTTGCCCGCTTTTAGAGCTCTCCATCCTGGACTATGCATTCGTTGGCAACATCAGGTCTCATTGCATTGCAGGATGCGCCAGAGACAATAACACCCTCACTTATGCAAGTCGACTCATGGAGCAACGGTACTTCAAGCAGTGTACGGTTGTCTCGTCGAACCATATCGCACATTCTGCAGCATCATAGACTGGCCTGCACAGACAAATACTAGCCAGAGAAAGGGCTGCTTAGGATGGATGCCACATGATCCCAGTATTGGATGGTAATCGAGGGCCTCACCTCACGTGGCCATATCGAGAGTGCATCTATTGATGTAACCCCAGAATGGCCTGTACAGCTGAGCACGCCTGTTTATTAGGTGTGCTCGCAGGAGAGTTATGCAAGTAGAGGCATGTGCAAGAAGTTGACAGACTGTCTGAATGTATTTCTATTAATGAATCATCATTAGGTAGGTAAAGAGAAATGCCGACAAAATAATAACCATATTCAAGTAAAAGATTCTCTAGACATTAAAGAGCCACAAACTCAAATACTCCCCTGCAACCCGAGATCCGGATCCTTAACCGGGCGCTCCACACTTGATAGAACTACCTTACAGTACCCTTTTTTTTGACGGTTCACCAGGGGAAAGATCGAGTATCACAATTGAATGATTTCTTGGCTTTTGGCCCTTTTTTACGGTCAGGAAGGTGCGGGATAGCTTGGTTCCTTCTTTTCCGTGTTACGGTGAATGTCAGGTGTTTTGTTTTGCTCTTCTTGGCTCTATCTCGCTACTTCTCTCGTAAAATAGTGTCGCCTTGCGTTGCCACTTGTTCCATCAACAACCAACATTGTTAGTGTTAACACGGACGGACTGTCCCCTCCCGTCCCCACGATTTGTCTGTCGATCGCATCATCAATCTACCATTCAATTCATATCGACATTTATAACCACTACCTCTCAACTTACAGAGAACACCCTCGCGACCGTTGCAATAGCTTCAACCTGATCGAGAGACGCGCGCGCATTATTCCCATCATATCCATTACCGACTTGGCCCCACGAATCATGCAATAGGACCCCCGATCCGACCCCTTAGAAGATGCGAAAAGTTCGGCCTGCCATTAAACTCCCGAATGCCCGTTTCGAACGCCGTTATCTGGACGTTCATACTTGAAGTGGCCTGAATATTCTACTTGGATACATTCAGAGCGATTCTTATCAGCCTGTTGACCTCTCATAATTAAAACATCATGACTCGAAGAATTGTATGTGGCCCAAGTTCTCTGTAAATTCATGATCAGTAATGATCCAGAGGAGGCTGTTGACTAACCATATTCCATCACTAGGTTCGAACAGCTGCTCAGCTCGCTGGCGCTGCCATTTTCACCTTTCTAGTTATCGCCTTCCTCGACCGCAATTATCGTGTCCTCCCCAATTCGATCCATAGTTATATGCCCTCCCACCACCCCGGACTGGTCGTCACCGATGTCACAATAGTCACTTGCTCGAGCGTTAACCCCTTCTCCTCATGCGACCTCGGCAAAGAATGGCACCGAATCGATAAGGAGCTGTATCTCGGCAAGACATGGACTACGAGCGCATACATGTACATCATGCGAAAGCATGAGGGGGATCTTACTGCGGACGATCGTGTTGTTGTGGATGTTGCGGTCGGCAGGCTCCAACCTCAACCCAAGGGAGAAACGGACGACTCATGGGAATCTCGTCCATCGGGTATCTGGATCAAGCGCTCAGCTAAGAAGAAAGCCAGCGATTCAAAGCAGGCGGTGACGGATCTCGATGTTCTTTTCGGAGATGATGCTGTTGAAGCAAGAGACGGATATGCTGTGACGGGAACACCTTTGCTCCTCAACACGGGTGGTAGCCTTCTCTCTGTCCAGCTAAGCGTGCGCCGAGGTCCTCCACGAGAGGTCAAGAAGCCAACGCCCAGGATCCGCAATGATGGTCGATACAAGATTATGCAGATCGGTGATCTGCATCTCAGTACAGGAGTTGGTGTTTGTCGCGAGGCAGTTCCCGATTCTTACAACGGCGGTAAATGCGAGGCCGATCCTAGGACACTGGAGTTTGTTAGCCGAGTCCTTGACGACGAGAAGCCCGATCTGGTAGTCTTGAGTGGCGACCAAGTCAACGGTGACACAGCACCAGATGCACCCACTGTGAGTATTGCCCGGCTTAACATTATAGTGTTCGCCTCTAACACCATCTAGGCCATGTTCAAGATCATCTCGCTCCTGATAGAGCGAAAGATCCCTTATGCTGCCATTTTCGGTAACCACGACGACGAACAAACCATGTCTCGTGAGGCTCAGATGGCCATTATGGAGACTCTTCCTTATTCTCTTTCCATTGCTGGGCCAGCTGATATCGAGGGTGTTGGGAATTACTATATCGAAGTCCTGGCCCGTGGAAAGACGGATCATTCTGCTCTGACCATCTATCTTCTCGATACGCACGCCTACACGCCCGATGAGCGCAACTTTCCTGGTTACGACTGGGTTAAACCTAACCAAATAGAATGGTTCAAGAAGACTGCTGCTGGTCTCAAGAAGAATCACAACGAGTACACTGGCCGGCATATGGACATCGCTTTCATTCATATTCCCTTGACAGAGTATGCTAACCCGGAACTACCCCGTGTCGGTGACTGGAAAGAAGGAGTAACTGCCCCAATATATAACTCTGGTTTCCGTGATGCCCTTGTAGAGCAGGGTGTCCTTATGGTCAGCGCAGGACAGTAAGTTTTGGATTCCTATCCTATCTTGAAAAAATACTAATCAATATTTTAGTGATCACTGCAATGACTACTGTTCCCTATCTTTGATGGGTGAAGGCGAGACCAAGGTCCCAGCCATGTGGATGTGCTACGCTGGTGGCTCTGGCTTCGGCGGTTACGCCGGCTACGGTGGTTACCATCGCCGAGTACGCTTGTTTGAAGTCGATACAAACGAGGCTCGTATCAAGACTTGGAAACGTCTCGAATACGGAGACATAGCTGCCCGTATACACGAACAGATTATCGTCGATGGCGGTAAACCTCAACCTATCACTCCCGTCTCATGAGCTTACGACGCTCTACATTTATGGGGCAAAGTCCCCCTTCTGAACTTATTGTATTCGTGTTTTGGGATGATGAGCTGCCACGCGTCTATAGAACGGTGTGGTCCTTTTTCGTTTACAAAAAAGACGGGTCGGTCATTGGACAACATCAAGGAGCATGTTTGAACATGGGGTTTCTTGTATAACAATTAAAATATCCCACTTCTCATTGCATACAGCAGCAAACAGAGTTAACGACGGCATTATATAGTCTCGGGATGGGGAACGGAGTTGATTTGGTCGACTAAATACTACGTATGAGTCTTGAACTCATTTTCATGGTTTATTCTATACCAGCCTTTTACAGTATTGTGATCCATGATGATTTCGGCTGGAGTGTAGCAAGCAACCCTAAGTAATGGAGTTGATAATAACTTGTGATGTCTTGAACAGTTCACATCGGACAGAGTTGTGTAAATATAATTCAATTGTCATCCACTATATACTTCTCTCCTCGCTATGCTCTCTTCGCTCCCTCTACCATGTTCACCGAAAACAAAACCCCAAACGTCCTCTTCATGATGACTTGCAAAATGCATGCTGATGTACTCCTCCCGGCCCAAGACTTCTCCAGTAGCCCAGACCATTGCCATCCAGACGCCATCCGCCCATGTCTAGATGCGTGAACGCAGAAACGAGATTGGTATATACAATCGTATTAAAAGGTTTGAGGAAATGTGGTATCGTTAAGTCTCGCCGTATGCCATGCATCGAGAGTAATAAGAACAAATGTAAAAAATGATGGTGTGCTGAGCAACACCGGGATATCAAAATAGGAAAACTGACTAATGCAATGAGTCTGGGGACAAACCAGATTGTGAATGTGCTTGTAATCAAATACAAGAGAAGGTATAAATTGTTGAAGGGGGTGGCAGTAGAGTCGCTTAGATTGTCATGACCTCCTGGTGGACAAGCCTCAGAACCCAGCTTGCCTCTGCAACGCTAGCGCACTGGAAGCACCACTTCTTGACGTTGCCGCCTGTAGGGCCTGTAGCCGGAACAACGCCGACAACGCCATTGCTGTCCTTCATCTCCTCCCAGACACCGCATACAATACCACGGCTGCCCATGGCTGTGAAGCATCCACTGCCCAGGACCGCGTCTAACAAAATCTTTGGCTGCTCTGAGTCCTTGCGTGGAATCGTGGTGACAGTGACACGTTTCTCCAGACCGTGGTCGGCACGAAGAGCCTGGTGCCAGCCTGGAGGAGGTCGTCGAATGGATAGTCTGCAATTGCCAAAGTCCTCCCACTTGGCGGCTGCGACGAGGAGATGTAGGCGGATCTTGAGGTCTTCAGTACCAAAGCTTGCGGGGCCGCGACCGCTGTTCTCAACACTGATGGAGGGTGAGCGAGGTGTGTTGCCGCCATAAGATGACGATCCAGGAGTGTTGGTGCCACCATAGCGGCTGTTTCGGTTAACAGAGGAGCGAGCCAGACTGAAAGGAAGTCCGCGACCAGTGAGTCTCTTGAGGAAGCTTGATGCGGAGAGAGTAGATGAGGGAGTAGTGCTTGCACCATCGTGAGATTGGGCAGGCGCACGAACTGAACCACGGTAGCTGTTCTTACGGCCGAACCAGCTTCGTCGTCGACTGCTTGTGTCATCGTTGTCGGGAGGTGGTTTATGTTCACCAAAGCTTCTGAACCGTGCTTCATTCTCAAGCTCAATGAATTTTTGGTTGTTGAGACGAGCGTGGTGAACAGACATGTAAAGGTTGTAGCAGTCAGGTCCGTTGTGGCATCGGAAGCGGAAATTTCCTCCACCGTGTGAGCTGGCAAGCTGGCAGTCAGATCGGACTGATGAGCGGATTTCAAGGTCGAGAGCTGTGCTCTGACGGATGAGGACGAGCGGGGTGAGGTCGAGTGCGAGCATGGGCTTATCTCCCTGCTCAGCTCCGCTATGTACGACATACGCCTCGATTAAGCCTGGAGTGACAATGACTTCAAGGTTGCCTCCAGAAATATCCTTCCACATTCCCTTGTCGGACCACCTGGAAATAGTAGCCACGTATCTTGTAGCATTGTCTCCGGGGGCAACCTTTTGTCCGTGGAGGCCAGCCTGGGAGGCGGAGTTTGATGGAGCCAGGCTATCAATTGAGCCAGATACGACGGATTCATGGAGTTCATGTCGTTGGTGGTAGTCGTGAAGAGATCCTTCCTCTTCAAGTGTCTCAAGTTGATGTTCCAACTCCTCTCTAATAATGTCTCGAGCTGGGTGTTCATCTCTAATACTAACTCCTAGCTCAGTCTCTGGGAGATCAACGCTCTCGATATCATCGTCCGAGGAATCATAGCTGTAGTCTGATTCGGTGTAGTCATCCTCGGTATTTTCGTAGCTGCCCGTGATATCAGTGCCAGAAATTGATGACTGGTCTGAAGGTAGGTATTCGTGCTTGAGCGGAGATGAGGTACGGCGTTTGACGCGGCTGCTGTTGGGAGGCTCAAGAGGTGGTGGTTTGGAAAACCTGGGCTTAGAAGGAGCTTGTTGACTAGGGCTGGGACTGAAAGTTCGATGAGCTGGAGGTGGCGGCGCGCCATCGTCTCTGTAGGATGAACTACTTGGGCTCTTGCGTATGTTGAGGGGATCAGGTTGCATGCTCTGCGAGGTCATTGGCCTGTCCTCATATCCGTAGTCGTATTGTGTTGGTGTCCTCTGCAGATCGTACTGATCGGGCGACTTGATAGGAGAAGGAGTTACCGGAGATGCTGATCGCGGACGGTATCTGGCTGGCAGCGCTCGCTTCGGTGTAGTTGGGCTGGCTGGAGGAGACTCAGCAGCAGATGAGCGGCGAGAGTGTGAGTTCCGAAGAGATTGAGCAGAGTACTTGCGAGAGGATCCTCGAACGCCAACTGGGACATCAGGCATCCGAGATTGTGAGTATGGCTCTTCATCGTCGATTATACTTGGCTCTGGCTCTCTGGGAGGAACAGGTGAAACTGGAAGGATATCGAGCCAGTCCAAGATTTGGTCTTCGTTGTCAGTGGTGAGTGTGAGTAGCTCGTGCCATGGCCTGTCGTTGTGCGTTCCTCGGATCATAATAACCATGTCAAAGTTGCCGTCTCCGGTCCTGGCTGAGATCAACTCAATAGGTACAGGAGGGAATAGAAGGTATGATCGTCCCTTGACCCCATTTTCGCGGATCAGGATATCACCCTTATCTTCAGGATAACGCTGGTTATCTCGGTGTACCAACTCAATCTGGCACTCAAGACGCTGACCATTCGAATGTGCCAAGTCGAGAGAGAAGAAGTCCTTGGCGCTGACTTGTCGTGATGGCTCAATGTAGACAGCCTCCATTGGAGCAAGTGTTCGAAGGTCTCGCGATCTGGTTGTATCGGTGTTGATCGCGTCTTCGTCAGTCAATCGAGCCATTTCTTCTCGATGTCGGCGGCGAGCCTTTTCTTGAAGGTCCTCAAAGTCGCTCAGGAGATCATAAGTATCATTGGTCCCAAGGATAGAGTCGACACACTTGAAGAATTTTGTGATTTGCTTGAGTCGGAGGAGGGGTCTCTTGAGAAGGTGTGCCACATCAACACGCTCTCCTGTAGCATCAACAATATCTCCAGACTCGTTCCTGGGCATGGCGCCGACAAGAGAATCCTCGTCTTCTGGGGATCCAGCGGCGGGAGCAAGATTAACGACGAGATCCTGGAAGCCCAGCCTCCAGGCATCGAGGTACTTGTGGTAGATGGGTACGACGCCATGGCCCCAGGAAGCCAGGCGACGAATATCATGAATGGGAGCCTTGCGGTGAGCCATGCGAAGTTTCTCTAGGGCAACACCCATGTTCACCACAGACTTCGAGAGAGCATCAGCTTTGGTCACTGGGGTGCTAGTGCCAAACAGATCAGTGGCGTTGTCGCCATTGACGACCTGTGATAGTAGGACTGGAATAACACCGTCGACTAGTGTCTTCAACTCTCTAAGATAGAGACTCTCATCTTCGGTAAATTCTTTGAGCAGGTCGTCATTTGTCACATCTGTGGCCCCACCTCGGCTCTTCCGCATACTGGGTCTTGAGCGGTTACTTGTGATGGCGCTGGGGACGTTCTTGTCATCGGGTAGCGAGAGGACTGAGACAAGATCAGAGTGACGAGTAAGTCGTCGCTTAAGGCCAGACCCTTGACTCTTGGAATTCGAGCGAGAGTTCGAACGTCTGGTCTCTTTCGTTACGCCAGTGGATTGCGTAAGAGTGGATTGCGTGACATCAGTGGTAAGCTCCGATTCGACAGCGCTGGAAGCTTCCTCAGAAAGAATTGTAGACAACTCATATTGACCTCGAGTTGGTGGTGGAAGACGAGGGCCCGCCATTCGCGCCGACGGCAAAGCCGATCGATCATCACGATTTTGTTCTGGTTCTCGCGCCGGTTCCCGTGGTTGCTCTGGGCTTTGAGGCTTCTTCTTTTCTTCCAAGGGAGACGGGGATCTGACACTTTTCGACTTTTCAGCCTTTGATAGTTCTGTTTCAGTCCAATTCTCGGTTGAGTCATCGTATGTAAGCTCGTCATCATAACGAGACTCTTCATAGTGATAATCATCATATTTTGACCCTTCGTATTTTGAGTCATCATAACGAGAATCATTGTATCTGGAGTCGGTATACATGGATTCGGGCTCGTCATCGTAAGGTCGTTCCTCTCGACTCTGATAAGGCTTCACCTTGGGAAGAGAATTGCCTGATTCTCCGGTAAAGGCTTCCTTGAGCATCCCAAAGAGCGAATTCTTAGGGCTTGACTTGACAGGTGAAGATGTAGTTCGAGTTGCTTTGGTCCTCTTGAGACCCGAACCACCCGGAGCTTTGGTTGGTGCCTTTGTATCTTGCCGCTTCGGTTTCGTCTTGGCTTCAGGCTCTGGTGAGGGAGCTGGTGAGGAAAGTGACGAGACCTCTTCTGGTGCAGGCTCTTTCACAGCGGCCGGTTCGGGCTGTGCTTCAGGCTTGGGCTCCGATTTAGGTTTTGGGGTTGACTTCTTCGGTGGCTCAGGCTCCGGGGGCGGCTCCTTGGCAGTTTCTTTGACAGGCCTGGGTTTTGATACAGGTGATGGTGTAGGTTTCTCTTTGATGGGCTCCTTCGCAGGCTCCGGCGTAACAGGCAACTTTTCGCTCGATACAGTTCTGTCAGCTGTATCTGGTTTACTCATAGTTGAGGACGACACCCTTCGTTTTTCGGTGCGAGACGAGCGGCGATGACTCTTGACCGTCTCAGGGGATGATGTGTTATCTGGGACATGCTCGCTCAGAGGTGTTGTAGCTGGCTCAGACTTGGGCTCCTCGACGAACGGGTCCACGGTAGTGTTGAGCCACTTTTCGATACTCCGAGGGTTGTTTGGCACAGTGTCCCTTGGGGGGGGATGCTCGTTCATCTCATGAATTATCTTGTTGGCGCCTTCCACCACCTTCTTGAAGACTTTGGGCATGGACTTGAAGCTAGTATTTCTTTCAGGCTTGGCAGGGCGAGCAGGGCGAATGGGTCGGCTGCGAAGAGGTCCCCCACGCGCTCGTAGAGGCAGATCAAGTTCAGTGAATGCAGAGTTACCCCAGGGGATTTCTCCAGGGATGTCTGCTATTGACTTTGCCAAAATACTTGAAGACAAATCTGACCCGTCAAGTTGAGAGGGCTCGATTGTAGATTCTTCTTCGGGCACCCATGTCTCTTTTCCCTTCTGTTTTGTCGTGGGAGGCTGATAACTCTTTGGTCGAGGTTTTGACTTGTGTGCTGATACGCTTCTCTTCTTGGTTGGAGTGTCAATCGCCGAATCGTCTTCCATCACTTCAATTGGTGCAGTCCCAAATAAACCTGACTTGTCGGTTGTCTTTGTTGTTTTAGACAATTCCGAATCATCCTCAATAACCTCGATAAACTTGTTTGTCGATACCTCCGAAGGATCCTCAATGACTTCGATCTTGGATTCATCTGACTGCGACTTCTTCATTTCCCGTTTCACGGAACTCATACTAGGTCTCCGCGAGCTAGGAGCAGATTTGAGCCGCAATCTTGCCGTGCGAACTGAAGTTCCGGCGTTGGACGAGATATCGCTCATAGGTCTAACTCTAATTCCTTCGTCGTCGGTGAGTGTTGTCCTGACAGCTTTCACACGAATACCATCATCATTATTCCTTCCCCTTCGGATTGGTTTAACGCGAATGCCATCATCAGGTCCTGGTGTTGATTTGGCGGATCGCGCTTTTGTGAACCGACTGCTAGTGACATTGCTCACTGTAAATTCGCTGTCACTCATGAACTCGCTGTCGGTATCATCCATCCACGGTTTCGCTCCGACCGACTTGGAAGACTTATGACTTCTGGGTGCAGGTGGATCCGGAATCTCAACCATTTCCGCCCAAGCCTTGACTCTGCTTGCGACGCGAGGATTAGCGGCGGTGCGCAAAACAAAATCTTTCGGTATTTTGGCTGGAGCAGATGTTTTAGCAGGCGAGGTCTTCTTTGGTATATGTTTTCGATTTTTCCGCCAATGTTCGTCGCTAACAACACGTTTCTTAGGCGGCGGTTTCGCTGCTGCCGGTGTAGGTGTCGTCGGTGTTTCATCAGGTGTAGCCTCATCTCCTGTGGCCAGACTCTCCTTCGTCTTGTTATTGGGTCGCTTGAGTTTCTTTCTCATCTTGATGCGAACTCGATCCTCCTCTGTTACACTCTGGAACTCCTCATCTTCAAACGCAATATCAGGGGGTTCTGTCGCTGCGTCGTCAGGGGTATTCTCCATAGCGGCAGCATTGGCCTTTTGCCATTTCTTGACCCGATCTCGGACACCGTTCGGGGGTTGGATGCGCTTGACTTGAGACTGCTTCATTTCATGGCGCAATTCGGCCTTGACAGCTTCCAAGCTCATCCGCCGTTGACGCTCGGCAGCCTGTCGCGAGGCTGAGGGCCGGCCCAGGAGGAAGTCATGGAGGAGTGTAGGCTCCCTGGTCGACTTGGCACGCGGTCGCCCGCGATGTGCCACTGGCGGTGCTGACTTGGGCGTTTCCTTTCCATCATTCTCGTCTTGTGCGGAAGGCTTCAGAGGAGTCTCGGGTTCAGGCTCAGGATCTAGCACTGCTTCGTCTACTGCTTCCTCTGGAGAGGCGGGGTTTGATGATGACATGATCTCAGCTACCTAAAAAAGACAAAACTGGTGAGCTTATTTTTGCAACCCAGTTGTGGCGGGGAAACATGATTGTGCGATGCGCCGGAGACGGGAGAGCACGTCAGACTCATACCTGAAGGTCGGTAACATGCTGTGCAGCTGTAGCAGAGAAGCGGTGGGGTCCCAGTCGAGGCCGAGCTCGCTCTCTTGATGGTTGGTAACAATTTGCCGTTCGACTCGATTATGCGTCGTTGAAATGTGCTATCGGACCGTCCGGGAAGGTTTGCAGGAAGCTTTGGAGAAGCAGCGGGAGGGCGGAGCAGCCGTTGGAGTTGCACATGCAACTGAACAAGAAGAACGAACGAATGAATTGGATGGTGGGTAAATGAAATGTAGGAGAACGAAAAGGTTTGTGATTACAAAGACAATGGCAAAAGCCTCGTGTAAATGATAGGAAGTGGAGGGTTCTCCAAAAGCGAAATGCACCGCAAGATTAAGATTGTTGTGCCATCCACGTCTCAAGCCGTTGGAGGGACCTTTTGGAGGTTGCGTCGTTGACCTTTGACTTGGCCATTATTGAAGTGCGGGTGTCCCAGTAACCAAATGGGATCCACACTAGAGCTCAGTGTAAACAACATTTGAGACCATCCCACCTATCAGGGTCAGGGATAGAGGGATGTGGCGCTCGACTGACAGGGGACCTTTCCAGGGCTTCAGTGGGTCAATCATTTAAGGCCATGGCTGCAGACGAGTGGGATATGGCGGGTGGCTGTTGCGTGATAGGCTAGCTTGCCCACTGTAACAAGTCCAAGCCTCCCGAGCCTGGCTGAATCTGATCTCCCGGTGCTACTGTATCTCGGTCAATTTTCTCCAACCGACTACCACTTGTCCTGACTCGACGTGGAAAGATCTTCGATAAGCTTCTTTTTTGTGAGTTGAGATGTCTTATGCTTCTATAATTATCCCCTCTCCTTTTCTTTTTGCTAGCCAAGCATATAACTACACCAAGACTGGACAGCATATCGAGATCCGGAATCCTATAGATGACTCTGGACTGTCGCATTACCATTACGGATATATTACGCATATCAAGAATGGACAACACAACCTCGACATGGGTGACCCTCCATTCTCTTGGCCAAACAACTGCTAGTATCAATGCACCGTCCGGCCTTGTTTTCGTTGCTGACGACAACCACCAAGCGAGAACAAAAGGCAGGCCATCCAATATGGGCTTCTGCTGCAGCCATGTGTGTTTCGGCCATTGACTTGAAGCCAGTATCGAATATCCAAGTTTTTTATACATTTAGACTTTTCGTGACTGCGGAGAAGTCCAGTTACACGCGGCAAGCCTGCTTATGTATGTCGTTGGGCATCCATCCTTGAATCTGATCCTGTTCTGGTTCGCTACTCTCTACCCAGTTATAAACAAAAAAACAAGGATTGTGCCTGTGCTTGCAAGCGAAGAGCATGAGCCTTTATTGTTTGCCAAGTACCCTCATATACCGCTTTTTATCGACCCGCAATATTCGGTATCAACGATTGATGTTTCATGATTGACCCTGGAACTCTATGGAATCGTGGCGCCGGAATACCCTGCCGAGATCTCAACGCTCACGTTCCCGCATACCTTGTCGATGATTTTCAGCTTCCATAGACAGTTATTGTCCCAAGAACCTGGTCTAGAAGTTGGCTTAGTCAACTCCAAGACTGTCTAAGTTGCTATTTCCTATCCCCTAAACTGAAGGGCCAAGCTATACGAGCCCGAGAGGCGTGGATAACTTTATCATGCAATAGCCAGGTTCTGTTCTTTCGCTATGGGCCTTGGGATACTTACCCTGTAACGAATGCAATTGGGGCAAGAATTGCGTCGAAAACGCATAGATTAATTTAAATTGATATTAAAAATTACTGTCGTAGTATGCTAATATGTTGACACCTCCATAGAAGGCATGTTTAAATGTCAGCGAATAATCTACGTATTTGTGTGTAAGATGATCACGTTGTATGAAGCGACATGATCAATTTCGCAAAAAGGAATGAATCTCGGGATCCCCGCATACCTGTCAGGAAGCACATTAATATCATATTCATATTATCTTTTCGAGACCCAGGCCGTATCAGCTGCATGACCAGTAAAGGGCACATTCAGTCGAATCATGCCCAAGGGCCGAGTTGAGTCCTGATCTATATATTCCACAGTGCCGAGATTCTTTGCGAGATTATCATCGACTATTAATGCCAAAACGGAGTGAATACTTGAATGTATTGTCTCAACGACCTCGGAAAGGTAGAAGTTTGCCTTAAACTACTTCGCATGGCCTTTTGATATGTCTAAATTGGTTCGGTATCTGAATCGAGGAATACTAGCAGTCTGCCACGTTCAGATTGCTCTGAGTACTGCCTACCCACTTGTAGCGAGCAACCCTCAAGAAAACCTTCGTACGCAAGTCTTTTGGTAGAAGGGGTATCAAAAACATCTTTTCAAGCACAGTGTCTTGGAGGTTGGCCCCAGATGCTTCGACCCCTTTGTAATCACTACCTACCTAGGTCTCAAGGGAGGACAAAGGAAGTTCTTGGCATTGGTTTTCAATTTGACTTTACGTGCTACTGACTGTCTTTGTTATTCTGTCTGAGCATACTATTTTCTTTAGTGTTGTACCTGGTGACTCTTTCAAAGGGCTATGTCCTTAGTCTTCCAAGGCAACGCAATCAGCAGTAAAGTCACGAGGCCAGCATGGCTAAGGTACTGTTGATCACCAGTCTCTGTCTCACAAGATCGGACGCTCTGTATCACGAGTCACTGTAGCATCATAGAAACCACAAGGTAAACCGATTGTTCAAACTACAGTCAATTTATCGCAAAATCCTCCAAATCCAAATAGGTATCGAAAGCGGATTGCTCCTGAAGAAATGTAACTATGATATGCAAAATGCCAGCCAGCTATGTGTCCTAGCTTCAATATTCCTCCAATGAATGCGCCCGATAAATGCAAGCCAGACAAATAGGTATCCTCCTTGGACCAGCCATTACTCTTGATCCACCACTCCCACCATGCTAGCCAACGCCACCTATGCAGATGCAACCTCCAGTGATGCTTTAAGAAATGAATACGAAAGAGATGCAGACCTGAACGCCGAATTATGCAGTATCCATCCATCTTCCCTTAGACTTCCTGAGCAGGCAAGACGAAGCGAACCTTCTTGTTCGACTTGGCCTTCTTCCCCTTTCGCCTCTCACTCTCAGCCTCATCATCGCTGGTGTCACTGTGAGCACCAACACTGCTTCCAACCTCACTCATCATCTCCTCCTCGGTCTCCTCCTCAATAGACCACACATCGGGGCTTGGCTCCCGCCATAGTTGTCCTGTGCGGCGTGTTGCTGAGTGTCCTCGGGAGCTGGCTCCGTGGCGTCCACGCCCCCTGGATCGGCCACGTAGCTTTGGGCTGCTTGAGAGGGCCGTAGGCGAGAGGAGAGAGTTGTTGGTCGACTGGTTGAAAGCAGGGCTCTTGGGTCGGACTGCTGGTCGGCTATTGGCAAAGAGATCCCTAAGAGAGAGGAGTCCTCCGTGCTTGCTGGGCGAGAAGCTGACATAGTCCTCATCATCGTCATCATAATCATCCTCATTGTTGGACTCTGAGATCTCAGAGCTGGTATCAGGTGACATGGGACGCAGACCAGGCTTGCGTAGTCCATCGAGTGTTGATGGACTTACACTGCGGACAAATGGTCGAGGAGAACTGGCATCCTCAATACCCGCATCAAAGTCTAGCAATACGTCATCCATATCATCGTCGTCAAGAAGAGGAGCCGGTGTAAGAAAGTAGGTAAGAGGATCATCATCGATATCATCAAGAGATGGAAGTGGTCGGTTCTTGGTAGAGATGGTAGGCTTGAGGCGCATCTGGGTAGGTGGCCAAGAGTCTCGACGAGACCGCATCTCAGACTCGGTCGGCATAGTGGAGATTCGTAAGAATGAATTTCGAGTTGAGTAAAGTAGAGTAAAGTTGATTTGCTCAAAGGGTCTACCGAGGCCTGCGAGGTATATATGTATGCAGGGACCTCTTTGTAAGTGAAGTGAAGTGGGTGGGTGCTAGAAAGCTTCACCGCGATTTGGTGTTAAAAACAGGTATGAACCAGGCGAAACAAAGACCGGTTGTCTTAAGGCTGGGAAGTGAATGCCCTGACGTCTTTTCCATGGAAGACCCTTTGGAGTCACTCACCGCAGGCAGAAGAGTTTCTTTGTGCTTTGTGTGAGAGGACTGAACAGAACACGAAGAAGGCCGGCGGTATAGGACTCAGAGAGGCAATACTATGAACGGGCGAGCACGCCTCAACTATATACTAGTCAGTCAGCCAGATAAACAAGCCTCCCCACGAGCTCACATTCCAATTCATAGCCTACTGCACACATACTATCTGAGACACAGGCATCAGCCGTACGGTACCTTTCAAGGCATCGAAATAGGGCCAAGAAAGAGAGGGCTGCAAGAACCCACACCCAAAACAGGGCTGTATCTCCAAAAACGGTCCAACTCCCAGTCATATCATGGAATTCTGGTAAGCCCCGAGGGCCTTGTGAGTGGTAGGCAGAGGACTCCGAGCACTATGGGTGGTCATCGGCCTCCAATAGGCGGGGCTGCCTATCTTCGCACGTGAAGCTATTCAGCCAAGATGGATACGAAACTGTAGAGTCGCGCGCGCACGACGCCACGCGGCCCGTCGATAGGATAATCGGGAGGCGCCGGGTCTGAAAATGGAAGTCATGGGTTGAGTTAGCGGGTTGATAATCAAGAGAAACGAGCTGAGAGAAGTTGGTGGCTGACGATAAATCAGCTCTTTGGGCTACAATATTGGATGCCACGGGCTCGAGTTGGTAGTGATAAACAGGTTCAAATGCACATAGGGTCCACGGTCTAGCGCTGCAGCCGCCAGTAAAAACCATAAAAGGGCAGCCAACTCGATCTGCAGTGATCGACAGAAACAAAAAAGATGGTGAGATGCCTCCATAGTTGGCTTGAATTATGGCATCTCATTCGCTCACATGAACATGGAGGTTGGCTTGGTCATGGACATTTGCGATGGTATTTCCTTGACAAACTCGGTCGCGGGGTCGGTGACACTCTCCGGAGAATGCTATATCAAGTGAGACATGGTCGACACCACCAACAAGGCCATTTCATCTCATCTGACTGTGCCTTCACGTCTCTCAGCTCCACCGGCCTTACTGGACTATGGCGAGGGAGTCATGCTGAACTCCTCAGGAACTAACAATGATTCAAATTCACGATCGGGCATTTCCTGCAAGATCGATCGCACTGAGGCCATCCGGACCTGTCTGTTGTGCATGGTGCCTTGCAGCGTATCCGCAAAGACTCCATATTTGGGCCATCACGCTTGAGTCGGGTGTCAAGCACGCGGGGCTTTCTACTGTTTTACTGCCAACTTTTCCATGGACTTGCAGGGCAATCAAGTTGAAAGCTGGGCGTCGTGAACTGGAGGGTCGCAAGTCTAAGCCACGGGGTGTTTCGGCCAAGGACGGAGTTGAGTAATACGCGGTTGTGAAGTGAGAGTGATGAGTCAAAAACGAGGGCCGCCTCTATTGATTCAAGTTATCAATAATTACAGCAACAAGTTGCGGGCATTTCCCCCATGTTGATGTTGGACCCTTGCGACGATCATCAACGATTACGTGGATTAGTACGCAAGTCCGGAGATGCCATGAATGAGAAAAGGGTGTGGTGAGCGGGCGCCTGTCCTCTGTTGGCTGCCTCGAAAAGAAAAGACAGCTTTCTAATTGTCCCATCAGCAAAAGTCCAGCCAGCCTCTCTAGCTTCTCTAGCCTCCCCCAGATTCTCTAATGTCAATCCTGCTTTGATCCAATCTGGTGGTCCTCCCTGGTCTTATGATCACCACACCCATGGCCCCCCAGCCACCAACAGGCCTAGACCCGCCTTTTTTTACTTCCAAGTTGAGAAACACGCGGCGATAAGAGGTTATCTCCCACTATTCGCCTCGAAGCATTACAAAACTTGGCCGCTATTATCGTGTAAATGCTTCAGTTTGAGACCACATGGTATCAAGCCATGAATCATCACTTAAAGTTCAGCCGTGCATGACAAGACGGGACCTTGTCTGTTCTCGTTAGACTTGAATTTGAGTGGGCATTGAACGGCGTCGATGCATCCCGTAACTAATTCAAAACATGTTTGCAAGTAAACTTTGACTAGAAGCAATAGTTGAAACGCCCACCCACCGAAGAATATGCCTTTTCTGGTTGAAGACCTCGGCCACGGGCCGCAATTATGGGTCTAGACCCGGCGACCCTCCGGGTTATGATCCACTATTTCTCGGAGGCCACACTTCAACCTCAGCCGCAGTTGATTTATTACCAGGGTCAATCAATTATGACTGGTCACCCTTTGAACCATGTCATGAGCGAAGATAAGCTTGCAGGTCCTTGTGACGACACGGCTGACTCTGACCGGAATTCGTCTATAATAGCGACATGTTCTTCAATATGTAAGTAAAGGCTTCGGACTATGGACCATTTCCATAGGAATTCAGACTCTGAATGTGATATACAAAGCAACTCTTATCTCGAAACAAGAGATATCGTAGGCGAAGGATGAGTTTCTAAGCAGTAGGTTGCCTTGGGCTAATGTTTATGACATTACCCGTCAAACGATGTAGCATTTCTTTGGCGCTTACTATGGCGTGAACATTTAATACGGTACTTTGACTGGCATTAGGACTCAATTGACAGCTCTTTAGTGATGGTGGGAGATAAATCTCCGGTGACTCTGGCTCCGATGATTCCTGAACGAGCCACTCGTGACAATTTTAGTGACAGATCTCAACCGAGTGCTGCTTGTATACGAGAATGGCGTACACCTAGTCTTCTCTGTATGGATGGTGACTGAAATTGGGTCGCAAGTTGGAAGATTTGAAGACTTGGCCCTACTGCATCAGCTTTTGCGCCTTAAGGTTCAATTCTGCTTCACAAGGCTAAACTCAAGCATAGATACTACGATATTGTCCGTAGTGCGATTGATTTGGTGTGGTAGCTTGACATATCACAGACATTTACTTCTGTGAACGCCTAAACGCCTATTCGACAGCATTGCGCATTGTGAGTGGAATCTCTAACCCTTGTATGTAAGAGCCACCCATAACTGCTATCCTTGAGTTTCTCCAAGCAAAGAGACGGTTTCTTATAGCTTGTCTCCGATTGCGGTTTGCTTCGAATGAATCAACCGCGAAGTGAGCTCTGTATGTGAAGCTAAGAATCCGTGAATGAGTGCCCATCGAAAGATGGCGTTTCGCCGTGCCGAGACGGAGCAAACTAAGGGTCAATGATTGATCATCGTCAGAAAGTCTATACGCCACCTTTGTAAATATGCATGAATTAGTTCAACAAGACATCCAATTCCATGTTAATCATGTGGGATGCGAGTGAGGACAGGTGTAATGTCATGGGCATTTTCGCAATTGCATCATTCACAACGAAAGGAGAGGAAATGAAAGGAAAGGCTATAGGTACCGAATCAATACACATTCAGTGATCCTAGTATTATAATAAATGGTGAAGATGTTGTCGTGGAGTTCCGGTGCCATGATCGCGACAAAAGCTAAAGCCCACGAGGTTGGTCTAGGGTGGGGATCTTCAAGACAACGGCAGGTCATTGAGCTTGCGTGGTTATCGCAAGTCCTATTTAATAGTTATAGACAGATCTGCGTGCCTTCCAAGAGGACACAGTTTAATAGATATTGAATTTCTATCGAAGTGGTAGATTTTGAAAGTGTCATTCATGTATGGATGCGTGTTAAATCTAATTTTGCGCTTTGAACCACATAACGCTGGACCATACGAAAAATTTCACCGTATCGACTAACAATAGACAAGAATAAGCCATTAAAGAAGTCATAGTACTGAATATTGTATGCGCCTTATGAAGTAGACATGTCTAATAGCAAATCACAGGACACAATAAACATGATCGTGATGCTACCCATGATCTGTTTGACAGGGCTAGCCTTACAAGATAACTTCTTCCCCTGACATAAATTACTTCCTATACAAGGAAATAAGTATTATTCGAGAAGCCTTTACAAACCTTTTGCACGAAGGTAGCTTTTGTAACATCGGCCATGATTCGTACACCAATCGCCGTTCCTTCCAAGTATTTGACATCGAGGTTAAGTGCATGAGGATCCAATATTTAGAGTGCCTGATTAAATGTTACAGTATTACTATGACATTATGGCGATACCCTTGAATTTTGACACAAGCTATACGAGAACAACCTAATATACATAATGGGGAACAACGACAGCCCCATGCTCCCCGAGCAACACTCGCATATTGTCCGATTTACGATGACTCACGCCGATTCTCCGTGATATTCGAGGGGGCCGGACATGCTAAAACTCTAGTAATTGTAGACCCTTAGAGCACTTGATGATTTTCCTTTTAGGGAGTGCATTCCTCCCATCTTCATTAGCAAGTCCCATTTAGCCACAGAAAACAGAGGTATTGGCTGCTGCAAGGTCGCAATTCGAAGAAGAATTAGGTGGACCTTTATATAAAAAAAAAGGCAAGAGTATGGTCATGATTTGAAAACATCAATGCACCAAGCTTAATATCAGAGACAGAAGAGTTGGTGGCTGAGGACCCCTGCGGCATCAAATCTGGGGTAAATAGACGCCATGCCTATCGCAGCATGTATCCCCACGTGATGACCTCATTGGATAGGTCCGCTCGGACCCGACTTACGACGCTCGTGGTAAACATTCAGTATCGCGACAGCTTCATCTTTGTCCTCCCAAGCCTGAAACTCCTAGATATTACCTATATTTCCCTCGGTTTTTGACCGAAGATCACTTCTTAATAAGCCTCCAATATCACCACTGTAAACCCCACAATGACTCAACTCGACATCCCCTCGACCGCATCTCTGAGAATGGAAGTCCTCGCCAAGCACCAGAGAATGCCTCTGCGCATCCTCACCTTCAACGTTCGCTACGCAACAAACAATCGCGAACATAATGAGAAGCCCTGGGACGTGCGTCGGCCCAAGCTCATCAATCAATTGAACTTCGTCACCGCCGGTCATGAGAGCCCCTTCATTTGCCTCCAGGAATGTCTCAACCACCAAGTCAACGAGATCCAGGAGGATCTGGGCTCTCATTGGAAACACATTGGCCGTGGACGCGGAGAGAAACCCGAGGACGGAGAGTTTTCTCCTATTTTCTATCGCAACGATGTATGGAAGAACGTACGGAAGGAGGTCCGATGGCTGAGCAAGACACCTGAGAAGCCCTCTCGCGGTTGGGATGCAGTCCTGAACCGAATCGTCACAATGGGAGAATTCGAACACCGAGTCACAGGTACCCGCGTCGTAGTATTCAGCACACATTTCGACCACATCGGCGTCAAGGCCCGTCAGCACAGTGCCGAGCTCCTCATCAAGTTCGCCAAAGAATGGGGCCAAGCAGGCGACAAGAAGGCATCGGCCGTGCTCATCGGCGGCGACTTCAACAGCGAGCCCGAGGATGGCGCGTACAAGACCATCACGGCGTCTGGGTCAGGCATCTCTGACGTGTCGGACCTGGTGCCCAAGCATAAACACTACGGCAACGAAACTACGTACACGAGCTTCGGGGAGGGGTGGCAACCCTCGCGTATCGACTTCCTGTTCATCCAAGAGCCGAGAACAGCTCATGTCAAGACTTTTGGGGTTCTAGCGAATGGGTTTGATGATGGCGTTCGTGTTTCTGATCACCGACCTGTCGTGTCAGACCTGGACATTGTGGTTTGATCGGGCACAGGGTTGTACTGTGCCCAACGTGAGTGCAGTCTGTGATAAGTTGACGTATGCTTCTTCAGACAAGTACAGAGTGTCAATAGCTAAATACCTCAATTATGGTGCATGTATGTTTAATGAGGATGCTGTGGCGCTGGCTTCACTGCATACATGCCAGCAAGACAGCAGAGACATTATTTGAACACCGTTGCCGTGGCCTTTAGAATACTCATACAATAAGACTTGCCCCACGTTGTAGTTTGATATTTGACAGACACTTGAAACATATCTGATTACTGATAGCCGGATGAAGAACCCTCGACTGTTATCTTTGCACATCAAGGCTCTAGCGGCCATACAAGTCCGTCAACAGCCACAGTGAGTATGCAACTCGCTCTCCATGTATGACGAGATTGAGCACTGCCTTTCGAATCCCACGCCATCGATCGTAGAGTCACTGCATCGACTGCATCTGATACGATGGGGTAGCTACCCGTTCTCACGTTGATCCTTTCAACCGCAGGTGCCATGCAAGCTAGCAGAACGGGAAACATGCATAACCATAGATATCACTGTGTTGATCATCACCAAGCATAGATAGCAACTCGGCGAGTAATAAGCATCTCGCTATCGCAGACTTACATCTTCTTGGCCGAACGCCGGAAACTGACCTATCAACGACAAAACAACGTAACCGTGGCTGGCTGCCTGGGCGAGACACCATGCCAATGAGCCATGTCCGAGATGGGAATCTTCGGAAGATGAGGCTCTGCTCGGCAAAAAAGAACATGGTCCCCATGTTTGGACGCATTGAGGGGCAAAACGCAAAAAGCGGTGTGTGAAAGATGGTGGAGGAGAAGAGGGTTTGGGGCGCTCTCCAACTTCTCGTTGTGGTGGTTAGCAGCATCGACGGTTGAGTTCGGGGACACGATAGATACCGTCGTTCTCTGAGGGTGTAAACTTGATCACAGGTCGAAAATAGTAGATTTGACAAAGGAGCGGTCGCCTCCACTGATCTTCAAGCGGTGCTATGCAACTTGTGATTTCATGCAGCCATGGGCAACCGAAAGGAGCTATTGTTGTCTCAAGCGTGTTCTTGAAGATATTCAAGGCGAGCCGTTATACGCGGCCCCAGGAATACAATACTAGGAAGACCTGGTCGCGGTCTAGTACCGGATGCTTGTGCCTTTGATGGTTGCAATTATGCTTGTCATCCATAAGAACAAGACTAATATAGTTGCACTACCCACTGTAGTTCAGAACTAGTCTGACTCGTTGAGAGAAGGGAGAACTGGTAGTCATCGGTGTACGAGATATCTTGAGATTCACGATATGTTGCCTGTCAAATTGTTTCAACTTGATCTGTATAGAACTGTCTCAACTGGCCACCGGGAGCCGCATTCATAAACGCATATTTTGATGGTAACCACACATGATTAGACATAGCCTCAGTGAATGGCTGGAATCGTGAACTAATCATGCCGGCTGACGGCCCTGTAGAGCTGCGTCAATGCCTTGGATGCACGTCTAGCCTATCCCCACACAATCTGAAAGCCAAGGCAAGCCATCCGAGAGAACCCCGGCTGAAAGGTGTCCCCGTCTGGCTTAGCGAGCAGCAGCTTCGAACCCGGCAATTCACAAACTGGAGATGTTCAATCGTCTTCGTGCCTGTCAAGATAGAGCGAGGGCAACACAGCAGCGAGCTCGTAACAGTCCCAGAGATCTTGGGAAACACAAACTGTCAGCGTGGCATGTATAAGCAGACACGAAGCCAATCAACAACCTCGAGTTGACCGAATATTGCATCTTGGTTTAAAATCCGAGACATCGACGTGGAAAGTTGGTGGGCGAATGTGCAAAGCAAAAGGTAAACTTGAGGTTAGAGGGTGCAAGGTGATGGCCGTGCAGGGGCGTGGACAGGGACAACAGATGTCGATTATTGGATGGGTAGATCGAATGAGAAGTAGCAGCGTGTTCATCCTCGATTGCGACTCATCGAGGTCAGCTGATGAGGATGTCACCGACTCAGTACAGTATCAGAATTACTCCATGCAAGTTGCTCAAGAGCGCTGGCTGCTTGGTAACCGGGCACAGTTCAAACGACGACATAGTTACAATTGTATGTATTGTTGTTCTCGGAAGCGCCCGTCCGAATCTAGGTTTGAGTATGAAACAAAAACAACTCACATGACATGCTTAGAAGCGATACTGTGCTTGTTGTTCGTCGGTGGTAGGACGGAGAAAGCGGAGGCCAATCTCCGGTCTGGGCGCGGAAGGACAAGGAGGTGAAGCCGGAGAGAGTGGAGTCACTCGCTCCGGGGCTCGGAAGTAGACCCACCAAATTCCAAGCCGGACAGGAAACTGTGTTGGACACGTATTCATGCCGTGACGAATCGTGCGACACGATGCTTGAACGGAGGCTGGGCCGGATCGCCAGAAATTAACAGGGCATGAACTGGCGGCAGCATCGCCGAGTGCGGGACTAACCGCCCGAACTTGGTCATGGAAAGACTCCGAGGCCACTGTATATGGCCGCTGGAGGTTGGGCACCAGGCCCGTGCAAGCACCAAGCATGGATGGTCATTGCGGCAAAGCTATCTACCCATTACACCTGTCAAATAGAAACGTCAGCGCCGCAAGCGCGTTGAAATAAGTGACAGCACACTTGAGCAATTTTTTGCCTTCTGAGGAGGAATCGCAGAGAAATGGAAAGAGGCACTGTCGCAAGTAAACGAAACACATTCTTGCTCCTGCTATGAGTCAACTTTACAATAACCTCAAAACTTAGACGGCCAAGCCCGGAGCCTCAACTCAATCGCGACAACCAGTCACAAGTCCCAGACATGGATGGCAGACAGCTTGTCACGACCAGGTTTAACAGCGGTGCTTCGATATCCCACGTGTACCCCGCGCTGCACTCACGTCTGGCATTAACTTGGTGTAGATCGGGTTCATTGTTGGTACCCGAGCAAGGGAATTGAGCCAGCTTGGGCAAAGGTCTACGCCCAGTTAGGCACGAAGGTGAAGAAGGCCTCGGGGGCGGGCTAAACACGGCACTTTGGTGGAGGCGTAGATCGACGGAGGCGGCTTGAGGCACATCAACGGAGAATCGTGATGGCGTTTTACGCCCCTCTTGAGGGTAATCGGGCATCTCTAAGCTCTGTACGAGGTTCAATAATCATGATTGATTTCTCAGAGGCACAGCCGTTTGGCGAGTTCCGCATGGCTATCCTACTCTGTGTATCTTGTCCTACCTCGTCAAGCCCTTGTGGCATGGGTGCACAAGCCCCGATCTGCCTAGAAGAGCGGTTGAGATTCGGGCCTGTCATTTACTTGTCACTTATCGGGAACGGTCCATCTAACGGCGAACAAACCTGTTACGCTTCTTCTTGTTTCCTCGAGGTTTGGACGGAGCAAATTCTGTAGTCAGCCGCGGTTTATCTCAACATAGCCGTTGCAGTGCTGAGTGCAGTATTCGAAGCAGTTCTGTTCACTGGTAAGAAACCACAATTCCTCAAGAGTGAGCCACAATCTTTCTCTTCTTCATCTGGGAGGGGTGTGCCATCAGCCTCGTTCAGGTGTGCAATGCGGGTTTTGGCACCGGATATCGTTCGTGACTGGCAGACAGAGAAGGCGAGGAAGATTCGAAAAGAATCGTTGGATCAAAGGCTCTGAACAAGATCCACAGTTGGGCCTGACTGCTTGCGACTGGCGCCAGTCATACAAAGGCATTCCCTGTAAGATAACACCCAGACCCGCCAGAAAGTCTCTCAACAATCCCTCAAATGCGGGCTTTCAGGGCACCATCTGGGGTCGTGTCGACAGATCAGATCCATTCTCGGCGGCGCAGAGGGCTGGGTCGGGTTGCTGGGTCGCAAGGATTCGGGATTCGAAAGCGTCTAGCAGCTTTTATCGACAGCGAGCCAGTGATTAACCGCCTCACTTGTGGTTTATATGGATGAATGTTTATATGGCTTAGCGACTGTTTGCTGGTGTTTTGCATCGCGAATGTTTCACAGTCTGGAACAACTCACATGACAATTCAATGAATTGCCAGGGTCCATGTGTAATCCTGACATGGACTGGTCTGAATTGATGGCTGAAGTCGGTGAAAATGAGCCAGAACTTGGGGCTCGGTGGCTAGTTACCTTTAGTCATCATCGATAATGCGCTTGTAGTTTCGATATCGTGACCATATAAACGGCTAAGAGTAGTCGACGAGGCAAGAAAGAAGAGAGTTTCCATCTAAAAGACCATATCGACTGACAATTGTTTTGGCCGTTGAATCATTACAGGCATACCCCAGCATAGTTTTGAGAGTGACTCGAAGCTTAGTGAAAACTCCATCACCCAGCTCGCTTGCTTGTTGGTGGCCGTGAGCGGGATGGCTCCATAATCCATTCCATTCAGAACCACGACCAGCAAAGCACAACACAGCAAGAGTGAGGACCCCCACCTCTTCAATTTCTGGCATGACTGTTTTCTATGGTATTTTGAGTTTCCAATATTCAGGAGGGAATGGTAGACGGGAATTTAGAGTGAAGAAGGAAATCTGGTGCAACTATGTTGCTTAGCTGAGCAGGAGAAAATGCCAACTGCCAACGCATTGAGTGAGGCGGGCCGGAGCGAGAGACCCTCAAGGCTCCCCTGCCACCTCTGAAGTGTCCATGATGAGAGACAGAGATGCTGACGAATACGATACAGCGCATTCAGGAGTCATTGACATTCACTATCCATACATGAGTCGGGAAGCAAGAGGCGGGAAGCATGAACGAACCGGCGGATGTCTATGTTTGTGGCTACTGTGTTAATAATAGTGCACGTAGTGATCCGTTGCTGGATGAACGAGGATCGAGTGAGTGAGCGACTGAGTGAGTGTCTGTCTCACTGGCTCACTTTTCTGGTGCTGATGAATCAAGATATTTTGGGTAAACGAACGAGTAAAAACAAACGACAACCAATCTCTATCTGCGTCTTGTTCTGCTTTTGTGTCAGTGCCTTCGTCATTGCTCTCAGCGACTTGACGTGGTTGATTTGATTTGATTTGACTGACTGCAGTGTGCAGTTCCATTGCTGTGCTGGCTCCAGCGTTGAGTCGCTTGATTGATCGTCCATCGTCCCGTGGTAGTAGAACCACCCCCTCCCTTTTTGACGAGAATCTCCCTTGCTTCCTCTAGAGTCGCACCTTGAGGTGGGTTTACTTACACGCCCATCCACACTCATGCGCTTTCTCATTCTTTCTCATTTCCCTCCTCTTCTCTATCAATTGTGTAGAGTTTTCTATCACTTCAAGCTCGAGATATCGAGTCTTCCATGGCATGATCCAATTCTTGTTGTTCACATGACTACTCGTTGGGCTTGAATAAAATAGCCTCTCATCGTTGGCTCATTCTATCAAAACGTCAACGGCCACAACGGCCTGTGGCTGCGTGTCCGCCCTGGGCGGTAATAGTGCTGCATTACCACTAAAACTACCGGTAACAGATGGATCTGATTACCTGCACGCCCCCACACTCTCTGCTTCAGAAAATGCTGAACCCCCTTAGGCCCTGAAATTACCACCACCTGGGCGCTTTTATTAAAAACAGACCATCCTGTCCATCCATGCCCATCGCTTCTCCCCCCTCCTCCCCTCCTTCTTGTCTTGTCTTTCTCCTATGACAGTTTGATACATTGTCTTTTTAAAACAAACATATTTCTTCGATTCCTCGCTCTGCTTTCGCTTCCAGTCGAGCATTATATTCACCTCGAACAACATTATAGCATCAGCATCTACCAAGCATCGAACATTACATATCCGTCGCTACTAGCGTCTCCATTGAAAGCGCCCTGGTTTATGCCACTATCGTCACCGCCTTCTGTATCCAACTCACCAGCGACATTTTACTCACGACTTTTTTCGGCTGCAGCTGTCTTGGTCAACGAATTCGACTTCCTTCACATGTCGCTTGTTAGGTTTCACGAAAGGGGACGTTAAAGCATTGCGTTCGCGATCGCAAATACCGTCACCACCAACGCCACCGGCGCTCTCACCGCCTGGAGTTGCGATCTCATCCACCAACTGTGCCGTCCCACCTAGCGCGGTCCCTGTTCGATCCCGTCGAACCCCCTCTTCGAATTGACTCTTCTTGGAGCCGAATTCGCTCTCAAGTTTCTCCGATCTTCCAACTACACCATGTCCAACCACGTCTGCTACGTCGAGGATGCCGAGGAGGATTCAGGCAGCTCTGTCCTCGAGGGCATCCAATCCACCCGTCGCTATGCTGTTTCTGAAGCTCCCGGTCCCGCCAGTCCACCCAAGGAACGCCCCAACACAGGAAAGTCTCGCGGTGAAACCAGGCGATATTCCAGCCGGCGACAGGTTTCTCCTCCCAGTGAAGGGCTCTCCGATGAAGAGCCCCCTCGTAGGGAAGAGCGCCCCCGCCGAGACTATGAACGTGAAGCTCGTGAACAGCGAGATAAAGATCGACGTCGTAAAGAGCGCAAGCAGAAGGAAGCTGCTGAGCAGCAACAACGGAGGGTCCGAGCCGAAGCCAAACCACCTAAGGAACGTGAGCCCAAGCCTGTGAGAAGACCTCGCCCAACATCCCTCACCCACACCAAGACTGAGCCTGTTGTTCAACAATATCGCCGAGGTCGTGTCGAGGATCCCTCGTGTTATGGTGTCCAGCAGCCTGCCGTCTCTGGCATGCGCCCCCGTGCTCAGACTCGACCTCATAGCTATTACCCAGGACAAACCGCTCCTCCAATTTCCAATGCTGGCTGGCACCATGCCCAAGCTTCTCAACCTTCTTTCCCCGTCGGATCATTCCCGCCGCCACCTTACTTCCCTGGAGGACAGTCTCCCTCAGTGGTCGGCGTTCCGCCTTCGCCCGGCCCAGGTGCTGGAACACCTGGGTTCTTTGATATGCCCTCGCAGCAGGCCAGCGCCCACCTCAGAAACCGTTTTGAGCGGCCAGCTTCATCCATGGGTTTCCGTCAACAGCAACCTTCCCCATCAAACGTTGGGTATCCTCAGGATGACTTTGAGGAGGAGGAACAGCCTGATCCCCGTCTCATTAGACGTGCCTCTCGTTCCAAGAGGCCTCAACAGAATGACGAGGATCGCCGGCGTATGCCTCCTCCTGACAGCATCCCACGGCCCAAGTCTGCAATGCCTCCTCCAACCACTCCATTCCGCCCCCCTCCTCAGTCATTGACAAGGCAAAAGACAAGGACTCCCTCGCGGCCACCACCTTCGGGTCGTAGCCGTGTTGGGTTTGTTGACCAAGGCTATGAAGATGAAGACTACAACGACAGTCCCGGTCTTTTTGCGGACTCTCCCGAGGCCAATTTCGATCGTCGTACAGCTTTGGCCCGTACTCGACGCAGTTCTGTCGCTTATGAGCATCATGGTGCTGATCTTGTACCTGCTCGCACTCGACGAGGCTCCGTTGCATATGAACAGCGTGGAATCGACATTGTGCCTGCCCGAACTCGACGAGATTCCTACTACGAAGATCGCTCACTTGGTGGTGGAGGTGTCAGTTTGGATGAGGATAAATACCTGGACGCCATGCGATACCAAGACGACATCAATGGCGGTCCCGCCATGCCATTGACTGCTGAAACCCTACGCAAAGCTAGCAACCCTCGGCTTGGCGGTGGGAGCAGTCGAAGCAGCGGCAGCCATGATGATAGCGAATATAAGCGAAGCAACACCACTGGTCTCACCCGTTCTTCTTCAAGCGATACTGACAATGTCACGATCAAAGTGTCAGGCTCGGCCGTCGTGCGAGTGTCGGGTGCTGAGATTGAGTGCGGCGATGGAGGCGAGATCACATTTTCAAGACCTACCGGCAGCTCTAGAGTTGGCAGCGACCGCGCTAGCAGTTACTACCAGCTTGAAGATGTCCGCAGCCGAGTTGAACAGAAGGCTCTCCCTTACCGACCACACACTCCCAGTCGTTCTGACTCGCATCATCGTGGATATTCTGGAAACCATGCACCATATGATCCGTCCTTTGCCATGGACGACTACATTTACTGATGATTTTTTCTTATGAGAGATGACAAAGTTGATGATCAGCGCGTTTTTGCATTTTTGTTTTTTGAACTATATCTATTTCTTCTTTCTTATTTCCTGCATACAAATGTCTACGGGATGGGCAGCGTTTCGCCTATAATCTTGAATCTTGGCCATCGATGAGCATTTCGGTGGACGTTTTGATTACATTCAAGCTGCGGTCTTGAGCTCAGAGTTGAATTTATACACTCAGCTCCTATCTTGATGCTTGTATTCTTGGGTCAAACCCTCCCGTTGGCTTCGTGGCAGAAAGTTGATACCCCAAAAGCGGTGATGGTGGAAGCATCCAGTTGATGGTCCAGCTGAGTTACCAGCCCGGTTCTACCATCTCGAGGTACCAGTACCAACAGCGCTTACTGAAAGCTCAACTTTTTTTTTATTCGGAAATCATGTACGCCCAGATGGGTTGTTTTGGAGTTTGGATGGGTAGCGGAAGGGCACCAGTACGTCCTCAATGAACAGATGTCTTACCTTGTGGTGGCTTTGAACCGAAGTGTCTTTTTCCGATGCATGGTCGTTGCTACCTAAAGGGTGTAGATTCATGTTTAGGAGGACTGGCCTTGATTGGACTGGGACTAGACAATTTCCCATTATTTTTCTGCACCCCTTGCTGCGATCTGATCAGCAAGAAATCCCTGTGGGAAGCTGCATGAGAGACGGTTATGGATATGGCTTGTGTATTGCATTGTTGAGCATAGTGTAAGAGGAGGAACTTGAGACTTGGCTGGAACTACCATTGGACCCTTGTCATCAGAACGATAGATTGTACGGGCAAACGAGGTTCGCGCCTCTACCTGCTGCCCGGCAGAGAATAATCTTATGTTACAACCAGCATGACATGCATGTTTGGCTTCTCTATTCTACTTGTTCCGAGACATTAACTGGTGAACTGTGACAAGATCTTCGGCTGATCATTGTGGAGAAAGGGTGGCAGATTGATTGTGAGTGGGCTGGACAGAGATGAAGGATTTTGGTTGAAACGGAAGATATCGTTTGGGGATGGAGAGACTGAGAGTAACAAGGCAATGACTGGGTGGATATGATTGAGTTTGAACCATGGCAAAACACTGGGAACATGTTGCTAGCTATCCCTTTTTCTCCTGTCTCAGGTGTCTGAGTTTGTGCATAAGAAACTGGCGATCTGTTGTATGTGTAGATTAACCGCTCCAGAACAGCTTTCATCCGGTGTAAGCGCCCAACATATTCATGCAAACGTGAGCAGTTGCTGACGCTGTCTCAGGGGTAGAATCAGACATGGTCCGCCAGGTCTCAAATATGTAGCCTAGTGGCATTCCGATGTCAAACTTGAACAAGATGGTTCGAAGTATCACAATTGCTTAATGCAAATCTTAGGTAGGACAATAGCTGTCTCACAAAGGCCGGCGCTACTGCCAAGAATCTTCTTTTTATGCGGGCTAAAATAGAGCTCGTCAGTCCCATTCCCAAGATGCAGGAATAAAACTTGAAGGGGGGCGTGTGCGTTACAAATCTGGAGCATCAAAGTCGTGGACAGCTGTCATTGGTTGATGACCAAATGGGCTTTCTGTGCGAGGTTGCCTGGTCAGCAGTCGAGTGTTGTTTACTTTCGACGTCATTTGAAGATTGTGGCTGGATTCTGGTGATGAGGAGGTCAAAAAAAGCGGTTGAACCTGATGTAAACTTTACAAGGAAATAATTCGAGCTCTGATTTGATATCGTTCAAGATCATCACCTTCTTTTTATCCTGTTGTCAAGCTTCGAGAACGTTGTAAGAATTTGTGACGCGCACGTTGAAGCTGCCCAACCACCCGTTGCGCATCCCAGCCACGCACTTTACAGGCCTCGTTTCTGGGTTAACCAAGCACCATCGCCCAGCCTGAGCCACGCAACACTCTTTCTCCTTATCTCAAAAATAACACTAATTCCATAATCAACACTCCACGACTCATTTAACGATAACCATTACTTACCACAGTCATTCGATTGATACATCAAGAATACTCACGTCAACTGCTTGGTCTTATTTACGATTGAGCTCGGCTGGGCTACAGCACCCTGAGCCTAGCTTGCACATATCTATACTCGACTGAGACCTCTTCATTCTACTTCATTCCATCATGGCGCCCGCTATCATCCGCTCATTGCGCAGTGCGTCTTCACTCACACAGCACGCCCCTCGTACTGCCGAGGCCTTTTCCACACTCTCGGGACACTTATTGGAGGGCAGTAAAGTGCTGCTAGCTCGAGAGAATAAAGACGACGACAAGAACGATAGACACAAACCATCGGTCGAACCTGAATCAGGCTCGTTCGACCCTCACGACATCAGCAATGCCGGTTTCTTCTTCCTTTTTGCCCTGATCGGTGTGGTGTTCGTGTGTACCGGTATCTGGTTCTTCTTCTGGGCAAAGAACGGTGGCTTCCAATTCAAGGAAACAGATTGGGATGACTACAAATCTACGGTTCTTCGACGCACCGGGCCTAACGGCACTATTCTCTCCAACGCAACCCGACCAACAAACCTCGGTGGTGGTAGTGTATACAAGGACGTGGACGATGACAACACGACTGTAGTCACAGAGAGCACAACACTTACTGGTATCACAGCTGGAGCAAGCGACATTGGTGCACGTGAGAAGCGACGCCGCAAGCAGGAAAAGCGAGACCGTGAACGTGCGAAGAAGGGCAAGAAGACTAGCCGTCACGTTGGCGAAGCAGGTGTTGAAGACGAGGAAGCCGAACTTGCAGCCAAGAAGGAACTCCGCAGCTATCGCCATGAAAGACCTGCCCGCGTCGGCGGACTGAACAAGGAGAGTGAAGGCTCCGAGTGGGACGGCTCTACCAACCCCGGCACCGAATCTAACGTCTCAACAAACCTTCTTTCTGACCGTCAGACCACTCCTACAACCACACCTACCAAGTCCAAGGGCGGCATCCGCAAGGTCTACTCCACCGCTGATCGTCGTGAGAACCGTGAGGCAGAGCGCATGCGCGCCGAGGCCCGTCGTCTTCGTGAAGCTGGCCGAGCAGCCCGTCGTGATTTCAGCTACCAACGTGCCGAGAGCTACACCCGCGCCGACAGCCAGGTCAGTGAGAGTCTTCTCGATGGATCGCAGGTGACTCGTACCACAGACGATAGTGGCGATCTGGGTACCAAGAGTTATCACCACCCGATGCCTGAGCTGAGGGAGCTTGAGAGGGAGAGGGCAAGGGAGGAGAGACGGGCACGAAGAGCGCAGAGGGAATATCGACGAGGACGAGGAGAGGAGTGTTAAGGTTGACGTGATATGGGTATGACGAAAGTCTTGAATGGGCTATAAGGTAAAATGCGATTTTCTTACTTCGGGTTTGGGTTGGGTTCACTGCATGCATGTAGATGTATAACGTTAATGTAAATAGGCATGGTAACGGTTTCTCACGGACATGAATTGATATGCTGAGATTGTTAGATTATGAGATAGGCAATGCATTGAATAAACATGATGCTCTGGCTTGTATGAAAATGAAGTTATGGTCGTGAATGTGTAGATATAATTAGGCGCATCATTAATGTCAAGGTACTTGGGGCATTAAACTATGAAGGTTTCAGCCATAATAGTTACCAAGGTTATGATCTTCACTTTGCAACGACTTGTTTACTTTGACTAAAAAGGACGAATAATGAAACTATCGTCCAATGTCTCACATGTCTCCCTAAACATGCTACTACCTTCCATAAGCAGGTCATGTTTCAGATCCTTTGGATATTAATTAGAATAATGTCAGGATTGCAGGATTTGACAGTTCGTTGGCTGACGTGTAATTCATGGAAATTAATAGACGCAAGGCGTATCGCGAAGGCTCAAAATAGCACACGAGCTGAGATGCTCTGTTGTTTTGACGGATAAGGCGCTAAGATCCATGGAGGATGTGAAACCTGGGGGCGTCTTAGCTGTGAGGGTACAGGCACCGGGCCGAAACAAAACTGCATTTGCATTGCTTGGTATTATGCGATATGTTGGAGACTGCAGATTGCTGCTGTTGTGAATGTGTGAGTGAGTGATTATTAGGTGATTAGGTCTCTTACTGCTCACGTCACAGATACAATATCGTAAAGTCAGTAACAAAACTCTCAACGTCGTCATCAGCGTCGCATTTCGATTCGCTTCGCTTCTTTTGGTTCCTGTCCTGGTCTGACAAGGTTCCAGGTCCAGGTTCATCAGCCACTTTGAGATTCCATTGACTGATGATGGTTCTGGTTCAGCCTTGGGATACATGAGGCCCCACGCTGAGTGTTAGTGCTATGCAGTGTAAAGTGGTGATCCGCGCTAACACGATGCAAGCGTTGTCATGTCCCATCAGCCCGCTCCCGCTGCTTCCGTCGACCCTTGGGCCCCTCTTTAGGCTTCTCACTGAAGGTGATCCCCCTGCGGGTGCCCCGTCGGGAAGTGGTAGAGGTCACCCCACCAGGAGGTCACTGGTAACGTCCACTGTCTGCTTCAATGGGCTTATGACGGTAGTGTTAGAGACAATTGTTCGCTCTGTATAGAGAAGCTTGTCGTTAAGAAGCTGGTGTTAGGTCAATGTCTCTCTAGAAGAACTCTTCAAAGAATCATCTAGCAACTTTTGATTTACTGATAGTCCGCAGTTTGCGTTCGAGTGGCGATATCGCGTGGGCTAAAATCTAGTTAGGCCCGTATTGTGCTGTAGGCTTATCCTCCTCCACATTTGATCCAATCCTCTAACACCAACAGCCAACCACCTCACCCAAAGGCGCCTCGCCTCTCTCGTCTCTCCCTCCCCCGTCTTCGTCATTCTCCTCCTTCACCATCACCACCAAATCTTTTGGCCTCATTCCCCATCCTCCTCAAGTTCATCTTCACCTTCTTTCGGCGTTTTCGATTCCTCCGTTCATCAATATTAGCGACTTCGTCTTCGACTGACTCCTCAGCCACGTCTCCTTCTGCTTATCTCGCCGCGCGATTGATTCTTACATGTACTATTTGCGGCGGTGACGCCGTCCGCCAAGATCCGTGCCTTGATTGTCCCCGACCGACCGATCGATCGACTAATCTGCACAACACGATCTATACAATCCGAGCCAAACGCAATTCCCCTTGAATTAATCTCTCGACCCGATCAAGAACAAGCAAATCGAATCAAAATCAAGAGGCGGTCATTAAATACTTTGTCCGTCGCCCATCATGGGGCTCTCTTCCAACCCGTCGTCTGCCTTTACAGGCGTCGTCATCGGCCTCGTGTCATCCTTCGGCTCCATCGTCCTCATCGCCCTAGTTATCTTCATCTTCTGGGTTTCTGGCTGCGCGAGTACCGGTCGTATCATCCTCGATCGTCTCGGTCGACCTGGCGAATACGATGATGAACAAGCGTTCGCACGCGATGAGGCCGAGGCCCTCGAGGTCATGGATGATATGTCTCGCCAAGAATATCTACGTGCAAAGGGTATGTCACCAAACGTTCGCGCTCGCTAATCTGGCGAATGTATTTTACTAACATCCGTTGCGTCCAAAAGCCTGGGTCACTGCAAACCCTCCCGAATCAATGCAGACTGATATCTCTCTGTCTCAATACCTCGCCATACAAGAAAAGGGTGTCTCCGCATGGGAATTTGAGCCTGAACTGGAGATCGCCAACTGCTTTGTCGAAGCTCGTACCGAAATCGAATTCTTTGACTCGGAATGCACCGTCATGAGCAATCTCCCTGTTCCCAAGCAGAACGATGTCTACTACTGGGAAGCCAAGATCTACGAAAAGCCCGAAAACACTCTTCTCAGTATCGGCATGGCTACCAAGCCTTATCCTCTCTTCCGACTGCCGGGTGAGTTTGTCACAATTTGATCCTCCATGACCCGTTACTGATTTTAATGCCAGGTTATCACAAGTACTCTGTTGGATATCAATCTACCGGTGCCCGCCGCTACAATCAACCATTTGGCGCGACTCCCTATGGTCCCCCGCTGGTGCAGGGCGATGTCGTTGGGGTGGGTTATCGTCCTCGAACCGGTGCTATCTTCTTCACTCGCAATGGTAAGAAGCTCGAGGAGGTTGTTCACGGACTCAAGGCGCAAAACTTCTTCCCTGCCATCGGTGCAAACGGCCCTGCTACTATTCACGTCAACCTTGGTCAGGCCGGCTTCGTCTTCATCGAGGCCAACGTCAAGAAATGGGGTCTGGCTCCTGTGACTGGAAGCCTGGCTCCTCCGCCACCATATGGATCTGAGCAGGGTAGCATACTGTTGGAAGCTGGCACCAAGGACGGCAACACTTATCCTCAAGGCCGGCAACACAGCCACTCCATCACTGCAAGCTCTTACAACACACGCAACCCATCTAACGATCTGAACCCTTCGCATGGACGAACACGTAGTGGTAACTTTCGCGTCCTTCCTCCAACAAGTCCCGGACCAGTTAGAAGCTCGACCGATATTTCTTTGGCTCATTTTGTACCCAACGAGGAGAACGGCGAAGCTAGCAGCAATGCCGGACCTCAACAGGAGACGCACGACCACAACCCTCTGCATCTGCATCTCGAGGATGCGACAAACCCGCCTCCTGAATACCAAAGTCCCGACCATTCAGGTAGCGAAGATGGTCGATATGGAAGTGACAGCGAGGAAGATACGCCTCTTATTCGCGTAATGAACCGCAGCCGAGGTAACTCTTCCACTACGGTGCTTCCCTCACGGCAAACTCCAAGTCCTCGCCAACCACCAGTACCCAGCTATAGTGACGCTATGCGACAAGGAGCTGGTCGTGACCGTAGTGATAGTGCTCGATTACCGCCACCGAACCGAACGCCATCCAGTAGACCTCGCAGTAGCACTTCTGCTTGAGTGGGCATTCGAATGCGGCCTGCTGATTCACAAGTTTTATACATTTATTCATGAACGTCTGAACATGACATCGAAGACGAACGGCGATGCTCAAGAGATGCAGCATCGACGACATATGATACCGGAGTTGACAGGACCGATCCCCATACATGGTCCATTTCAATCGTTGTTTTCTCGCACAGGCGCCTTGGAGTTTTGAGCATTGACAGACGCACGTTTCCGAGGTATAAGAGCCTCCAAACGGTCGGCAGTCGTCTTTTTTTATTTTGTATTTTTAGACAGGAAATCTGCTTCGGTCTCGGGGTTGTGAACCGGCTGGATATGAGTTCCTGGAAAGGGGGCCGGAATGGAATATTGATACCAACAACCTGGATGGATTTGCGCTCCTTTTTTCATTTTGACGCTTCCTGTTTCCTTAAACATGGCCCCCCACTACGTATCTGAGACTGGTCGAAGAGCGTATGGATGTTTGGATAGTGGCTTATGCACTGATGGCCATAAGGGCGTTGATGTTGGATGAGGCCTCGGTCGCTGTCTCACAATAAAAGGGGCGACTTTGAGTATAAAGTAGTGGAAGTACTTTCGATATGAATTCACAGCCACTTATACTATCGCACCTTTTCATGTGTTGATATCATGAAGCCAGGTGATGTGAAATGGCTTATGTATACGATGGCTCTGGCGGGCTCTAAAATGTGGGCTTCATAAGGCTTAGTTGAGGTAGTGATACAACTGACCCTCTAGAGTCACCAAATAACAGCAGCTAAACATAGAACTTTATACGAAGTACCAATCATTTCCTAACTACCTACTTATGATATTTGATGTTCACAACGCCCTACATCTACAGGAGTCGCATTCTATGCACTGCACTATAAGAGACCATGGCCTTGATCATCAATTACAACAACCACTCCTTATTAAGTCTAGATTGATGACAACTGTATAATGTATTTCCTAGGGACAATTACCATCCTCTTCCTTGCCCATCCTAAATGTACCAGCTGTCGCTCTTAAGGTACGGTGCCACAAGGTACCTTTGATATTGGCTTCAACGCCGAGATCATACAGCTCAACAACTGTCTTCTAACCTACAGCATCGACTAAATCTACAGGATATACAGCATTGCGACAGGAAGACTGGCAACCGAGTTGAAATGCGTTTGCCTAGATGTATCTTTCATTCCGAGGTACTTACCACTCAAGTCTATCCCCATGGCCCTGTTCAGAAAAAGGCCGGCGACCAGAAGCCCAAATCCCCCAACTCAACTAGAAAGAAGTAGAAAATCATCTAGATACATTGGTTTTCATAATTCATATTGACCACCAGAGTTCCGATCGATATTATCAAGATTTGCTGTGTGTAGGGGCCAAAAGCTGAGCGAGTCAATTATTTTGGTGCATGTACTTGAAAATGAGAGGTACCTGGCTCAGTACTTGGTCGCCGTCAACTATCACAGTTTCCATTGTAAGACATCACATTCGTACCAATAGCATAATGAGTGTAAACATCGTAGATTATCAATTAACCTCCGGGCGGATCATAAAAGAACTGCCATCAGACATCAATCTTCTCTACATATCCAAAAACATAATCGTAGCTAACATACAGCAAACAAGCAGTCTATCCTCACACGATATCCATCGCATGTTTCATATCATCCAAGCGTACATATCCAGCCATGGCCTCTCTTGAAGAGCCAGGTAAATCCAAGTCAAAATGCAACTGTGCTTCTGTTCCGTGTTGTTCCATCGCTGCTCCAGGCTCTGCGAAGAGTCGGGGCGCTGCAAGCACCTATCCCAAGCATACATACATCAAACAATAAAATATGATTCAAAGCGCCAAACAAATGCTATCTCAAAACTCCTTTCAACGCCAAACTTTTTTCCAGGCGCAGTAAAAAAACAAAAAACAGTCGCTATGCTTTCCGGATACGGTTCTTCCGCCATCTTTGGCGGAAACCGTAAGGAGTGAATTCTATAACCGATCGAAATCTCATAAGTCGTCATAAAGGAGTGTCTATCGGGTATCATGGTATGAAGGAATGTCGTTCCTCTGAGGGCGGGTATCATAAGGAGTGTGGAATATAACACGGCACTTCCAAATGCGCGTGTTAGTCGAGTGGTAGGGAGTGTCAGCGTCGTTGACGTGGAGGTTCGGGTGTAGCGAGCGTTGAAGGAGTGTGATATACATGGCGCCTGCGTCGTTTTCGGAAAAAGCAGAATATCGAATTAAATCATAACAGTAAAAACAGATCGGTGGTGAATCGAAGTCGGACTTGGTATCAGGTGGCTCGACGTCGGGTATTGTCGTCATATTGGTGCATCACAGGGGGTCGTGCCAGAGGAGAAGGTGGGTGCGGGGCAGAGGACATGGACGAGGTATGGCGATGTCGTGGGAGCGGCGCGTTCGACGAGAGGGGAGATTCGGGGAGAGGAAGCATGCCGAATTGCTCTGACTTGATATATGGAGATTGGGTGCTCGTCATGGAAGTCATGTATAGACTCGGGTCCTCTGGAGGCGGGTATGTAGGTGTCGTGTTCATCCTGGGTGGTAACGGTCAATCCCCTAATGTTCTTTGTGTAAATTGAGCCAGTGGTCGTCTCGAGGAGCCTAGATCCACACAGCCTGGACAGGAGTAACGAACCCGACGCCATAGTTTTGAGGGGAGTCCTGAATTGATGAGGATGGCCCGCCTTGTAGAGTGTTCATGTCCCATGATCTATACTCCTCGGTATCGCTGTATGCGACAGAGCCCTCGAAAGTCGAGGATGCTGGGCTGTAAGCTCCATTGTACGCTGGTGAGGGAACATTGAGGTACTGCTGGCTTGGATACGGCGACAAGACCAGGGGGCTCACTGCAGAAGGTGGTCCGGATGCGTTGAGCATGGGCATTTCCTCAGTGCTGTAGCTGAAAGCAGGATTTCCGTACAGATACGACTCATGGGTGGGCACCTCCTCCTGGATAGTGAAATTGCGAGGATTGAACTGAGGGAAAGAGGGAGTTCTTTCAGGGTGCATCCATCCCATACGCGACCGAAACTGGCTGACTGTGTCGATAGGGAACTCCATAAGGGTCAAGGGAGTTTGCATCTCGCTTCCGACACCAGAAACATTGATCGACATGAGTCGCCGAGCAATCTCTTCAACGGGAGAAATAGACAAACTGCCAAAATAGGCGGCGCCAATCTCTGGGAAGAGCCGTTCCATGAGGAGAGCCACGGTATACAGATAAGCAATGATGACCAGCGAGTTGGGAGAGCCATGGTAGTTCTGCAGGTAACCCACGGGCATCCAGAAGAGCCATTTGCGGAGAGGCTGAAGACGCTCAAATTGCTGAGCAATGGAGAGCGTAGGGCTGATCTTGCGGGAGCCTCGGAGGAAGCCAATGAGATGCTGAATCTGTGTAGTATCTTCCTTGTGGTACTTGAGGTGTGCCTCGACTTTTTGAATCTGCTCGAGCGTGCGCTGGTAGGCCTCCAGATCCTCAGGGCGAGGCTGGCTTGGGCGATGATCCTTTCCGGGAGATGGCGGGGCGGTTGGGAACGTGCTGCTCTCGGCGATGAAGTCTCCGAACTGGGACTCATGCTTCCAGGGGTCCATGGCATCGATCACCTATCTACAGGTCAGTACAGTTCTACTATCACAATCGGGCCAACTTACCGATGAAGTGCCTTGCATCAACTGGGTCCAGCTGCGCCTAATTATGCTGTTAATTCCCGTCACTAGATGTTGAATTCGTGATTCTTACCAGTCAGTGGCCTGCCAGGAGAGAACGAGGGAGGCAGCGAGGATAGCATCCGATGTCTCTCGGGAGAAAGACCCAATGGCTTCCTGGAGCCCCTTGAGGGCAATGCCGCGGTGCTCATAGGCCATGCTGCCAACTAGAGGGCAGTCGGTGAGGAAAGCAATATGCATAGCAGAGAAAGCGAGCAGAGCGTGCATCACATAGGGTGTCGTGGCACCAATTCGAAGAAGACTAGGGTCGGAATTAGTATATACCAATTTGAGTGTTATGTTATTTCGACCTACGTTGGAATATGGCGAGTCCAAAGGGTGAAATTATTAGCATCGATGGTAGCTAGTTGGTAGTATAGCGTCGCAACGTGGTAGATCAGACGGAGATCTTCAACAGAGTACAGATGTGGCATTGGGGCAGGGTATATTCCCAGGCTGGGGAGCGGGAAGATGCCTGTCGTTTGCCATTCAGCAATGGCGGCTTCAATCTGGGGTGTCCACATCAGGTCTGGCTTGTCGGGAGTTGTAGAGCGCTCAGCATCAGGAACCTGCACGTCGTTGTATGGGCATCGAATCTTGTGCTTGGTGCAATTTCGGCTTCATCTGTTAGCCTGGGAACAAGAAGTGTTATTCGGATCACAACTCACCATTGGGGGAAGTTTTCATCGCATCGGATATGGCGGCGCTTGCTGTGAGTAATTGTTAGTGTTGTGCAAAGTCATCATGAATTGATGGGCTATACCAGGTATCACAGCCCTTGCGAGACTTGGTGTGGCTGCGGCGAGGGGGACCACCACCGGGACCAGCCATTTTGCAAATGTTACAGAGGTATCTGTAAATTAGAACTGTTGGGTAAATAAGTACACGCACAGCTTTTCATGAGGCTCAAGTGACATACACGAAGTGATCCACAAAGACAAGCTTGTGGATTTATAGCGAGCGTTGGAGTGACAAGGGCAGCAAGTGATCTACCCAGTCAATCGGTTTCCAGGAATCGATCCAAGGAGTCCGAATTAGAGATAGTTCGTGAATGGGGTCTCGTAATAGACAACAATTCAGCGTAGAGCGTCGAGAGGCTGTACTGAGGTGCAAGTCGAGGATTCAAACTTATACACGGAGGGCTTCAACAATCTAATGTGACTGAGATGCTCGATGGACTCTACGGAGCAGGGATGATCAAGGCCAGATGAGTTGAAGAGATATCTAAAACCTTGACCAGTGATGCTGCGTGGTACAGTAGATAGTCTATATCCAAGTCTTCCAAACGAGTGGTAGCGATCGAATATGGCGGTTAATTTGGGTTTCCTCCCTTTGGAGAGAAGTTGTGATAGCTTTGGAAGCGACTGTGGGTATGCAGAAGTGAGGATATCAAGTGATTGTAGAATCGAAAGCCAAGATGACCATGTAAGTGCACTTGAGAAGCCTCGTTTCCACTTGAGCCGGTAGTTGATTATTGACAGATTGAGTTGGAGTCCAGAAGGTTTTGGTGTAAGCCGTGGTCTCTATCTGAGAATTGGTCTCTGCACTTCGTGTTTGTTCCTGATTATACACAATGGGAAACGATTGAATACCCAGAGATATGAGTTGAGAAGCGTATCGTGAAGGAGGATCGTTGTTCCAGAACCAAAGCACCGTGAAATAAAAAGCGAGTGACAGGAGTCGACGAGGACTTCCTAAGAGAGTTGAGAGAGGTGAGGAGGGTGAGGAGGATAGCGAACGTGGTGTTGACTTGTAAAGACGAAGATGTTTGTTGTAGATGACCGAAAGGGAATCAAGAGGGGATTCGAGAAGGAGCTGGGGACGATGGCATTGTTAAATACAAGCGAACCTAATCCACAGGCAGGTGCGGTGCGGTGCGGGAGCAGCTCAGATGGGGGAGGGGAGGAGCAGCCGGGGTGTTAGAGGTGAGGTGTGTGGGAATGTAAGGTAGGTGCTAGGTAGGTAAGGTAAGAGTGGGATGGAAGGAACGGGTGGAAGGCTGTGTAAGGGTACCTACCGTGTTGTACTGTACTGTGAAATGCTTGCAATGGATGAAAAGAGCAGTAAACTGTAAGAGTAAGGTGAGGTAAGAGGTGCCATGTGCCATGATGCAGGTGCCAGCAACCTAACAGACAGCAGCGTCAGTGCCAGTTCACCACCAGTCCTAAAAGCGTACAGCCCATGGGCACCCACCACCAGCCAGCCTTAGTCTCCCGATTGCCTGCTGTACTTGAGCCTGAACAGCTTAGCATAGCATAACATCAGAATCACCAACAACTACACTACACTACGGATACCTGACCTGCCATTCAGAAGCGCAGGAATGAGCCGAGGGAGCGTCAAGACAGGCGGCGAGCTCGGCCTCAGACTAGGGGAATTGTGGGCTGTGGAGTGCGGGCCCCGGGACTACGGCAGCGGACAGCAATGGATGAGTCCCAATGAATCGGATGCTGGTTCTTGGCCGTGAACCCCGAGTACAGCTGTAACTCTGTGGTATCCGCGCCGCCGCCTGCCTGATGAGCAAGTGTGCGATGGTGCGGTGCTGGTGCTGGTCTGGTCTACCAAAAAAACATAACCCAACCCAAGACGCTAGAGATGGGGTGTGGTCCGGTGCCACAGCTCGGGCAGGGGGGGGGGCGTCCTACAGCCTCATCAGTAATAGGGCCGCTCTTCAAAAGATCCCTGGGCTGGGCATCTGTCATAGTCGAAAAAACCCATTCATCTGTTTGCGGGTTCTCTAAAGAAAGCGTCGGTCACAGACCATCAACCTTAGTAACACATCCCTTCCATGCCAGATCAGAGGGGCTCAAGGTACCATAAGGATTGGTCAGGGAGCAGAGGTAACCTTCTAAGCGGGAGGACTGCGGAGTATGTAGGGGTGCTGAAGCAGCAATTGGAGATGCTCAGGCTAGGGGTCAGTTCCATACCTGAAGATAACATCGATCCATACCAGGTGCTTCTGCTGTGCTATTTTGGGGAGCAGGCGATTGGAGATGGTTCATTGGTGGCCGGGCGACCTTGCTGGCTTGTGCTCGTCCCATGGTTCTACACGACCGCCGAGATGGTACTGCAATGCAATGCTTCCCTTTCTTACATGGGCGGAATGTTCCTGAAATCATGAGGTTGAGTCTGGCCGACATGGTGGTGGCGGGTAGAAACCCAGTCCAGCCCAGAATGGGCAAATAATAGCAATGAAGCATTAATAATTAATCACAAATACAGCAACCGAATGCGAGTACCTGAGGTATAGTAACAACAAGAGATAGTAGCGGACGGTGGCACCTACAGAGTGGTGTACCGCAGCGCCCAGTTACTCAAAGTTTTTGACTCTCAACAGGTTGGTTGTTTTGTCATCCAGTTGTAGCAAACATCAGACATTCATCACAGCACGGTCGGGTGTCAGAAGACCCGACGCTTTTCCACCAGAGGAAGAAAATAAGCCGACCACATAGGCTCTCCAGTTTATCCAGATACAGTTTGATAGTTTTTGTCACCTGGGACTTTGGTCCTAAATTTTCTGTCATCCTCAGTCACAAAAATGGCGGCCGAGCTAGGGGAAACAAGAAAACTGAGGACCTCGACCCTAGGTGACAAAAAGCTATAGGTAAGTTATCACGAGCTGAGGGTGCTTATTTGATGGGTTTATTTTCATACCCTTTGTCAAGGTCAGAAGTTTTCTTGCTCCCCGAGGCCGAGATACAACCTTGCACGCAGAGGGCATGACGCACATGGCCCAGGGTCAAGGGGTTAGGGAGAGCTCCATTGTCTTAGATCGTTGAGACTAGTGTCCGTCCTCCGCTTTTCCGCGGTGTCCGGAAAAGAAGCTGAGACTTCTTGAGAGAGACAAAAGAAGAAGAAAGAAGTAGAAACGAGAGAAGCCCTGTCTCGACGTATCGCCAAGGAGTTCACAGGTAAGTGGTGACTAAACTGAAAGTCGAATGAGGGGAAGGAAGGGTGACAAAAACACTAGGTGACAAAGTAAAAATAACTTTACATGTCCGTGCCCGGCGTAGGTTGTTTTCTCCCTTAAGACACAGGGGGAATTTTAGTCGTTTAGAGGTTCAACCACTGAGTTTCCCTACAGAGAGAGAGATGTTGGCTTGCTCAGTGCACTGGACTGGTAACTACCTTACTGTATGAAAGTTAGGCTGGGCTGGGCTGGGCTACGGTGCCCGTGGACCCCGGTCTACGGCTCAACTTGGCTCAAGTAGCGGATTTGGTTTCCATTCGCTCATTCTGTGCCAGACTCGAGTCGCTGATTGGCTCGTGCGTTTACGACAGGGCGAAACAACATTGGGATTGGGATGGCGGGCGGGCTCTCAGGTGGTGGTAGACGACGGACGGGGCGTCGGCATCATAGACCAGAGACGGACAAGCCGGGGCCGCCGGTAGTTGAAGCTTTGATATTGGGTCCCTGCGAGAACCGAGCCATCTCAAATCCAAATCCAATCCAATCCAGCCCAAAACATCCAAGGCCCTGTTCAGAGTAAGGTAACGGCCAGGCTGGGGTTGAACAAATTGCCTTGCATTGCATTACAAGCGCCATCTCAGTGGCGACATGGCTCCAGAAACGGCACATTTTACCCTGAGGCTCGAGATCAGAATATGGAGAATATCTATAAAAAGTGACAGTCTAACCGGACACAGTATGGTTGTAGATGAGTAACACTGGAACGTTACTTACGGCCCACCGTAAGATAAACGCCGCACGAATGCTTTCACAGTGGCTTCGCTTCGTTATTTGTTTGTTCGTCAGTTTCCAAATCTTTGGCTCGTGTCGCCCCAGGTATCTCAACTTGCAACTGAGACAGAGCCACGGGCCGCTCCTACGAGTCGAGTATCTCGTCTCTGCGCCTTTCGGAGCTGGAAAACATAAGACCATGACGTCGTTGGTCAGTGTTCTGCGTACCGCCATGTAGGTAAGGATCTCAATGTTGCGGTAGCAGTAGCAGTAGCAGTAGCAGTAGCAATTGTAGGCGCAGTCAGTCTGGCTAGGCCTATCTTGACGCCGTCTTACACAACTCTCCGTCATCATCTCTCATGCTCATTATTTTTGTCACCCAAGCACATTCTTCTATCACACATACTTTTGTCGCAGACGAGCTGGAAAGTTACGGTATGACATGGCATGGTTATTGATAGACATGATCCTCCCGCTCCCAACGCTCCTGGGCGGGATTACTTCGGGTATGCTGTAGATCGTGTGTTGTCCAGGGTGTCGGCGTATTCGGGCTTCCACAGGCTTGGGCCTTTCACAGGCTGTCGAGAAACGTATCGCAAATTCACGGTGGAATCTTGCGCCGCAAGGATAACGACCAAAGTTTAAGCTCAAGATTCCGAGTGCGACCAAAGCTTTGTATAACTGGAGAAATTAATCTTTCCTGACCGCACAATGAAGCTATTTCTAGCCATAGTATCAATGCTCTGAAACTTCTTTCACAGTAATGGATACAGAAGCGGCAACTCGGGGTAGTATATCGCCCGATTATATGACGGGTTTACTTATCTTGAGTATGGCCCTATTACCATGACCAGTCGTTCTAGCCCCAACTTTCATTCATCGCCTGGTCCCTGTTTTTGTCAAGGAAGTATTTCTCCGGCTCTGTGGGCAGCGTAGTATCCGCTTCATGACCAAGTGGTGCTTTTGTAGTTCAAGTTCGGGACTTGACGATAGTTTGAGAACGACAGTCTTTTAGCATCGGCCCCTTGTCCGTCAACCTCTCGACTATGCCACAACCCCTGCGCGGGACAAGGACAGGGTGAACAGCGAGAAGATTCAAGGGAGAAGATGACTGATCACATGATGCCTGGGTGTCTTCCAAAAGAAGACTACCGTAGTAACCACGTTTAAGTCACGTATTGCGTGCGAATCAGAGGCGATTCACGGTTACATAGACATCTGACAAGCTAAGTGCACGAATAGGAAGTGAGAACCGACCTTGTAAGGCTAGTAGCTTGCCCTTGACCTTTGTAAAAGGAAAAGTCTGGAATTTACCAGATGATGGAACTCAAACTTCAGATGACAGAAAGTCAAACTTGGCCGAACATGAAATGACAAATGCCAACACCCAAGAGTATTATCCACTTGGTAAATCACCAGATCGTCCCTCAGGTGTCTAGTAAAACACCAAGATTGTGAGACTGGTCTCAGGGACTCCAGCGGAACCTCCACTGATGACAGACAGAGAAAATGGATAGAATATGACAAGCAAAAATTGCCTAATCGGGAAACGTCCCGCGTGGTCTGCAATGCTATCTCTTTGAGCGGCACAAGGCTACAATGCGGTCACGACAAGGGGGTCAGGCCAATCACAATAAGTAAATCAGTTAGTACAAGCCAGCCCAAGGAAGTTACACTTTAATCAAGGTAGATAAGTTACAGAGAAATAACAGACTTTTCAGAGCTGCCTCTAATAAATCCTTTGTAAACTTCTTACATGGGGTCAAGTGGGTCGAGTGACCTGTTGTAGCCTTGTGCCGCTTAAAGAGATAAGGACAATGACATATCGCAGGTTAGCGAGGATGAACTCCCTACCAAAATAGAGCACCAAGATGCTGGGAACTTAGCGTGGGTAAGAACTTTGGTTTAAAAAACTACCAGGTGCATGGTTCAAGGGTTTTCTCTTCAAAGCAACCTCCCAAGATTCGGTCGTTGTTCCCCTTGTTGGCAATTCCTTGCAAAGGGTCCACTCGTGCTTCAGATTGATCAATGCTAACCCTTTCTAAACTGCGGAATAGGAAGTTCGCGGCAGTGTTTCATGGGGCAACGACTTGTATGATCGATCATCAACATGTGCCTCGGTAATCATGACGGGTTTGAAAGAAAGCATCACAGTCTCACCCACCGTCAGTCACAAGAGACTTTCTCACCGTCTAATAGTGGTTAATTTGACGACCAACCTTGGATCTCTCTTCTCATGCAGTAGTTATGTCATTTGGTTGCTTGTCATTGGCATCCCTGGTCTCGAATATGGTCAACAACTCATCAATGCATGACTTGCATGTGTCTATCTAGCTGAAAATCACTTGAAAAGTCCTTTGGCTTGCAGCTGAGTGTTGCACAAGATTGAGTTTCGTGCGGGCGCCTCACTATGAGTTGTTTATGAGACAAAAGGGAAAGGTTAAATGGAGACCATATCTGTTCGGTAGTTTTTAGGCCGCCCTCGGCCAAGGGGCTTCTAGAAGCAATCGACGTCTAGCCTGGTAACCCACTCCAGAGTTGCACTGCGGAATGGCACCGCGGAAGAATTTGAATTGAGACATTGAACAGAGGCAATGTCTCATGGTCACGTTCACGGTCACGGCCACAGTCACAGTCCACAGCTCACAAAAACTGTTAGATATCCAGTCGCGCAGCAGATAATCTACGCCATTTATGCTTTGGATCTGACCGAAAGCCATTTTAGATTTGAGGCCCTTTAGTTCATGTGCATAGAGGGGCCTAGCGGTCAGCTCATCTAGGCACTGACTGGGCTGGTGGGGGATATGCGATTTACATGAGATTGTACCACTTATAAACATTCACACTTACATTCACCGAAAAGCCATTGCCATTGGCATGTCCAACAAGTACAATTACGGCAATTGCTTGTGCAGGAGCGACTTTTACTATGACAACCTAATCGATCCATGCACCTTCCACAGCTCTGGCGATAAAAAAGAGACAACAAGTGGTACCAATCTTCAGGATGCCTCGGGGAGGTTGCCCACCACCACCACCTTCCCCTCTTCTCTTGGAGCAGTGTCGTCGCATCATCATCACCAACAGAAATATGCATCATTTCACTTTTCTTCCAGCCACTTAGCTCACCCCTCTTTCACCCTTCAAAAAGTTCATGAACACATCAGATCAGCGTATCAGATCATCAGGGGAGCAACTCTTCGACATCAATCAAAACAGACAAGACCCCGAGACTTTGTCCCAAATTGAGCATGGGCCAAAACAAAGCATCGCAGACGCCATGCAGAATATTGTACTTACAGCAATACAATGATCGACAGGTCCTGGCATCAACTTTCAAGCCACGCCACGATTGGCTTCGTCCGACATTGCTACTCCCGAAGTCACACATACCTCACGCTCGGGCTCAGCTTCAGTCCCAAGCAAGCAAGCACCCTAAGCAGTATTTGCTCCGGTTTTGGTCCTCTGTTATCAGGCCGCGGTTGTGTACAGAAATCCGAATATTGTTTGTCAATGGTCTAGGAAGTTCCGCCAAGCTACTATCTTTGTTCTGAGAGCAAACCACACCACTCCCCCACCTGAATTCGGGGAACTCAAGCCCCGCCCCGAGCGGTGGAACAAGTTGAAAACTGTATATTCTCTGGACAGAGTACCGTTACCTTTCCTTGACGAGGCTGAAGGTCACTCTACCCGTACGCATCTTTCTTGATCGGACACCGGTTCCAGCTGATGATCAGCTCCCTTCTTCTTCTTCTAGTCCTGGTCCTCCGCCATTAGGTTCCACAGCTGAAACAGAGGCCCTTACTGACTTCGGCCGATGAATTGCAAATCTGTCCACCAGTCCCCATCTCGGCCGAAAGTCTTACAAGCGCAATCTACCATTGGCTGCGCAATTCAACCAGACGACAGTTTCAATGGCGACTTGAAATAAACCACTAGTTTTCATCCGTGGTTGTCCCCAGATTTTAGGGCTAGCAGAGCGCTATGAGGTCATGGACCGAGTGATTAATCCTTCATTCTCCGTCTTAGGGATATCCCCTCTTCCACAATGACCCTGTCGTTCCGACGACTTTCTTGCCCTGCTGGCGGGGTTCAGTGTGGCCTCTTTTATATAATAGCGTCCGTGGAACAACATGCTAAGCCGCATATCGTCTCCCGAGATGGAAGATCTAGTACAAGTGGTGTTTTACCTCGTTACCTAACATGCCACAGATATCATAAAATTGTGACTACGGAACTCGTTTCTTGTGAGTCCCTCATTCTGCATCAGCTTTGTGTTTCCAGTGTACCATAATGTTGTTGAGGACCATAACTAAAGATTTTGAGGTAGGCAACCTACAGTAGCTCCACAGACTAAGAGGTCAGGGTACACCAGGGTCCCCTGCCCCTGGTTCAGATCTGGCTCAAATATGAAGGTCGTTGGAGCTTCTGTTTGGCCAAAAACACAAACCTCGTGTCCCAAAATGGGATTTCCCCTGGCAAACTCGACCCATGAATAACAGGGCATTTCGAAAAGTCCATCAAGCATCGACTGAACCACTTTCCGCTCCAAACCATCAAACTAGCCTCATTATTAGTTACCATACTATGTCAGCAATGGCCGCTCCTGGACACGTTCACGACAAGGAGGGATCAACAATCTCATGGTGCGCCCTGGTCTTGGCCGTTGCTCCAGTCCTTCACAGGCTATCCCCTGTCACTCAACACTCAAGATCATCATAGGCGTTTGCCTCTCATCGTCCTCTGGCCGCGATGCCATTACCGAATCTGGTCTGGCTGAAGTTTGAAGGGAAGGCTGGTCGCTTCTCGAAATAGATCAGGTCTGACTCGACAAGAAACATAGGTATACGCTGTTTTGTGCCATTCCAGCTGTAGGTTTCAGATCTGTCACCCATTGTCCGCCGTGGAACGAAGGATGCCACTTGTGTTTGCTATCCCAAGGAAATGCAGTTGATTGGGGGTGAGATAGGCGAACAAGGATTCTTAAGCAATCACAACTGACTCACCACAACTTTTGTCCCTAGCGCACGGAATGACCTCATATCCCGTTATAGCAAGCTGCAGGGCGATTTGAGAAGACCGATGCGAGATTTCTAACTGTCTCAAACATTCCAGCTAAGGCTGCACCGCGAGAAATAGACAGCGAAAGCGGTGAGGTGATCAGCGTGGAGAGCTTGGTGTTCCTGAAAGCTGAACCTTTGTGCATCGCACCACCCTTTTAGCCTCTTTAAAAATGCGCTAATGAAGCATGTTCCGTATAGCTGGGAGGCACGGAAGATCGAGATGCATGCAGACCGACGATCCCTTTGGGATCCACGCCCGGCCTAGTTACTTTATCAGTACAGAGGCAAGAGGAAAGATCCACGGTTGTTATCACTTCACAACTTCACCTAAAAGACCGTCAATAGCGTCGGGCACAAGATTCATATGAATTTGAGCAAGGCCAATACTGCACATACATATTTCAAAATCAAGGCCTTTTGCCTCAGCTCGTAGCCAGCTCACGGAAATTTGTACCGTCACGACCCTGTCGGAGCCGCGGCACTCTCGATTTACCTCAACGGGACAAATATTGGGTCAATGCCAACAGTCCCCACCCGGATCCGCAGGTCTGCGAGAATGTGACAGCTTCGGGCGTTCAGATTTGATCAACATCTCAAAGACTGGGCATTGCAACGGCTCAGACATCTCACCCCGTTGCCGATACTCCCCTGATCAGAGTTAGAGATTGGCCCTTGCTACGAGCCAAAGATAATCTTATCCTCGGCAGCTGGTTCGTTTACAAGTCCACTGCCTGTCGTAACAGCAGCCATGAGCTCAAGCATGCTTCTGATTTGTTGAGGCATGGCCACAAGGCTCGTGCCGCAAGATATGCCGCACGATAATAATAGAATGTCGTTCCCCGTCCTCTCCTATGGAGAGAGACATGAGCGGCCGTTGACAACCGCAGTCTTTTGCTGTCAAACCCACTTTTCATTCTCACACTCCCAAGAAGTGAAATCTATTCTAATGTCTATGTTTTGTTCGAGTTAGCACTTCCAACAAATGGTTGGTATGTTCTCAGCTCTTGCTTTGATGATGGAGATAGGGGAAACACACCCGAGACATGGTCATCGGTCTCGCAATTACCATAGTCTGTCTACCAATAACCCAGTGCTTTGAACAGCGGTTTGGGCTGATCGCACTTTGAGCCTGTGACACATTGACTCTGGTATCACAGTCTGAAGTCTCCGGCGTGATACGCGGGAACTCGGATTCGTAACCTCGAATTTGTATGCTTCAGATCCGATTGCGCGTTCAATATGCTCAGACTAGACGATCACTGAAAGCCGATGCTGTTGAGGCCCTCTCGGGCAGTAAGTATCGCAGATCAGCATCACTTCTTAGGTTGTCCCATGACCTACCCCATTGAAGCTGCTTCCTAGCCTGACCTGCTAACTTGAGAATGATACAACAACGTGAGCCCCGCGACAAGGGCGTGGGCCATTTTCACAACTACCTGTGTATGACCCAACTACAGAGTACTAGTGACAGAAAAGTTGACTCAAAGTCCCGACTTCTGGCTCCCGATGATCTGATGCCCCTCCAAAGTTGAATAGCCAAAACTTTAGACTGCAGATCACAGTTTGAAGTCGGAAAAGACCGGCCCTATACGGAGTAGTGAAACGGAGAAATCCTTGGACATCAACATGTATGGTTTGTATCAGATTGTATGGTGATGAACATCAACAGTGCACAACACTTGAAGGTTATCTATGGGGTAGCTCACTTGCGCGCCAATAGACGAAAGGGACGAAGTTGAAAGAGGCTGATCCCTTGAGCAAGCTAGGTATGCGAATCTGTGAAGGGGCGCCGGCAAACCCGCGCCGCGGGATCAAAGCCGTGAAAAGGATGCAACGCCTGTGGCAGAATATGGACGCAGGGTCAAACAAGAATGACATAGATGGCTGGGCCTCAGGGTCTTTTGACGGCTAACAGTAACGTATCATTTGGAGATCTTATTGCTGACTCGGCTACTGAGGCCATCATATCAGGGCGAAGCTAATGGTGCGGGCTCGAGACCACATGGCACACGACGGCGCCTGACCAGGAGGTTCCGATGAGAAATGTTTTATTCCAGTCCTTCAATCTCTGCCACTGGCAAGGGGCTAAACCCAAGGCCATGGGCCAAGTTTCATCGGCAACGACTGATTGCGCGAATGTTACTGTTGTAGCCAGAAGCCCATTCGGGCGCTGGAGATGGCCCACAACAGCTTGGGCTTGGTTGGGTTTTATTGCCAGAGTCGGAGCTGCGGGCTCTTCTCAAAAGCCCGGACCGTGGAGAACATGTCACCAACAGCCTCACAGGGTCCTTTTCCTTGTTTCCCACGAGTCAACTTTTGCCTGTTGATGACCCAGCCACTCGAATGTTGAAATGATGATGTCCAAAAATGCCTTTGTTCTAGACCAGGCCATGGCTCACAGCGTCGGACAGGGTTGCCGAATAGGCTAGGGAACAAACTGACAGGGTTCTTTGTTCAAAAAGGGCGTCAGAATGGGGAAAATGGATCCCCGGGGCGGACCATGCCATGCATAAGACAGGGGTATTAGTGCGAGGCTGAGCTATTAATGGTGACACGGGCAGGGGACTATGACACGGTGTGGACAGTTTTTCCAATCAAGACCGACGCATCTAGTGCCAAAGCTTAAACGGCACAGCAGAACAGCAGCACCAGAGCCTCTAGTGGTGGTTTCACTGGGTGAGTCGTCCTCCCAGTTACTCTCCTGTTATGGCTTGGCTCGGCTTGGCTTGGAGAGAAGCAGTACAGTTATGCCAGGCCTGGCCATAATAGACCAGAACAGAATGACAAGACTTGGGTCTTCTTGTACGCCCCTGCCTGATGATTTATGGCACATTTGTCTACTGACACGCCAGTAATCAGCAATGACGTTGAGCGAGTCGTTAAACTCTGGCTCTGATTATTGGACGTCGCGAGCCTCACAAGGACCTTGGCCTTAACCGTGGACCATGGACCGTGGACCATGCAGGGTCCGGTGAGCCTGCTCCGGTTGCCGAGCATATGTTGTCTCCATTACCCATACCATATCAGTACGACGATATCACTGGACGGAATCATACGGATAGTTCCCGAAGCCAGCGGTGACGGCTATATTCTGTGTCCAGACGGGTCGATGCATCTCAGCTACAGAAGCTTGCCGGAAGAAAACAAGCCACCAGGATAAATTTAGCTTCTACATGTCCAAGTCGATGCAAAAGACCAACCACCTGTTCTTTGACCGAGAGACTTTGCTCTCCCTGCAATGGCCTGCATCTCCTTGCACCTCCCTGCGGCCATGAATCGAAAGGGCATACGGGGTGGCTTTTCGATAGTGTATGTTACGATGCACTTGTGATGATGAGACCCGCGTGGTGACTTCACCGTTGGTGTTTCTTTACCTCCTCCTGTCGCTGACTGTCATCAGTCAAAGGTTCGCCGACGTGTAGACGTCTTTCGCGAGCATCTCACCAATTTCAGGTCGTTGGTGTTATGCACGCTACGCGAGTCATGGCTGGAGTTCGATTGACACACAAGTTGATTCATTGTAGAATTGTTATCACTCAACAGATCAGTTTCCAAGTTCATGACTGTCTAGCTTCAGTCTAGTTATCCTTGGTACACCGTTGGTTTCTTCTGACTGATGCAGCCAAGAGTTTGGGCCTTTTGTCTCCGCTATTGAGCTTCAATTTCCCCAGCGTATTCGCAACGTCTGTGTGCTTGCCCGGTAGGGCAAGTATTTCGTCTATACGGAGACTATTACATATCTAGAGACTATTGAAAGACTGGCAGACTAAAAGATCGTCCAAACTGTTCGGCTCTTAGTACCGACTCGCGTAGCTAGCGAGTTCCTGGGTTAGGTTTGGGAATGTCAAAGCACCTCTCCCAACACCTTTTTATCGAATCAAGTCTTGCAAGAGCTGGTTTCCAGAAACTCCAAGTCTGAAAGCGGAAACTAGAACAGGGGCGATCTTCCGTTTTCCTAGTGTTAATGCATACATGCGAAAACCCGGCAGTCAACTGCCTCCTCACGACAACTTCAGGGGTTCAAGGGATGACCATTACTAAGTGGCTACGCGAGTCAAAGGGCATTGGGCATTATGTTATGGCATCGATGGAGACTCCGCGGTCTTGGCAAATTGTGAGTGTCCAACTTGTCACTGCTGGTTACACCAGTACTATCACCGCATAGACAGACGCTGAAGGCCAATGTTAGAGCCCGACCCATTCACTAACGAGAGCTATATTGTAAATGACTCTTTTGTAATTTGCCTAGAGGAGAAATGTCGTTGTTTGCATGGCCTTTGCTGCAAATGGGACGGCTACAGAGTCAGTACTTGGTCTTTGCTGCCCACGGCCTCGACAAGCAGTTCTTGTGACTCATTAATCAATGCAGGGCGGTGCTCATATGTTTGAAATGAGAGACGATGCAACGTTTCTTATGCTGTAGCATGGAACTGATACCGAAATGTTTCTCTCCTTGTTGGTCGTGATTGGCGATGGCTACCCTACAGCATCACCGATTTTCTTTGTAGGCATTCGCAAGTTGCGAATAAGTTGTAAGTGCTCTAGCTTAATAGATGCATCTATCATTACGGCTCGAAATTCGATTGGGTTTCTCATGCTACAATGTGACAAGACGATGACGAAATAACTCTGGTGTTCAGCTACCACAGTAATACTATCATCCATCTGGTGATCTTCCACGCTTCAGTGACATTGCTCCAGCTTGCAGCAGCATAATAAAGTAGCCTATCTATCTAACTCGGACCCCATAAATGCCCATCAACTCCTCCCATGAATCCGAGTACTTCTATCTACTTGTGGCATAACATGTTGCCATTCTCCCAGTCCCATTTCCCAGTTCCAGCTTCCATCAGGTATCTCGTCCTCCTCCCAATGTCGCATTGCGACCCTCGTCAGTTCATACCATCATTCAACATCAATCAAAATGGCTCCAAGACTTTTCATAAACCCCCTTGAACTTCGCCATGCAATCCGTACCATGCTATCTACTGCGATAAAAGAACAAGTGCTATCTATAACTATGTAATAACGACGAACCACTTCCACTGTCACCCTTGAGTCATTCCTTCAAGAAATAAAAAGGCCGAGATCAGTCGCCATCCCATACTACAGAGTGTAATGCGACTCCAAATTTTGTCGGTCTCGTTGCTGCATCTGGCCAACAAAGTTGCTAAACTCGGGAATTATTTGTTTGTAGATATCGATGACCTGAGAAACGTTAGCTTGTGTGATAAAGAAACAACTGCAATGCAATAGGCACTGACCTTTTGGAAGACATCATGCAACTCCTGCCTGACAGGGCTCTTCAAGTCAATATCACGATAACGGGCAATGGCCGTAAAATAGTTGAGCAACTCCTTCTCCATGGCCTGAGGGTTTCGTCCCACGATCATAGAAAATCCCTTGAAAGCTGTCGCCTTCTCTTCAGTTGCATCGACCTCGTTCATGATGCTGATCCATTCCTCTGCAAAAGTTGAAAGATGAGGTCCAAGCTGTTCCGAGTTCTCGAGGCCGAGGCGTCCCAAAGCCATGGCAGCATTTTCGTTCAGCGCTTTAGGAACACGAGGGTTGGTCATAATCTCAACAAACCGTTGGAGAAGCTCTTGAACCCATGGGCCCATGTGCTCCTTGTGTTGCATTGAAATTTCACCAACTGACCAGCAGGCATTGTTAACGACGCCAAACCCACTGTCCATATCCTCATCGAGGACGCTGTCCATATCAAGCTGCTTCAGCAGGATGGGGATAATTGTAGCAAGGTAGGGCTGTAGTAGAGGATAGAC